GTAGTAAGTACCTTGCCAGGAGTGAGTTCCAGAGTAAGAGCAGAAGTGCCAGAAAGTAGCTGGGCAGTAGCTGAAGTAGCTGAGTAGTGGTACCTTGGGTAGTAGCTGGTGTAGCTGGAGTGTTGTAGCTTCGGTAGCTGGGGTAGTTGTAACTTGGGTAGCTGGGGTAGTCGTTTCCAAACCCACAGTCGTAACCTGAGCTTGGGTTTTAGCAGGGCTCTGGCCTGCAATCACAGTGTGGAAAACGGTCGTGTACGCAATGGTGTAAACAGTGTGGATTTCGGGCACTGGCAGTGATGCTGCCAAGGCAAGTAAGGAAAGGAAAGTGATGGAAAGCTTCATTGTAAGGAACGAATATAGTAGATAAAGGAAGGTGTGGGAAGCTTTGTGTGTTTTAAGGAAAGTGGACCACTGGCTCGACCGTTTGCTAAAAGGAATGAATGTCAAAAGATTTTAGTGATTTCTCCTACTTATATGAATTCGCCTCTGCACCTCTGCGCGCCCCGACGTTCCTGTGCGCGATGCGACGCTAGAGACCGCGCCAGTTTCTCCCTACTCCCAGGGGCCCTGCAGGGACAACGTGCGAAAATTACCGGCGAAGGCTGGCCAAATGCACGCTTTCTCGCGACAGCCGCGCGGGACAATAAAAATACTAGGGGTAGCGGGCCCAATTGGGAAAAAATTTGTTTCAAATGGGTTTCAAGCATTTTAGTCTAGATTTCCAATTTACAACTTGTATTGTACGTATGCTATATGCTAATCAATGCATTTTGCCGGGAAAATCGCCTCCAACTGACTGAAAAGCCACTTGCTCTGGAAACTAGTTAACCCTATGGTTCGTGCCCGTAGGCGGACGTTGCGATCATCACTGATCAAAATACAGTATCGGAACATCTTGGCCCATTTTGTATCCAACACTTTTTGCTGTTTGGTCGTAGGCAGAGTTATAGTCATATTAAGCCCTCGTAGCATGTTCTTGCCTATCTCATCGTGGTCGTTGACAGCACTCAATATGGTCTCGTCAACGCTGTTTCTCCAGTTGGAGTTGTTCTCAAACTCTGTAGTTTCGTTTATATCGGACGCAATGTTACCATCGTATCGGAGCGGTAAGATCTCCCTTGGTAAGGTAAAGCTCACGAATGATAAATGACAGAACGGTGTAGCATGCATCGGGCAATAATGGCTTCCGCTGACTTTTCTCAACAGCCTCAATTCCTGAAACACAATGAGAGGAATCAGTATTTTGAATGCGTTATTTCGAACACACTTGAAGATCCTTCCACAATGTTTCAACCAAATGTTGGTGTCAATGGCTATGTATGTGACATTGGTATCCATTCTATCACCCAAATTTCCCTCCAATGCTGTGGTGTTGTTGCCTAATGGGTAGTCCATGGTGTAAGCATCATCGTAAAGATTGTCTCCTGTAGCGTGGGAGACTCTCTTTCTAAAGCATGATGGTGCTGCTCATGGTGGTACATGTAATGAAGATCGTTGTTGAACTCCGGATCATCATCTAGCTCTGAGTCCACATAGGCTTCTTCATCAAATATCATCGGCGATGGATCGGCTTCGGGCTGGAACCATTGGCTATCTTTTTCTTCTATCGATGCGGCAATGGTTCTGCTGTCCACCAAATTGTCCACCCTAAGTGGACTCACCAAATTAACGAATCGGCCGTCATTTCGCTACGAATGAATCCAATGCCGAATTTTGCTTCCGATCTCTGGTATATGGTAGCATCGAACCTAAAACCATCATTTGTTCTGACCAAACCATAAGGCATATGCTCCGCTAAAAATCTTCCCAATAAAATGACTCTGACAATTCTTTCATCGTTATCCGAATGGATAGTGGTCGTAGGTTCATTTGATATGGCCGCTGAAACTCCAGATACTGGCAAATCGAAAATGTTGGAATTCAGAACGCCTGCCGCAGCAGAATCACTATAATCACCCTTTTCAGCAATAATGTCAAACCATAAAGTTCCCCAGCATCGCCAAACTTCCACGAGAATCTCGTTATTATTGAAAGTAGTCAAGTAGTCGCCCTCCACATAACGAGAACAGGCCTCGCTGAGTCGGCGATTTGCCTTGACATATTTAACCCAGTAGTTGAGGTAATTAATGAGTAGCTCCCAGGGAAAGATTCTGCGGAAGAGCCACAATATAGGCTCGGATGCGTTGGGATATCTTTGAAGGGCTTTGCCCACGGCAACTAGAAAGTATAGCCAAACAATGACGTGCGGCGTGGATGCCTCTTTTGGTCCTACTAGATAATGGCTCAACACACGAACCAGTAATTCAAGAACAGACTTATTGAGGTGACTAAATCCTCCAAACCATTCGTTGACTGTGAGTTCTTCAGCATGAATAAAATGCTCATCGATATCTAAATCATCAGTTGGAATACTTCCACGCGACTTGCGTTTCTTATCTTTCTTATCTTTGCGTTCTTTTAAAGCTTCTGGAAGTCCAAAGAGCTTTGCAAAAGGATTGCGAGGATCCCCAAATCCTATCAAATGATTGATATTGGATACGGCAAAGAGGGCACCTTTGTTGAACCAAAAATTGGTCTTTTCAGTAGTGCTTGCATGCTGGTAGTAAGGATCGGCAGCTACTCCAGTCCCGGAAGTAGAGTAGAATTCTTTCGTGAAAAAGTTGAAGCCGTTTGAATCTGATCCAAACGTTAATCCATATCGAGTGACCAAATTAACTCCATACAGAACCTGTGAATCATGATTGGGGTCGTCTGCTGGGTGGATACTGAGGAGTACTTTGTGGATCTTTATGAAATCGATGGTGGGTAGTTCAAGTAGGGAAAGCACGTTTCGCTGTGTGCAAATGTTTTCCACTACTAATCGAAGATATTGTGGAGTTGGTACAAATGGATCACGACAACAAACCAGCTTGCCGATATTCACAAGAGCATCCAAATTATCTTGTTGGACGGTGCACATATGATAGTATATCTTGCCATGACCGTAAAGTGTACGCAAGCCCATGGCATACCAATGTTCAGCCAGGGCTTTCCAATCGATAAAACGCAGGGCGTACAATGCAATGGCCATTCTGGAGAGGTCACCGAGTTTTTCCAGCCACCAACCTTCCATATCCAAGCCAGGGTCAGTAAGATTGGAGAGAATGCAGAAACAGTTGGCAATGAAGCACAGACATATTTCATGTTCGGAAAAGAGGTTGATAACATTCTTTAATACCTCCAAAAACCCAACCACTCCATAAACCCACATACGTCTAGGAATTTTGTATAAATCCACAATATTTCTCCCCGTGCGAGACCGCCCTACTGGGCGAACAGCCGTGATCAAAAAGTCATAATAGTTGTCTAGAAGTGCAATATTTTGGTAGTAGACAGTCCAAAGGTCGTTCAGAAGGTCACTTCTTGCTGGCACTGTGGTCATTGGTCGTGAATAGCCAGCTTGGTTCATCTTGATGGTGATTTCTATGCATCCTCTTTGTACAGCTTCCTCGTAATTGACGATATTTTTGTAGGTTTCCTTTAGTTTAGCAGCCAATTGTTGCTCTTCTTCGGACATACGATGGGATTCCGGGTTTGTTTCGTGGCCCATAGTTTCTTCTCCCTCGTCATGTTTATCATTCGATTCCGACAGGTCTGAGTTGTTGTTATGGGGCATCATTTTCGAACTGGGGCTCGATGGAACGTCATATGACGGGGTGGGAGTGTTCCCCAACGCCAGGATAAGATGGGGGTTACGTGATGTGGAAGCAAAGTGGCTGGTGCCAAGAGTACCCGCAGTAGCCAGAGGATGCAGTTGGGCGTGCAGTTGGGCATGCTGTTGTACGTAGCCCATGGAAAGTGGACGTTGTTCTGACTGGAACGGGCGCTTGGACAGCGGAAATGACGATGTGCTTCGTTGGCGTTTTTGATCTTGCGGGACATGATGCAGCGGCACAGAGTTAACCGGGGGAACGATGCCGGAGCCAGTCGATGCCCCAGCAGACGTCTGGCCCACCATACCTGCGACATAAGGACTTACAGGAGTCGCGTCAGCCGTCAGCCTGAAGGCGCCTGGACTGAAACTGTTAGCGGAACCGGAGTCCATCTGGAGTAAGGAAGCTGGTATGGCGCTGTGTATCTAGATCAAGAGCGGTGTGCGCACGACGCGGAGTGAAATGGAGGCGTAGGAGGATTTGGTGCTACGGAATAGAGGGATTAAGGGCAAAGGAGGAAATGTGAGTAAATGGAGGTTCAAGAAACAGAACAAAATGATCAATGCTGAAGACTTCTTTGATTTTTTAAATTTTTCAAAACTTTTTCAAGATATTTTATGTCTCAAATGTTGCTTGTCTTGTCACAAAGAGCACCTCCAGCCAACCTCAACTCGTTTTTTAGTTTTCACAGAAACTCGTCCAAATAGCTGAAGAGAAATTTCGCATTCTGCCGCTTCTTTTATATTCGAGTTGAGGAGTTCCGGTGGCTCATGCATCGCTTCTTCTCGGTCATGTTCGGTCGATATTCAAATCCGACTTTGACGCCATTTTCTTTGTTTTTCTCTTTCTTTCCCTCTATTTCTCGTCCTTTCCCACCCGTCTACAAGGTTTCAATACATCGTGTATTACAAAATAAGGACAAAACCACTACTTCAACTTCTTCTTAGGTCTCAATTGGTTGGTGTGTCCACACTTTCTCTTACGACAGTTGGTGGCTCTTGGTGGCAATCTAGCGTAACATTTACGACAGATCGACTTTTCACAGTTGTATTTGGAAGCCAAAGCCTTCAACGATGGTTCAATCATGATTAGTGTCTATGAAAGGTTTGAGAAATTTTCTCGCACTAACTGGCGGCAGGTGACACAAAGCAGTCATGTGCGCCCGCCGAGGGCGGAGCCCGTATGGTACTGTGTACAAATTTTGGTGTTTCTTTGGATGTGTTCCTTATGTCATCGCTTAGCGCATGCACCCCCGGTGCACCTCACCGTATTTCATCAACTATCGCAGGCTGGCTGCTACAGGTATGAGTGAATCCAATGCCGACCCCAAGCCTTCAGAGGCTCCGGAAACCGGCCAATCAGAACATTCGGGTGCTGAGACCGCTCAGAGTGCCCTCCGTAATCCACAAAATACCGAAAACTTACCAAATGATGACGATTCGCAATTTGCAATTCCACCATCGGTCCGAGTTACTGAGGCTGTACAACTGCAACCCGATGAAAATCCCTCCTCCGATGCTCCTGCTGTATCTAGTATCCCTGCAGTCTCTCCAGGACTCGCCCAACAATTCACAACTCCACTGAAGTCACTTCCTCCACTCAAAGATATCGAACCCATTACAACTCCTCGTTCATTTGATGTAGCCAAGGACCTCGAAGACCCTGAAAGCTCCCCTGTGGTCACACGAGCAGAAAATGCCGGCGATGATGACGAAAACCTCATAAATACATCATTTGCTGACGATACATTTGCACAAACTCAACCCCACCATTCATTTGAACATTCCTCAGACAAGTTACAGGTGATAGCATCCTACCTAGACGTACCTATATCGGAGCTTTCTGGAATCAGCACATCTTTGGTAAACGCATTAGAGTCGAAGAGTGCTGACCATGAAGCTCTTCGTTCTCAGTTGTCTCTACTTCAAGTCAACCAAGAACAAGCTGCTCAATTGCAGAACAAGAAAGTGGAAACTCTTCAAAAGCGTCTCAGAACGTTGGATGCAAAGTACCACCAAGTAATAACTGATAATGAGACAAAAGATGAAGAAAGAGTTTCGGAATCTCGACAGTTGACCGTTTTGCGTCAAGAAAGAGATTCTCTTCTGCGGAAACTCGACCACCTTGAGCTGCAAATCTCTCAGCAACAAACCCAGCATGCATCCACTGTATCCCTCAAAGATCAGGAAATCATACGACTCAACGAGTCGCTTTCGAGGTTGACACAAGCTAATATTGACGATAGCCAAAAACTTAACCAAAATTACCCGTGAACTCAGTGATACTCGAAATGAAAAGTTTACTATTCAATTGGAACTCAGCAAGTCCACCAACGAATTGAACTACTTGCGAGATCAAAAAGAATGGTTTGAATCGGAACTCAAAAAGGTACAGCTGCGCTATACTGAGTCTCTCAAAAAAGCCGAATCCGACTACTTGCGCTTGACAGGAAATGTTGACGCTCTTACAACACAAAAGGCGCTGCTCGAAAAAATGAATACCTCGTACAAGGAGACTCTCGCTAACCTTCAGGCAGAGCTCGAATCTCAAACGTCAAAACTTCTCAGTCTCGACTCCAAATTCGAGGTAGAGAAAATCAAATATGCAAAAGATCTCAAGAACAAGGAAGACTTGAACGAGCTTTTGAGAGTACAAACAGAGCAGAGAGCGGAACATATACAACAGTTGGAACGCTACGTTGAGGAAGTACTGTCGTCGCTCACTGGTAAAGTCAATGATTTGGAATCTAGCTTGTCTCAGAAAATTGACAAAATTGCTGAGTTGGAAGAGAAACTTAAACGTACGGAAGAGGTGTTGGATGCCGAACTACACAAGGGTACCGAGTTGCCCAAACTCTCGCAAACCGCAGAGCTCATTGCTGGTGAAGGAATTTCACTTTCTTCTCTTTATGTGGAATTCAACCAGCTTAAGAAGCAGTTAGTTTTCGAAAAATCTCAAAAAGCTAAACTCGCAAGTCAACTTGAGTCCTTTGTGAGAGAATTAGAGGAGAAAAAGCCAGTCATCGCCAGTTACCAGGAACAAATTCAATTCTACGAGTCTTCACTTAAGGACATGATTGGAAAGGTAGAAGTGGTCCGACTCGAAAAAGCTGAAGCTGACAAGGAAATTCGAAGACTTAAATCTACACTCACAGACCATGAGAATAGTCTTGTCTCTAGCAAGAAACTTTGTCGTGATTTGGGAACTCAATTGTGCTATTATCTCATTCATCTGAGAATTCGCGATAACGACGAGGAGCCATTGAGTCTGGCTGAGCGGAAGGCAATAGACAATATCTTGGAAAGAAGCGGAAACAAAGAAGCGAAGTATGAAACTGATACCGATATGCTCATTTCATCTCGTCTTGTTGAATTTGGCAGCATTGTTGAGTTACAACAAAAGAACGAGAATCTCTTGAAGGTTGTACGTGAACTTGGAAAGAAGCTCGAGGCAAAAGATCAAGAGCATAACGAGCAACTTGAATCTGCAGCAATTGAAGAAGCCAAGGAGGCTATTATTACCCTTGAAGGAGAAATCGATAGTCTTCACATTAAACTTAACGCTGTTACCAAAGAACGAGACCAGCTCAGAACTATTGAGCGTACTAATCCTTCAGGATCATCTTCTGAAGTGAGGTACCTCAATGAAGTTTGTGATGATCTTCGCAAACGTTTGTCTCAGAGCGAGAAGAATTTACGCGAAGCTCAAGAATCCAGCGCTCAAAGAATCAATGAACTTAACACTAGATTAAATGAAGAGGCTACACAAAGAGGTGAACTATTGATCAAGGTGAACACTCAGGTCCATGCCGTCGAAATGGCTGAGGTTCGTTATTCAAATCTGCAAAAGCTGCTCAAAAACTGCAAAGAAGAATTGAAACAACTCAAGAGTGACATAGCATTCTGGAAGGAACAAGCCTCCAAACAAGAAGCATTATTGATTCGCAAAGCCAATGAGTTGAGCGATGCCACTTCGGAATTATCCAAAAATCAGGCTATAATTAACGGCCTCCGTACTGAAAAAGACATGGCTATATCACTCCAGGGCTCGTTGCGTGATGAGGTTGCAAGTCTTCGGTCAGACAAATCTAACTTGAGTCTGTTTGTGTCCAATTTGCAATCACTCTTGAAAGAGAGAGAGGCTTCTAATGCTGAAATATCATCCAGACTCAACCAAGCGGTTGAGAACTACCAATCATTACAGGAGCGGTTGTCGGAGCGTGACGATAAAATCACCATGTTGACAACTCAGGCCGAACTTGAGTTGAAGTCTCAGTATATCAAATTGGAACAGGTTAGTGATTTGAGCCAAAAGTTGGCTGAGGCTAGAAGTAGCCTCGCTGAGAAAACTGCTTTGGTTGAAAAATTGAGGTCCCAAACTTCCAATCATGAGAGTTCGTTTCAAAATGCTTTACTGCAAGCTCAGGTTGCTAGCACAAATGGAGATGCTGATGAGTCTCGTTTTGAAGCACTCAGACTCGCCGAACAACAGGTTCAAGAATTTTCATCTATTGCAAATAATGCTGAAAAGGCTCTTATGGATGCCACCGCTTCCTTTGAGCAATTCAAGACAGACCACGAACATAAGGTCACGGAGTTGAACGATATGCGTTCACAACAGCAGAAAGAAATTGAACGGTTGAGCAATGAAATACAGTCTGCGAATGAAGAGCGCTCTAAGATGACTTCCCAGCATATGGATGAAGTCCAAAGCTTGAATTCTAAGCTTCTGGAAGCTATCGTGAAAGCCAATTCATTTGATACAATGAAGCAAGATTATGAAACCAGGCTTCTATCTCTTAGAGCTGATTTGGAAACCCAAGAGGCTCGCAATGCAGACCTCGAAAGACGGTTGAAAGACACTGCTGATTCCAAGGAATCTCTTGAGAAGGAGATATCCAGTCTTCGCGATCAGGTTAATTCCTTGAATGAAGAGCTTTCTAATGCTAAGATTGCATTGGAAGATCATAACAATGAGCTCTCCAATACGGCAGAACAACGGGCAGTTGCGCTTCGCAATCTTCAGGAAAGCTTTGATGATTTGAGAAGCAAGCTTTCATCGGCTGAAGAACAGAATGCCATTCTACTTAACCAGCTCGAACTTAATGCTGATAATTCAAAGTCCAGCCCCGACCAAGCTGATAACCAGGATCTTTCGAGTGTGGTAAGATATTTGCGTCATGAAAAAGAAAGCGCCGAAGCCAAGGTTGTAACGTTGACTGAACAGGTGAACACTCTTCGTCTGAAATTGGAGCATACAAACCTCGAATTAGAGGCAAGAAACTCTGAACTTTTGAGGAGCCAGAAGGCAACGATTGAACTTGATTCCACCAACCAAGAGCATCTGAAAGTTTTGGAGCAGCTCGAGCAACTCAACATTTTACGTGAGAGCAATACGACCTTGAGAAATGAGAATCGCATTCAAGCCAAGCGGCTTTCAGAGTTGGAGCAACAGCTTAATGATGTTTCAAATTCTTTGGCTACAATTCAAGTTTCGCTGACACAAGATGCTGAGAAAGATGACGAAAAAGACCAAAAGATACGTTTGTTGGAGGAAGAAAATGCTCGAATCAAGGCAAACATGTCTCAGACTTCTACGGCAGACAATTCGGAGGAGGTTGAGGCGTTGAAGAAACGATTCACAAATCTCAAAAACGAGTTTCAAAACAAGCTTCTGGTTCATCGTGGAAAGACGAAAGAGCTCGAGAAGGTGGTGGAGAACTTGCGATCCGAGTTGAAATCGAATAAGAAAATGCTTGAAGATGAAAAGAAGTCAAGACAAGAAGTGGTCGACAAACAACCAAACAACGAAGAAGGTGAACAGAAGTTGAAGGCTTTAAGAGACGAATCTGAGAAGCGCATCAAGGAGTTGGAACTGGAAAAAGTAAAGCTTGAAGCACAGCTCCAGGTGCTTCAAAAATCAGGAGCATCCAACGTTTCTGTTTCAGACGAGGTGGAGAAGGTTCGTGGACAATTGGAGAAGGAAAAGGCAGAGGTTGAGAAATCGTTCTCTGAGAAGCTCAAACTGGCTGAAGAGCAAATTGAGGCCTTGAAACGAGACTCTTCAAACTCCAATGTGGAACAGCTACTTGCACAAGAAGCAGAGAAGCAGAATAAGAAATTGGAGGAAGCATTGCAGTCAAGAAAGCAAGAGCTTGAGAAGCAATTTGACGAAAGATTGCAGACCGAGATTGAGTCTCGTCAACAAAACATTAGTGGAGGTGATTCAAGCAGCGAGGAATTGGTCAAAAAGTACGAGAGTCAAATCGAAGAATTGAAGCAAGACTTTGAAAAGAGATTGACAACTGAGATCGAGGACATTAAGAAGAAAACGGAAAAGAAGTTTGAGATCAAAGTACGCATGTTGAACAAGAAAATTGACAAGTTGGAGGGTAAAGCGGGTGAGACCAAAGGACCATCACCCAGCCCTGGTGCTGCAAATACCAAGCCTGAAGATCTGACGAAATCACCCCCAGGACATCCTTACACTGAGTCCACCCTCACAGTTCACCGTCCACAAGTTGATAGAGGGCAAGATAAGAAGAATGATAAGGGCAACGACAAGGGAAAAAAGCGGCCATTTCCCAACAAGAACCAACCTAATAAGAAGCCCAAGGAATAAGAATTAGAGTACGAGATGAAGAGTAGGTCAATATAAGTTAAATGAACAAAAAAGAATGATTGCAAAAAATACAAATATAGTAACACCATAAAAGCAAATTCGATTCATAGAAGCTAAGAACAAGACATACAACAGCTGATATTAACACTTATTACTTCTTGACCTCCTTCTCGAGATCCTTCTCGTTCGAGTCCTTCACCATAAGACTGTTTCCCTCATCGTGGTGAACCGAAGTCTTCTCGTCGTAGTCCAACTTTCCGTCGTAAGCATTACCATGCCCCGAGCTATTAACGTGGATCTTACTAACTTCCGAGTGATCAGGACACAATTCAGCACCCTTACGTCCAATCATGTACCATGGCAAGCTGAAGATATCTTCCATACTTTCCAAAGACCGACCTGCGACCTCAGGTACAAAGAACCAAGCCCAGAAAAGAGAGATCGCCATGATTCCCACGAAAAAGTAGAAAGCTCCAAACTTGTGCATGCTAAGAAGCATCTTTGGAAGTGCCTTGGAGTTACCGTACTGGTTAGCAAAGTGCAACACCATGATAGCAGATTGAGCAAACGAACGAATACGCAATGGGAAGATTTCCGAACCAAGAAGATATTGAATACTGTTGAAACCCATGGTCCAGCCCACACCACTGAGATACAAAGATGCCAAAGCGGCCTTGGCTGCTCTGTCTTCGGAAGCGGTCAAAGGAAGCGGGACGTCTTCAGTAGCATTTGGAACAACGGTGACGAAAATTGCAAAGAACAAAATCGAAATCATTTGAAGGGTAATACCAGTGTACAATGCCTTTCTCCGTCCCAAAAAATCGATGATGAAGAAAGCAGAAGCGTAGGCACTGATAAACTTGACCACACCCAACACGGCAGTCATCTTCAATCTCTCAACACCTTTGTAACCAGCAAAGCCCATCAATTCTGGGGAATAAATCGTCACGGCATTGGCTCCACTCCATTGACCCAAAAGTTGCGACATTGTAGCCACGGCAAAGAATCTGTATCTCACTGACTTGACGGTAAGAATTTCTCTGATTTTGTCGAAAACTCCGCTACCTGAAATGGCTTCTTGTTCAATGGCAATCAGCTCATTGATATCGGCAACCTCGCCCACAATGTATGGATGGTCTGGGGGTAAGTGCCTGGTCTTGGACAAATTTTGAGCAGCCAATTCAACTTTTCCAACTTTGACCAACCATCTGGGACTTTCAACACAAAGTAAGAAGGAACCGATGAAAATTAACCCTGCTAAAACAATCTTGATAGAAGTAGGTGCTATCCATTGAACTTGCGAGGTGTTCAGCATATGAAGAGCAGTACCATAGTTGGCAAAGTATCCCATCATAATACCAAAGTACACAGCTCCGGCAAAAATACAACCACACATACCTCTAATTTGTGGAGGAGCCACTTCAGCGGTATAAAGTGGTCCAATAGTAGTTGTTTGACCGATTGCAAATCCTTCGATAAGTCTTCCAGCGTACAATTGACCCACATTCTTGGAGGTGATTTGAATGATAGCAGCAATAATCCAGATAATACAAACTTGTTGAAGGGCACGAATACGACCAAGTCTGTCAACGGTGTACATGGCAAGAAGAGAACCACCAATCGATCCCAATTGCACCATGGCAGCGATGTTAGACTTCAAGTTGGCAACTTCATCTTTCGATTTGTGAGGATCAGAAAGACCAAAAGTTTTCTTAAAAGAAACTTGAGCAAGAGTTCCGGAAATATTACCCTCATCGTAACCACGAGCAGAACCAAGAACACCAAAAACAAGAATGGACAAGTACAAAGTTCTGTTGAAAATCTCCTTAGGAGCATCCGAGGTGTCGACTCTCCATCTCCACTTCTTCTTGGGTTGTTCCTGTTCAACAACTTTTTCCAAGTCGTCCTGCGACCTGATTGAACTTTCCGATAATTTTCCGGCCGATTTGATTGACGCTACCATTGAGAAAAGTCAGAATGAAGAAAATAAACCATTATCGCCACCGAATTTATAACTCATAATCAACGCGGGATGAGCCCGGAGGTCGCTTTAGAAATTTAGTCTGCTCTGCGGGTTTCCCCACACCCATGCAGCACAACGTCTGTTCTCCAACCTTTGTCATACGGCGCGTGCGGCGTGGGATGCAGCGAGCTCCGAGCGGTACAGATGCGGGGGCTTCTCGGGACCTTCCGGTTAGCGATGGAATCGAGAAGCGGAAAAATGATCTATACGGCAAATTTTCCGCTGGAGGGCGGCTCAAAGTTGCTCGGTTCCCTAGGGCTGGCTGGTTGTGTTGTTTTGTTTTGGCGTTGCTGAATTTCATGGCCCGGAGAGTCGAATGACGTCTTGGCGCTGTCAAAATTATGTCAGAAAACTATACTAATTGGGCAATTTCAGCCGCGGTAGTAAGTCGAATTGCACTGAAAAGGTGGGGCGACGAGGGGAAAAAACTCCGGGAGCTTGCATCAAAATTTGTTGTTGTGTCGCAGGAGGTGGGGGATGCATGCGGGGGGATAAGAACAATATCGCAATCTTGACATGCCGAGATGCCCCGATGCACGATCAATCGCAATTTTTGACACCTGTATTTTTCGAAAAAAAGGTTAGAACAGCACTTTGTACCCCGCGCCATCTACGATCTGGCCGCCTCGGCTTTTTCTCGCGCTGGACATTGAAATCTGGAGCAAGCGGCTTTTTTGCTCGAGCTGCTCAGCGCAAATATTCCCAATGGAGCTATGAAACGTCAGAACGCCTGATTATGCAAGCCGCGCGCGAAATGCGCGGGCCGAAACGGCCGATAAAGCCGTCGCGTGGATTTCTTTATTGGATCCAACAATTTGAATTAGTCCGGGTGCGTCGTAAATGCGCATTGCGGCTAACCCCAACTCTTGTATAAAGTGAAATTAACCAATGAAAAATTTCAGATTTGAAGCATGTAATTCGTGAGTCATAAAATTATTAAAGTTAACTGGCTTAGAATCAGCCTCGGTAATCCTTGGGCTCGGCCAAGAAGTCATATTAATAGTTGTAGTTAAGCTAGGCGGATGAGGCTGAATCGGTAGAGGGAAGACAAGCAAAATTTATTTTCGTTATTCCGTTTTGTCATATTAATGTCTTACTACGCTAGTGATGCCTCGCCGGGCTGATGGCACTAAGCCAAAGAAATCTTAACCTCACTTTGATGGCACATGGTCAAGTGCGATGCCTTTCTAGGTGGGTACTCGTCATCATGGCTGGCCAAGTTGGGGAATAATTGCGCCAATCTGGCAATCACATACGATGCTTCCGTCAATGCGAATTGCTGTCCCAAGCAGATTCTTGGTCCTCCATTAAATGGAAGGAAAGCCCATCCCAACTTTCTTGTCTCGGGTTCAAACCATCTCTCGGGTCTGAACACCTCGGAATCCTTACCGTAAAATTGCTCATCTCTGTGCATGGCATAAACGGTGTAGGTGACAGTTTGACCCTTTGCAATGAAAATGGGTTGGTCCCTGTTAGGACCCCCACCTCTGGGTAAACTGGTGTCTTTCTGAGCAACCCTAAAGTTTTGAGGCACAGAAGGATACAATCTCAACACCTCATTCAACAACGCCTTTAAATATTCACATTTCTTCAACGACTCGAACGTGATATCCTCAAGACGAGCATCGTCGCCTTTGCCAAACTTTTCATAGATTTCCTCCTTCAATTTCAGCCACACCTGGGGGTTTCTTGCCAACTCATAGAAAGTAAACGACAACAATCCTGCGGTGGTGTCTCTGCCTGCCAACAAAATATTCAACAACTGGTCTCTCAATACGTGTGGGTCACGAGTCTGTTTCACCAATTCGTACAAGAAAATATAGCCGTCTTGCGAGTGCTTTTCCAACTCTTCGGGACTCGAATTCAATGCCTTCTGCACGTAGTAGTCGGCAAACTTGTGTACTTTTTCATTGGACGATCTGAATTCCTTATTGTTCACCAAAAAGTATGCTTTCTGCGCCAACGAACGAATAGACAAGTAGACTTGCGCCGTGTTGAAAGCTTCAGCAAATCCCGCTTTTCCGTCAAAGTCAACAGCATCCTTGGCCATTCCAATTGACTCGTCTTGCAAACTTTCAACCGATTCGCCAAACAAAAACTCGGTAGCACTGTCCACCGTTAAGCGGAAAAACAACGATTGAACATCGAATGCTCCACCTTTCGCCCGGCGAACATGCTTGGCAAGCATCTGAATATGAGGCTCCAAACTTTTGACGTGGGCCACTTGCTCACGAGCAAACTGAGGGCGTAACATCGCACGAGAGTGCTTCCATCCACTGCCATCCAATGTGAAAATTCCGTCTCCCAACAACGGCTTGAACTGAGCATGGCGAGTTCCCAATGCAAAATCACTGAATTGGGTGGCCAAAAGTGCTTTTATGTTTTCTGGGTTTTTCGTGGAGATAACAGGAGTACCGGCAATTCTGAAGCTGAAGGTATCTTTTCCTACCGTCTCGAATCTTTCTTTGATGAAATTGACAAGTGTGCCTTCCTTCTTGTGTTTCAAGGAAGTGTACAAAAGTTTAAAACCAAAAAATCCATCCAGCTCAACAGGAGGGCTGACACATCCCAACTTCTTCATAACAATTTGAATTCTAATATAATCAAATACATGATAACCAATCAATACAGCAAGAAGAATTCCATACCAGCTGGTGAAAAAATTGTGCACGGTGTCTACGTCAAACATTATTCCTTTTCTTCGAACCAGTCGATGTCAAACGTAAAATGCATTAACGGCGGAATTTATGTCTTAATATACTAAAGGTGGGGACGCTGATTTGTCGGGGTGTCCTGCAGGGGGTCCGGGAGCTTATGCGGCCCGGTTTATATACCGGCTATCTCCGCTAAGGGCATGTGAATTGCTGGCATTTGCCGTGTTAACTATGAAGGTTTGTTGTGTAATTCATGTACGATGCGGAATTAACTCCCGTCGAGTGCATTGGCGTTGAGCTTCACTTACGCAGAAGCTAGATGATTTCTTGCCCGGTAATAATGCGTGCAAGTTTCGACATAATCATCATGTGGTTCTTTATCTGATGAGACCTCTATTGAGCCGTTGACATAAAACGAAGACGCAATTTAGCCCTTTGCTCGCATGATCTCGCTGCTCGGTGCTTCCCCACATTTTCGGCGCGGTTATTCGGGACATCATAGCGGCTTCGAGCCCTTGTTTTCGGTCTATGCAGGCAACCTGCTTGCGCTTATCCCCTCATCGCCTATTGGGTAATGGAGGATGATTATTAAAAGAAATAGCGGTAATCGAAGTCGTTGCTAGAAAACGTGGGCTCGTAAATGTTGGCCATTTTCATCAATAACACATTATGCAAACTTTATATTTTTCTTCATTTTTTAAAGTTTAATCAAGTGGAATCAGGTACACACCAAAGTTTGTAATTCAAATACAGTGATGAGATAGAGAGTGGGTAGGAGAAAACAACTTAATTATTAGTATAACTAGCCAAAATTACCGGCAAACTTTTGAACTGGACGTCAAACTTGCGTATATGAGACATTCAATTTTCTCTAATGATAAAAGTAAAGGGGATTTAATACCATAAAACAAGAACTGATTCATTTGAACAACCAATTGTCAACTACAGTTCAGCCGACAGGCTGATGCTTACTTTCTTTAAATGTCTACATTTCTCACCTGATACCTATCTTTCCTTGTTGGTTACCTTTTCGAAAGATGTTCATTCAACTAATATACCTGATAGTTTCCCATTTCTTATCCAGATCATGAAAGATTTTGTGCTTCTTACAACTGTGGACCAGCGGCCTTGACCTCGGTGGTAGCTTGGTCAGCGTACTTCGTAAAGTTCTCCACAAACTTGCCAGCCAAAGTCTCGACCTCCTTGTTGAAAGCAGACTCTCCCTCAGTCCAAGCCTTGGTGGGGTTCAAGATCTCAGAAGGAACGTTAGGGCACGATTTTGGAACATGCAAGTTAAAGGTTGGGAAAGTCTCATACTCAACCTTGTTCAATTCACCAGAGTGGATAGCATCCAAGATGGCTCTGGTGTACTTCAATGAGCATCTCTTTCCACCGCGAGCAGCAGACGCTCCGACCCATCCAGTGTTCAACAACCAAGCATTGGCCTTGTGTTGACTGATCTTGTCAGACAATTGTTGAGCGTATTTCATTGGGTGCAAAACCAAGAAAGGTTGACCGAAACAAGCTGAAAAAGTTGCTTGAGGCTCAGTGACTCCCTCTTCGGTACCTGCCATCTTCGAGGTGTATCCAGAAATGAAGTGGTACATAACTTGGGCATTGGTCAACTTGGACACTGGAGGCAAGACACCGGAAGCATCACATGTTAACAACACAATGTTGGTTGGGTGAGTATCAGCCAAACATGGAATCTTGGCAGAAGGAATAAAGTCAATTGGGTATGCACATCTGGTGTTTTCAGTGATGGTGGAGTTGGTGTAGTCAACAACCTTGGTTTCATGGTCGTAAACGGCATTTTCCAAAATCGCACCAAACTTGATCGAGTTGAAAATTTCGGGTTCCTTCTCAGCAGACAAGTCCAAACATTTGGCGTAACATCCACCTTCAATGTTGAACACACCGTTATCGGACCAACAGTGCTCATCGTCTCCGATCAATTTTCTGTTAGGATCGGTAGAAAGGGTGGTCTTACCAGTACCAGATAATCCGAAGAACAAGGTAACATCACCCTTTTCGTTACCCTGGTTACAAGAGGAGTGCAAAGTCAAAACCTTGTGCTTGATAGGCATCAAGTAGAACATCACCGTGAAAATACCCTTCTTCATTTCTCCAGCGTACTCAGTACCCAAGATCACCATCTCCATGGCCTTAAAGTTGATTTCCACAGAAGTAGACGAAGTCATACCCTTGGTGTGCTCGTTGGCAGGAAATTGACCAGCGTTGTAAACGGTGAAATCCGGCTCACCAAAGTTCTTCAATTCCTCGGGAGTTGGTCTGATCAACATATTGGTCATGAACAAGGCATGGTAAGCTCTAGCACAAATAATTCTCACCTTGATTCTGTATCTTGGATCCCATCCGGCAAAAGCGTCCACAACGAACAACTTTTCTCTGGTTCTCAAGTAATCCAATGCTCTTGATCTGGAAATTTTCCATGTCAATTCGTCAACTTGCTTGTTGACTGGACCCCACCAAATGTGTTCACTGGAGGTCTCTTCTTCGACAATTCTCTTATCCTTGGGAGATCTACCGGTCTTCTTACCAGAATAAGCCATCAAGGCACCAGTAGATGAAATAGTGGTTCCCTTTTCCAACAAACCATCTTCGTAAAGAGTTGGTGGAGGAGCATTATGACGAATAATTGTGTCATTAACCAAAGATAATTGCTTAACTAATGGATCCTGAGTAGTTTTTATGGTGGGGTGACCACCAAAGTTGATAGAAGATTCCACTGCAGTAGGAGGAGTCATTTTATTTTGCAGTTTTCCATGGCAAACATTGGGCCTTTTATACCAAAAATCCGGGGCTGGGCTCACCCCGGAGCAAGGGAAAAAAATTGGCCTGCCTGCAGGATTCCCCACAAAAACTCTGGAGTTTAGCGGGAAGTTTCGGAACTCCTCATAGTTAAGCCATTCCGACATTCTCCGGCTGATGTCATTTGGCGCTTCTGCTTATGTAAGAGCCGTGGTCACCCGGGAATCGGAACCGGGTGAAGGGATGATGCCCAATTTACCGTTTAGCAAGCGTAACTAACCTCCTTCAAAAGCACTTAAATGTAGATTGTTCATATATTTGTGGCTACAGAAACCTGCATTTCTCTACCCCATTTTGTCCTTCTCCACTTCGATGCAGCACATGCAATCCAATCACGGCGCCTGGAACCGCGAAACGCCGGGCACCCGGACACCCACTCCGAGGCATCAAGCCGCTCGTTCGAGATGGCTTGACTCCGATTTTGCAACCGTTAATGTCAAATTAATATCATCGTCTTCCTCAGATGTATGATTTTCGATTTGGTAAAACACAAGAGGTGCTGCAATGAGCAACGATCCGCCAAGAAGTCCCCAGCAACTTCCAAACATATTCAAGTATGGAATCTCATAGTAGTCTAGTCTCCAAGCAATGGCTGCACCGGCGCTCTGGATACCCTTATACATTGAGCCGTAGAGGGCAGCTTTCTTGGGACTGTTGGACAATGCTCCGAGAAGATAGTAGATGTAGGTCTGCCACACGGCATCATATATGCCATAGAAGACATATAAGATCACAGGTCCCACGTAGTTGGAGTCAGTAAAGTCAATTGCTTTCATTTCTTTAACAGACTCGCGAGTGAACAGAAGCTGAAACTTCAAACCAGCTCCCCAGATTGCCATAGTAAGAATGAATAGCGCTGCCCATCCTAGTTTGGCTCTGGTTTTTCTGTCGAATCTTTTCCAGTCCAAAAGTCCTCCAAACAAAATTGCACCCACCAGCTGCATAATCCAGTAGAGTAACGAGTTGAGAGATCTCGTCCGTATGTTGAATCTTCCCGCATTGACGTCGTTGAATTGGTAGGTGTAAAACCAGTTAGAAGCAAAGCACATGGGGAACACCAAGAACACCCGTGGCTCTCGATAAAGAGTCCTGAACAATTGAACCAACTCTTTTTTCCAGTTGGGATATTCTTTAACATACACTCTTTGTCCACCCACACGATCCTTCCAAACAAGATGAATCGGGAGCAAGAAAAGCGCAAGTACAATTCCCAAGCCCATCAACGCAATAAATATAGCAAATGTGGTATCGCTCACCAGAGTTTGCACGCTATGAATATTGTTTGCCAACGAGATGATCAGACCGATGACAGCTCCCATGTTGAAAATGATCCAGAAAATCATAATGGCTCTTCCTTTTCGATGCTCCGGTGGATAACTCATGATAATGGTTCCTTGGGCTGCCCAGAGACAAGCAGCACATACTCCCAACAATGCACCTGAGAAAATGACAAATCCAGCGTTGGAGGTCTTGTTCCAACATAGTAAACTGCCACTGTACAACGTGTAACCCGAGGCTCCAAAAGCCAAGCAGAATTTTATTCCCAAAGTGTTGCAAATTGTTCCAGCAAAAAAACCCACCGTTGCGAAAGTACAATACAAAGCCACATTGGCATTGTTGGCGACGCCAATGTCGTCAATTCCGGCTCCTCCAAGCCCTGAAAGACTGTTGTACAATCCAGTTGACATGAAACAAACGAATGAAAGAAGAACTATCTGTGAGGTCGAATAGGAAAAAGCAGGAATCCACGACACAATTTGTTTGTCATACCACGGTTTTTCATGATTCAAGCTACCATTTTGTTCATTATTTTCATTACCGCATTCTTTTTCAATTCCACTTTTTTCATTTTTGTCAATGCTTGGTGCAGAGTCTATGCTATTTTTCGACGACATAGCTCTAAAATTCTTTCGCTGTGCTCTTATACTTTTTCGTGTCGGAATTTGCTGCCAAGCCGATGTTACATTTGCACCCTAGAGTACGCATCCCAGATAGTGAAAAAAAAAAAATTATCGCACGATGCAACCCTGCGAACCGTTATGTGGGGCAAAGTGGGGCACAGGTCTAAAAATGTTACGGGCAGGGCTTCATTGCGTCATCAAGCGTCTTTCAACAATTCTGGTATCAAAGTTGTCTGTGAATACCTTCCATTCCTGGAAACCAATCTCCTGGATCCCGCCAAGATTGCTTTTATTATCGTCGCCGACCCCCAACATAATACATTGTGAAATTTCAACATTCTCATTTTCGTGAAAAATCGATTTCAAAAAAGTGATTCCACTGCAAATAAGCCCAAACTTAAATATTTCTGTTAAATTGGAATATGATGGGTCAATCACAGGACACATTATTGCACCTACAACTTCCTGTTTGCTTGTGGGCAGAGGAGATTTCGTTGTCAAGACCTCATCCATGAAAGGGTAAAACTTGCTCATCTGCGATCGGTTGGTGAAAAGTACAATACTGCCAATAACATTCTGGTTTGTTGGTTCGAGCGCTGTAATGATCTTCGTTTCGAAGGTGGATTGGTTTTGAACATATTTGATGGCTTCCAAGTAGATGTTCTTCACATGTAGAGTCTCCGAATACTGCTCGCTTCGAGATATCATTCTCAAGAGTTCTTCAGGGTCGCTGCAAATATCAAAGCGAACCCCAACTATCATAAGCTCTCTGAATATTTTCTTTGGAACCAGCCAAGACCCAAGATCATGAAGCACCATAATCTTTTTCAATGGAGTAGACTTTACTTCCCACGACTCACTCTCGAAAAATGAAACCACCTTTTTGTCGGAAACAGTACCTGGGAGTGCCAAAAGAGGAAAAGAACATCCCAAGGTCACCGAGGTACATTTTTCCACCTGTATGAGATGTCTCATTGCTCTGGCATGAAGATTTTTTCCTATGCTCTGAAACCGTTTTGTCTTGTCCACAAGAATATACAAAATACTTCCAACCTTTTTGTAAGATTCATCGGTCTCATCTCTAACCACTCCATCCAACGGAACATTCTGAGACTCGTCTATCCAAGTCAATACAATTCCATATAGAATATTAAAGGAAGAGTTCCTTACAACAAAATGCTTTTGATTCGGAGCCGACGATAAGAGCACATAAAGTCTCTTGAAAAATGCCAAACTTTGATAATCCACGGTATCCGGGCGGGTGCCGCTGTCTCCTTGTAGAAAAGGGCCATTGTTCTTCCAAAGAGTGACCAAACCTTTCCAATCTCTTTCGAGTGAAAATTCGTCCACAAGCCACTTGCGTTGAGGAACCGAGCTTTTCCTAGATTTCGTCATCAGGTCTTCGTCTGTTATCCTTCTCTTTTTCGCTCGGCTTATGAACTTTCTCTCACCTGGTATACAGCCCTCTGGTGCATCTTCACCCATTAAAATAGATACTAATTCCACAAACACATTCTCCGTATAGTCGTAGCAGCACAAGTATGCACTTCCAATATTTTTATTGTAGAAGAAGTCATATGGCGTCAGAGTTGCAACAATAATGAGTGGCTTCGAAAGATGGGTATAAGTGTCGGGGTTCGCAGAGTTGTTGCTGTTGAACGAGGAAGGATTGGCACCACACAAAATCGAAGCATATTTGACAATGCCCATCTGATACATATTTCTCGATGCTTCAGATGTCACGACAATAACGGCTTTCGAGCTCTCTATCAACGATTCATGTAAGGAAGTGAGTCCATTTGCAGTGTAGGTGGTGTGGAGGACATTGAAGGTATTGTTAGGGTTATGGTTCGCCAAGAGGTCTCCGAATTTTTGAAATACTTCTTCACCAGGATAAAAATTCTTTTCTTTTTCTCCTTCCTCACTTTCCAGAGTGTACATGGGAGAAAGAAGAGGAGTCAAAAGTAGCAAGTTGTCGTCTTTCTGTAGGTGTTTTGTTAATGGAAGTGATTCGGCGTAATCTCGAACGAGAGTGATGGATTTCTTGTATGCTTGCTTGGAAAGTTTCTGATGCATCATCCACTCGGTTGGATTTTGTTCTCTGAACAAAGACGGAGCTTCTTGTGCGGACTGCAGGCCCTGGGGGAATATTTCTGACCATTTAGGTAGCTTTTTTTGAAGTTTTTCGATTCTTTCAAGACTGGCATTCACGATGTCCTCGTCGAGGTTTCCGTTCGCAACTGCCTTCTCCAACGAGTCGGCGGCTTCATTCTGTAGATTTGGGTCGTGGCAGACCATGACGAGATCACAGCCTGCAAACACCGCCAAAATGACCCCTTGACCCAAGCCAACCGAGTGATGTAAAGCGTCCATTTCAAGGCATTCACTGATCACCACACCGTCGAATTTGAGTTCCTGACGAAGAAGCTGGTTGAGCACAACTGGTGATAAACAGGCATGGACTTCGTCGGGACTTATGGTCGGGACACCAGCGCCAGCAGCACTAATTCCATCTAGCACGCCCTCTTTGATCAACTCGGCAAAAGGAACACAATTGAGTCTTCTGATCGAGTCGATGGAATCGGTCACCATAGGTAGTTCAAGAAGCGAGTCTACGGTGGCATTTCCAATTCCAGGAAAATGCTTGCCCATAGTAATAAGACCACCGTCCTGGAGACCTCGAGCACAGGCCATTCCGTAGCGGGTGACACTTTCAAGGGTAGTTCCAAAACTGCGCACACCCACTAGTTGATGTGAAAGTTTTGTGACAACGTCTAAAACGGGTCCAAGGATCATCAGAAACCCAATGTGTTTGAGCTCTGTCGCCAATGCCTTCAGAACCTTATAAACCAACTCGGTGTTCCCCGTTGCAGCCAACCCCATGGCACAGGGAAATTGGGTCAAGTTTTCCGGATCGAAAAGCGAGTTCATCATGCCTCCTTCCTCGTCAATGGCAAACATTAGTGGGTACTTGTAGTTCCCTCGTGTGAAAGCAATATATTGTAGGTCCTGAATTAGTTTGGCCATCTGCTGGACGGAAACAGCATTCTTCTTCGACAAGAACATGGTGGAAATATGAAGATCCACGATCAAATGGTACGCTTGTGGCGTAACCGTGGCACCCTCGAACCCTCCACAGAGTAGCTGACCCACTTGCATGGCGTGGGGATATTTAGTGTTTGAGGTGAGATGGGGCCAATTGTGGAGAAAGAATAACCTGGTGCGAAAATGGGTGCGAAACTTCTGGGAGAATCGAGTGCGAATCTGGTGCGAATCTCAATGGGTGCGAATAGCCAACTCTTATAATCGAGCGAACCACCACTTATAGCCATCCATAGTTGCGGTCCACGCTCCGCTGCTTCACATGGGGATAGCTGACTTGTGGTCCATCTTGAACCCGGGGTTCGAGAACCGCCAAACCCTTCCTGTATTTGTTTCCAGATTCATATCTCAAAATGGCCGTCCTCCTCGTTTTGCAATCGATGCTTATATGTTCTTGTTTCTTGCTGGAACTGATGTCACGGACGACGTGGAGGTGGATGCTGATATAGTCTCCATTCGTAACTTTATGGCCAAACTACTCTATCTCACGTCACTAAATGTTTCTTATGTTGTTGTGTTTGATGGAAAATTCAAGCCAAATAAATTGCGGAACGGGGCGCTAGCGGAGGACTACGACTACGACTCAGAACTTCGCAACTTTCGCCTGAAGTACCATGATCACTCTACGGGCGAAAAACTTCCTGAAAAGTTGATTGAAAGACTAAATGAGAGTCGTATAGAGTATGTTCGTGCACCTGGTGAAGCAGAAGCAGAATGTGCTATGCTCCAGCGTTGTGGAGTTGTGGACTACGTCGTCACAAATGACACTGATGTGTGGGTATTTGGCGCCACAAAAGTGCTCCGCAACTTCAACAGGTATAAGGAAGACGTCTTTTCTCCTCTTAAGAAAGCACCACAGGATAATAAGGATTACCTTGTCACCCCGGTTCATATGGAAAAAATCACCGAAAACACTGGTCTTGACCGAAACCGCTTAGTTCTCATAGCTACACTCATGGGTGGTGACTATTCCAGCGGTACGGACAGATTGGGTCTTCAAAATGCCGTCAAGATCGCTTTATGTGGTACACCTCATGCTGCAATTTTCCATAAATCTCCCGCAAAAAGCAAAAAGAAGATAAAGGAAGAGCCTATCGAGCTTCCTGACTTTTCTAAGCAATTGGTGGACTGCTTTGTGGATGGTGCTTCACTGGATGTCTTTCAGCAGTGGAATCGCATCAGGTTTCTGGTACAAAGAAAAGAAAAACTAGCAATTTTTGTGTCTCAGCTTAACAAGGCTATTGCTGAACGTCCTCGCGATGTCTTTGGCAGAATGGTGAAGCTACCTTATGGTGTTCTAATAGAGGAGACCTACGTTCTCTTGTACCTCTTTCCCATAGTTGGTCCTAGATTGTTCAAATTCCTGTCTGCTGCCTTGAGTAATTGTGAAACGGAAATAGGATCCAATGAGTTATTTCCTGTTCAACAATGCCTTCCACTTTTTCCTGCTGATAAAACTTGGGTGGAAGTTGTTCCGAGGTGCAATATCTTGGATAGTGAATCCACTATCGGGAGCCTGCTTATCACATTTACGTCCAAATATGGCTGCGTCAAAATCGAAAGGAACAACTTTGAAAGCACTCTGGACCATATCCACCCTAAAAACAAGGTGTCTTATTTGCCCAGCGTCTATCGTTACCGCCTAAAAAGCATCTTACCTCGTATTCTTGAGAGAGCCAAGTACAGCCCTTCAGTATGTCGCGGTATAATTATCACCCGCCAGAAGCAGATTGACGAAGAGGAATTTTGTATGGTGAAATATTTCCCCCGAGCGTTACGGGCAGTGCTCTTCGATGAAGCTATAGAAAGCTCAGAAGACTCACAATCCGCGAGCCAAATGGAAAAGCCAGAGATAATCTGGCTCCCTCGAAACCTTATAGGTTTGGTCAATCGAAACCTACTCAACGAATTTGACGAAGTCTACATTAATCGGTCCATAAGGCACTCTCCGAAGAAAGTGCAATTGACTACTTTGGACACCCTAGGAATGAAAATTATGGGTCCAGCGACTTCTCCAAGACGCCGCAAGAAAAAGAGCTCCGAAAACAACCAGCTGCTAGTAACATCCTTCTCAACCGCTCACCATCTCCAGAAGTTAAGGAAGATCCTTTCGTCGATTATTCAAACCAACAGAAATCTTTTGAGATACATACTCCCCTGAACAACTACAGCCAAATGGAAAGTGCCTTCAATTCAATTCCACAACTTTCCTCAGAAAAACGGCAAAACCAATCTACATATTCGAGCCCTCCCAAACGAAAACGTTCAGGAAAGGCACATGCGCTTATGATATCACCAGAAAGCTCTCCCGTCAAACCTGCCACTCAGACAAATACAGATGATGATTTCATGGTCCCTGGCTCTAGTACTTCCCATACTACGGAACAGGCACTGACCAATAGTGTTATAATCGAAGTTGCAAGCCAGAGTGAGGAATCCGATTGCGAAAGTGAAATCATCCAATTTCCGTCAAGGCGGAACCATAAGCGTCCTCTAACACTAAATACCTCCCAAGAAAGCTACTAGCAGGCTCGGCCGGTCCACTGCTTGACATATTGCTAATATTGCTAATATAGGAATTCGTGCTGTGTTGCAGCCATTTGACGGTCCTGCAGACAATACGTCTATTTTCTTTCAATCTGTAGTCTTTATCAGCATTACAGCATGTCTTTCCAATGGTCTCCGCCCACTAAAAAGATTGTGATTGCATCAGACATTCCTCGATTCAAGAGATCGATTGGCTACAAGAATCTCAACTTAGCTATAGCTTCCATTCTTGAAAAAATAAAAGGAATCGATATTCCAAAGGGTTATCTTGACCCCAAAATCGTCACTAGAGAGCTAGATGTGACAGAAGTTGCTCCGAAACTAGAATTGCCAGCACCAGAAAAGGATAAATCTGCCGAAACAAATGCGGCAACCAACATTATACAGTTGTTGAATGACATTGACAAGATCACCGACTCCACTCCACCGCTCACTGGGCCCCGAAGGTTTGGAAATATGGCCAGCAGAACCTGGCACGACAAGCTCCAGGGCCAAGCACGTGGACTATTGGTCAATTGGGTTCCCAAACCGTCATCTTTGGAAGATAATGACTTTTCTCAGTTCCTCGATGAACTCCAATACTACTTTGTGAATTCGTTTGGATCCAAAATTAGGCTCGATTACGGCACTGGTCACGAGCTTTCATTTCTTGCGTTTTTGGGAGCTTTGGATAGGTTCAAAGTCGTCCCTTTCTCTGAAATTAAAGGTGTTGACATACTCATTATATTTGCCAGGTACTACGATGTTGTTCGAAGACTCATAGTTGAGTACACTTTGGAGCCAGCAGGTTCCCACGGAGCATGGGGTTTGGATGATCATTTCCACTTGATATATATCTTGGGAGCAGCACAATTCAATAATGTCACTGCAGGTTCGGCACCCACTGTGAAACTGGTCTTGACAAGTCAAGTAATGGAACAGTACAAGGAACACAACCTATACGTGAACGCCATAGCATTCATACATCGCATAAAGAAGGGTCCATTTTACGAGCATTCGTCGTTTCTTTACGATATTCATACTACTGTATACCAGTGGGAAAAGGTGTTGAAAGGTCTCTTGAAAATGTACGAAGACGACGTTTTCTCAAAGTTTCCAGTTGTGCAACACTTTTGGTTTGGGGGTGTTCTCTATCCGTGGAGAGACATGGATACAAACGAAGAGCTACCCACGAGTGAAGCAGAGGAAAAAGCAGAAACAGTTCTTCCAGGAATGATCAATGGAGGTACTGGAATTCGCACAACTCCTTCTAATATCTCTATGACCCGTGTTCCCTGGGCAAAACCTCCGGGAAGATAGATAGACGGAACAAGGTGTATAGTCATCTCGGTCGCTCATAATTACGAATTTACGAATTTTTGATATTTTCTGATTTTTTCTATTTTGCAAATTTTCATTATTTGAGATTTTTGCAACTTTAACTATTCCACTTTTTATACACTTCATGTGGCCACTTGTCTACGAAAGTTGAATGCAGACCGACACAATGGACACGTACTGGCACCAGAACTCTTGAACCACTTGTAGAGACAAGCTGAATGGAATTTGTTCAGACATGTGGTGCACACCTTTGAGGGAAGCGAATGGTCCTGATGGAGAATGGAGTAGCAAATGGCACATTCTTCAAATCCTGAGAAATGAAGATCCACATTCTTGATAAATAGTTCAATAGCCTCGGTGATCGAGCCGTTCACAAGACTTATAATTCGTTGAGAAGCTAAGAGCCATGCTTTCCACTGATTTTCTTTTACTCCTAAACGCATGGGGCCATTGACTTGAACCAGAGACAAAGGATACGACTCAGGAACTTTGATGACCATCTCCATTGTTTGCTCATCAATGTTGAATACAGTTTTGATCTCGTTGGAAACTGCATTGACTTTAACAGTGGTATTCTCATCTTTCGATAATGAGTCTTTCGAGTTGATAACCAGTTGGAGGATTCTCTCTATGACGAGTGGAGAAACAAATTTAACTGAAAACCGCTCCACACTCTGCTTAAGCAGTCTGTCTCGAATTCCATTATACCAATTTTGAATATAAGACCCGATAAAAGTGAAACATAAGTAGTATAGGTGAAGTGCAAGAAACTCGATTTCTTCGCGAGCTGAATCTCCATGCCCGACAGCCACTTCATATTTGGGGAGCAAGTTTTTGCTGGAGTCTATTTTTTGCTTCTTAGTATCTCCCTCTGTCACTAGAATTCGAGAAATCTTTGAACTCGATACGTCAACTGTCAAAAATATGGAATCCAAAAGCTTCTCTACGAGGTTTGTTTCACGCAATTGAGAGACATAGTCATTTCTGATGGAGTAGGTGATATCCCTAAAGTGATCGAAAATCAAAAGCCAGCTCCATAAGTATCTGAAGGCATCCGAAGGCTCGGCATCGTCAAGAAGTGAAATCGGTTCACTAATAGTCACTGCATTAATCAAGTAGTCTGGGAGCTTCGCTTTCGAATTTTCATCGGTTTCGGTTCCAATTTTAGATCTCAGCAATTGGTATTCAACAACGAAGTCAGACTGGGACTTTATGATATAGTCCAGAAGCATCCGTGCAGCCAATCTCTGGAACATGAGAGAAGATGATTTGGTAAAAACCTGCTCAATTTGATCAACTCTATCGCCAATTGTCGCAGGCGTAATTTTTGAACGACTAAGCAATTGGAAGCATTGTTCATGACACAAGGTAGTTGGGACATTGGACACGACATCGTCATACTGCTGCACTTCTTGACTTAAGAACAAATCCAAGACGTCTTGTGTAAGAGATGATATGTCAAAATGTATCTCAGAAGTAGGAACATTCAACATCGCCTTGACCAATTTCAAGGTAAAGTATCTCAAGTGTAAAGCCAGAGGCTCTAAGGATGCTGAAGCCATATTATCAGAAATCAAACTGCAAGACAATTCATACAACTTATCAGGCACTGACGGTTCAATGGTAATTAAGCCAGTGAAGAACCTTGCAATTTGACAGCGAAGTGGAATGAAGGAATCATCATAAGCATTTTCAGACTCTAGCCAGTTTGAGATTTGACCAAGAATCATGTTGAGTCTGTGAAGCGGTACCACATTGCCAACCTCGTCACCATCAGCCTCGAGGAAATTGTTGGAAAGAGATAGCCACACAAGGCCACTACTAACAGCCTTGCTAGGGTCCTTGACTCCCAATATTTCTGACATGACGATATTTTTCACCCTATCAAATTTCTTTGACTGGTGAACAAACCTTTTAAAGCTCGAGAGTACAACTGCCGATTTATAAGGATTCTTGAGGACCTGATTAAACTTGATGTCAGCGGCAGAATCAACCACCGAAAGCGGTTGTGCGTTAATAATATTCTGAAGAATGATGCCGAGTGATCTGGCAGCATAGAACTTGAAGGTTAAATCTTGCTGATCGTCATCCAATATCGTTCCTAGCTGGCACAAGACTTCTTCTTTCGAGTCACCGGTATTAAAGTACTCTAAAAGCGAGTCATAGGTGAAATTGCAGATAGCCAATACTGCGCTTATTAGCGATTCCCTCACATCGACGTACTCCTCTGATCTTGATGAGTACGGTCCACCATTGCTAACAAGAAAGAAGTAGTCATGGACATACTCTGCGAGAAACAAGCCAATTTTCAAGACAGAAGTCTTCTTGTTTCTGATGAGTACAGATACAAATTTTGAGTACAATAGTAAAGCAGAGTCAAGCTCAAAAACGTTGTTTTTAGTGTCAGCGCCAAGGAAAAGAAGAGCATTGTGTTGCAATTGGTTTCCCATAGACAAGTTGGCGATGCTGATGTTTTTCGCTGCTTTTTTGAATCTGGACTCGATTGTGCTGATCACCGAGTCAAGAAAGGTACCGGAGCCATAGTTCGTTATTATACCAGCGAGAACTTCGTAGTTGGAATTCTGGGTCTCATCGCATATTACCGAGTGCAAAGTCGTTTGACAAAGACCATTCAATTCTGAAGCAATTGCAACTTTCAAAAATGTACTGGAGTCAACTTCACTGGCAGTTCTCCATGCATACAGTAGCACACGAGTCAAGTTCTTCGTGTTGGTTTCATCGACTTTGATAGACTTGATCGTTGTCTCGATATGACCATTTTGCGTACTTTGTTTGATAAAAGCCAGTGAAGTTTCGTCGTTGAAGTCAGCATTCTTCAACAGAGATTCCAAGATGCTCTTGTCGTTCATGGTTCCATGCACAGCAGACCGTTCCTCATGCGATAGGTCGTTTCGTTTCGTGAGTTCCACCACATATTGGTAGATATCGGGGAAGTTGGAGAGATCGATCGACAGTTTTTGAACCTTTGATAAGACAGCGGTGGACTTGGACTCATCTACCATGGAGATTTTCACGAAACAATCGTTGATAGCCTCGAAAGTCTTCAAACCTTTGAATAATGGGGCATTCGAAGAGGAAATGTAGAGAAGGAGATCAAGCGGCACATCCAAAAAATCAGGCTCCACAAATGACGGAATGGTCTGAACAAAATCAGTAAGTTTATCTTTCAAAGCTCCATTCGCAACAAGCAGTGCTTCTTTCACAGCAGAAACAAAAGTTTCAAATGCATATCGATCGTCGCAGCCGTCATTGTCAATCGCATTCATAAGGTCTTGCAAGAACGATGCCAAGCTATCTTCACCTATGATATCAGCTTTCACAGCATTGGAGAGCAAAGTTGTATAGGAGGGCACGAAATCTTTTAATTTGTACTTTTGGTCAATAAAATCGAGTTTTCCGTCGGTACTTCCTGAAGTGATCGCTTTCAATGTATTTGACCCGACATTGACCAATTCTTTGCTTAAAGTCTCCCTGATGCTAGTAGGGACTTTTGAGAAGATACCCTCAAGACTGGCTTGACGCAATAAAACAGCAAATGAAATGAGAGTGGATTCTGCTAAATTGTCTTGAACCTCAGAAGAGCACAACCCCAAAACTTTCCAAATGCAATCAACACAGCTGCGCTTGTAGCTCTCCGGAATGGACTGCAATTGTGGAAGTAATATCTGGAGTAACACTAACTTTGCGTCTTTAATACTTTCAAGATCAAGCAATCTCACGTCGCTGTCTTTTGATAATTCCACTTTGGTATATGCTTCAAAAAAATGAGACAAAACTGTGTAGTAGATAGGATCCAGCCTACAACTTCCCACTCGCAAGTAGTCGGTGAGTCTCGACATTGACTTGCTGCCTCCAAGTTCCCAGAAATTTTTCTTAATTTTCAATGAGGAATTCGAAGGAAATCTTGTTAATGTTACAATAGTATCCCAAAATTGTAGAATGAACGATGAATACATGATAGACGATTTGGGAGAAAGTTTGATATGCTTGATGAACTTTTTGCTGGTTAGCTTGTAAAGGGATTTAATATCTGGTATAACAGTCATGAATGTGCTGGATGCAGAAAATGTAACCTTCAATAATGAAAGCAACGACTTGAACAACTGTAGGTTCATTGTTTTCTTATCCAAAGAGGAGCCGAGGTAGTCCCAAAGTCTTTCCAGATTCAACAGCTTAGCCACTGCTTCCGAACTGGTGTCTCCAAGTTCGACTGCTACTTCTGACTTTTCAATGAGAGAGATGATCTTTATCAACATTGAAACTGCAGCGCCAAGCACTCGTTCATATTTGGCTTGCGAGTCCTCTTCCTTTGTGTACCTTGAGTCCGAAAGGCTCTCTGGTAGCTCCTGGCATATAACAGTGTGGATGAATTTGAGAATAGAGTCTTTGAAGATACCCCATATTTTGACATTGACCCTGTCACTGTCATTTTGAAAGCTTTCCAAAAGCCCCTTGTAAACTGCATTGGCGACACCTTTATCGGGATCATATATTCCCAAGAGCCATACTGGAAGACATGTTTTCAAGTATTTGGCAAACGACTTGCCTCCGATGTTCTTGAGTATACTAGCTTGAATTGAGTGAGCCAACATCCTAACGTTGCGAGAGTTATCTATGGCCAACTTTGGATACATTTGGAGCCAAGATACTATTAAATTTTCATCCTTGACCAACTCTTCATCGATGATATTTGAAAAATCATTGAGTGACTTTTCCTTTGTAATCGAGTCTTTTTTCATGAGCGACTTGAATATGACCACCAAGTTCGAGTTTTCAAGACTACTAACATCCGGAAGCCCAGAAAAGTAGTTTAGAGATACGGGGAATCCATTGTAGCCTAAATCGTCTCCACTTGAATCAGCAAACATGATTGTCAAATCTGAAAATTTCGCAAAATGAATCATAGTACGGGTGCACCGATGCAGAATACGGCTGCAAATTACTAAACTCATATGCCAATGACTATATTAATATGTCCACAAGAGACCTAATGCTGTACTTGTTCTAACCCTTTATAAAACCGTTTGACTTCTTGTGATGTTGTAATCCTATGAGGATCAAAATTTAAGATCTCCAAATGCTCCTTGTTGATGGCTCTTGATAATGCAACATAGACCTGTCCCTTCTCAAAAACTTTTCTCAAGTCAATTCTTAGACGGTCAATGGTTTGCCCTTGGGCTTTGTGGATAGACATTGCCCAGGACAACAATAATGGTAATTGCGTCCTCACAATTTGGTTGCTGGGGCTCAGTGCGTTAGGCACAATGTCAATAATGAACTCTTCCTTTGGAATCAATTTGACTATTTCATTTCTGTCTCCAAGCTTGAACTTTACTATTGGGAGGAGATCGTTCTCAAACTCTTTGCCTGCTAAATTGAGCAAGCTCTCAAACATGGACTTTCGGTCGTAGGGAATCAGGTTGTAGAGCTGCATCTCATCAGGTCCCCATTGAACTTCGGGACGTCCGACACGAGAGCTGAGAAGCCGTAATTCAGCGACTATTTGCGGCTCCAGTACATCTAGCCTGTCATAGCGATATCCATTTTCCGTCGCTTCCCATAACTTGGGTGTAGAAAAACACACGACGTTTCCAATGGAACCATTGACTAGGTCCTGGACATTTTTGATAAACATGACTTGGGCGCCTTCCTTAAGCTGAAGTACTTTTTCACACATGAGGATTTTCAAGCATTTTTACTTTATTCGGATCGTTGGTGCTATCTTGTGCAGTGAATGTGATGGAGCGAGTTTGAAGCTGAGAAAGGCGAACATTGTTGGCCCTTTTTACCTCCTCGCGGGTTGGGTAAAGCTCAGTGGGCTCTAAGCCGTCGGTATAGGTAACTTTTCGACCCAATTTATAGAAATTGGCAATTGTATCCTGGTCCAATTCGCCATGCCTCAATGCATTTAACATATCGATCAACTGATTATCGCCCTTCTGACGAAACACATTGGTCAATAGAATGGTCTTTTTGATGACTTGAGACCAGCACTTTGCTTGGAAACAGTAAAAGGGAGCAGACTGACTCACAGGAGGTAGCTGGAAAAAATCACCAGTACAAACCAACTGAATTCCCCCAAAAGGAGCGCGGTTATTGCGGAGTATGCCGGCCACATCATTCAACTTTGAGAAAAGATTACCGTCCACCATTGAGATTTCATCAATAATGAGCACCTTAAGACTCTTCCATCTGTTCAATACGTTGGCGTTCTTGCGCACCTTGTTAGCTATTTGTTCAGCCAGACCCTGGCCCAAACCTATGCCGAGGTACCGGTGGAGAGTTTGGCCACCGATATTACAAGCGGCGAGACCAGTCGATGCAGTGATAGCGACACGGCGATTGCCAAATTTGTAATATAGTTGGTTTTTGAGTTCATGCAAGACAATGGATTTTCCTGTTCCGGCACTGCCAGTGTAGAAAACGTTTAGTCCTTGATTTACCACACAATCGATGACGTATTTCTGCTCGTTACTGAGAGTATATTGCGAGGCGAACCCTATTAATGAAGATTGTGATTGTTGCAGTCCTTGCGGTACCACGGAAGAAAGTGTTCTCTTGAGCTTCAAGTTGCCAAAAAGAGCGTCCGGGGCTGGTCTTTTCACAGAATTTGAGTCCTGAGAGAACAGTTTGGGACGTTTCAGTGGACTGCTGTTGAGATCAGGGCCATTATTGAGTACGTTGTCATCAGTCAAATCCACAAGTATGGTATTGGATATCTTGGAGTTCTTGAAATTGTTGATTTCCGGTGAACCAAACGAAGTTTCAGAGCTTGGAAGCTCGTCAAAGGCTCCTTGAGACAGGGTTTTTGTGATGACAGACGAAATATTTTTACGTCCCAATGGAGATACTGTGGTTTTTGAAACTGCTATAGGTTTCTTGGGTTGCAGAGCCCCGAAAAAGCTTGAAATTGGCTTCTGTTTCAAGTCCCTCTTGCTGCTGATGGACATTGTGTGTTGATACTGATCGCAGCCAAAAAGAAAAACAACGCGGTTTCGCTGCGCGCCTAAGGACTGTCTGCAGGTATTGATCTTAGGGCTGCGAATAAGAACGTGATTTGTGTTTGTATACTGCCATCAAATACTGATACTTGGGTAGTTTCTGGGACACCCGGTGCCCTTATAATCTTCAGAATAAATATATCAGTTTGTTAGACTATATCCATCACCTTAATGGAACGACTAGTCCACGATAAGCTGAAAAGCGATGCTTTTCGAAGAAAATCTTCCATGAAAATACACCATTCGGCATCATTAAAGGACTTGAGTGCAATTGCAAGCAACGAGGATGAACCCAGAGACTCATATAACCCCCCTGCTCGCGCAAAGACATTTTCGTCAGCCAAAAAGTCAAATAATCGTCATGACAAACCAGACTCAGCAACCCATTTTCCTTCCCTAGATCCTAAACCAAGACTAATTTCTGGAACAAAACGACCAGACGAACCGCCGTCTAAACATGAAAAAGTTAATACTGCTTCTTTGGGACTTCGGTTGGCGGGTTACGCATTGTCAACTGATGATCTTTCCAATCGACCTTTACACTATGCCTCATCTACTTCGTCTTTACCGCTACCCTCAACACGAAGGTACGAGGAGTTAGAGGCCTTGTCCAAGATAGAGAATAGCAAAAAGTTGCAAGAAAAAGACTCGTTTCCACCGGCAATTACTCGATCTTCAACTCAGTCTTTTCGTTCATTTTCTACTGTTGCTAGTTACAGAAAGAAAATGCCCTCGCCCGAGGTTGTTGACAATCTCTTTGAACGCCTTCTTTCGACCAGGGTATTCACCTCTAAAGCTCTCAGGTCGCTCCGTATGGAACTGCCGTCCCGCAAGTGGGAGCTTCTTCTCAGTGAGAACGACTCCAATTCAGATTTCGACTTGACTCTGATGGTAAGAACTATTGATGAAACTAATTTAGCATCTTCCACACATTCTGACCCTTCGTCGAGAACACAGCGCGCTGGCCGCCAACATTCATCCATGAAAGTTCTTTCGGAACTCAAGATCGATACGAATACAAAACTGTCCCAAAAATTCGAACAAGAGACCCCCACGCCATACATAGTAACGAGATTAGCCGGGCTATCTCCCGCGGCATACGTGAGCCAGATCTTAGCAGATGAGCTTTCTGTTTCTGAGTACAAATCTTTGAGAAGAAAGATAGCCAACAGCTCTTTCATTGAGTCTGAAGTCGCTAAGAATTCATGGAAAAAGGCATTTTGCGATGAGAATGGAGACAAGGCGTTGGCTGGTGCTCTCGAAAAATTGAATTGGAAAAGCATAAAAGCGAATCATGAGCTAGATAAGGAGTACCTCATTGTTCTGTGCCTCAAGCTTATATTGAATGACATCAACTACAATAGCCTCGCAAAGTTGGACAAAAAGCTGACAAGGTCGATATGTCATTCGATGATATCTCCAAGAGTTGAAACCAGACAGCAAGCAACAGACATTTTTGCCCACTTGTGTTATTTTCATCCTGAAATGTCTCCTGATTTGATAGACTGTATCGGTAAATTACTGAGCAACCCATCAGGTTCACGGTTTGAAAGATGGATATCCACGTTTGAAGCCACATTAAGCTCACAGAAATTCAGTCGAAATGAGTACAGAACAGGCACCCGCTCTTACGCATCGAGTACGCTCTTGCTCATCAATTTGCTTGTAGACTCTACGAAATCTTCAAAGGGCAGGTTTGTTATACGAAGAGAACTAGGTCTTGCTGGCTTGGAGCTGCTCTTTACAAAGTTGAGGGTTGTCGATGACCCCCACATTAATGAACAGATCGAGATCTATGAAATAGCGGCTTGCGATGACCACGACAAATTGAGCAGAAAAAAGAAGACCCTTGCTACTCCCGAATTTTCGAACGACCTGGAAAACCCCTTTCTGGGAGTCTTGGAATCACTTACGAAACTTCAACAATCACCACAGATTCTGCAGAAAGCATTAGAGAAAACAGCTAAAGTACTTGAATTGGTGATCAAGCATGCCATGGAACCAGATCAAAGAATTTCGTCGGTGGAGAGACTAATAGACCGACTAATGACAGATGACATTGCTCAAAGAGCTATGGTGGAAAACCAATCGCTTCGCAAAGAACTTTCAATGCGAGCTTCTGATCCAAGAAGCAACCTTTCCGGCAACGAGCCTCCCAAACATACTCCTCAGTTAAGTCTGGAAAGCAGCTTGTTTGCTCATTTTCAAGATCCTAATTATAATAATGCCAAGTCAGGAACAGATGATGTTCGATTTACCACTTTGAAAGATGGTCCTTCGGAATCATTCAGGCCGGCAAGACCACCCACTCCTCCACTTTTTGGTGCAGCCGCTCCACCTCCAAATGTTCATCTTCTGAAACTAGATTTGAACCACCAAGCTGGAGCGAAAATCCAGCTTCCACCTCCTTCTGGGGGCTTCATATCGTCAAACCAGGCTTCAATAGAAGCACAAACGTCACACCATTCCACCTCCTTTGAAGCAAAGAGTAGCAACAAGAATAATCGACCAAAGGCCCTTTCATCAAGAGCCCCCCCTCCTCCTCCATTACCCGGCATGTTTAACTCGGTTGCAATTGATACTTCAACTACAGCCATTCCTCCAGCTCCACCATTGCCGGACATGTTTGGAAGTACCAATGGCCAAAACACGGTCCCTTCAATTCCTCCACCACCTCCATTACCTTCGATGCTCAAGAACGAAAAAGGAAACGAGCCTGTTTCTTCCAAAGCTCCACCTCCACCACCACCGTTACCACCATTATTAATAGGAAATGGAGCACAACCTCCACCACCTCCACCTCCACCTCCACCACCACCGTTTCTCTTGGGCTCTCAAGACACTTCCCTCACTCAGGATTCCATTCCTCCACCACCGCCTTTACCTCCTATATTGAATGGGGAAAACAACTCAGTTTTGTCGTCAATGACTTCTTCCCCCGTTGCAGCGTTGCCTAATATCTCAGCTACCCTCAACCTGGAGAGCAGCTCCATAACTCAGACCCCGACTAAGAACTCTGGCTCCTTAGGTACAAGTGGAAGTATCCCCGCCACTGATACAAATTTGCTAGGAATTCGACCCAAGAACAAGGTCAAGCAGATGCACTGGGAGAAGATCAATGATATTCAGAAGACCTTTTGGACCGAAGTCGATAGTAACTTTTCGAATGAGCTACTTGGAAGCGGAATATTGAGTGAAGTGGAACGTATTTTTGCCGCAAAAACCTCTACTATAAAGCTAAAAAAAGACACAGGATCTAGCAAGCAAGCTTCTCGAAAAGTCTCATTTCTTCCTCGAGACCTAGCCCAGCAATTTGGTATCAACTTGCACATGTTTGCTAATCTACCAGTGGATGAACTTGTGCTCAAAATTCTTCGATGTGAAAGCGAGATATTGGAAAATGTGAGTGTGTTGGAATTCTTCAACAGCGATCAACTCACCGAGATGGGTGATACAATGGCCAGAAACTTAGCTCCATACTCCACTGGTTTCGACAAACTCTCTGGTAAAGAACCTAAGGAGTCTCCTGACGATCTTGACAGACCCGACAGACTCTACTTGGAACTTTGGTATAATCTTCGTTCTTACTGGAAGTCAAGGTCCCGAGTACTACTTCTTCTGCAAACTTATGCGAAAGATTATCATGATCTCGAACACAAATTACGAAGAGTCGATGTTGCTAATGAGGCAGTAGAAGCGTCTGAGAATTTGAGAAACGTGTTAACCTTGATTCGATCTATGGGAAACTTCATGAACGATCTGTCCAAGCAGGCGCTAGGAATAAAGATTGACACATTACACCGCCTCAAGTTTATGAAAGACGACGCTAACTCTATGACATTTTTGCACTACATTGAAAAGGTGATCAGGAATACGTTTCCCTCCTTTGGAGCATTTGTGGACGAGCTTCGAGATCTCACCCAAGCCCATAATATATCAGTGGAGCAGCTTGAAAAAGATTGTCTTGACTTTGAAAAGAATGTTTCAAACTGCTTCAGTTCGATTGAAAAAGGTAATCTCAGTGATCCAGGAAAATTCCACCCAGAGGACAAGGTACTTGAGGCTGTCAGAGAAAGCATTCGAAGGGCGCAGACCAAGAGCGGGCTCTTGATCCAGCATATGAAGAAAACCGTACAGAAGTACGAATGTTTAATGGAGTATTTTGGCGAGGATCCCAAAGACTCGCTAAGTAAAGCAGGATTTTTCGACAAGTTTCAGTCCTTTGTTGTTGAGTTCACCAGGGTCCATACGGAGAATATTCAGAAGGAAGAGGATCAGAGAGCTTATGAAGCGCGGAAGAAGCTTTTGGAGGATCCCAAACTAAAGAAGAACAACTCTCAGCAAGTCGAAGTCAAAGACCAGAGTCTGGCGAAAACCATAGAAACCACCAAATCAGGTTCCAAAGAAAGTGAGTTGAAGCACGACACAGATACAAAAGATGACCAGGAGGAGGATGACGACGATATAGAAGGCGAGGAGTATTCCTCTGTTGACGAAATTGGTGATGAAGTCATTGAGTCACTTTTGGAAAAGCTTCGCAATGCCAGTTCGACTTCTTCAGAAAGCTACAATAAAAAAAGAAGAAGCAAGGCTCTCTCATTTTACCTGACAGCTTCCGTGGATGAGTTTTACGAGAATACGGCAGCTAATGGAAGTGAAGTGGATTTACGTTTAGAGTATGAAAGTGTCAATTCTCTCAAGAAGAGAATGACAAGCAGACGCCAAGGTGCCAGTACAACTGACTTGAATCTGTCCACTCCAGCTCCTGCCGATATGGTGATGGCAAGGGCACAAAGCATGTTGAGCCAATTGCGGAACAACGAGCCAGCGGAAACGGAAGTTAGACAACAGGACCTCCACCAGTAATTCACAGGGTCTCTTTCAGGCCCGAGTCAACCTGACCATGGCCGAGTCAGAATCAACCTTATCAGAGTTCCATGCATGTTGCAAGCCGGTTTTGCAGCCGTGAGCAAATGAGTTGTTTTTCCAGGCTTTTTGCATAGTTTGGAGTGCTACATTACTACCTAAAGTCACCTACTGTCCATCATCATGCCATAGCTTTAGCCCATCCAATGACTCATCGAAATCCAGCTAAAACTCGATGGCGCCTGCATACAGCCCACGACCGTGAAAAATTGCTGCAACTGGGTCCGAGTCCGAAACTAATTTGGGTATCTATTGCTAGTGGAACGTTAAAAACGACACCTTGGCTTTAGTTGAGCATAATTTCAGTTCTGTAAGGTACTGGAAATGTTGAAATTTACCCGTCAAAGTGCTCCTTTGAGGGTTTTACGTGCGAGGAACCTCACCTCATCGCTCAGATATTTCTCGTCTTCTTCAATTGTCAACGATGCAGTGGTAGTATCAGGAACAAAACTCGCCAAGAGCATCAGACAGAAGATTGGGGAGCGTGTTGTTCAGTACAATGCCAAAATTTTCCCCGAGGACGCTGCTTCGAACAAACTTCGTTTCAGACCAAGTTTGACCATCATACAGGTCGGACACCGTCCCGATTCCTCAGCATACGTTCGTTCCAAGTTGAAGGCAGCAAGTTCTGCAAACATTGATTCCAACTTGATTCACTTGGAAGCGGATATTTCTGAAGATGCCTTGCTTGATGTCATAGACGGTTTGAATAAAGATCCCAATGTCAATGGTCTTTTGATCCAGCTTCCATTGCCCAAACACTTGAATGAGACTCTCATCACCAACTCTGTTGCCACAGAAAAGGATGTCGATGGGTTTGATCGTTACAATGTTGGTGAATTGTCGAAGAAGGGAGGTAATCCCATCTTTAAACCATGCACTCCAAGTGGTATAATTGAGCTCATCAAAGAGACTGGTATCAGCCTTAGAGGAAAGAATGCCGTTGTCATTGGAAGATCAGATATCGTTGGTACCCCCGTCGCTGCTATGTTGAGAAATGAGGATTGTACAGTCACAGTTTGTCATCGTTACACTAAAGACTTGCCCGGCGTAGTAGGTCAAGCCGACATTATTGTTGCCGCAGTTGGTATTGCCGAGTACGTGAAAGCAGACTGGATCAAGGAAAATGCCGTGGTTATCGATGTCGGCATCAACTACAAGGATGATCCCACCGCTAAAAATGGAAAGAAACTTGTTGGTGATGTTGACTACAACGAAGTAGCAAAGAAGGCAGGATATGTAACTCCAGTTCCCGGTGGTGTTGGTCCCATGACAGTTGCAATGTTGTGTTCGAATGTATACGATGCTGCTGTATTGCAATCACAAAAGGCTCATGAACATCGTTTTAAACCGCTTCCTTTACAATTGAAGACACCAGTTCCCTCCGATATTGAAATATCGAGATCCCAGAAACCCAAAAAGGTAACCACTATTGCAACAGAATTGGGTCTCTTGGAGAAAGAATTGGAACCATACGGCCATTATAAGGCCAAGGTCGATGCTCGGTTGGTGCTTGATAGATTGAGCTCTCAAGCTGAAGGCTCCAACTTTGAGAACGGTAGCTACATCTTGGTCGCTGGTATTACACCCACTCCTCTTGGAGAGGGAAAGAGTACCACTACTATGGGATTGACTCAGGCGCTTGGTGCTCATTTGGGTTACAATTCGATCGCCAATGTGAGACAACCTAGTATGGGACCTACTTTTGGTGTTAAAGGTGGTGCTGCTGGTGGTGGATACTCGCAAGTAATTCCCATGGATGAGTTTAACATGCACTTGACAGGTGATATCCACGCAATTTCTGCAGCTCAAAATCTTTTGTGTGCCGCTGTGGACACTCGTATGTTCCATGAGAGCACTTCCAAGACCTCCAAGGGTTTTTTCAAAAGACTTGTGCCTGTGAAGAAAGGTGTGCGTCAATTCACCGTTTCCAATTTGGCTCGTTTGGAAAAGTTAAACATTAACAAAACGAACCCCGACGAGTTGACCGATGAGGAGATCGAGCGTTTTGCCATACTCAACATCGATCCCGATTCCATCACCATTAAGAGAGTGGTCGATTGTAACGACCGTTTCGTTCGTGAGATCACCATTGGTGAGGGAAAGAACGAGGCCTCCAAATACCCTCCACGTAAGACCGGTATGGATATCACTGTTGCTTCCGAATTGATGGCCATCTTGGCTCTTTCTACCTCACTCAAAGACTTGAGACAAAGAGTAGGTCGTGTTGTGGTCGGTACCCAAAAGGAAACCGGTGAAGCAATCACGGCTGAAGATATCGGATGTGCCGGTGCTATTACTGCGTTGTTGAAGGACGCCGTGAAACCTAACTTGATGCAGACCATTGAGGGAACCCCTGTATTCGTCCATGCTGGTCCGTTCGCTAACATCTCGATTGGTGCTTCGTCGGTGATTGCAGACAAACTTGCGCTCAAATTGACCTCACCTTCCAACCCCATCAATGCCGGAAGAAAAGGATTTGTCGTTACCGAAGCAGGATTCGACTTTACAATGGGTGGAGAAAGATTCTTCAACATCAAGTGCAGAAGCAGTGGATTGAAACCCGACGCCGTGGTTCTTGTTGCTACTTCAAGGGCATTGAAATTGCATGGAGGAGCTCCAGATGTCAAACCTGGCCAGGCTCTTCCCGTCGAATACACCACTGAAAACATCGACTACTTGCGCAAAGGATGCTCCAACTTGGCCAAACAAATCGCTAATGTTAAGCAGTACGATGTTCCTGTCGTCGTTGCTATCAACCAGTTTGAGACCGATACCGCTGCTGAAATTCAAGCAATCCAGGACGAGGCTTTGAAGGCAGGCGCCGACTTTGCTGTTCCCACAGACCACTGGGCTCAAGGTGGACTTGGTGCTTTGAATTTGGCATCTGCTGTGGTTGAAGCATCTTCCCGCTCAGCTAAAAAAGACACAACTTTCTTGTACGATGTCAACAGTTCCGTCGAGGAAAAGCTTTCTACCATTGCACAGAAAATGTACGGAGCCTCTGGCATTGAATTGTCCCCATTGGCCAGAAAACAGATTGACACATACATACAGCAAGGGTACGATAAGCTTCCAATTTGCATTGCTAAGACCCAATACTCTTTATCCCACGATCCCCTGCTCAAAGGTGTGCCTACGGGTTTCGTGGTGCCCATCAGAGAAGTCAGATGCTCTGCTGGTGCCGGCTACTTGTACGCTTTAGCTGCCGAGATAATGACGATTCCTGGGTTGCCCACCCACGCTGGATTTATGAACGTGGAGGTAGACGAGGACGGAGATATCGAGGGATTGTTCTGAGTTGCTACAGTCATATCTAGATTTGTTAGAGCAAAAACATAATCATTTCATCATAGTTATACTAGTCGAAGGCAGACTCAATTGGTGTGTCTCCATTGACGAAATTGTAGGACTTGCCATAAGTTTTGCTGTCTTCAAGCACTGTAACTATGGCCTGAGCAACGTCAGCACGAGTAACTGAGCCCGAGTCGTCTTTGTTGGTGACAATCTTGACTTTTCCAGTTGCTGGATCATCAGCCAATAAGCCTGGTTTCAAGATTGTGAAATCCAACTTGTCAGAAAACTCTAATTGCAAAATTCTGTCAGCATAATGCTTGGCAATACAGTAGTTGCGAATTGGACTACTGTCGACTTTGTCTCTGTCCTCAACATGAATTGCACTAATAAGCACAAGTCTTCTCACTTGAGCTTGAACCAGCGCCTCGAATGTCTTGACTACTCCATCAAGATCAACCTGAAGCAAGTTTTTTCCAGCAGATCCAACCGTCAACACCACAGCACTATGTCCTTTTATAATTCCAGCCAATTCCTTGACCGTAGTATTGTCAAGGGTCAATTGCTGTGTAGAAATTTCAGGTCCATTACTAAGACTTTTCACGGTCTGAGCCTGTTCGTTGTTTCTTACAATTGCGGTAGTAGCATACTTTGACAGTGGCTTTCCCAACAATTTGATCAAGTTCTGACCAACTTTTCCATGGGCACCAAACACAATTACTTTTCCCGTCATTAATCAGCAAGTATTCGGAGTGCACCACTTACCCCGGACTTTTGTAGTCTTCCTGCATGGAAGCGAGGACTACACAAAACTAATTGGCAATGCTTTTTATATCTATAATACATAGCAGAAGGAAACGCTCATCTAGAGCAAGGCCATGATTTCCAACTTTTGGCGGGCATTGACGTGAATGTCATTGTCTTTATTGTACAGTGGGCTTTGTTGCCTGGACTTGAGACGCCAATAATGGCGACTTGTTGATGTTGGCTTGATTCGAAGGCTGTCCTCCATCGGGCCTGCGGCCATTACCATACTGCTGGTTGGCGCTTGCTTGAGAGTTGGCCGACGAGGTTCGCGATTGCGCGGGCCTGCTGGCACCGGAGCCTTGCGTTGATGTCGACGAATGAGTTTGATTGAGATTCTGCTGCTGGCCCTGTTGCTGCTTGTTACTCAATTGTTGCTGCTGCATCGCTCTGAGTCGTGCTTGTTGGATGAATGCCTGTTGTCGCTGATGTACAGACTCACGAAGCAAATCGTAAGATTTCGACAACAACATGGAACCAAACCTGATGGACTGCGTGACGTTGCTAATGCAGTTGAGGCGAGACGGGTCCCTGCTAAAAGGATTCTCCAAACCTTCCTCCGATTCAGTAACATCCGAATCAAACTTCCAACGTGAGTCTAATCTCTTAATAGCATCGACCTTGGAGTCGTAAACGTTCGGAACAGCGTCTGGCTCTTCTTCAGCATCATCGTCAAACCTCATAAACTCATCTATAACGTCGTCGGGACGTCTTACCAATCCTCTCCTATCTATAAATGTTCGACCAGCCCTTGCAGAACGTTTTCTAAGCCGCAAAAGCGGGTCCGAAACAGGGGATTCGTCCTCATCCTTCGAATGATTTAGGCTCTGAGCCTGGGCACCATAACCTTCACTATACGCACTAAAATTGTTCGAAGCAATGTTAGCGAGTAACTGTGAGACATAGGATGAACCCTTCTGCTCGTTACCTTGATCTGCAACCAAAGTCAGTAAATGCTGAAAACCCTTTGATGGTATCAATTCACCATTGGAACCTCTAAATGTCCTCATTCCAGGAAGCGGCCGCTTCTTTTCAAGTAACTTCCTTAACTCCTCATTAATATAATTGGTCGTATTGAATTGGTGATAATTGCTTGCTGCAATAGAGGAATATGGTATGTGTCTCATTTCTTTGATATCCATGTTGGTGTTGGTGCTGATATCAAAATAAGGTTCGAATGGTTCATCTGTAACGTTGATGAAGCCTTCATCCTGCTCCTTTCTCTTCCTCAACTTCTCCCAAACTGCCTTCTTGATGGTATCATTCTTCTCTTTTAATACCACAGATACAGTAACTAAGTCCCATATCAGGAATCTTAGAGGGAGGAAGTTTAACATAAGGTTGAGTGGATGAACTGGGATTCGGAATGGCCATTCATGTGCTTAGAAGTAGACATCGCAGAAGCTTCTCTCGTATCGGAAGTCTTAGCTTTCTTGACGCGTCTCTCTTCTTCTTCTTTGATTTTAATGACTCTCTTCCGCTTGTGGCGGATGAACAAGTGATCATCTCCCTTGATTCCCAAGTTACGCTTGATGTTTTTAGCCTCACATCTTGCACGGAACAAGCTTTGCTCAGCGTTCCAATTATCTAACTTGAGTATTTCCCTTTGACATACTGACAACACTAAATCACGGGCGTTATGCAATGACTTCTGTAAAAGCCTAATTCGTTCAGCACCCAAGCTGTCAGCTCTTCTGGTTTTTCTCGTTTGACGGATTTCTCGTCTACGGAAACAGATATAAGGATCTGCATCGTTTTCCTTCTCATTGGCATTAGGATCTTCGAACTTTAACGATGGTTGAATGCTTTGACCTTTTCTCTCTATTTTACGTTGTTTCCAATGTTCGTAAATCTGTTGTCCGTACAAGCTCATAAGCTTGGGAATGGATACCGAGGCTTGAGGATTTTCATAATCTTTGTCAAATAGGGTAACATAGGGTTCATAATGCAATTCTTTTGATAACCGTTCCTTCAAAGCTGTGGTTGAAAGGTACTTCAAGGAATTACCGACTTGAACATAAGGCTCATTATGAGACGAGCCACGATACTCCTCCAATATGTAGTTTGATAATTCTTTGTAGGAAAGTATGTTAGATGGGTCCATGGATAGAAATGGTTGTTTGTCCTCGATTGTCTTTTCAAGCTTATCGCAAATGATTTCAAATTCGAGTTCTGAGCATTTACGAGTCACTTGGTCTGTCTTGCCCTTGGTTTTGGGTTGATTCAAAACATTATTCAAAAAAGCTTCATCCACTTCGTCCATATTATACTCGACACCAACGGTGTCTTCAACAGTCGCACTGAATTTGATATACGACTCGGGTTCTTTGAAGGTCACATCACTATAATACTTCTTCGCCTCCGCCCATATCCGGGAAGCATCAGGGGTAGGGATATATACAGAAGAAGCTTCTTCTTTCGAGCCATTGGATTTCTTGGAGTCTTCTTTTGAATGCATGAGGGCTCGTTGAGCCGCATTGATCACTTGTCGCAAATGCACCTCGTCTTCCTCGTTCTTGTCGACACCTGTGTCAATCGCATGCATATCACGCTGGCCACTACCAGCAGACAGATTCAAGTGATGGACTTGGGATGGTTCGAGATCATTAGCCGAATCGAGAGTTGGCAAATCTCGTTGTTTGTAAATGATGAGCGGTTGTTTCACGGATATTTTACGCTGCCGGAAACGTGCTCCCGCTGAGGACAGCGCCTTACCGGCAGACGCCGAAGGGAGAACTGCCATGTCTCTCTTGCCCTGTCGTCGACGGACTTTGGGTGTTGTGGGCGCGTCGGCAGGAAATTTTTTTCAACAACTAATGTATTGGTGTCTGGATGTACTACCCGCAATAGATGATGACAACACCAACAAGACAGCAGACAAGGGCTGCCGAAGGGTATTAGAGGTCGTTTCACTGAGCTTAAATGCAAGTGTATGAATGCTACAGTGGGTGACACCTCGAATATGCAACGAGCTGGATTGATTCGCGCTCTGGACTGGCCCTTTGCGGGGTTTTCTGTTACGGTTCAGGGGTTGGAGAGTGTGGTCAGTGGCGGCGGCAGCGGCGGTGGTCGGCCGAGACCCCGGCATACATGCAGGATTCCAAATATGCAGGTACGCTCTTTTGCAACGAGAATTGAATGGCTTTTAAGAAAGGGCAGCAAAGCCAAGCAGCGCAAAAAGAGACATCAAAGTGGACCACACGCCCCTTCATGTAGTGGTGACCAAATTTGGAGCATATTTGGAGCGTGGAAAAAATGACCTCATTTCAGCGCACCTTGAGACCACTTACAGGACGCATGATGCAGCTGGCCATGTCGTCAACGACAACGATGGGCCGGAAATGATAAGAGTTTCGAGGGCGTCGCGAAAATCTGGAGTTTTAACCACTATGAAAGCAGTTTCGAGGGCTCATGGCTTGCGGTCACTGCAGGCAGGTATATAGTCTAGGCCCAAGATTGCGCACTAGAAAGCTGTCTCTCACATATGTCTTACATCCCAGTTCACGCACGAGGTCACTCGTCATGTGGCTGCCATTTTTTGCAAACTGGGGCAAGTTTATAAATTGAGCTGTAATGGGCAAGAATTTGTGCTGCCAAAAGATGCGCTCAGTTACCACACAACAGGTCGTGCACAACCAAATTCGTCGCAGCTCCGCAGAGTATATGCCGGATCTCGGAGCCCTAGGGGTGTCCTGGAAGTACTCCGTATAGGGTTTCGTACCGCAGGTCTACAATTGTTTTAATACACTATGACATCTCAGGCACCGACTCCAGCGTCTGTTTACTTGAATACAGTGTGCCCTGGTATCCACCACTTGGATTATAATTCCTTCTACCTGACGCGAAACAAGCAACATGGTGACGATTATGCAGTCGATTGGCCGTTTGCCGACGAAGATTCTCAGCAAGGTGGAGCACCCATGACTTCTGGTAAAACTGCAAACCTAACTCCTTCATACTTGAACATTGCGCGCCCTCCATTGAATTCGACTGTCGAATCCACCACATATTTGTCATTACCACACCATGTAACTTCATCATTTCGGCAGCTATTAGATGCTAAAGGCGGCCATCTGGATGCTGGATTGCAAATTGGGGCTAATGTTAACAGTTTGGCCCACGACGCATTCAGACTCGTTCACTTGAACCCTGGTTGTTTAACGACAATTATCAATAATCTGTGCTCGATATCTCTGCCCAACGACTATTCGGAAGCTACCGAGTTCAATACGAGTGCCAATTCTAACAAAAATCCATTTCACAAGCTCACGAACAACTTTTCCAAAATCCTCAAAGTCACCTCAACATCATTGAATTTAAGCACAGAACGTACAGACTTATTGAACCTAAACTCGCCAAATAATTTTGTTCACAAGATACTAGACTACGATCCCTCAACGTACTCCGAACAGATACTGTCGCCAAGTATAAAGAAGTTTTTGGTATCAGTAAACATCAATGTGCTCAATGTCATTGGAATAGATGCGAATGGTAATTATGTCAATGTTGAAGATGTTCAAGATCGTTCTTGGCTCACAATAGAAGATAGAAGTGAATCACACGATAAAACACCTCCAGAGCCGGTCAACAAAACCATAGATCGTCCATTATTACGCCTTCAGCTCAACCCACATTCGGTTGTCACCAGTCTCAAAGCAGTAAGTATGCATGGCAGACATGTCGTCGTTCTTGGCTTGGATAACGGGACGGTAGCATATATTGATTTGACGGATTTGCGGTATGTCACTTTTTCAGAATTCGAACCGTCTGCTGGGCCTGACAATGCTTCTGTTTCTTCAACTTTTACCCATACTGGCGCCGAAGTAGCGATAACGAGTTTGGATATTATGAGTCACCCACGTTATCCATTTCTCGTTCTTGCGGGCCTAGCCAACGGAGAAGTGGTCATAATAGACCCTCATTGCAGTATAGAAGACCGCAAACAAAAATACACCAAAGAGGTGGTTGGTCAAGATCATTTTGCAACCTATTTCAAAAAGTTTGATTTGAGTCTCACGGGTTCACCTCACACGCCCAACCATACGGGCTATATTGTCGGCCATTTTAAAATCAGCCATAAACCTATTACTTGTATCAAAACTACCTTGCCTTACGGACTTGACTATGAATCACTAGGTCCCATGATCATGGCCATTGGCTCAGATGATGGTCTTGTAAAGTTTCTAGATTTGAACTTTACTTACGAACATAATTACGGTGAGAGTAATGACCCCACCAAAAACACCTTGGTAACAGACGTAATCTCCAACTATTTCAACGAGGGAATTTCTTCCATTGATTTTTCTCCTGATGGTAAGTTTGTGTGCATTGCAGGTACAGGTGATTTAGTAGAGGTTTTCAAAATGTGCTACTACAATGTCAATGGATTGATCGCGCGACAGGGAGATAGAAGGTCACCTTCGCCGCTGCCAATATACGGTGGAAAGCGCTCGAGAAGTGGCACACTCAACAGTACAAGTTCTGCCAATCATAACTGGCTCAGCCCTTCGGCCACTTCGGTGGATTTACATCCCTATGAACTGGATATGCCCCAGTACCCACCAATTTTGAAAGACATCAAGATCACAGTTCGATTTAAAGGGCATGTGAACAAGATACATAGGGTGTCATTTGTGCCATGTAAGAACTCCACCACCTATAAATTGATAAGTTGCGGATTTGATGGGATGGTGATCATTTGGGAGTTTGATTATCGAGCCCTTCCCAAAGTCAAGCGGCCACGGAGCGCACCAGTAAAGAAAACTCAATCATCTGGCATGACTGAGCCTTCTACAAAAGCACCAGCTCCAGCCAAGAGCAATGTGTCTCCCAGGCTTCCCTCTGGTGTGATTCATTCGCTCCACACTCGGTCGCGATCCGGTGCCGACGAAGCCTTAACATCGACGCTCAGCATCAATTCGACCACGTTCAACAATTTGAACAACTCGCTCAACAACATGAACAATGGTCCGTTGAACAATATCAAAAGTGTTCTCGGGTCGTCAAACAAGCCAGAAACGAAAACTGTGAAAAATCAAGACGAACAAGTGAAGATTGTCAATGCACTCTACCGGTCGCTCTTTGATCTTCGATTGCGCAAGTACAATGCGAGATACGGTGTAAAACGCAAGAGCATCTTGCACGCGATTATCAACGACAAGTTTGTGCCGTTTGTGGAGATCTCGCTCTTGAAATTGGACATGTCCAGGTGGTTTAGTGACGGCAAGGTTGAAGGCACCCATTTTGACCTCGATAATTTCTGGGTATTCGGCAAGAATGGAGACATCCTACGGTATTCGCCAAGTACTTAGATGCATGTGACTATATATTATTATACATACCGCCGTCAAGACCGAACCCCAACTCCTCCTCCAAGCGAAACAAGTCGTCGTCCATGGGACTGGGCTTGTGAACGTCGTGTGACGGATGATGAGGCGAGAAGGGGAACTCGGGAAGCTCTTGTGGTTTGGGAACCGATTCGTAGAATTGTAGGTCGTTGTTCATCTGGGATGGGTCGGTGTTGACCTCGGCGTTGTTGTTCAGCGACGAGTTGGAATGAGACGAGTATGGGTTAAGTACATCACTGTATTGGTTGGCTGCGAGAGGATTTGGGAGTCCCATCTGGACGTGGTTTTGATGGTGCTGCTGGATATCTTGTTGTTGCATCTGCATTTGCAATTGGATCTGTTGCTGTTCTTCGATGGGTCTTCTTACAAAATCTCTGAAATTTTTCACCTCTTCCATGATCAACCGTTTCATGATATTCATATCGTCGGCTTTTTCAAACGACTTGAAATCAAACTTGACCTGGCACCGAGGCTCGTCCTGGGGATCGTGCCACACCGACAAGTATGGATGTTCCAAAGCTTCTTCCACAGTGATTCTTTTGAATGGGTCCAATGTCAACATTTTTTCCAAGAGATCGAGAGCCAATGGGTTGGCGTTGGGAAAGATTTCGTTATAAGGAACCTTGCGCATGGCCGGGAGAGATCTCACGTAGTTTTGTGCTCGAACAGAACCGATTTTGGTGAGGGTGGGTTCATCGGGAGTTCCAAGAACCAACAAGATTTGGTTGAGTTGGTCGACATAATCTTTGCCGCGGAAGAGTGGTTTTCCACCAAGAAGCTCGGCCAAGATACAGCCTGCCGACCAGATATCAATTGCCTTGGAGTAGTTGGTGAAAGAGAGCATGATCTCCGGAGCCCGGTACCACCTGGTAGCCACGTACTCTGTCATGAACCCAGCGTTCTGCTCGGGGTCTTCCAGAAATCCGCGGGCCAACCCAAAGTCGCAGATCTTGAGCTCGCAATCGGCGTTGACGAGCAAGTTTCCCGGCTTCAAATCACGATGAAGAACATCTGCCGAGTGGATATACTTGAGCCCACACAACACCTGGTAGATGAAGGACTGGTAGTGGGAGTCTGTCAAAGCCTGGCCTGACCGTATTATCTGGTGCATGTCGCATTCCATGAGTTCCTCGTAAAAGGTATATTTCGTTAAAGTCTCCCGTGAGCGGGTTGGGCACGATATCCAAGTCATATAGACAAGTAATGTTCTTGTGGCCGCGGAAGAACTGAAGAAGCTTGAGCTCACGCAACGATCTTTTACACAAGATTTTTTTCGAGAAGATATTGGTGATTTTCTTGATGGCCACAAAGTTGCCGTCGTCGGATCCGGACCCATCATCGTACTTGGCGGAACAGACGATTCCGTAGGCGCCATGACCGAGCTCCTTGATGATTTGGAACCGCTTATCGATGATAAATTCTTGGCCAAACACGGTGTTGACGGTTTTACCTGCCACTGAAGTCATGGAAAAAGCCGGTGATAAATCAAGACAAAGACCAGGAAAACACTTTGGTTTATGCTGGTGTCACAAGAAGGAAAAATGTACAGCGGCAATCCTATATAGGGAGAGCGGCCCTAGAATGTCAATCAACCACGATAGTATTTTTATTTTTTTCAATGAAACTCCGCTATTTTTAGCCGCCTGTGTGCAGGCGGCGGATCAGAAAAGACAAAGGGTGCACAACGAAAAAAAACAAAATGGACTATTTCATCAACAATTTCAATTACAATTCATCCTCTACAAAACAAGTTGATCAAGAACCACAAACCCCATAATTCTTTCATATAAAAATTTTCACTAACTGGCCGTCTTCTCGAGCCGTACCTGCACATGCGCATCGTTAGTCTTCACCAAACGTTATGCGGGCTCAGCCGCAGATCGAGCCCAAAAATAGACCAAATATTATGAATTGCAACGGCGTAATTGAGTTTGGCGTATGAGCGATGGCAAAATAGATTCGTTAATTCGTCAGGAGCCTGGATCCATGGATATTCTATGGATATTTTATGGATCATCTATGGATAATCTATGGAAGTTCATGACAAATTTTATGCAGAATTTCGTTAATTTCAAAATTGCACGAAAAATTACATCATCTAAACCTTCCAGCGGTCTAGACTACCAGCGGGCAACTTGGTGCTTCAACACTTCAACTCTTCTCCTTTCTCTTTTTCTCAATCCATTGCTGCAAAACCTCCAAACCACCTCGCAAATCCTGGCTACTATTGCCGAACCCAACACGCAAGAAACCCTTGCGCCCACAGAAAACTTCTCCTGGTACCACTAGCGTGCTGTGGTTTTCCGCCAATTCTCGTGCCAACTCGTAGGTATCAAAATTTTCAAGTCGCAAATAACAGGTGCTTCCACCTAATGGCTTGACCCAGGTAACTACCCCATTCATCTTGGTGATAAACTCGTCCAAGATGGCCAAGTTGTCAGCACACAACTTGTGGTTGCGCTCAAGAATGTGGTTTTTGTGCTGAAGTGCAAACGATGCTACTTGGTCGTCCAACATAGACACACAGATGGTATTATAGTCTCTCTTGGTGAGACAGTCTTGCACCACTTTTTTGTCTTTGCTGACTATCCATCCCAACCTGATTCCAGCCAAAGACAAGCTCTTTGACATTGAGCCTGTTGAAATGGTTTTTTCATATCCAAAGTCAATAATTGACTTGGGACGAACGGGTCCATGAAATAGCGGCCGGTATACCTCATCGCACATCAAGTATGTGTTGTGCTTGCTGCAAAGCTCCACGATTTGCGACAACGTTTCATCGTCCCAAACGGTGCCGGTAGGGTTGTGAGGGTTGTTAATCACAAGTAATTTGGGAGTTCTTGCTTGGAACATGGCTGCAAGTTTGTCCAAATTGGGCAAGTAATTGTCTTCAAATTCTAGTGGAAATTTGTCCATATTTCCGCTGGAAAACATATTTGGCAAGCTGCTGAGCTGCTGGTACGTGGGATCAACACATATCACATAGTCTCCAGGATCCACAACACTGTAAAACGTAAGAAAGTTGGCCCCGATCGCACCATTGGTAATGACAATTTCGTCACAGCTCACATTGGCACCCAAATCGTTGTATAGAGACACAATTCCTTGTTTCAACTCCGGAGAACCAGTAATGTGACCGTAAACTAGCTTTGTTTGGGCCATTTTTTGGAGAAGTTGATCAGCCGAGACATTGGCCAATTTTGCAATTGCATCAATTGAGAGCGAATCGCAGCAGGTTTCTCCCATATTATTGCTGATGCCGGTCTCATACCGGTCCATAAATTTTTCCACGCCAAAGTCCTCCTGTTTCATGTTTGGGATGTGGTGGATTTGCAGCTGTTATATAGTATTTCGCTCGGTGGTGCGCGCGCCGAAAATGGAAGCTGAGCCCGAAACGAAAAACGGTTCATCGAGTGCGAAAGATTAGAATAGAAGAAATGTAGTATTAAAAGAGGGGCTCATAATTAGCCGCGATCTTGTAAACTAGTTACGTTAGGTTTCGTAATCTAGTTTCGTAAATTGAAAAAGAACTTAATTGCAATTTGTTCGGTTATTTTTGCCTTTTAGAGTTCGGAGAGCTTGGCCGATACCGAGAATCAACCTTAAAATCAGAACCATAAATCCACAACCAGTAATCCAATAAACGCAAAGCCGTCCCTCGCCTGGCCCCCACCATTTCGCCCCCACCAAAATCCGACGACATCCAACCACCAACACATCCCCCACATTCCTCGTTCTCAATGAGATCTTGTGCACCGATGAATGAGGACTTTGACGACCTAGCGTCTCTTTTCATGTCTGATATTTTTCACGGACATCCTGCAGAGGCACAGCATGTTCCAGAGCCCTCAGTGAAGCGTGAAACCCATGATTCAGGTCCAGGCTTTGAAAACCTTGTTCGAACATCAACGTCCACCGACGACTTCAACGACTTTCTCAATAACAATTCGTTTATAAACAACCTGCTGGAGGTTCCCAATCCCCAGCAAAGTGGCCAGCATGGCACGTTTGGTCACAACCATTACCCTGGGTTATACTTACATGGATTTCAAGCAAACTCCGCTACCTACGGAACCCAAGTGGGACACTTGGTGCAGCATATGCCGGTTCTATTCAACCAGCTGCAGTCAGCGCAACCACAGGTACAACCGCAGTTGATGGGACAACAGGAACAGGGGCAAATGCAGCAGATGTATGATTTTCAGCAGCATCAAATGCGACAGGCACCTCACTTAATGGGCCCTCCAACTACTTCAGCGATGCCTGGAAGTGGGGTTTCGAGTGACCAGGAGGTGATGTTCTCGACGCTTTCATTTGAAAACTCCCCTGTGCCAGACCAGCGAAATAAGACCGCACGAAATAACGATAATGGAGACGGTGCGAAACAAAAACTGACCAAGGCAAGGTCCACCCTTCCTGCTGGGTCAATTCTGTCCATAGGATCTTCTTCTCGAGGACAGGGTCTGAACGATACTCGTTCAGAATCTGGAACAGGAGGACCATTGGGAAAGAAAGAATCCCTCGGACGTCCGTATCTCGAACCACGAATACAGATACGTTACAAACAAAAACGACTTACTCGGCTCTTAGACCTTAAAGACAGCAGTCCTGTGCAAAACTACACCATCTCAGACAAAAATGGAAGCAACGTTAATGTCAATTTCTCGTGCTTTCTCACCGGCAAATTACTAACCAATGATTTTGATAATAGCATATACCTTCTCATGGCTGAAAATGCAGACCCCACAAAGAAACACGACGCAAAGATCATCAGTTGCTACCGCCGAAACTTGCTCCAGATCGCTATGAACCTCAATCTTACCGGGTTTTCTTCGGACGAAAAATTGCTCCGGTTGCAAAATAACGAATATGGTTATAACGTCAGCCGGGTGATCAAATGGTTTAAGATCCAGGTGCTAGCAGTTCCCAGTTCCGATCCCAATCACAATGTTCCAGTCTTGATCAGAGTTCCAAAAGATAAAGAGGGACCATCACCTAAAGGAGATATAGCTCCCATTCCCATTAATGAACCAGAACACATTGTAACCCTCAATAATTCCGAGGTGAGAAACGGTACTATCGACAACTATTATCTGGTGAAACAGCTCCAGTTTCGCAAGGCTACTCCGTACAATGGTAAGTTAACGCTACAAAACTACTTTCAGCTCAAAGTACGGTTGAAAGCCATAGTCGCCGATCTCTATTACGACGACTATGTCGATGATTTCAGTGCCACTTCTCAAAATACAGATAGAAACGAGGTTTTGTTGCACGAAGTGACGAGTGAACCCATCATTGTTAGAGGAAGAAACCCGCTGTTCTACGAGGAGAGAAACGACTTGTTGCTTGGAAACAGAAATCCAGATCTGAGAGCCAGTTTTGAAGCGTTGCGGGCGTACGTAGATGAGAGCGACGACGACGAAAATGAAGAGGATTCGAACGTTGTACCATCAGGAGCCAATGCAATTGCAGGCGACGAAATCGATGGAGCTGATCATGAAGAACGAGAGGATGAAGAAGTGGAAGATGGGGACATAATTGAAGAAGGTGAGGAAGAAGAAAATGGCGAAATTAACGAAAATGACGAGAATGAACGTTCTCGGGAAGTTTCTGTGCCAAGGAAAAACTCCAGTCCTGATCTTAAAACTCTTTCAATTGATAAAGGAAGGTATAAGTATTTTCCCATTTCCAGCATCTACTACCTTCCACCCATCACCTCAGTTTACTTTCCACATGGAGCTCATCAGAAGATTGGCAATGTCAGATCAGAGGAACCCAGTGACCATGAAAAAGCTCCCAAGAGACGCAGTAGTAGCAACGTGTATTTTAGATAATGTACAATAGTAACCTAATTTTCAGAAACACCTCGTATATTCGTAAATCTACTCCTTGACCAAGATGGAAGCAGCACCCATTCCGGTACCGATACACATGGAGGTCAAACCGATCTCTCCCTTCTTCAACAAACGCAAGATGGTGGCGTATTGTCTAGCACCAGTAGAACCCAAGGGGTGACCCAAGGCGATGGCACCACCGTTTATGTTCAACTTTTCAGGTGGTATGTTGAGAGACTCAGCAGAGTACAAACATTGAGCGGCGAAAGCCTCGTTGATCTCAAACACATCAATGTCCTTGACCGTCAATCCGGTCTTCTTCAACACAGAAGGAATGGCCACGGCGGGTCCAACACCCATGATTTCTGGAGGAACACCAACAGAGTTACACATGACGTACTTGGCCTCGATTGGGTAGCCCTTGGCCTCGGCCAACGATCTTCTCATCAAGAGAACGACAGCAGCACCGTCACTGACCTGCGAAGCGTTACCGGCGTGGGTGGAACCATCAGCCTTGAAAGCGGGTCTCAACTTGGCCAAAGATTCGGCGGTGACACCCTTTCTTGGGCCTTCATCGGTATCGATGGTGACCTTTTTGTACTTGATGTCATCCTCATCTTCGTCATCGTCGCCCTCGGCAATGTACGACTCGATAGGAATGATCTCGTCTTTGAACTTACCGTCAGCCACGGCCTTGACGGCCTTTTGGTACGAGGCAGCAGCGAACGCATCCTGCTTTGTTCTTGGAATGCTGTACTTTTCCGCCACGTTTTCGTTGGTGATACCCATAGGAATCATACACTTGGCCATTCCGTCCTCTTCAGCCAAATGTGAGTCCACCTTGGGAAGAGCGCCGGCACCATAGTTGGAGGACATGGACTCCACACCTCCAGCGAGACCACAGTCGATTTCTCCACACTTGATCTTGTTGGCAATGTCGGAAATAGCCATCAAACCTGAAGAACATTGTCTGTTGATGGCAACAAAAGCTGCCTTGTTGGGAATTCCAGCAGCCAACGAAGCACCTCTGTGCTCGGAAGCACCAGCAGCACGGTTCAAAACGTTACCAATGGCCACGTCTTCAATCAAGTTCACGTCAATTTTGGTCTTGGCCAAAAATCCCTTGATAAGTTGTGCCAAAAGATAGTCGGAACCAACATCTTTGAAACCACCTTTTCCACCTTTGGTCAAAGCGGTTCTATAAGCAGCCACTACAACCACATCATCTGGGTTCTTCTCTAATACCGCCTGTTTGGAGGAAGGAGACAACTGGCCTGCAAGTTGATTTAATCTGTCCATTCTATGAAAAGTGAATAAATATGAAAAATATTTGGTGATGACGCTGCTTATATATTTGCCGTCACAGGCTCACTCCGCATTTCGGTGCCGCGGGTGCCATGTGAACCGAGGATGCGGGGGCACACACGACCGATAGAACAGGAATGGAGAGAAATAGAGAAGAAAAAAAGAAGGAAAGGAGGAAAAGTATTAGGGTGTTTTGGAGTGTTCAGTGTTCTAAGTGTTCATAAGTGTATTAGAGTATCGTGCACGATTACACAATTTCCTAATTAATTCTTGCTACTGTCTTCTGTTACCCCGGATCCTGCACCCGTCCACGGGTAATGGTGTTGGGTGTGCAGGATGTCAGTTGGTGGCCTCGGGTAGGTGGGAGGTGGGGCAAAGGTGCAGGTACCGAGCTGGAACGGCTCAACACTGATAAAGAAATTTCAGTTCCCTCACTTATTTCTTTCTCGCTTGTCACTCATTTCTAGTCTTCGTTCTCACCCAATTCTCACTAAATTCTCTGTTTCTCTTTTTCCTCTCCTTTCGTTTTCTCCTTAATTCACTAATCTCTTTCTTTTAATCCTCCCTCTCAAAAGAAAATATCCCTATAAACGGATCGATCTTGTCCGGACGTCCCTCGGGACATCTTCCCGTAAACACAAGCGTGGGTATTTCCTCCTCTTCATATGTATTTTCTCCACCAGCACCAACCAGTGCTTTGAGTGCCGCTTCGTCAAAACCCTCTTTCTTTGTTTCTCCACCATTGGAATCGCTCGAAAGTGTAAATATCTTTGTAAAGTCGATCCTGAGCGTGTTATTTTCCTCCACGGCAACATAGAGTTTATATTTCTGGTTTATCAAGTCTTTGGAGTCATTGTAGTGTATCAAGCCCTTGGTGGAACCCGTAATTAATCCCATAGTGGAGCCTATTCCCATGATGTTCGTGCCCTTTATTTTAATGTACACCCCCGATAACCCAAACGGTGAGCAATGGATCTCCAAATCGCACTCATTGGCGTACTGGAAATCGACCTGATTATCACTCATGATGAAGAAGCTCCCGCCGCGTCATCGGTTTGGGGGTGTGTGCAGGAGGTTGCAATACAAAAATACGAAAATGCTAAAAATACCCCTACTGTAAGTAAAGAAGAAAGAGTGATGTAATAACTTTTTAGAATAAGAGACTTGGACCGGCTTGGTGCAATAGTTTATTCAAATTAATATGAAATTTTAGGTGGTCAATAGTGAGAAGCCATGAGCAAATGGGTGCAAATTACGACAATTTTATCACAATTTAATCACAACGATTTGTCACAACATTCTGTCAATGTGACTCATAAATAGAGAACGGTTTAGAAAAGAGAGAACGTTCAAGCGAAAAAAGGGGCATTCATAAAATTATTGACAAAGTTGAATTATGAGTGGTGATTTTATGTGAGAATATGAAAGCAATGAGATTATAAGATAGAGATGAATTGTAAAGATGACGATGAAAGTCATTGTGAGCAAACTCTTTCAATACAAAGAATGGTGAAAAGCGACTTTCAATTGAAATCATAAAAGTGAACGAAATCCATTCTTATACAACTATCGCCCTTAAGGCTTGACTTCCTTCCCCTCTCTCCTTTCCAACACATCTTCTCCACTCGTCGAAATCTACCGGATCCATGCATAAATACCCAAGATGAACATATAACCAGTTGATCACACATATCAAAGTTTTTTGCTGCGGTCCACAGTCTCCAGCATTACGATAGTTTCGTTCAATATTCTTTTCCACAGCCAAAACTTGCTTGTGAATCTTGTTGGCTTCGTGGATGTCTTTGTAGCTTATAAGTAGGTTTTTGGTAAAGTTAGGCGGCATCAGCAAAGTAGCTTCATGCTTGGGGTAGTCGCTAGGAACATGTAGAAACACCTCTACCTTTCCATGTTTCTGCCACGCCGAAGGAATATGGTCCTTTTGCATAGGTATTGGAAGAATGACTTTGTACTTGTTCTCTAGAGCCGATTTCTTGAAAACTTTCACCGTTTCTCGTCCAAATTTGTCGTTCATTTCTTGTATAAGTCGGGCCCGTTCTTTGGCAACTTCAGAGGAGACAGAGGAAACAGAAGCCACGGACAAGTTGTCCACAGGTTCAGACTCCAATGGCTTAGACTCCGGCTTTTGGGTTTGTTTCTGGGCTGACGGAGTAGGTTCTACTGAAGGACTACTACTCTTTTCTCGTTTCTTACTCTTGACGAATTTGATAGTTTCCTTCTTCTCTTGTTTCAAAAAAAGCTCCAAATACTTGTCGAGTGTCTTGATTTGTGACAAGAGACCTTTTCCTTCGACGAGCTGAATTTCTTCATCTTCAACACCCATGGCCGCGGCTGCAATTCTTCTGAACCCAATCTCCAAATTCACCGCAAATCCTCTTGGAATGTCGTCGTTCAACACGTATATGGAGGAACGTGCCTCCTTGGAGTAGGGATACTTTGGGGGTATGCTGAGACTAATTTTGACCATTTCTACATTGTATGGAAAATCGGGGTCTGAAGGTGCGAATTGAAAAGAAAGATGGATTGGTTGATCTGGCTGCGATGTGATGAATTTCAAGATGTAGTCTTCCACGTAGTTTTGAGATGACTCCTTGTTTATGTTTTCATCCGCTTGAGCTCGTTTCTGGATAATTTCAGGCGGAATTCCATTGACCGTGAGTGGCTCGATAAAACGAATGAGCTTCTTTACTTCGAGGTACTTGTAGTCCTTTGCCGGGTCTCTCACCTTTGGTTTCTTTGCTTGCTTCAAGGAACGTTTTGGAGGTTTCAGGCCGTTTCGTTCCTTCGAGTTGGAATTGGCCTCTGACGTTTTTGACGATTTTGTGGCCCCATTTCTCTTTCTCGGCCGCAGCCTCTTGGGCTGTGTAGTGCCACCCTCTGGCTTTGAGCCGTGGTTTTCTTGAGCTTCTGGCATGAAGAATAATAAAAGAAAAGAGACTGGTCAATATCCCAAAATGAGATTTAGTCAAAATCAAAATGAGTAATTCTGCGCGATGATGCGTAAACTGTAACTTGCATTGACACATTTTAGCGCATAATTTTGAGCATGATAAAGGAAATTAGCCTCGTGGCTGTGACCCCGAAATACGTGGTGGTCAACAAACCGTCGGGAGTTCAATGCCACGGAACGAGAAACTACAAGCAGTTTCTTCAGCCCCAACTTTACAAGCATCTCAAAAAATTATTTTGCAGATTCGCAGCAAAAGCAAACCAAACTAGACCCCAATGAGTTCAAAATCGTCCAAAGACTAGACAAATATACCTCAGGTGGATTGGTGGTTGGTAGGGGAAACTATGGTCGAGTTTTAGCTGATTCGTTAGCGGGCCGCAAGTCCACGGTGCTGATAACCAGACGATATGTGGGTATACTACCACTCGAAAAACCTGCTAGCAGCATCTTGGAGGAGCTAGAAGAGGTGGAAGCGACAGATAATGGCTGGCTGGGACACATAAGGTACAATATCGAGGCATTGGCTCGAGATTATAATAACTCCAACACCATGAGACCAACGATATCATACTCTGCTCACACCAAATTCAATCTTATAAACACACCTTTGACTCCTGAAAAACTGCAAAACGAAAAGTATCCAGGCTTGTACAAAAACAAGACCCTCTACCCAATAGTATTCGAATTGGTGACAGGAAGAAAAAACCAGATCAGAGACCATGTAACCCAAGCCTTCAGTACCACTTTGCTCAACGACGATAAATTTTCCGAATTCAAGATGGTTTCCTCCAAAACCACGGAAAAATCACAAAAAAATCCAAACAGCGAACTTTTTACCAGTAATCAAATTGGACTTCACAGCGGTTACATCAGAGTAGGAAACGAACACTACATGATACCCGTCCCAAACTGCGACTGTGAGCTCTGGAGCGGGTTTCTAGACTCGTTGTGGTTCAAAAAAGAAATTGCAAAAACGCTTCGCTACGGGTGGTAATCGCTCCGTTTCATCAACCTTTCATGAACTTGCAGCCGTTCCAATAACTTGCACCCCATTCTTCATATCCTGCATACAGCCTTATCATCACCTGCATCTGGTCGCGCGGGGGAGATTAATTCTTATCGTGACGGAGTTCATTTTACACTACCACTACATTTACGCCACACTTTGTTAGCAAACGAACATATATAACCGTTGATATTTACTCCCCCGTACCAAATCACCATGAAATACTCCTCAGAGGTCCCTGATTCTACACCAGCCGTTCTGGGGGACGCGGTCCACTTCGCAGTCGTACCGCAAACTTCTTGCCTCCCATCTGTCTATTTATAATGCACTCAACGACCCCGAACTCAACCAGGGGGTTCAAAACGACACCGATCAGGAATCTCATGGCTTAAAATCCCTCAAAGTGACGCCGATCCCCGAATACGATATCCACTTCCCGGAAGCAAAGCTCCCTTCCAGGGTCCCTACACCCGAACTCCAGTTTTCGTGGCAACTGCTTAGCAATGAATCTGTTTACCGAGATGCTCGTGTGCTCAAAAAGCCGTCGTCTTCGATCTTGTCTTCTACAACTGACGACAAGGATGAGTCCATGGTAGTAGTTTCCCGCAACGGGGGCAGCCCCAGCTTTGGAGGAGTGATGGTATTCGAAACAGACGAAGAGGACCCGCTGGACGGAGAGCCTGAGTTTTTGCCGAACCAAAAGTCTTTTGTGATGCCAAAGATGCGGTTATCTGAGCAGCAGATACTAGATATCGTTGTGCTCAGTAACTCGCATGGCGCGGAATGCGAAGCATTGGTAGATCGAATCAAGAACGATTTGGCCACTACAAAGATGTCTATCGCCAATTTGCCCGTTTCTAGTGTTAGAGACAGTGCAGACTTGTCGCTGGCGTTGCGGCAGGCTGACTTGGTGTTCATGATCAACGACGGATCTCCACTATTCATCAAGTGTCTCGAAACAGTGTTTGACCAACCAGACTCCATTTCTGCTCCCAAGCTCACGGTGATAAACATGATGAGTGTCAACTACTTTATCAATCTCTTTGATTTGATTGCGTTCATGCGTCCATTTCAAATATGGAAGACTTCCAGCTTGCACCAGCAGAACCTCGTTACCAGAATCGAGGACTACATCCTGCTCGAAAGCCTGACGGATTCACTAGAATGCCAAGGCACTTCTGGCATAGATTCGATCATGGACCTAAGTGTCACCAGAACTTCTGCACCAAACTATAAGCAGATCGAACGACAAATCCGGCATGAATTGCAAGATTCTGTCAGCTTATCAAGCTCAGATCCTTTAAGGCTCTCATCGAGCTTTTATCATGTCAATATCCTCTACACCATTATCAAGAAGATGTTTCAAAGTCACAATAATCCGTCGAATCCACACGATTCTGGCGACTCAAAGTTGTGGTTATTCTGCAGCTTTGCCTTAGGAATTGGCCTCGGTATCACCTTGGCTGGAAGTGCTGCAACAGTCTTTGGGTTTTGCGTTTCCAACGTCATTACGCAGGTGGATGAAAAGCCGGAGATTAAGGGTCTCCTGGCGCATCCAGTTCGCGCCGTGGACGTTGTCGATGACTGGGTTCAGGGAATTGTAGACTCGCAATTCTGCTGCACAATTACGAGATGGTGGGATAAGTTTTCAGGCAGCATGCAACTCTTCAGTTCGCACATGGTTGAAGCCGTTATTGGCGGCTTTGAAAAGGTGGTGTGCATGGCACAAATGGCTTAATAGAGGCTAGTAGAGTAATGTTGCAGTTTATCGATGTAGGTGGGAGCGCAGTAGAGTAGGTATAGAAGTACACCCGAGACGGTGGCAGCGTCACAAACCGAAATCAATAAGGCACTAACAAACCAGGAAACTAGGCTAACAAAAGCCATTGATATTTTTTCGCTTGGGTGTGTTTTTTTCTATGTAATGACCGGTGGGGGCCACCCATTCGGCGATACGGTATATGCGGGAAGCTAATATTATCACTGGCGAATACGATCTCAGTCGTGTAGTATTCGTCGCCTATGATATCAAATCGGTGGGAAATCTGTCATTATTGGGCGTATAGCGTAGTTGGTAGCGCGTTCGCTTCGCATGCGAAAGGTCTCCGGTTCGACTCCGGATGCGTCCATAATTTTTTTATTTTTCTATTTGGTGAAATCAAACACCACCTTATTGACTTTATGGGCATCAAAGATGTCAAAGCCGTGTTTTGCATCGTCCACCAGAATCTTGCAATCGATGAAACTCTCAAAATCTTTCTTGAGTTTTTCAAATACTTCTAATGCCTCATGGAACAATGACCAAGCATGGCATCTTCCAAAGGAGATGTTCACGTTCTTTAAATAGCATTCAAGCCCGGTAAATGGTAGAGAGTCATGGGGCATACCAATTGAAGAAATAAAACCATTACCACGAACAGAATCATAAGCGGTGCGAAGAGCTTGAGAAGCACCGACTACCTCTAAAACAGCATCAAATCCAATTCCTCCGTCTGTATTTTTGGCAATAAAGTCAGCAAGGGCATCAGGTTCGGTCTGGAAGTTGATCGTCTTATAGGCACCCAATCTTTGTGCCTCTTCGAGTCGTTGCGGAACACTATCAAGACACACAATCTTCTTGAACCCAAAATGCTTCAATGCTCGAAGAGCACAAAGCCCAACGGGACCCAAGCCAAGCTGGAGAATCGTTGCGTCGCTGATATCCTGTTGGACAGATCCCCTTGCCAGTTCGTTCTTGAAATGGTTAACAATTTTCTTGGCTCCGTAGTAACCGGTGGTGAAGATGTCTGCCATAAGAACATAGACAGAATCGTCAGTAGAGTCGTTAGATGGTTTTTTGATAAGAGTCGTTTCAGCATAGGGAATACGGACATATTCGGCTTGTCCACCCGGCAAGCCGGCTTTTCCAAACGTATTTGTCTTGACACATTGCCCCGAGTATCCATGACGACAGTACCAGCAAGAACCACATTGAATAGTAAAAGTACTGAGCACCTCGTCCCCAACTTCAAAGCTTGAGATCGCTGACCCTTTCTCCACCACCACTCCCATAAATTCGTGTCCTATAATGTTTCCAACAGGACCCTTAATGTGCCCTCGGTAGGTGTGCAAGTCGGTTCCACACAAGCCTGAATACGTTACTTTCAAGAGCACATCGGTGGGTTCGGTCAATTTGGGGGTAGGAACAGACACAGTAGCAATGTCGAATGGTCCCTGGAACACAATGGCCTTCATGGATTCTGGAATTGACATGGTAAGTGGGAGTGAAATAATTGCGGGGGAGATTTTCAACCCGATTGCCGAAGTTACACAAAATGGAGTAAGCCACCTTTAACCGGAGTACGAGTCGGCTGCAACGGCTTACATGTCCATTGAACTCCACAGTGCCTTGAATGTTGCTTCTAGTACCCGGAAGTGAAAAAAAAATCGATGCAAATAGTTGTGTGGAATGTAAGCCGCCATATTGACCAGAAGCACTATAGGTGGGACAATATACATCACGAATAGTAATGTAGAAACCGCGGAAATGAGCCAGGGAACCTGCGAGAGCGCCCATGAGAGCCATGAGGTGCCATTGAGCACTTTTCTAGAAATTGTTCTGTCGAATGCAAAAATGAGAGAATCGGTGCTGGGAACACAGATGGTAGTATCGGCCGAACGAGTGCACTTCATATTAAGATCGAGCACAATGCTGTTTAAGACCACCTGGGCCATCATCAGCAATGTCGGAAACCTGGTTTCTGGTGGTATACCATAAAATATATCGTCATTATTGTTGAAAAGCTGCGCTCTCACCGGTGCGACCCATGGGTAACCACTGAATATATATGTCTTTAGATCACTGGTGGTGCTTTCAGAAAACGTTGCCAAGTTTGCCGCTGTCAAGAGCAGTTGCCCCAAACTGGTAAAGAGCCATCCAAGCGTGAACATAAATAGGGTGGAGACCACTAGGGTGTGGGCCACGCGAGCACAAAATATCCATAAACGTCCTAGAATTGCCAATGGTCCAATCGACCTTAAATGCCTCCAAATGAGCCGGTACTCCACCACGGGCAAGGTAATGTAGGGAGCCAACCTTAAGGGCCGAACATACCTGTTTCTGTGTCTCGCTTCGTCAGGTATTCGGAGATGAGCAAGTGCCTGATTTCGACCGTTTTCGCCAGCAGCCACTCGGAGAGCAGTCACCTCGTTGTAGATATCCACCACCGAGTTCCAGAACCCTGCATCGTCTAACTGGTTGTCCTGGTGATTCATGAATGAAGTGAATGAAGTGAGATAGTGAGAAACGAGAAACGAAAAGTGAGAAAGATTAGATAGTGAGAATTGAAGAATTGAAGAATTTAATAATTTCGCAATTTGCTTTATTTCACGATTTAGAAGGATTATATGAGTAGTTTACGGTTTGTTCATGGCACTTTCGTGTATTTGACACACTTCCCTTGGTATACTTTTCTTATCTCTTTGGCTGCAATTTCTCTGCATTCATAGCGACTTAAGCAATATGCAACTCCGCAGGAATTGCTCCCCGGTAATTGCTATAAGTGCCCTTCCATGTATCTATCAATTCAACACTGACAGCAACAGGATCAAAAACCTCGGAATACTTGGTGTTGCATTCCACTATTGTATCACCTTGAACCTTATACGAAGGAAGAGTGAATTTCGGATCAATGATCCATTCTTTCTCATGATGTCCTTGGTACTCCAGGTAAATTTGCTGAGCCAATTCCCATCCATTGGTATAAAGACTTAATCTCTCGTACTGCTTTTGACATTTGTTCACCCGTTTGGATGCTTCGATGCTTCTCACCACATAGAAAAACCAAAAAACTCGCATATGAAATTCACCATGAATAAGAATACCCCAAAGTATCCACTCATAAATCTCCAACGGAGCCGACGTACTTGTGGTCACAGCGAGAACTAGCTTTCGGATCATGTCCAACACCAGTCTTCGACGGTTTTCAACAGGTAAATCTTGCTCGTTTCCCAATTGTTCATACAATAGAGCACACCCTAAACAGTACTCCGAAAGTCTTCCATGAACAAATTCTGTCAACGGATTGATGTTGCGTTCGGCGAAATCAAAAAGAAGTTCGAGTGCATCTTCACTGCTGAGAGGAACTTTTCCAATTGTATGGCAATGGATAATGAGTAACAAGGCAGTATTTCTGCTAGCAATATTGATGGTATCGTTTTCCAAGTGAAATGCTTTGAGCCGGTCCAAGACGCCAATAGCCTTTCTCAGAATTGCAATAGACTCCTCGAACCTTTGATCCAATCTATGGAAAAATGACATTGTTAGACAGCTCTTGACAATGATAGATGCTTGGTCAAACCGAGTATGATCATCCATGTCACACTCGCTCCATTCCTGGACTTTAAAAGAGTCAACGTCCTGATGAAAAGCGGCTCGAAACTCTCGATTAATAGCCTGGACAATCGAATCCACCTGCTTAAGTATCGAGTCAAAAGTTTCACTCAGTTCCAACGAAGTCACCGCTGAAAAAATGACATTGAGCGAGTGCTCTACCTCTAAACGCTTTGCTTTGTGAATCCCACGGCGTAGGAAAACACTGCAAGCATCCAACACAGACTTTTGTTTGACAGAAAGTCGGCACTTATATGGTGGACTGTCGATAATCACCAGTTTGGTCGCCTTTAAATCTATGCCATCGCAAATTTCTCGTAGAGATTTAAGCTTGACACAGTGAGGATCGCTGCCCTCTCTCACTTGGAGCTCAGCATCAATATCGAAAGTTATATCCTTTAGGCAAATTGCAGCGTAATCTTTGTTTCCCAACCGTGCAAGAATAGCTACCAAAAGTAGACTCAAATGGTACCTCAAGTAAGAGTTGTATTCGGCCACAATTAAAACAGCCAATTCACGCATACAATCATCGTACATCTGACTATGCATAAGAGACTGTAAATGGATCACACGCATCAAACTGGTCCATTCCAAGGTGGATTGTGAACAAAATTCTATGACTTCAGAATACCGTTTTTGGACAAAAAAACCAAGAAGCAACTCCGAGTCTTCGCTATTGGAATCAAACTCGTGGTATGCGCCAATCACACTGGTTTCAATTTCATCAAGTTGCATGGTTGAACTTTTGTATCGCTCGGAGCGCTCGTTTTTGGCACAAACACAAACGCTATTTGTACTTGTAAAACTGCTCTTTTGAAAGTCTTTTGACCTTTTTATCCGCGTTTCGATTGCTTGCTAGTTTGGGGTCGCTACTCTTGCCGAGGTCAAGAAGCTTTAGTATGTACAAGTAGCAATTGTAGCACCAGTCTAAATCAATCTGGAGACATTTCTGAAGGTATCCCAGCGGATATGATAGGTCTGGAAACCTCGCTTCTGCATCGCAAATGGTTAAAACGAGGGCGGCAGCTAGTATCGTGGGCATATCGTAGGCCACGGTGATGGGAAGTGATGAGAGGATTTCGACCGAAGAAATGGCATTTCTGATAATTTCAGGAAGCTTTTCGAAAAACACTTCATGTCCATCTTCAGAATGGTCGTACTCTTCCAACGGTCGCCGCAAGTCGTACGGGAGGTCCAAGTTGAGCTCAAAATTGAGATTTTTTAGGATCAATTCTTCACGAAAAAGTAATTGGTCCCTCCAGTGCCAGAAAACCGTGCTTTGTTCATCGATGACTTTGTGCGGGTTCTTTATAGTACATCCTGCCATGGCTATCTTATCAGGGGCACGATAGTTGTCATTGAGTTTGCATGATATGGACATGGCAGCGCATGCAACAAAATATTTTGATGTTGTGATAGGCATACGGACATAAAAACGGTTTATGTATATGGTGGCGGCCAATATAGTTGGACCATCAACTCTGAGGGCGGTTCCAAGACGAATAACAAAATCATGAATGGATTCTCGAGTTTTCAAGTCTTGTGCGATGGTCAATTGTTTTCTGCTTGGAGAAGACTTGAGAAACTCACGTTCGGGAAATAGCCACGTGTTGCCAACAGGAAGCTTGGTACCGGTTTCCAGAGCCTCAACGGGCGCAGGAGGCATTTTATGGATGGGAGTTTGGTGGAGAGAAGAAATGAGAAAGATAAAAAGTTCGCGCGAAAAAGGTTGCAAATTGAAACGATTGAAAATTGCTGGATATACGAATGGTGGGAAAGAGGGATAGAATGAATACAGAACTTCGTTCGCGGAGATACGAAAGAAAAGTCAATTAACGCAGATATGAATATGACTAATGTATATGGTAGTCAATTGTCTGAGATAACCATGTAGCTTTCGTATAGAGTAGTAGGATGTTCTTAGTCAGTACACCAGTACAACTAACTGAATCCAAACTGTACAAAGAATAAGCTCTATAATAAAAAACTGGTTTAGTCTCACACCCGGAAACGTCGAGGTATACCAAGAATTTTTCAGTTTGTATCGTACCAAAGTGGAAGTAGTCTTAGTAATACAAAGTCTTGCATAGACGAAAAGGACGAAAAAGGAAACGGAGCATTGAGAAGTAGACAACTTTAGGTTTCAGAATTAAGCCAAATACAATCTTTGGGGACCAATTGAACCAACTGGTACCAACTGATACCAATGGGGCACATCCAGATCAAATCTTATACTTTGTTCGTTGTCGAAAGATGTCGCTGTGGAACCTTCTGCACGTCAAACTATTTTGCGGTACAGCCGCGCGCTCGGCCGAAATTACGTGAGCTAAACCGCGATCTCAAAGTTCAAGTTTGAAGCTTTTGAAGGTGGTGCTTAGTTCTGTTGAGGATGTAAGCCTTCTAGGCACTGGTATGCAACATTTTCCGTTTTTCTGAAGAGTTGTGTGCTTTTTCGTGACAAAAAAGTGCCCACAGCTGTTCAGCCACCTCGGCGATTTCGGGCGCATCTCGGCGATCTTTCGGTGGAGAGACGATATTTAATGGTTGCAAATTCGATTATTTATCACAACTAATTCCAATTCTCCGTCCAGAAACATGTCCTCCGAAGACTCAGAAAAAAAAGTTTTTGTCGAAGCAGATGCCGGAGATGGAACAAACAGAGAAGAACATCATCTTCATGGTACCCAGCTTATGATGTGTATTCTTTCTGTTTTCTTGTGCTTGTTTTTGTTTGCATTGGACCAGACCATTGTTGCCACGATTTTAACTACGGTAGGTAACAAATTCGACGGTTTTGATCGAATTGGATGGTTGTCGTCTGGGTTCTTGTTGTCTACCGCCGTCCTAGTTCCTTCCTGGGGAAAAGTAGCCATGGTTTTCGGACGTAAGATAACCATGTATGCTGCGATTTTGATCTTTGAGGCTGGTTCGTTGATGTGCGCTCTTTCCAACAATATGAATACCTTGATTGGAGGTAGAGTATTGGCTGGTGTAGGAGGAGGAGGTGTCCAATCTCTATCTTTTGTGATTACTTCTGAGGTTGTTCCTATAGAGAGAAGACCTTTTGCTATGGCGGCCATGGGGTGCACTTTTGCTGTGGCTAGTGTATTGGGTCCACTTGTGGGTGGTGCTTTCACAGACAATGTTTCATGGAGATGGTGTTTCTACATCAATTTGCCGATAGGTGCTGTTGCTGCAATTGCACTATTTTTTTCGTTTAAACCACCAAAAACCAAAGGAAGCATAAGGGAAAAACTCAAGTTGATCGACTACTGGGGTACATTTCTTTTCACCTCCGGCTTGGTGGTTCTTCTTCTAGCCATCACTTTTGGTTCTGGTAATGAATACGCTTGGAACTCAGCAGCAATCATCGTTTGCTTCATTTTGGGTACTCTAGCTCTTATCGTGTGGTGTATCTACAATTTCAGATTCTCCAAGAACCCACTTCTTCCATGGGAAGCAGTGAGAATTATCCAGGTTAGTGCTCCAGCACTCACACTTTTTTGCACATATGGTTCATTTATGAGTGGAATCTTGTACATTTCCATATACTTCCAGGTGATCCATGGAGCCAATGCTTGGAGATCAGGTGTGGATTTGTTACCGTTTATCATTGCCCTGGTTGTCAGTTCTGTCTCACTGGGAATTGTTATTGCCAAATCGAGGTTCGTCAAGCCATTTGTGGTGGTTGCTGGCTCTTTTGGTCCTTTGGGCTACGGATTGCTTACCCTTTTGAAAGTTGATTCCAGCACCTCGAGTAAAATTGGACTTTTGATTTTGCCTGGTGTTTGCACTGGTATTCAAACCCAAGCTTCAATTATTGCCCTGCAAGTGTCGGCTCCAAAGTCTCCAGGAGGAATGATTTACGCTACAACTTATATCAACTTTGCTCGTGCTACTGGAGGAGCACTTGCGTCTGCTTTGTCCACTACCGTCTACTCGTCGGCACTCAAAAATGCTCTTCTGAGTCACTTGAAAAATGCTCTGAATGACATCCAACAACAGTTGTCCCTGGTACCAACCGACACTCTTGTCAACTCCACAGAACTCATCAAGACCCTTTCGCCTGAAGCTCGAGCCTTTGTAAAGGATCAAGTTATGTGGGCCATTGAAAGAGTATTCTACATGACTGTTGGATTTGCATCGTTGGGGTTCATTGCATGTTTGTTTGCGACCAACCATAGACTACCAAAAAAGAGTATGGGAGCTTCTGCTGCTGAGACGAAGGAAGAAGAGCAGGAAGGTTTGACCAATTGCGATTCACAACCAACTCCAGTGGATAGGGAAAATGTCAAAAATGTCGAGTCCAGTGGATAACAGCACGGAAAGGTTAGCAATGACACATAAGTTGAGCTGTGAGAAAAGCTCCATTGCTTGGCTATACTATAATATTTGCATATGAGTACTAGATTAATAGATGAAGAATAATGAAAGTGAAGGTAGGAAGATTTGTTTGCCCAAAGTCATTGAGAAGAGTTGGTACTTATACTTTGAAAATAGCTAAGTAAAGAGCTAAAATGAAAAAGAAGACTAAGTAAAGAGTTATAATGAATAGATTATAGTGAAGTTATGAAGGTGAGAAAATTGCATGAAAAGTTACAGAACTTGCATGAAAGAAAGACTCCACGGTAGAAAGAGATTATGGTAGAAAGGCTTTAAGTAATATCACGATACAATGTTACAAAGTCATCGTGGTACGTTGCTGTATCAGCCCTTGTTCCATAATTTGCACCCAGTTTTCGATGACATAAGCCGCGGTGTAGGCTGCGATTCTCAACGCAAAAAATTCTCATATTTCTTCATCATGGCCGACACTCCCTCCATGCATTTGGTGCGTCCCACCGTGGCTGCCCTCGCGGCGCTGCTGGCTTCTGGCCCATGCAAGATCAAAGTGCACAATGTAGCGCTCTTCAAAATTTTGGAAATCGTTGCCAAACAAGTTCATCCTGACCATAAAAGAGTGATTGGAACAATGTTAGGATACCGATCCGAAGACGGAACCGAGTTTGAAATTCGCGATGCTTTCATGGTTCCATGTACCGAGACCGGAGAGTCGCTTGCTATTGACGACCAAGCACACAAGACGTTTTACAAGTTGTATAAAAAGGCTCATCCTAAGGAATACGTGTTGGGATGGTTTGGAAGTGGAAAACAAATCGATACCACCACAGGTTTGATCCACGATTTCTACAGCAAGGGTGCCGACAGCGCAGCTCCATATCCTGCTATTCACTTGAATGTGGATTTTGTAGACGATGACCAGAATGTCACCGCCCCAAGTATCTCGACATATATTGGAGCCGCCATTGGCAGACCTGCGTCCGGCAAAATTGGCTGGAAAACTTCATCGTCGCTGAACAACTCGTACATATTCACGCCAATTCCTCACGAAATAATAACTGGCAGTGTCACCGAAAAATTGGCCCTCAATGGGTTGTGCGAAGCGGTTCAAATTGGCACCGAGTCCGGTGCCTCGTCCGTGTCTGGTGCTGCCGCCAGCGACTTGTCGTACTTGTCGTCGCAACTCAACGCCGTAAGTGCCACCATTACCAAACTTCTCCACCACATTGAGTCCCCCTCCACCTCCGATGCCGACGTCGATTTGTTGCGTCTTTTGAGCAACAATCTCTTGACCAAACCCCATTTTCTCACCGATGTTTCCGAGTTGAAACTGCACTTCATGGCCCACAACCAGGACGTAATCATGATCGAATACTTGACCAAGGTGGTAAAGGAGCAAATAGAATTGAGTGCTCGGTTGACAGCCGGTGCTGAATCGAAGTACGCATAGAGTCTAAGTCATGCGAGTCTAACATGGTACGAGGCCAAAGTCATGTACGAGTCTGATACAGTCAACATGTATAATACAATACGTTTATATTTTCCCCTACAGTATTCTTCAGTATTTTTCAGTTCCCCACATCCACACAGTCTCATCGCTATCGCTGTGGCTGGAGCCGCACCGAAAAAAAACTCATCTCAAATTTTACGGAGTAGTTATCAACCACTGATTAGCACCCACACACAAATAGGGCACTTTCGCAGCGATCCTATAACACTCTATTACCCGCTAGCCCCCCAAATCCACTGAAATAACAACCTTAAGGTGCGAAATCATTTACCGCCCGTTTAATGACAATAATGGACATTTGCACCAAGACAGAAATACACAATACTTTTAGGCTATCTTGGTAAACAACTAGAAAGAAACTATAAAACAACCACAAAACAACCACAAAAAACTTCATGGCAAAACGTCCCAGAAAAGGCGCAAAAGCTGCCAAAGGGTCCCAGAACACTACTGGGGGAAAGAGCTTCAAAGCCCTCAAAAACCTTCGTGCAAGGCGATTTAGTATCAACGACTCCAGCTCGCTGTCCGAGGATGAGGAGGAGAGCCTGGTTGGTGATTTTGGTCAAAAATTACCGGGGAAGACTTACAAACGAGGATCGGGGTCTGAATCCGAGTCGTCACTAACGGCATTGTCAGATGACGATTCGGTGTCCAAAACAGGCTCTGTTTTCTTTGAGAGCGACGATGAGGTGCTCGTTCCTCGTGGCAAGGGCAAGACGATGCCCAGCAAGTTTTCGAGCAAGAAAAAGTACCCTATGAGTACTTCTGGCAAGAAATCTATACCCTCGGTAAGTGTCGATGAAAGTGACGACGATTCAGATTCCGACTCCTCTGACGATTCCAATTCGGATTCTGAAGTGGATTTTGTCCAGCTCCAGGCGCAACGAAAAGCAATGAAGTCAAGACCCAAGGGAAAGACCCTCAAATCACTCCCGCAACCATCCCGGCGCAGAAGCTCCGCTACCCCTAAATACGGTCGTCGCAAGTCCAATGCTGCGCTTCCCGACGACATAGAGTTTGCTCTTGAGTTTGACGACGACGAGGAAGACGAAAATGCGGTGAAAGCTTTAGTTGGTGCACCAGGCGAGGAAGACCTCGGAGAGGAAATCAACGACACCAAGGTGAACTACACACTCAACTCTGATGATGACTACGAAATCGACGACAACGAATTGCTTGCAACGTTGCAGGCGGATAATGACATGGAAGAATTTAATGACGGAGGAGGACTTGCTGCCCGAAATGACTCGGTGGTGCTGTGGGGAGACGACGAGGACAAATTTTTGCGAGAGGAAGAAAGGTTTTTGGTAAATGAGTTTGAGAACAACGGCTTTGACGACGAGCAGCCGCTGGTTCTCCAGAACTACGAGTCGTATGATGCCGACTCGAACCAGACTCACTTGAATGATAGTCTCGAATTCATGAACAAGAACAAGGTGGAACACCACGGAAGCGATTCTTATGAAGAAGAAGATGACGAAGATGACGAAGATGACGAAGACGACGACGATGATGATTTTATTGTGTTTGACCTGTTGTTTGAGAACGGCATCACCACCAACGACAAGCACAAGATTCGAGACAATTCAGCAAAGAGCAGTCCGCGCAAGAGAAAGCACCACAAGGTGGGATTGTCGGCACGGTCCAGCGACGACGAAGACGATTCGTATCTCTGGAACTACTTTTTCAGTCTGGACGAGTCCAGTGGTGAGGAAAAGAAAGCCAAGTCCAACGACGGCGACGAGCAAGAGAGCGAGAGTGGAGAGCTCATAGTTGACGATTTTTTTGAACAGAGTAGAAAAAGACCAGTGGAAGCCGCAGTTAGTGACCACGAGTACGACAGCGGAGAGTCGACCGACGAGGACGTGCTGCTCGCTACAAAACCCCACCGCAAGCACGCAGGGTCGAAGCTGGCGAAGGAAGTGTTGTCGTCGAAAACCGCCGATTACCGGCCTCCTATACTTGGAACCTGGGTAGCAATTGACAGCAAACCGTTTGGGATTATTGATGGATTATCCACGAGAAACTTGGTCCAGCCGTCACGGCAAGCACAGCCTCGCAAGCCAAGAATCGACACCTCAGGTAGCAGCGACGACCTGGCACTCGAGTTGGACGAACTTTTGAATATCAGTGAACTTGACGATGTGGATGAAACCGATATACAGATCTGGCGGGACTTCAACAACGAGAAGCGAGCGGTGCCACTAGGAGCGTTCCGTAACAAGTCGCTAGTCTACACAAACCTAGCAGCAGTCACGGCTGGACACAGCGACGGTGGATTGAATCACACCAGCCGTAGTAACAATGACTACAACAAACGGCGGTACTCGTTGACGAACCACAGCCATGGTGACCGCAAGGCGGCCGCGGGAGCCAGCAAAAGAGCGAGAAGAAGGTCTTCTACGGGAAATAGGGCCGGGTTGAATATTCCATCGAGAGCGATGCGAAGACGGGCGTCGAATGCCCAAGCCGAGTCCGAAGGTCTTCGGCCCACGAAATCCGGACTATTCAGCGAGACGGCTCTCGCAAACGTGGAAGAACTTCTCGGCGACGATACGGAAATATTGGCGTTGGTACATGGGTTGTAGTTATGGTAGAGTGTTGGTGAAGACGAATGTACTGCATACAGTTTTCGCACCCAATAAATCAATTTGACGAATTTTTATTCTCACGCTTTTTTTATCCCCAGCATCTAGTAGTTTTATAGTGCCCTAGGTTTTCTATAGTAGCCCGTTAGCCGTAATGCAACCACGCAAGTCTGCTCGTTCCAACAAGGGACAGCACTCCCAGTGGAGTCTCCAGGATGTCTTGCGCCAGGAGCAAGATGACGACGTAAATTCGGAGCCAAGAAGAAAAAAATCAAAGGTGGAGTCGGATCTGGACGATGTCTACGACGATGCGGGAGAAGTGGCTAATGCCAGCTCAGAAAATGACGACGATGATGACGACGACAACAACAACGACAAAAATGAAGAAGATGGCGAAGTCAGATGTACGCCTTGTGGTGCCAATAAAGACAATTATGACGAGGAAACCGACGAGGGAGGAACCATGATTGAGTGTGACAAGTGTCATACGTGGCAACATGCAAAGTGCATGGGGTACCGTAATGAGCGCAGTATACCCAAGAAGTACATGTGCAATTTGTGCCAGGAATCAAAGAGTGAAACGAAGAAAAAACCAGAAAAGGAGCAAACAACTCCTGGATATTCGTTCACGCTTCGTGACAAGACGAGAATCAGCGTGGCAAAGGCTTTTTTTGGAGTGTTTCACAAGAACATTCCTCCGGCGTCGCTTCCGGACGGCATCGATGCAGTTATGATGGCCACGAAATGGGCCCAGGAACTCGAAGCGGAGGTTTTCAAGGTGTTTCCGCTGAAGGACAAGCATTACACCGACAAGAGCAGGGGGTTGATGGTGCTTATCAAGAAAGAGAATGTAATGCGGCGGATTTCCACTGGTGAGCTTTCATTCTATGATCTTGTCAATTCCTCTCCCGAGGAAATCGACGAGGATTTAAAGGTTTACGCAGAAAAAGTGAGACAGGAGTCGATCCGCAGGTCCGTGTTGACGGTGGACGAGGGTCTGCAACGAATTAGGCGAACCCACAAGGGAGAAGAGATAGTAGAGGATGCCAATCGTCAGCTGGAAGAAGCTGACGTTAATGTGGTTCCCAGAAACATCGACCATCGTAGGATCAAGGAGGACTCACCGCCTCGTGAAATCATCACCAATTCCGAATCTCAAACCTATTACCATAATGAAGAAGACGACGATGACGACGAACAAGCGGAGGCAGACGGTGAGGAAAGCAACAAGGACGACGTAAATGAAGACAGTTCTGATCTGGATGACGATGAACTCGACATGATTCTTAAAGACAAGAAAGATGAAAACAAGGAAGAGGTGGAGGTGCGCCAACAGCCAGCCAAACCCGCCCCAGTTCCCGCTAAAAAGCCTCTGTTTGAAAAGGAATCCGCCGAGGTGTGGAAGGGAGAGATTGTATTCCCAGATTTTGCTTCTTTTTCTGCCGTTGCTGAGCTCAAGTCTTGTACCAACTATGTCGAACCAAGCGACTCTCAAACCGCACGCAATTTCAGTCGTTTTATCAAGGTGGGAAAGGAGCTTCTTTCACGCAAGAAACATGAGGTGGAGGGCCGTTTGGACAAAAATCGTGCTGACGATTATCTCAACAAGGTTGTATCTTCGCGAGATTTTTACTTGATTGAAATCAAACCAACGGCGAACCACCCTGATTATGATAAGCTTTATGGGTACCTCTTGGATCGAGAAAAGGTGGGAGTGTTGTCCGGGAAACCTTCTTTTGCTAAAGACTCCTATTTGATAACCCTTGAAAAATCTCGCCCATTGCCTCCATACTTGAGCACTTTGAAAGGATTTGAGCAACTGACAGGTTTATTTGCCTTATATGTGGTTAGGAAAGGCTACGTTCCTGCAGCACCTAGCATTCTCAAGAATCGGTCTTCCTACAACGTTCCTGCTCCAATACCTCCAACCAATTCAAATCACCATTCCAAACCAATGCTTCCTCAACCACCAGCCATGGCCGCCAAGCCCAAGACTCCTCTTTTGGACTCAATCTTGAGCACTTTAGGCGGAGCACAGGCAAACCCGGTGCCAAAACCTCAACCAATACCTCAGCAGAACCATCAGTTTCAACAGCCTCATTTCCAGCACCAACCCAGCGGTGCTTATAACAGAGTGCCAAGTCTTCCAGGCAAACCAAACCTTCCTAGCAAACCAACATTTGGTTCTAATGCGTCCAACGCCCCCAACTATAACAAACAACACCAAACCAGCGACTTGAACCTTTCTGGAGATCAGATGAGATACCTCCAGGAACTCGTGAAAAATAACCCCCAGCAGGCCAGACACGAACCACAAGCACTTGTAGGCATGGCCGCAAATTCTGGTGCAAGTTTTGGTGGCTCTGGACTCCCTGCTGGTGACGACGATGACGAATTTCCAACCTATAATTAGTGTACTATATAGCGCAGCGAAGCTGTTGTATTATACGATCTCGAATCGTCATTGGCTTCAAGTTGGTGCAGTTGCTACGGTTGTTACAAGCTAGCACAGTTGTTACAATTGCTAGCTTTGCTATTACTACTAATTTCATATGTCAATTGCTTATGTTTTCCATTACCCGTAGACACCATAATTTTCATCTTTCGCAGCGCGAGCTTATTCTTAGATTACAACTATCTTCGCTTAATATCACAACAAAAAACTTCCAAGCCATTCGACGTGGTTCCCAGGCTCAAACTGTCCCCTAGTTTCTTGTGTGTGGTTTATGACCGTTCCTCGGAGCCGATCGTCGTGGAATCAACTTCCTCCAGAATCAGTAGACGAAGACGATACCAACTCGAGTCTTGTTTTTGGCAACGATCAGGTGGAGGAGACACAGAAGGACGACAAAAGTAAAGAAAATGGCTCTTTTTCGCTTCAGAACTCGCAATCTCCATCCAAACTCGGCCTGTCTTTGCACTACGACGATACTCAAATCATCCGAAATGACAACCAGAGCTCTCCTTTGACTTTCAAACACCCTGATACGCTTGATATAAGCTCACCCAAGACTGATACACAGTATCAAGTACCAAATTACAATAACGGTGCAGAAAACACTCAAAAAGATTTGACCCAGAAACTGCAATTGAATGACGATACACAAGTGGTTGTTCCAAATGACTCCCAAAAGAGAAGGATGGGAGACACTCAATTGGACAGAGACAATTCACCACAAGCTTCTCAAGCATATCAATCCTGGAACGATACTCAAAGAATAGGACGAATATCTTCAGGGGACACTCAAAGAGTACCCCGAATACCTTCAGAAGACACTCAAAAAATACCACGAATACTATCCGAAGACACTCAAAGAATACCACGATTTCCATTAGAGGACACTCAAAAAATACCAAGACTTCCTCCAGATGATACTCAGAGAATACAAATACCTTCAGACCTGCCCCGGCACGAGACACAGGTACTTCAGACGCTGCCTGAGAACCACGATACTCAAGTAATTCGGCCTTTTCTGCCGGAATATAGTGGCACTCAGCCTCCAACGCTGCCATCAGTGACTCTCACAGACACCCTGAAAGCTGGTCTCGAAGATTTTCAAAATACATTGGCAACTTCCTCGCCAAGAATTGACGATATACACCAGTCTCGGACTCAAGTCATCAACACACAAGAAGTAGTTGAAGAGCGCAACCTTGCGGGAAATACAAGTACAAAACCAGTGGTTTCCAGTAGCCAGCGAAGCCAGCCAGATAAAGAGGAGATCCAGTCTGAAGACGAGGACTGGACCTATGTTCATGTTGACGATACTTTGGAACTAAACAGGCTAAAACGACATGAACATCTGGTGGAACCTCGCAAGCGAATGAAAAACGACGCCAACATTTCTCATGAAACAATTCCATCTTCGCCAACGGTTCCCAGTCGTTCTGCCGGGCGTCATCTACGGAAAATGGCATTGACCGATACACAATCTGTGGATGGTAGAGACACCGAAACTCAAAAAGATTCCAGTATTTTACGCAGTGAAGCTCTGAACACAATTACCCAGTCTCAAATTGTCAGCAGGAACAGTGTGTGGGCCGCCTACGATTTCCGCATGTATATTGGCCTAGTTGTGGAAAGTGGTCCACTTGACCTGTCGGTGAAGTTTGAGGACGATATTTACAAGATAAAGAATAGCGAGTTGCACTTGCTTGATGTTCGCATTGGTGACAAGCTTCGAGTGCGCACGTCACCCAACGAATATATAGTCTGTGGTCTTGTTCGAAAACCAGACTTTGATGGAATCTGTTGCATAAGAGGCTTCAATCACGTACTTTTGAAGAAAGTGTCAAAGAAGGGAGCTAAAGAACTTTTGGTGGAACTAGAGCAGTGCTCCATGGAGTTACCCGAGTGGATCCAGCACCAACAAAAATTTGGATTGGTATCTGAGTCGTCGGTTCAAACCACTCCAAGACGGAGAACGAGAGAAGAAATGTCATTAGCGTCCAAAAGAGAACATATTTCCTTATCTAACCAGCCTCTGAAACGCACGTCTGACTTGTTTCGAGGATGTCTATTTTGCTTGACAAATATCGGCAAAGGAATCTCCGCCCAGCGACGGTTGCAAATCAGAAGTCTAGTAGAAACCAACGGCGGGGTGCTTTTGGAAGACGGTTTTGAAACGATCTTTTCTTATGCAAAAGACGAAAATGGACATCGTCTAACTTCTAGTCAACTCGACGAATACTATTTTGCAGCTGTTGTATCGAATAGTTACGGCAGAAGCGCCAAATATTTACAGGCGCTTTCGCTTGGATGGCCGATTGTGTCGGACTCATTCATTTTTGACTGTGCCAAAGGCGCCATTCTGATCAGTAATTGGCCGGTATACCTTCTTCCTGCGGGCCAGTCGAAGAAAACCAACTCGGTCAAGAGTATCGATATTTATCGGTTTCGCAACAAGTATGAACGGGGCCTAAAATTGGTTCACCAGCTTGACAATAACGGACACTTGTTGACGGGATACCACATTCTCTTTATCGACAACAAAACTAACAACAAGAATTGGGACACTTGTGAGTTCATATTCCATGCATTTGGCGCCAAATCTCTACGGTATGTCAAGTCCAAGTCTGACCTCGAAAACCACTTGGATTCAACCCAAAGTCGCTATTTGATCTACGACAACAGTGGCACGTTCAAGGTGCAACATGAGGGCATATACGGCATTATTGACTGGGAATGGGTGGTGCAATGTGTGATCAGTGGATTTACATGGGAGCCCAAAAGTTTCAAATAGATGTCTATTCTTTCATTAATCATTATAATAATACACTTTTAAATCTAGCCATCATTTCAGAAACCACCGCCTTTACCAACGGGAAACCATTGTCGCTTTTGACCGCATCTCCATTCTCTTCAAGACGTCTCAACAAGTAGTGCTTGGTTTCAAGTGGAGGTCCCCAAGGAACGTATTTGATGACATTGTCTATCTTGTATTCCTTGATGAGGTTGTAGGTAATGTTATCAGCCATTCCCATCAACTGGCCCAAAACAATGTTGCTCTTGTTGCTGTTGGATGCGTATACTGGTTCGGCCAATTTTCTCGTGGTCAAAGAAAGTGACTCGGCATTGTGAGAGGCCACCACCAAGTGTCCAATGACGGAGGTGTTGCCCTGGTGGGCCAAGATGGACTCCAAGCAGTAGGTGATACCTTGGTTGTAGTTTTTATCAGTGTCTTCCTTGGTTTTGTGGATAACAGAACGGTCCTTTTCAGAGTGAATGTATGCTCCACGAACGAGCTTAAGCCCCAACCGGTAGCCATGTTCAGCCGCCAAACGCTCCTCCATCGCCAAGAGGTCAGAAGAACCTGCCAAGTACATTTGTAAAGTTCCCACAACGCTGACGGGTTTGTTCTTTGGGTTAAACTTGGCATAGAGTCTTCGTTGAAGTTCGTAGACACCTTCTTGCAAGTCGTGCTTCTCAGCGTCAATGACACCCACTACCAAGGGAGCAGTTCTGTTGGGGTATTTAAGGGCAAACTTGGAGTTTGCGTCGTAGATTTCCTGGCAAATGGACGAAGCTCTTTCCACCAATTCGTCAAACATAGCAGCATACTTTGGGTTGGCATTGTAGTAGCGCAAAACGTTGGCTGCGTCGTGAGAAAAACCGGTGGGTTTCAAGGCTACGTAGCCGGGAGGAATCGAGTTGATATCCTTACCGCTGGTATTGATGATACTCTCGGTGTGAGGAATGAGAATATCACGCACAGATTGACGGGTTTGGCTCACAATGCTGTCTGGATCAACTTTATCGTTGCCGTCGCATGCCTCAATGGTTAATGAGAGCATCATGTTGTGAATTCCCCTGTCGCTGAGCCGGGCTCCGGTTTTTCTCACCTGGTCAAAAGTCTCGCCACCACAGTAAATCTTGTAAACCAAAGCCTTGATGACCGGAATAGGCACGTAGGGGAACACCTTGATGCAAAGATTGAGTATGGTCTTGTTGACGGTACAAAGGCCCATAATAAGGTACGAGAGCAACTCCGAAGCAGAGTAGGCTTTGAGGTGGGCACTAGAAAATTCGGTGCTAGAAATGTCCTGAGGAGCTGCCACCGACTCAGGAATATGCTGGGTAGTCACCTGTGGTATTTGTGACCGAACATCACCAATAATCTTTTTTTGGGAAGAGTCGTGAAAGTTTTGAAAGTGACCTGGAACCTTAGATAAGGCCAAACAGGGTCTGGTGGTTAAAGCTAATAATGCTGGTCGATGCCGCAAGGTTGTAGAAAAACGTGCGGTACGAATTATTGTTGACATGCGGGAATGTTAAAGAAAAAAAACAACCGGCAGATGCTGGAGTATTTAAGTGGGTGATAGTCGCTTGTGGTTACCTCACTGAGCCGTTTGCAACCCATGACCTGCGGAAGACGCACGGAAATTGTCAGCGAGCACACACACAGGACAGGCGTGAAAGGCAGGCGCGGGCGAGCAGTGCAATGGAAACCCATCCATTTTGGTGCGGCGAGGTGTGCAGGAAATAACATTGATTGGGCACGTGACCGCGCACGTGAGTCGATGACTTTGGTGCGCCGATTTCTTTCATCTCTATGTTTCGGCCGCGGTTTCGGGCCGTTCGTTGGTACTCGCTGCGCCGAATTCCGTCCGTGGTGCATCCCGAGCTCCAGAGCAACCACGCACCAGAACGGATTCTCATTTTAGATCCTGCGGAAACCGCTGATAAACGGTTTCGACAAGTTGTACGAGATATAGGTTCATTTCGACCGGAAATTACTCCGGATCTGGTTGCTCTCGCTTCACTAGACCTTCTCCAGGATGCTCAGCTGGACGGCCGCGGTGCACTGGATGGCGTGGATCACACTGGAATTTCGATAGAACAACAAAAACCTGCGGTATCATTCTTGACCGCTCAACAGCATAAAGAGTTATGTGACACTTTAACTCGTTCTTATACAAAGACACAGCTCCAGCATTTTCTCGTGGCCCGCCTAGGGACCAGTAGAGGGCTTCAAAGACGGACAAAGATCCAATTGGCCCAACTTATATTGGAAAAAGCATGGAATATCACTACCGGAGAACCGGCCGATTTGAACCATCTTGTACGTACTAAGAGTGTGGAATTGTCGCCTCTGGATAGGTTTTTGTTGGTGCTGAAGAGCGCGACTTTGTTAAGGCATGTAGCGAGGGCTGGAGCCAAAATCGAGTTGGGGTCTAAAAACCTCGTTTTCACGGGAACAGATTTCCAAGTTAAGGACGCTGAAAATTTGTTGCGGCTGGTTTTGGATCGTTGTTATCGAACCACTGTTGACTTGCTGGCGATTAAACTGATGTTTGACGAGAGAAACCATGATTTTGCAGCCGCTGTGGCTGCCGTGAGTCAATCTTTGGGAGTGTTTTTTAAGCCAAATGCTCAGGAAGGTGTATTTGACTTTGCCGCTTTCGATTCCAGTCAGATCCAGCGGTCTCAAAGAATGCTCATGTCTATGCTTGTGTCGAAGCGCAATGAACTGAAATATTTGCCCAATTTTCAATCCAAAGATTTCAGTTTGGTGCCATTTGCAGACGACGAGTCTCTTCCTTGGCACTCAAGAAAGCCGTTTTATGTTGCTCGGATAACGCAACCTCGTGGTTTTATACAAGAGGCACTCGCCAAGCTAGATGTGGATGAGAAAACCACTCCTTCATTTGACTATGAGAAGCAGTTGTACGACGCAAAGTCGTTACCTCCCCAACGAGACCTTGAAGAAGAGAGCTGGAATTTGTTGCGGGACTTGGGGATAGTGGAGAAGGGGAAGGAGAAAGAGGAAGGAGAAGAAGTTTCTGAAGAAAAAGAAGTTACTGAAGTGAAAGAAGTTTCTGGAGTGCAAGAAGTTTCTGAAATCGTGAGTGAACCAAAAGATGTCTCAGACGTTTCTGAAGCAAAGAAAGACTCAGATAGAGAGAGTCCGGACTCTTTTTCCACTAAAACCAGCACTGCAAATTTCACAAGGTTGCGAGATTTTGCTTCAGAAATCACCAACAACCACTACGACTTCCTAACCTCATTCAAATCCACCAGCCTACCCTCCTCAACCATGTTCACCGTGGGTCTTGGAAATATCTTGTTTCCTGCTCCAAAAAGTTCCACAATTATTCCAAAATTTGGAGACAATCTTTCAGAGGTCTCAAGGTTCAGTACCAATGCTGCTACACTCATCAAGAAGCTTGTCCAGCTTCCTTTTTACGAAAAGCCAGACGCCAGTCTTTCCAGTCAAGCCATGGTCCACGATCCTCATACATATGTTGCACAAATACGGTTTGTTCCGTCTCCATTTGACCATGTCGATCACGAAGAATTTCCGCCTGTGGAAATCTGGGTTGAGCTCAATGACCGTTCCAAGGCAGATGTGGACACCCTCAGCATGGTTAGCGTGGAAGGAGAAAATGAGTGCTTGGTGGGACTACCACAAGAAATCTTGGACATGAAGGTGAGCTGCCAGAAAACCGGAGACTTGTTGAAGGTTGAAAGTGAAAGTCCTCACCACGAAAAAAATAGCATTTATGACCTTCTCCAAGAAACCGCACCTCGCTACAGCAGGTTTGATTCTCAACCTGGGCTATCAGAGTTTTTGGACAATTCTCGGTTGGACTTTGGTGGGTCGCAACGGCCTTCTATATGTCCTTTCATCGACATAAATTTTGGCGAAAAAAAGTTAAGATACCTTTACGTGAATGTCAATTATAGGAAACAGCTTGAGTTCCGTTATGGTGACCGGCTCATACAAATGAGTACAGTTGAAGGAGGAAGCATGGGAGGAAGAACCACCGAAGTGACATTTGTGGGAGAAAACGAAGACAAGCAGGAACTACAGGAGTTGTTAATTGACAGCCGGTTGTTTTTGGAGGAATGTATATAGAGCATGAAAGTGGGTCCATTTCGATTTTCTGTCTTTAGTTCTGATTATTTTCTACTCTCACTATTTCTGTTCTTCTCACTATTTTCAGCTCTTCCAACTTTTCAATTGACCACTTCAATATTCCACTTCCCGTCACTTTTGGCAATTGAGTTCTGGATCACATACTTCACAAATGAATCTTTTTCAACAATTATCAATTCTCTTTATTCTCTTCTCTTATTTTCATCTCTTCTCTCCATCTCTCTACACCCCTTACAAATACATTTATTCTCTACTTTCTCTCTTCCAATGCACGCACATGCTTCTCCAAGCCCGCAATAGACTCTCTCAACGCAATCACATCAGCAACAACAACTTGGTTAGCGTTGGTGAATTGGTCGAGCAAGTAGTAATAAGCGCCAAAACCGGTGGTGGAAACTCCTAAAAGAAAACCCAAGAATCCCCCACGGAAAGAGCCGACTTTTCTGGGTCCAACCGTGGTGGCATAATGACGGGCTTGTGTTCTGGAACCTCTAGCCAATGTGGAGAACATGGTGAAGATGAAATTTCGCGGCACGAATATCGATTGGCCGCGGTAAGAGTGCGAGTGCGAAGTCGAACGGTGCGAATTGGTGCGAATTTACATTTTTATCGCGAATCGGTGCGAATTGACTGCGAAACATCTAGCAACAGCGAGCAAATCGTAACAAATCGTAGCACTTTGGGTACTAGGGTGTTCCACAGACCTTATAGACCATGTGGAGATTACGAGTTTCCGGTAAAAATGGCAAAATCTTGAGTTTTGGCCAAAAAAAATCATCCTCACTATTTTTCGCCACCAAATTTCCCCATATTAGAACCCTTGCAGGACAATCTACCGGTAAAATCAGCACCCGAACTTCGCTGCGGAGCCGAAAGTATGTTGCTGTTGCCGCTGGAGTCGTGGCAACCACCGCTGGTGCTTATTACATCGATACCAATTATTTGTCATCCACGGCAGTTCGCTCTATCAAAGCATTCTATGTCCTTATGTGGATAGCATACGAATATTCTCGGAACTCAGACAAGTACGAGCGCCTGGAAGATCTCCACGAAGCCACCGCAGAGGCATTGCTCCAACTTTTGATGGAAAATAAAGGATTATACATCAAGCTCGGTCAGGCCATCGCCAACCAAGGGTCGATTTTTCCCATCGCCTACCAGAAAAGGTTCTCCAAACTCTATGACGAAGCGCCCATAACCCCCTGGAACAAGGTGGATAAGGTTTTGCGCGAGGAATTGGGCGAAAACTACAGTGAAATTGTGCAAGTTGACAAGAACCCCATTGCTAGTGCATCCATTGCTCAGGTTCACCGTGGTCGCTTGTCTACCGGAGAAGATGTGGCGGTCAAGGTGCAACACTACTACATGAAAAACCAGATAGTTGCCGATCTTTTGATGTACCGACTCATTTCTCGTATCTATGAGTACGTTTTTGAGCTCCCAATGACAATGTTCACAAGATACGTTCTGGACCAGATGCACCACGAGACGAGCTTTATCCAGGAGAGAAAGAACGGTGACAAGTTGGCGCAAATGATTGCGCAAGACAAAAGCGCCAAGGCATTGAACGTACATGTTCCTCGAACATATCCCGATGTTCTGACGGATCGAGTTTTGATCACCGAATGGATCGATGGAGTCTCGATGGTTTCTCGCAAAAGGATGGAGGCTGCTGGGTACAATGTAGCCACGGCCATGACTCAGTACCTCAGTCTTTTTGGCAGACAATTTTTCAAGTATGGGTTTGTTCATTCCGATCCGCATCCTGGTAATTTGATGGTTCGTTTTGACAGCAACAAAAAGCAACAGTTGGTGATCTTGGACCATGGGTTGTACATCACTCTCCCGGACAAGTTTCGGTGCCAGTTCCGAGACTTGTGGCAGTACATTTTTTCTCTCAATACGAAGGGAATTCAGCAAATTTCTGAAGACTGGGGTATCGGATCGTCGCAAATGTTCACCACGATGGTGACACTTCGACCTCCGCCCGAAGGCAGCCCGGGACACATACCTCCACACATGTCGAATACCAGCGATATGAAGAGTTTATTCAAAGACTTTTTGAGCGACGAGAAACGGTTTCCGATGGAATTGCTCTTCTTGATGCGAACGCAGCGCATGATTCAGAACCTAAATCTCCAGATGGGAAGTCCCGTGAACCGGATCAACCTTTTCACGAAGGAGCTGGTGGACGCTGCGTTGTCGGAGCACCAGCAATGGACAACATGGTTGGGCTTGTGGAGAGTAAGAGTGGCACTTTTGTTGAGCGATGTGGTGTTCTGGATCTTCCACATCAAACAGTTGATTAGCGGCCGGCACGATGCGTCTGACGGCATAGAGCGCTACATCATGGACTTTACCAAGGACTCGTCGCGTGCTATGGGCTTTGACGTGTGGGACGGCGACGACGAGGTGATATACTAGACATTGTACATAGACATATTAACGTGGGTGCACTGGGTGCGCTCATTGGGTTCTGATGCTCATCGCGGAAAGTTGGTGAAGATTGAAGACGAATGAACACAGTGAGTTTCCGCCACCGGGACATCGAGCCTTTTTTCGTGGACAGCAGTGCTGCGTGCATGTCGCAGGACGGGCACATAGTCGCCACGTCGTCTGGGGAGGATGTTTCCATTGTGGATGTGGAGAAACAGGCGATTTTGGCGAAAGTTGATGGCGACGGCGAGCAAATTTCTTCACTTATCATCACACCCGACGGCCGTTACGTGGGTATTTTCTCGCAGTCGCAGCAGTTCAGGGTGTGGGATGTGGCCAGCGGGTCTGTAAAGTCCACAATACGGCTGTCGGCGCCGATATTCATGAGTCGAGCCGACCCAACTTCGACACTTTTTGCATTTGGAGGTTCGGATGGAGTGGTGACGGTGTGGGACGTTGAAGGCGGGTATGTGACACACTCATTCAAGGGCCACGGAACCACGATTTGTTCCTTGGCGTTTTTTGGTGACAATGGAACCGCCGACTGGCGGCTAGCATCCGGTGACATAATGGGTACCGTCAAGGTTTGGGACCTTGTGAAACGGAAATGTGTAGCCACGATCCGTGAGCACAGCTCTGCGGTCCGAGGGGTCTCTTTTGATGCAAATGGACAACTTGTGACTGGAGGAAGAGACCAGGTGGTGGTGGTATACTCGGACAAGTACCGGCCTATCAAGTCGTTTCCGGTTCGGCACCAGGTGGAGGCGGTAGGGTTTGTTACTGTGGGCGGAGAGGAGTGTATCTACAGCGCTGGAAGCGGATCTACGTTGTGGGTTTGGGACAGAAATGGAACCATGGTGGGCCATCTGACCAAGATGCTCGAAACCACCGAAGAGTTGATGGTGACAGATGTGTTTGCGCGAGACCAGGGTGTGTGGTTAGTGATGAGCGACCAGACTTTGGTGGAGGTTTCTCTATTTCCCGAGCAAAAAGATGGAGTTTTGGAGTTTCCGGTGGTACAACGTTTAGCAGGAAACCACGGCACAGTAGCAGATATTTGTTATGTGGGATCCAGCCGCAACTTGCTAGCATTGGCCACCAACTCTCCAGCACTTCGAATCATGGATCCAGCAGCTCCATTGGCGGTGAAACTCTGCGAAACTCACACCGATTTGCTCAACGCTTTGGCGGTGCTGAGCGACGGATTGTGGATAGCCACGGCAGGAAAAGATGGTTTGGCGGTGTTGTGGCAGTGGACCGATGATCAAGAGCTGTTTGTGGTGCACTCGACGTACCATGGGCACGCCGGGAGCGTGACAGCGGTGGCTCTCAGTCAGGAAAATCCACCAAAATTTTTGATTACGGGCTCCGACGACTTGACGATAAAGAAGTGGGTAGTTCCGAGCGAGAAGAACAAGCTCCAAAATTCTTCCGTGAAAGTCGCCCAGTTCACCAGACGGGCTCATGAAAAAGATATCAACAGCATAGCGGTTTCGCCCAACGACGAGTTTTTTGCGTCTGCTTCGTACGACAAAACCGCCAAAATATGGAGCACTACTACTGGTGATACTGTGGGAGTACTAAAGGGCCATAGAAGAGGGCTCTGGAACATTGAATTTTGCCAGTATGCGCCGATGGTGGTGACGAGTTCCGGTGACAAAACCGCCAAAGTATGGTCACTTCAAGACTACACATGCATTGCAACACTCGAGGGCCATACTAATGGAGTCCAGAGAGCCATTTTCGTACGAGATAACAACCAAATTGTCACCTGTGGAGCCGATGGACTTGTTAAAATATGGACTACAAATGGTGAAATTTTGGCTACTCTCGACAACCACGAGAACCGGATCTGGGCATTAGCAGCTAAGGATAACGGTCAGGAGTTGGTAACGTGTGACGGCGATGGATATATGACGATTTGGACCGATAATAGTGAAGAGACTCGGATGGAAAATGAAGCAGAATCGCGAAAACGAGTCGAACAAGAACAGAAATTACGCAATTGCATCGACCAAAAAGACTACAGTGGAGCATTTCTTCTTGCATTGACTTTGGACCATCCAATGAGACTTTATCTGGTGGTTCGTTCAAGTATGGAACTGGGTCCAGATTCGCAACTGCTGTTTCTCGGGCTGAAATCGCTTGAAAATACCATTTCTGCACTTACAGATGATCAGATCTTGTTGGTGATGAAGAGAGCACGAGAATGGAATGTTAATTTTAAAACATTCGACGTAAGTCAGAGGTTGGTACGGGTTATTCTTGCCCAATTTGCACCCACCAGACTTACATCAATTCGCGGAATGGTTCCGTTGGTGGATGGATTGGTTGCGTATAATGAACGGCATTACTCGCGCATAGAGTCACTAATTGAACAGAGTTATATGCTAGATTACGCAGTGGCAGGTATGGGTAAGTAGGGTAGTTTAAGGGAAGTTTAAGAATACGAGCCATGCACGTTGGCGTACGGTTATGTAATGAGCCGCAGTAATCGAAGCACCTTGGCTGATAGATATCACACCACCAACATTCGGCGCTGTACCCATTAGGAAAGATGCGATCGGATAAGGGAAGGAGCAACCCGTGCACGCAATTAGCGTGACAGAGAACAATGCTCGGTTGTGCGGCGTCGCGCCCAATCACCGAGTCTTGCCGGGGCAACCATGCGTGAACCATGCGTAATTGTGCATCGGTGGCAGGGGGTTTCTACGTCGCATCTTATTCGACATATACGCGGTTATTATCGGGAGATTTACCAGCAAACCTAAAAGTTTGATTATTTAGGTGGAAGATGCATGAGCCGCACCAAATGTATTATTTCTTCCCAGTTTTTGCGCCTGTGCAGAAGAAAGGAACAGCAATTGCAGGAATCGCCAACTCTAAGCGAGTGGGGGAAGGAGCGACGTAAGACCGCCGACAAGTCCGCAGCCAGCGTTGGGTTTTATGCATAATAGGGGATGCGGGCTGGCCCCCTTGAAAATTTTGAGGCTCCAATTTCCAGTCAAATTGCTTCTTGATCTCCATCCAATTAGGAGCAACAATATTTTTTGAAACGGCGATCGATACTACAGATCTGTTTCATGTTTCGGCGACTCCTGCAGACACAAGATTAGCGAACGCCCGGATTAGGTTTGTGACGTCAAGCATCTTGCATATGCAACCTATGCAGCCACACATTCTGGATGCAAAATGGAAACTCGATCAATGGCCCGCGGCTAAAATGGAAGCTACATTGGGATGCGTTAGGCACATTGGTACCACATTGCGATGCATTGGGAAGCAGAAATTATTAAAAATAGGTTGCATTGATACGCATATACTAATTAGTAAGATCATGAACCGATACTCTATGAGACTTCGAGCCCTGCTCGAGATTAGGCAGAGGAGTAGTCTCCTCTAATTTTGTATCAGATTCATGGTCTCGTTTCTTGGTCTTTTGATTGGTACATTCGTAACCCAAACATACTTTTTTCGACCTTTCACAATTAAAACAGTGAGGTTTTCTTTCATCACATTTTATGCGTCGCTTGCGGCACGTCAAACATCCGGTTCTGGTCCGACGCTTTATTATGCGGCGACGATTGATTAATGCATTGTTCTCGTCAAAAGATCCGAGCACATGCAGTGGAGGAGCCCCCCAAATTTTTGTGGTATTATCCTGAAAATGAGGGGCTCCAAAGTAATACTGGGGATAAGGAGGTGGGTAGGGTCCTGTGGGAGGAAAGTGGGGATGTGCCATATGTGGAGGTGCGCCGCTATAATCGAGGCCGGGCCCATTAGGAGGTGGGGGATATGCGTAAGCAGTCATGTAGGTATTAGGAGCGCTATGCGGGCCAGTATGCTGGCCAGTATGCGGAGCACTGTGTGGGCCCTGTGGGCCTTGTGGGATATGCGGGCCTTGTTGGCCGTGCGAAGTAGGAGGGGCATGCGCCGGGATCAGACGCGGCAGCACCATGGCGGGGCCAAAGTTGGGCGATGTGTTATACGAACCGGGGGTAATCAGGGTCGCCGATGGATTTCGAGAAAGCAGTTCGATCGACGAACTGATCGACGATCGCGGTTGATGGGGGTAATGCTGCACGGGCGCAACTTGAGGACCGGTTTTCCTAGATGGTGGGAGACTAAAGTAATCTGCCGAGGGTTCCAGCCTTCGGTGATGCTGAGTTGCGTGGGGTACTGGCAAAATTTGGTCGGAAGGTGATGTAGTTGGTGGCGGTTGATATTGTTCGAGTCGAGGAAGAGAATTAACTTCCGGTGTTCTTGGATCATTTCCGGGGGCAATGGGTGATTTATGACCGGAATGAGGAGCCGGTTGTTGTTGGGTGGTTACCATCAATTCGAACACCGACGGAAGTTGGGGCATATCTTGATATGTCCGAGGGAGCAGACAAGTCCGAGGATTGGAGGTGGTGACAGTGGGGGAAACGGCAGTGGCGCCTTTATTGGTATGACCGACCGGAAGTAAATATTCCATGTACAAGCGCAAAGCAATTTACTATATTGGCTGCAATAAAAGATTCTCACCGGAAATGTTCGCGTTTATATTTTCAAAAATGATACCACCCCAAACCCCTCATACGCACAGACGCAAAAAAAAAAATTAAGAAATCATGGCTATAACTACATATGCGGATGCAGATTTAGACACCAAATACATTGACCCTAAGACACCCCGCCTAAACGAAGAAGCATTTACTTAAGATTTTAGCACCGTGGCGCCGCATGCACCTACAGATGCATGCATAATTGCCCGCAAGGCTGCACCTGCAAAAAAAACTCATTCGCGTAAATTTTCCCTTCTTCGCGATATCCTTCGTACAGGCAGGTTGAATTTGTATGACTTTACAATGTGGCCGTGGCACCGGTGCGCAACTTTGCGTGCGGCGGATTGACTTGCCTAGTTTTCTCATGCAATAACCCTCCCACTGGTTGTGCATAAAAATAAGCTATTTCGAACCATCATTATACATACGCATACATGCCACCAAGATTATGCCACCAAGTAGTAACCATCAGTCAAACCATCAGTCTGTAATTTATCAATGCGTAAAAATAGTTCAGTCACGAGCCCACCCACGCCGTGCGGCTCGCCCGATCTTCATTGCAAAATATCTGCGTGGCAACGGAAAACGCACCTTTAGCCTAAATTTTCGCCTCAACTTGGCCCGCCTCATTGCTGATTAACTTGATCATCATAAAAAGGACATTCCCATGGCGGGTAAAGCAAAACCACCTGTGGAACCAATATTGCGTTTGAAGCTGCGCCGCGCCTGCCACCGATTTTCATTGCGTCATTATTGTCACAGTCGGCGCCGTTGATTCCGCTTCTGCTGCCGATGTCTGTATCAGTCGCCACTTCGGTCGCCGTACTTAAATATGCATAGTGCAGTAAATCTATCTCCAGCAGGCCGGTACTGGTACAGTTTGTTTCTGCCAAGACCCTCGGAGTCGTCACCCCCACAGTTATGCGCGCTGCCCCCACTTGAACTAATTCGGCGAGTGGTCCGATATCATTGAAATTTTCAAGATGTATCCATACTTTGGTAATAGACCAATCGATCGTCAGTAAGATCGCCGCAATTGTCATTATCACGGTCGCATTGACGTCATCGTCCGACTTTGGTGGTGATGCATTTTTAGCGATAATGCTTACAGCTTGTAACCCTTCATGCATTGACCTCCGGGCCCGAATCAATTTCGCTTCGCAATATAGCGCCAAGAGTGCATGATGTACATCGGTATATGCGTCGTCATGTACGTCGGAATGATGTACATGACCATGACCAACATCGTCATGTATATCATCATGTATGTCGTCGAGAACAACCATTAGCGTAGTCACAGTAGCCGCTAAAAGTCGGTTCACAACACCCACCAACCGCTTTAACCCCCGATGGGGCCGGAGCGTCACTTTCAAAACCCGAAGCCGTTTAAATTCTAGGGTCCCTATCAAATCAATCACATCCAAATTACTCACATCCAACTCCAAAGTTTCCACATTGGCTGCTAATTCGCGCCCCAACACCACCGCCAGATTACCAACAATCAACTCCCGTAATTTCGACACATGATCCCACCCAACAAAATTGTCGGTATCAGCATTTTCGAGCCGAGTCCAACGGCTCGCTACCTCCGCTACTCGTATACTGGGCGGCAACCACACCCGGCGCATGTTGATGCAGCCCGCGATAATCTTGTGATATTGCGGCGGCACCACCACCCACTGTGCAGGTGCGTAACGTACGTCAATCTCCTCCACAAGCGGCTGAAGCCACGCATTGCGCTCAAGCGCATGCATGATTTGGTGCCACTGCTCCTCAGTTTGAAAGATCAGTTTTTTATTTGTAATTCGGTCATTCTGATATTTCCACTGCTGCGGTGAAACCGGATAGTAGCATATTCTTTGATAGAGTTTGGGAATCAACGTCCTGTACATAGTCCGGCTCGTTTGCGCCATACAAATCACAGATTTCCGCTCAGTAGCACCAATAATCTCATACAATACCCCTGGCGGAAGGCTTTCAAAGGTTGTTGGCATGTCATAAGATTTTCATGAGCTGAATTGTTAAAGAGTCGATTTGCCAAAATGAGAAGAATTTGAGTATGAAGAATGGTGGATCGAACTGTCTCTGGTTTACTCTTCCTTTACCTTTCTTGTTTCCTTCTTTATCTTCCTTTATTTGATTCACTTTCTTCTTCTTTGATTTCTGATTTGTCGCGCACCCAGACACCATCCTGCAGATACGCCACGCGGTCATCAACAAAACAAATAAACATTTGTACCTTGCCATGGATAAGGAGTACCTTGAGGAGGGTAAGTAGCGCAACACGTTCCAATTTTTGGATCAAGTACATTTGGAACCCCTGGGTTGACAACGCGTTCAATTCAAGATATATTGATCACTTTGTGACAAGTCATCTTCGGACCTCCGGCTGCAATTTTATTGTTATTCCTATACTAACTCAGGTTTCGACCCAAAGTCTCTCAAGGTTGCCCAATTGCGTGGAATTTTGAATGAACACAACGTGGCGTACGCTTCGAATGCCAAGAAGGCAGAACTCGTGGATTTGTTTGACCGAAAAATCGCTCCAAAAGCAGCACAATTGTTGACCTCTCATCAGCAAAAAATGGAAAATGGATCTGGTGAAGGATTTGAAAACGTTAGTGAACTGCAATTGGAGACCCCAAAGCCTAAGAAAAAGCGCGGAAGACCGAAAAAAGTTTCCCCTAAAGACGAATCATCTCCAATTGTGCCTCAGAAACGTACTCAAGAAGAGTCCAATGAGTCACTGAAAAAGAAGAAAACTTCGCCTCCGTCTCTGGCACCTTCAAGTGGAGCCAAGCGCAACCGTGGACACTTGTTTGATGACAATTCGAGCTTTTCCGACGATGATTTTTTTGCGACTAAAATCAAGAGATCACCAGCAAAGTCGGCAATCAAAGAAAAGTTGGATCAGGTGAAGGAGGAGTCGCCAATTCGAAAGAAACAACAAAAGCAGCAAGTTGAAAGTCCTCAATTCAAAACCTTAAAGGAAGAAGAAGATAGCTTTGAGCATGGTCGTGCTCTTATAAAGGACCGTAAATTGGCGGAAATGGCCGCTGATTTGGGGGTAACCATTCATGGCACTCCGCCTAAAGACTTTAAGCTTGAGGAATCCAGTTTTGAGTCCAAAATTAGCGATACTCCAAAAAGAACACCAAGAAAATCGCCGTTGAAAAGTGCGTCTCTGACAGAAAAGAAGAAGACTCCCAAGACTCAGACGCCAGTGAAGAGCAGTTCGTCTCCCACGCTTTCTTTGAAGCTGACGCCAGCTAAAGACACGCCAAAGATTAAAGACACGCCAAAAGCTAAAGAAACTCCAAAAAGCTCGAAGGATACCCCAAAAGCTAGAGACACTCCAAAGGGCCACAAGGATACCCCAAAAAGCTCGAAAGTAACCCCAAAAAGCTCCAAGGTCACACCTAAAAGCTCGAAAGCGACTCCAAAGTCTGCGACGCCCAAGAGAACGCCTAGGAAGACCCCATCGAAAGGCTCGTCAACACCGAAAAAAGCGGAGAATTCTGTAATTGAAGAAGAATCTGACGACGAGTCGGATGAAGAGACGGATGAAACTCATCACAAGTCGTCCAATTCCCGCAAAAAGTCGTTCTGGTCGCCATTTTTCTTCATTTCTCTCTGGCTTTTGGCGGTGGTATACGGCCTTGGAGTGTTCTGGTACCGTGAACAACAATACCTCGTTGGCTACTGTGGCCAAGAAATCGAACAGGCAACGGTTCCACCTAATTCACATCCTTTGTTGGTGTCTGTTGGAGCCTATTTAGACGCCAATTTCAAACCCAGGTGTACTCCATGTCCTCCTCATGCCCGATGCTACCCATACTTGGAGCTTGGATGTTATGAGGATTTTGTGGAAACACAACCATGGTACTTCCGTCTTACTCCTACGTTACACACCAATTTGAAAAGATGTGTTCCCGACACCAAAAAGGCAGAAAAGCTCGAGATCATGATCGATGTAGCATTAGACTTGTTGCGGTCGCGCAACGCAGAAAAGAATTGTGGAAGAACTTCCACCGATGACTTCGAGGCAGGCTTGAATTCCACTGAGCTCCATGATTTATTGTTGATGATGAAGGCTCCTTATATTACTAGGGACGAGTTTGAAGAATTGTGGGAAAGATCAGTGATTGAATTGGAAAAAGAACCCGAAGTAATTGTAAGGCAAGTTAGCACATTTTCACCTTTTTCCCAACCTATACTAACCCAGACTGGATTCAGTGATGGCGTACGTGCCGGTATCGTTGACAACTCGTCAAAATCGCAGAAAACCTCGGACAAAATTCTTCGATCAACGTCCTTATCAAACCTCAGTTTCAAATGCCGAATTCTGAATACGGTGATAGGGACGGTGGTTCACTACAAAGGAGTATTACTGGCCATGGTGGCGGTGTATTTTATTGTATTATATGTTCGGTACCGGATTCGCCAGTATAGATTACAGCGACTCCGGGTTGAGACCGTGTACTATGAAGTTCTTCGCAACCTCAAAAAACAGTATAACCTTGCGAAGCAAGACCCATCCATTCCCCTGTACATTGGGTCCACTCAGCTTCGTGATTTGATCTTGACCACTGAAAAGAACTTGAGTCGGAAGCTCAAGCTTTGGAACCGAGTGAGTTCGGAGGTGGAGAACAACTCCAATGTGCGGTACCATTTGGTGGAACATCATGGTGAGATCATGAAGGTGTGGGAGTGGATCACGGACGTGGATACGTGAGCAACTCACTTCTTCAGTAGTTGTCTCCGTCAACCAGTACATAGCATAATAAACATTCAGTCTTTAATGATTTTTTCAGTTGGTGATTGCAATTGCTGCCACCTCTGCCTCCAAATCGTCTTCGTTTCCTGCCAATCCCTTCTCAAAGATCTCTCTTCCCGTCATTCTACCACCGTGCATTTCTTGGTAAGCCTGTGCAACTTTTTCGTCGATTTTCAACTCTTTTCGCAAATTCTCTCTCCATTTCGTCCACAGTTCTTTGGTGACTTTTGTGCCGTGAAACTTTTTCTGTTCCTCCATTTCCTGGGCAAGAAGTTTGGTTTCGTATTCTTTTTGAGCCTTGGTGAGTTTGGCTTGAAACAAACTTTCGGCTTCTTCTTTAAGTTGAGATGTCAATGCAAATACCGACGGTATTCCGATCTGGGCTGCGGCCTCGTCCTCAATTTTCAAAAGAAGAGTACGAATATCAGCCAGTTCGAACCGTACAAACTCTCCCAAATCGCCCAATCTGGGTCCTTCATCCTCGCTATCTTCATCATTTCCATGCTGCTCTACACCCTCATCATCAAATTCTGCTTCCAATGAAAGCTCAGGGACCACTTCCGGGTACTCTGGCGGGTACTTTACATGGAGAATAATGGTGTGTTTTGTTTCCGAAGGTGTATCGAGGGCAATGTGGATGGAGAATTTTTGGTCTGAGATCTTTGTGAGTTCGTCTGGGTAGATGGACTCGAGCACCTCGAGCTCTTGTTGTTGTTCTTCCAAGGGGTCCATGATTAGTTGTGTGGGAAGGAAAAACGAAGAAAATGAAGAAAATAAAATGAAGGGAAAATAATTTGAATGAAATCAAATGAAATTAAAGATGAAGTGATGTAAGTTCTCAGTAGTCAGTCTCACAGTTTTTCAGGTGTGCGTGCGGTGCACGGGTGCACCAGTAAACCGCCGGAATCGCATTCACGCAACGGACACCAACCTAGCTGGGTCACGCAAACAAAGCCAACTTAAGAGGGAGGAGGCCGGTGCAGCGCTATTTATCAAGTTCCGGCCACCCAGGCACCGGCTCAACAAAAACAAGTAAAAAAACCTGGACAATATCAGATAAGAAGACGATCAGAGCAACGATCAATCCCACCCAAACCAAAAAACCAGATTAAACTTTTGTGAACTTCTTCACTTTTCACTTTCCACTTTCCACTCCATTCCACTCCATTCCACTCCACTCCCATGACTTCCTTTGCCAGCCTTTTTCCCCCCAACACCATCATCAAAGATTTTGCATATTCGTCATCGCACCCGCTACGGCTGGGCAACTTTGAAGTGTACGAAAACAACTCCGACGACGAGTATGACGACGACTACAGCTACCACGACGACGACCAGTCGCCGGACGAGATCAATCGCCGGGCGGTGGCGCTTTTTGACTTCACACCGGAAAACGATAACGAGGTCAAGTTGGTGGAGGGTCAGGTGATCTGGATATCCTACCGCCACGGTCAAGGCTGGTTAGTAGCCGAGGACCCAGCCACCGGTGAAAACGGTCTTGTTCCCGAGGAGTACGTGGAGGTTTTTGACGACGATGATCTCGAGGCTGACGGAGACGGAATTACAAGTACAAACAGCACAAACAGCACAAATATCGATGTTGATCCCAATGATTCCAGGTCAATTGTCGGCTCAAACGTAAACTCTAACCGGCCCGACGACGATGCCCCCAAGCCGTTTTTACCGGGAATTCTTCGCCATAACCAAGAAAGCGACAGCGACTGGGTGGACACCGAATATGAAGATGATGAAGAAGATTTGGTAAAACAATTGCACAAAGCGAAGCTAGACGGGAGCGAGACAGATGATAGGTGATAGGGCTAGATAGGGCTAGATAGGTGATTGGGCAGATAGGAGTAATGTCATGAATAACGTCAGTCTATAGTTTGCTTAGCTGCAGGACCGGCCATAATCTACAACAATTCCGGGCGATGAGACCGAGATGGCTGCGGCACCTCTGGGCCAAAACCGACCGCGCAAGCGGCGAGCCCCGCTCAAACCGCTCCCAGGGTATGTTGCCATGTACAATGCGCATGTGAGAGAGTTTTTTGGCGAGCAAAAGTCGTTTGGGTTGAAACCACTGATGGTTTCCAGCGACAGTTTGAAATATGGTGAACCCGATAATACCCCCGGAACTTGGTGGAGTTCCGGGGAGAAAGACAAGTTTTTCCGGCTTCTAAGTCGCTATTCGATCCATTGCGTCGATATGATTCTGGCGGCGCTCGAAACAAAGTCAGAGTTAGAAATCCTCAGTTATTACCATATACTACAAAGATCATTGAAAAAAATGAAACGATATCTGAAATCGGCCCATTACAAAGTACTGGTTCCTCGTCGGAGAACCCATCACAATTTCCGACTCGACATGCATGTTCCGGTACTCATTCTGTATCGAGATATGCCCATTGCGTACGAGATGAGCGAGGCTTTCACATCAATTGAGGAACGGCAGGCGCTCATATTGATCCAGGGCGAACGAAAAAGGGTGAACGACGAAAACCGCCGATTTCAACGACATTTTGATGCATATACCTCGTCTGCAAGTGAAGACGCACCTGACGGGGAAACGGGTATGGTGCATAACGGTGCAGCCGCAGGTTCGGCTGATCCGTGTCTTCTCAACCTTGATGCGGCACTCCACATTTCTCATGGTGTATCCCAAACCGTCAATCATGATTCTGTGCCTCGACTTCATCTTAAATCTTTTGCATTATTGGAAGAACTAGCGAGAATTTATACCTACAAACTTGTGGTAGATGTTGCTGCAAAAAAAATTCAAAGTCGATGGGTAGCGACAAGAAACACAGAAAATCCATCTTCTGTGACTAGAGTTGACATTGAAAGAGCCGTAGAACTGTGGAAAAGAGTTCCTTCTGTGCTTTTTACACCTTTGCAATCCGAACCATTAGTTTCCACCATTCCGCATATCGAGCAGTTGACCCAAAGTAGGCCACAAACTTCCTGGGATGAGCTTATAGAAGAGCAACTTGATACGCTAGTCGAGTCGTATTTGGACGAAAAAGATGGGTGGGAATCTCGGAGTCATGAACATATTATGCTAACATTTTTGAGCAGTTACGGAAGAAACGAGAGGGAAATTGAAAGAAGGAAAGAAGAAACAAATATTGACGAAGAAATGCCAAATAACGAAGAAGAAGATCTGCACGAGTCCATTTCGGAATCTGACTCCGATTCCGAAACCGATTTTGAGTCTGCTAACTCACTAGAGTCCGATTCAGAGTCTGGGTCAGACTTAGTTTCAGAGTCTACATCGGAGTCCGATTCTGACTTAGTTTCAGAGTCTGATTTAGAGTCCGGTTCTGACTTAGTTTCTGACTTCGTTTCCGATTCTCAGTCCGGTGTCCATTTCGATATTCCCAACCAACTTGTATTGGCCCACAGCAAGGTGTTCTCTCGCTACGAGATCTAAGCATTATATATACTAATAACCACAAAGAGAACATCAAATGCATAAATAGTTGCCATGGCAACTAACAAATAATTGTTCAGAGTGGTTTGTACATGTTTTGGTGCCGACTGCTTGATTTCTCCTAAAACCACCGGGGTATAGTACTCAGCATAGTCGGGCGCCAAGCCTTCCAGAATAATATCATGGCGGATCAACACCATTTCAAAAAGGCAAAACACATGGATGCAATAGAATTTTATGGCCAATTGGGCCAACTTGTAAATGGTCACAGACACGGGCCATACTGCAAACGGAAATTTGGAGTTGATGCAAAGGAACGAATGGCCCATGAAAATGGGAAGAAAATTGTTATTTGTATCGATGACAAACTCTCGATAGTTGGCTGGTGTCTTGTCGTCATCATCTTTGCACCAGTCGCTAACTATGTTGATGGCTATGATACCATAGGGACAAGCTATTTGGCAAATGACAAACACCTTGATTATGGTACTGATAGGAGTGTAGACCAAAGAATATTGGTGATGAAACAACAAAAGACCACAACCAATATTTTGTAACAGCAATAAAATAGTTTCACCCACGGGACCGAAAAAATGGCCCATGGAGAATCTGGTGATGAACAAGAGCGATACCGTTACCTGGACAAGATCGACTATGTAGTCGGATGCAAACAAAAACTCGGCATTGCCGTAGACTGCCAAGTGAAAAAGCTGCGAAAAATTGACAACAACCGTCGCTACTATAGCCACCACAGACCAAAACACAGGGTGGTATACTCCATAGCAGAAGTACTTGTGGATGATTTTGAGGTTGTTGGTGTAAAATTCTGACATGATAAAAATGTCTAGTCTTCAATAGAATTGAATTGTGAATAAAAGATTGGTATTCGAGATGACGACTATTCGTCTTCTGCTCGGTATCTGTTCGGTTTCTGTTCGGCTTCTTTTCGTTTTCTGCTCGGTTCTGCTCGGCAAACTTTCAGTTTTCCGGTTTCCGCTTTCGCTAAATTTAAGCAGAACAAATACTAAACTATTCGTCTTATTTCTCCCTCTTTTCTCTTTTCTCGTTTTGTCGCCACCTTTCTCTCTTTTCTGGTTTTTTCTTTCTTCCCTTCTCTACTTGCCGTCGATCTACCAGCGACCAGACACAGTTAGTAGCAAAATACAGAAAACAACACAGAAAGTCAAATCCCCCAGAACCCGCCCAAAGTCCAGAAATTACGCGTGGGTAGGCGTCGTTGGTTATAAATAAAGCCAATGGGTCAAAAATTCAACAAGCCTCGTCTCACAAACTAAGCCCGTTCCAGCTGCACAACGCACTTTGATGTACAAGCGCAACAATGCAGTCTGATGCATCAGCACTAGAAGTAGAGTGGACTATTAGTGTAGTGTTGGCAAATTTGACCCACGTTGATACAAAAGTTGAGGTTGTGGTGGTACTAATTTTAGCCACATGGTCCAGATTTGACTCATTCTGCACAGGGTGGTAATGCGCACGGGGCGCCACAAATGTGGCCGCACGAGGTTCTGGCGGGTGTGCAGAGACGAAAAGAGGAAATGGATAAAAATAGATTGAGATAATGAGAATTACTTGATCTAGATATGAGATTAAGAATGAGATTAATGGGAGATTAATGTGCCATTGAGGTGATCAATGTGAGATTGAGACGGAAATTGAAACTTTGATTGAAATTGAGAAAATCTCGACTTCTTCTTGTAGACTGCAGGCTGAAACACCATTAAGTCTATGTGTCCCTCGTTATCTCAAGTCAATCTGAAACATCTTTGAAACGAATCCGATACTAGTTTTATCTCATCCTAATGATCTCAACAACTCACTCTTAGCATCGTGTGTAACGTCATCCTCTCGCTACCGCACTGCCATTGTTACTCCTGTAATTAGCCTTGATGGCTTAGGCAATTGTCTCCGCAACGCCTCAGTGCCATTGTATGATCAATTACGATAACCAGAATTCAGGTCAACAACGAATGATTAAAATTCGTTACAATTGACTAAATTGCTATTCTACCGATTTGGTATTCTAATTGTCTCTGATTTTCTTCTCATCTCTTGGCTCGTTTCTTTCTCGTTTCTCTAATTGACTGCAAAACACAATGGTGATTATCACATAAGTGCCCTTGAAGAAACTCGTGCTTCTCTCTACTCTCTTATCGCTTCAGAGCAGGAAGATGAACATTGATTTAATCTGAGCCTGAAGAGGTGACTAAATCAAATAACGTCATGATATGAACTCTTATGGGTTCGAGTCACAATAATGAAGATTGTGATTCGCTGTGGTTTCACGTTACAAAATCAGTCATCCAAAGTATATCGAACAGAAATGATAAAGAGGTGTGCTCACTTGAAAGAGCATCAATTGATTTCTCTCGTTTGTTCTTCTGGTGTATTGGTGTATTGGTGTACTGGCAACAAATCAACTAATGATCGCACATCTCAAACCGTCATGTCCCACAAGTTCCAGCCCATCAGCGACGTCATAGACACGGCGCCACGGTCCAAGCACCAATACACAGACATCTACGACGAGCCAGAGAATTTCCTTGAGGTGGAAGTTCGCAATCCGCAAACCCACACTTTTGGCAGGGAGACTTTCACCGATTTTGAGATCGTTTGTAGAGTAAGTTACCACAACAACAAAGTTCACAAACCAATACTAACCTAGACCAACATTCCTGCGTTCAAAAAACGCAACTCCAGGATCCGGAGACGGTATTCTGACTTTGTAGCATTTCGCAAGATACTCGAACAAGAAACTTCCCGAGTAGTAATTCCTCCACTACCCGGCAAAATTCTCCTCAATTCCAACAAGTTCAGCGACCTAAACATCGAAAAGCGCCGAGCGGGGTTAGAAAAGTTTCTTTCGGTGGTAAGTGGCCACCCGCTCATTCAAACTGGCCTGCGAGCCTTGGTGGAGTTTGTGCAAAATGAAAAATGGGATCCAAAGTCCCACGTCTACTAAGAAGCGAAGAGCAGAATACAATCCTAAAAGGCAAGAGCAAAATTGGCAAATTGCCAAATTGCCAAATTGGCTCATAAGGTTTAGATCATTTTTGCTCGAAGGCTGTTATTAGCGCCCGGCACTAATGCGATAATGCGACTAATGCGACTAACGGCGACACCAACACTGCAACCGTTGGTTGTTTGCCCCACACTCCGTGGTTCGGACATCCGCGCACCTTTCCCCTCAATTCGGACTTACACCAACTACTGGCTGACAGGCGAAGCTGTCCTAACTCCGATGGTATAACCACCGTTGCACACCTTGGAGGTCCTGGCGCTGAGTATAACAGTTGCTCGCCTCCACGCAATGGATTTGCGAAAACAACCACCAAAGAAGTTTTTTCGGTCGGTTCCTGGCCGCGATTTTCCATCGGATGATTTTTCACTGATAACATACCACCGGGTCCTGCACGTCGGACATAAGATCACCAGACGCAGATGTGGGGGTCCGATGGAGGTCTATAAAAGTAGCACGGTGGCAGTTGATTTGAATCATTGACAAAGATTTCAAATATGGCCATTCCAACTAAACAAAAAGCAGTGATTTTCGAGACCAACGGTGGTGAATTGCAGTACAAAGACATCGATGTCCCCAAGCCTAAGCCCAATGAGATCTTGATTAACGTGAAATATTCCGGTGTGTGCCACACCGATCTTCACGCCTGGAAGGGAGACTGGCCATTGGCTACCAAGCTTCCTCTTGTGGGAGGCCACGAGGGTGCTGGTGAGGTTGTTGCAATTGGTGAAAATGTCACCGGCTGGGAACTCGGCGACTTGGCTGGTATCAAGTGGTTGAACGGATCTTGTTTGTCGTGTGAATTCTGTATCACCTCCAAAGAATCCAATTGTCCTCACGCTGACTTGTCTGGTTACACCCACGACGGATCTTTCCAACAGTACGCTACGGCCGATGCTGTGCAGGCCGCCCGTATTCCAAAGGGAACCGACTTGGCTCAGGTAGCACCAATTTTGTGTGCCGGTATCACCGTGTACAAGGCCTTGAAAACGGCCGACTTGACTGCCGGTCAGTGGGTTGCTATTTCTGGTGCTGCTGGAGGTTTGGGTTCCTTGGCTGTCCAGTACGCTAAGGCCATGGGTTACAGAGTTGTGGGTATCGATGGTGGTGCTGACAAGGGTGAGTTTGCCAAATCGATGGGTGCTGAAGCTTTCGTCGATTTCTTGACTTCTAAAGACTTGGTTAAGGATGTCATCAAGGCCACCAATGGAGGTCCTCATGGTGTGATCAATGTTTCAGTTTCTGAGAGAGCCATGCAACAATCGGTAGAGTACGTCAGACCTGCCGGTACTGTCGTGTTGGTGGGATTGCCAGCTGGTGCCAAGGTTTCTGCTTCTGTTTTTGATTCCGTTGTCAAGACCATTTCCATCAAGGGTTCCTACGTGGGTAACAGAGCCGACTCTGCTGAGGCCATTGAATTTTTCTCCAGAGGTTTGATCAAGTGTCCTATCAAGGTTGTGGGATTGAGCGAGTTGCCAAAGGTTTACGAATTGATGGCCGAAGGTAAGATTTTGGGACGTTACGTCGTTGACACTTACAAATAAGCGAGGTGAAAAAGGTGAGCCGTATGAACCGTCGAAGATGTATATGATAGATGAGAATTATACGATATCATCTGTGATAAATGTAAATTTAGGATGATACGTAACAAAAGAATTGAAAATAAACTCAACATCAAGCTTTTTGATTAGTGGTGTATAGTCTATTTGGTGATTCAATTCCTCTGAATTTTTGACCACTTCTTGATTCCAGAATTACTGAGCACATGCACCATTTGTTAATTCGAACACTAATGTTTTTTAGATCAACCTAAACAAAATTCCGATAAGCCACGTAAAGTACTAGGCTGTTCGAAATAAACTACAAAACGACAATACTCAAATGATTTCCAACGGTTCCGCCACAGATTAAATCATCTTTCGGTGCGTCTGACTTTGCGCTTCTGCGCCGCACCATCTGTCAAGAAGCTGTCGAAAGTGGAGAGCACTTTCAAGAAGAAACCACCGACTTTGAAAGATGATTAGCCTCATCAATTGGTTAAATAGGTTTTATGTGACTAAATTCTGATTTTCAAGACGTTTTTTTTCTTGAATATCGTATCAGCATGGCTTTGACGTTCAACCGACTATGCGCAAATCGTTGAATTTTCAACCACTTCTTAATATTTCTAGACGGTTCAATGATCGTTTTACTTGATTTTCAATAAGCAGAAATTAACACGCCCGAAGCTCAATTCACAGTTACAAGATGCTATCATCAGATATCCAGGTTACGAGCCAATAATTTTCTTGCATCTGTCATTTTATGCGAAGACTAGTGATAAGAAATTAGGACACTGTCTACTCAGTCAGTTAATCAACCTCACCACTACGCTTAGTCTTCGCTCACTAAATCTGATTACTCTACTCACCTACCTAAAAAGCCTTGTTCAAAGGAGACACCACTGGCTTGTTCTTGTAGAATTGTACAGTCTTGGCTGCCTTGTCGGCAACACCTTCGGGAGTAAAACCTAATGCCTTGTAGATTTCTGGTCCCTTACCCGACATACCAAAACGGTTCATGCCAAAGTGCTCATGAGAGTACTTGGACCATCCGAAGGTGGACATAACCTCGAACGACATGATTGGAACACCGTCTGGCAACACAGACAATTGGTACGACAATGGCTGGTTGTCGAATGTGAAGAAGTCTGCCATGGAGACAACGTTAGCCTTGATTCCATCGTTGGCCAATTGTTTAGCACCTTCAACGGCAATGTTAACTTCAGATCCAGTAGACACGATGATGATGTCTGGGTTCTCAACTTGGTGCACAGTGTAACCACCCTTAAGAGCCTTCTCAATGGAAGATCCTTCGAGATGTGGGCATCCTTGTCTGGACAAAGCAATGATAGAAGGATGAGAGTCGGTTTCAAGAGCAGCAATGTAGGCAGCAGACACCTCGTTACCATCGGCAGGTCTCCACACAGACATATTTGGAAGCGCTCTAAAGTGAGCCAAAGTCTCAACTGGTTGATGGGTTGGTCCATCTTCTCCCAAACCAATGGAATCGTGGGTAGCAACCCACACCACTGGATGGTGGGACAAAGCCGACAATCTCACGGCACCAGCAGCATAAGAAACAAAGTTCAAGAAAGTACCACCAAAGTTCTTGTAGTTGGCACCGAATGCAGCAATACCGTTCATGATAGCACCCATACCGTGTTCACGAACACCGTATCTGATATAACGGCCAGAATAGTCACCCAATTTTGAGGATGGTGGTTGGAAATCAACCGCCTCGGTGGCTCTGGTCAAGTTGGAACCAGTCAAATCGGCGGATCCTCCAATAAGTTCTGGAATCACAGGGTAAAGCTTCTCCAACACAGTTTGAGACAATGCTCTGGTGGCCTGGGTCTTGTCCTTTGGAGTGTAAGATGGCAAAGCATCTTTCCATCCTTCTGGAAGCTTACCTTCCAAACGACGGGCCAATTCGGCACCCTCGGTTGGGTACTTCTTCTTGTACTCAACAACCAATTTGTTCCAGTCACTCTCGATCTTTTGGTTCTCGGCAACATGCTTGGCGTAATCAGCGGTCACCTCAGGAGGAATGATAAACTTCTCATCTGGGTTGAAACCATTCTTCTCCTTCAATTGCTTAATATCATCAGCCTTCAAGGCAGCACCGTGAACAGAGTGAGTACCCTGTTGAAGCGATCCAAATCCAATAATGGTGGTCAATCTGATCAAGGTGGGCTTGTCGGTGACCTTCTTGGCCTCTTCAATAGCATTGGCAATGCCTTCCAAATCGTTGTCACCCTCCTTGATGTGAATGGTGTGCCATCCGTAAGCACGGTATCTGGCCTCCACGTCCTCGGTGAAAGCCACCGCGGTGTCACCGTCAATGGTGATCTTGTTGTCGTCCCAGAAGGCAATCAAGTTACCCAACTGGAGGTGACCAGCGATGGAACTGGCCTCGGAAGCCACACCCTCCATCAAACATCCATCACCGAGGAACGCATACACAAACGAATCGCAGATTGGGAAGTCTGGTTTGTTGTAGGTGGCGGCAAATTGTCTTTGAGCAAGAGCCAATCCCACGGCATTGGAGATACCTTGACCCAATGGACCGGTGGTGACCTCGATTCCGGGAACATCCAATCTTTCAGGGTGTCCTGGAGTTTTAGAGCCCACTTGTCTAAATTGCTTCAAATCATCAACATTCAAAGCGTATCCATACAAGCACAACATGGAGTATAACAAAGCACAAGCGTGACCATTACTCAAGATAAAACGATCTCTGTTAATCCAGTTTGTGTTTTTTGGGTTAAACTTCATTTTCTTGAAGACCGCATGTGCAGCAGGAGCAAGTCCCAAAGGTGCACCAGGATGGCCGGATTGAGCAGCATCCACCTGGTCCACGGAAAGAAGACGAATTGTCGCAATAGCAAGTTGATCAATGTCTGTCATGAGTAGTTGCGTGAAAGAAAAGTTGGGGGCGCGCCGGGCCGGTTAAATACATTTTCACTGAGCAAGCGAGCACGGTGACTAAGCAGTTATTTAATGGAAAAAGAAAACCCATAGCAGATCACGGGAAACTGGTATGCTGGATGCAGTAGGGGCGGAGCAAGTGATGCAATTGTAGGCACAACCCCGATCAAATTTAGTTAGATGGTGAAATTATCGGAATTGGACCCCACGATGTTGGGTGCCGGTTGGGTCTAGACCGGTGCGGCTTATTGATGGTTTTCGCTTCAGCGGGCATGCGGGTGTTTGGGTGTGTTCTCCTTCCCCCACCAAAAGATCCGGAGCGGTTTCCTAATTCGATGGCTGCGACCGGTCCACATATGGCTCCATATCCATTTCCACGTCTAGCACAAACGACCCGGCTCCCAGCCCATTGGCGCTCTGCATCCGCATGGGTGCATCGAGCTCACTGATATCTATTGGAATTTCACCGTCGTGGCCATCCATTAACACTTCTCTTGGCTGGATTCTATGCAAACTTGCAGCCCGATTTATTTCACCAATATCTGAATCCACGTCGGAGTCGGAAGAGTAGGTGTCGTCTGGATCGTGTGAAGGCTCGGAATTTTCGGTGGTTTGTGTGGTTGGAGGGGCCGTAGCCGTATGTATGGGAACATATTCTGCCGCATTGTACTCGATGTCCCGATCTTCGTCGGTCACATCGTCCTCGTCTTCCTCTTCGATTCTGTCCACAGGAACCAACCGCGGCTGTGCCTTGATCGCCGTCATCGTGGGGTCTCGGCCGGAACCCCCAGGACCCTGACCCTTTTCGGAGTTGGACGCTTTGACGACGTCTCCTACAATCGACGCATTTTCAATGGTATTCCAGTCGGAAAAAATACTCTCTTCTTCGTACGAGTAGATCGACCGGGTATTGTTCTTGGTGGGTCGCACCGTGACTCCGGGAATGTAGGCTATGGGAAGAATGTTGGAAGCATTGGTGGTGGAAACCGTAGTTGCGACAGAATTACGATGAGATGGATTCAAATATACCAGCCGCTGCTTCAGCGACGAACCTTTGTGCGATGCTCGAGGCCGGCCCGCGGCTTTCCGTTTCGCTTGTGGCTTGGTAAACAGCTCGTACGACGATATACGACGGTTAGCCATGGCGCCTCGGTTCGGGGCTGTATAGTAGGTTTGATGTCTTCTCATCGGTGGTTTTTCGACGGGATTTGCAGTAATTGCTGCTCCTCCGGGCCCTGCCGCTTCTCCAGGACCATCGCTGCTGCTTCCTCGGCCCGTAGTTGTGGTTACAGACTCCTCGTCCCATTTCATGTCGTTCAACATGAGGTCCAGGTCGTCGAGTGCCACACTTCTTCTCTTGCGATACACGAACCAGTACAACAAAAAGCCCACTATGAGTGCCAACGCCACTACTCCACCTACCGCTCCTCCCACAATGCCTCCGGTGTTGGTCAGACCACCGGTGGACTCGGATTTCACGCACGACGCAATGGCGCACGTATGACAAGTTCCTTGAGTGAACTGGCATTCTTCGCCTTTTTTACACGTGGGACAAGTGGGTACAGAGCAGATGATACAGCCATCGGAGCCGGTGGACGTGGCTCTTTCCACAAGTGTGGGTATGTCGAATACTGTGTCTGATTTTGACATGAAAAAAAGAGACAGAAAATGAAAGAAAAATCAGACAAGTAGTGTTTCCTTCTGCTTTAGTGAATCTCGGGAGGATGTGAGATGTTTCTTTGATTCTCACTGTTTATTGATCTTGATCTTGATCTCTGATGGTTCTTGATCTCTTAAGATGTTGTCTCTTTGTTTTTCTCTGATCTCGGTCAGCTGACTCTATCCTATCTCAGCTTTCCCTGTAATATCAGCAGTTTCCTGAAAGCTAATGAACACTTCGTACAATAGCAAATCTATAGCAGGTTCAAAAATGGAAAATTATCATCCACGTATTTTCCGATCTGGAAAGTTATCACCAACACTTGATCCTAGGTATCAGCCTTCCAGTATCGCAGATAAAACAGAAACGTATACCAATCAAATAAAACTAGTATCAAAAGGTTCCGTAGATGGAATTTGTGTCAAAAAAATCTTGCTTCTGTTAATAGATCAACCCGTTTCAGTTTAATATGTACTGCATCTAGCATGGCTCTGCCCCTCGCAAATGGCTGCAAAGAGTACTACAGTTCCTGGCTACAGTTTGCAAAGAGTTTGTCTATATTAGCATTAGATTTACTGAAACACCTCCCGAAGCTCGGCTGGGAAGTCAAAGTTCTCTTTTCTTCGGGTGAGCCAAGTTTTCTCGTAGTCAAAGTATTTATAGCTTGTCGCATCTCCCGATGGAGTTGGAGATTTCGCTGCCTTTTCTGGAAAATGCCATTGCTTTGTTTCATGGTGAAACACCCATCCACGCTTGGAGAGCTCTCTCGCCGCATTCCATTTAGCCAAGGCATTGCTTCCCTCCAAGTAATAGAAGCAGAAAAATAGTGTGTCATTATCGAACTTTTTCATGATATGGCTCAGGTTCAATTCGTACATGGGTTCTTGTGGATAATCCACCAGCGAAGGGTGGGTGTTGAGCGGGTGGTACTGGCGGGGTTTTTCGGCATCAAACGAGTCCGGACAGTTGAGAAGTGACGTTTCTAACATGGGGGCAGCCACTGCAAATGGAAGAGGGTGCTGCAACCGTCTGGCCGCCATTTGGGTCGAAGCAGTAACACCTTCTCCAAACGTAGATATTACGCTGGGCAGGGTGGATTTGCGAGGAATGGGCGAAGCAGTGGACGACTTGGGCTCGAGTCCTGGAGGAGGTGCCTTGACTACGTTTGAGTAGAGTTTCTTTGGCAAATCCTTCGCAGGTTCTTTTGAAGGCTCTTTTGAAGGCTCTTTGGCAGAATCTTTTGCAGAATCTTTAGCAGAGGCCTCAGAAGTTTGTTCCTTTGGTCGTTGGTCACCGTGTTCATGGTTGTCTTCCTTTTTCTCTCTGGGTGCCTCAACTGCCATCTGTGCCAACAGCCCTTCGTCCACCTTCAATTGATCGTAAAAGTCATCATACTCAACATAATCCTCCTCCTGGTTGTTCTCAACGTAATAATCAAGATCGTCCTTGATTTCGTCGATTTTCTCCGGTGCCAAAAGGTCGGTTTCGAGATTGTGCAACACCTCTTCAAGCCTCTCCACATGGCTCTTGTTACGCGCCAACGACTCGCGCGCGAATTCCAACTCCTTCTGGGCTCCAGCAGTGTTCTTGTTCTTCTTTAACTGCTGGGTAAGTGAAATGATGTCCAGGTCGAGAGTTTCGTTCTGTTGGTTCAATTGGTCAATTATGTCGGAAATATAAGTACACGACTCTGCCTTTTTGGAATCGTCGGCTCCACCAAACTTGTTGAACCTCCGTTGGCTTTGGAGCTCGAGTCCTTCATTGGAGAACTGTTTTATTTTCGAGATCTTTTCCAAATCTTTAAACTGGTCCATAGCATGCTCTATTTTCGTGCGGTTTTCTTGCAACGAGTTTTTGTCTAGCTTGATGCTGCTATCGGAGAGCCACTGCTTGAGCTGGTCACGCAGTTTCTGAAGCTTTTTGATCTCCTTCTTCAAATCATTTTCGAGTTTCTCTCGTTGCTGACCCACGTCTGGCGAGACTAACTTTTCGTACGTTTCATCAAAGGCTGTTAGTCCTTCAGATATCTTTTTGTTGATCTTGTCAAACTCCTGTTGGAGCTTCCGTGCACTCATGGTGAGTATAAGTGTGGTCTTCTACAGATTAAAAGAGCTAGGAATGGTGGTGGAGTATGTGAGAAAAGGCGGACTGTGACGTGCTGAGGGTGCTGACAATTACGCGAAAATGGATATGGACAAACTAAACCAAATTCAGTCTACACACAAGGGATCTAGATGGTATTCTGTTGTCTGGACTGTCTGGTACTCTCAGATATTGGCTAAACGGCATTGACCCTTACAAAAGTTTGCGCTAATCTTCTCACAATGACCATCAGTCGCACACTCACCTATGGCTGCGAATTTCTAGTCATAGGCGTATTGGTTGTTCTACAAATTCTGCTTCTCTCCCAACTCCTGCTTCAAGAACTCATCGCTAAAGTGACTCAACTGCTTGAAATTGGTTTCAAACCCATCAATTCCACCGTAATATGGGTCCACCACAATCTTGCCGAACGACTCGTCCGTCCTCCATTCGCCAAAAAGCGCCACTTTAGCATTGCTATTGCGTGGTTTCATATGTAACAAGTCTTCCTTGTTGGAATTGTCCATGGCAATCACATAATCAAACTTTTTAAACTCACTGCTGGTGATCTGTTGAGCTGAGTGGTTCACAGGAACACCATGTTTACGACAAGTCTTCACGGAACGGGAGTCTGGAGACTCACCAGTGTGCCAGCCTCCGGTACCATACGAATCTATAAGATTGAACCGGTTTTCGTACCCTAGTTCTTTGACTCTACTCTTGAAAACTGCTTCCGCCATTGGCGACCGGCAACTTTGGTTAGTTGAGAGCAAAAATGTGGACCCAGGGTCCCAAGAAGACTGGTGAGGAACTTGGGTGCTGCTTGTGTAGTCTGTGACACTTACATGTTTCCAAGGCATACGAAAGCCACAGATATTTTGGAGTCGTCAGTATTGGACATTAAGGTTTTAGCGGTGGAATTCGCACTCACCGGCAGATAGCGACACCGGAATCAAGCCTAGCGAGAAATTACCGAGAGTGGAACTGTAATCGAATTCTTATGAAAAATAACTCGATTCTTTTACTGCTATAAATATGAGGATGTTAATCCACCGAATCAACGACAACTGCCTAAACTATTATATTAGACTTCAGTTCCACCTGATCGAAATTCTTTCGCCATTCCTCAAACAGAATTGGCTCATGTAGCCAATCTGACCTCTTCACATCACCACCTAAATCATCCACAGCTTCCCTCTTTGGAGGTTCCGACAAAACCTCGCAAATCTGAATTATATCCGATGCCACGACGTCTCGAATCAAATCAACTTGCCTGAAAGACGAAGTGATAGCTTCTGGTCTTACAGAACAGCTCCACTCACCATGTTGAACAGGTGAGAGAGGTGAATGGCCATGGACACTCGCCTTGTCGGCGGCATCTTCTCCAAGTTCAAGTAAGTTAGCAAGCGTAGCATAGAAGAATTTTTCTGGATCTGAAGTAGAAAGGCTCCTCCGGTGAGCAACTCTAGTGTCCGTGGATGAGCGTCCAAAGATCTCTTCCAATGGAACATCGATGGAGCCTCCTTTTGCTGGAGAATATTCCTGTGGTGTATTTTTGTTACTTCCTGGTTGTCCATGGGGAGTAGGGAAGCTGTTCGGGGACCTTGAAGCGCCCACACCGCTTCCTGGAGTTCCAGCATTGGCCGCTGGTGTTGGTATACCGCCTGCATTGGACACAGATTTGGTTGAACCTTTTCTGCGAGACTGTGCTGGAGGTTTCTTGGCTTGAGGTTTGGGGGTAGCTCTTTGAACCATTGGCAGACCCGCCATCATAGGACTGCTGAACCGCGGAGTTTGTCCTGGATGAGTTGAAGGAGGTTTTGTCGATTGCGAGGTAGGAGGTGCAAGCAGCGTTGACTGTTGAGTTTGGGGCTGCACAGGAAGTCTGTTGAAAAGAAGGTTCAGGTTCTGAGTCTGAGTCTGTTCCGAAACTTGTGCGGGAATATTACTAGGCATCTGGCTCTGGTTCATCATTCCCATTGCATTTTGGTTTTGGTTCATTTGGTTTTTCCTTGCTGCAAACTGCTCTTTGACATACTCAAAATACTTTTGGTACTGCAACTTTAGCTTCTCCAATAAATCGGGCCCAGCTAAATACACACCCTTTTGAAGACTCTCCATTATGTTCTTGGTCATGTACTTCATTTGAATGAGCCGCTTCGTTCCTTCGGCATTTCTGGTGAGGATATAGAAGTAGCTGATGATACTGTCGACATTGGAATACAGCTGCGAAATTCGCATAACAGCGTCTCGAACAGCATCCTTTTGCGGTCCGGTCAACGACATGGTAACGTCTTTTAATGCAATGCTGTTTCTGGCCACCTCTTCCACCAACTGCCGAAGTTTCATTTTCATTTCGTCGTTGAGAGGAGGAAGTTGCATGCGCTGCTGCTGCTGCTGCTGTTGAGGAGGAGGAACAGGAGACATATGCATATTCATCATAGGCAGTGCCTGCGCCGGAGCCAGTTGGGGTGGTACTGGTTGAGCTGGAAGAGCTTGTGGTTCCTGAGAAGAAAATTGACTGCTTGGTGGAAACTGCTGCTGAGGAGCTGAAGCAGGAGGCTGCGACTGTTGCATTCGACGAGCTGCTTCCTGTTGCTTCCAAGCAGTTGCTTTCTGGTGAGATATGTACTTTCTGATAAAGCTTTCTTTTTGCACCTGGTCCAAGTTGGGGGATATAGAGCCATTGCTTTGAAGACGACTGAGAAGGTTCATTGCATCACCGCTGTATTTTGCCATATCTTGGGGAGTAATGGTCAAATTCGGCGGTTTAGGAGGCTGCTGTTGTTGCTGTTGTTGCTGTAACATTTGGCTGTTTCTCATTTGGTTTTGCAACATTTGCTGTCTCTGCTGAACAGACATGTTGGAATTGATGTTGTTGGCATTCACATTCAAGTTCGTTCCATTCATGTTTCCGGTACTCATATCCATGTTCTGGGTGTTCAAGTTGGTATTGGTACTGTTGTTCATGTTCACATTCATGTTTCCACCGCGATTCAACCGTTGCTGGTGCTGACGCATTACGATCGAGACATGAGCACCGTGCATTTCCTTGATTACTGGCATAGCCACGGCAGGAATGATTTTCTTCTGGTAGCAGTCGAATATTTGGTTCCATGTGTTCACGTTTGGTGGAAGATGGGGGATTTGTGACAAAAGGGCAGGAGGTATGGGGGTATTGCGAATCATGTTACTAACTTGTTGAAGCTGAGAACCCAGCGGTTGAGTTGTCGCTTGTTGTAAGTTCGGAGACGACAGCGGCTGAGGGTTTTGCTGGCGCATTGGCTGCTGCATGAATCTTTGATTGGGGCTCAGTTGGTTCATGTTCATGTTCATGTTCGGGGACGAATTCTGGCCCATATTCTGGCCCATTCCCAGGCTCACGCTCTGGTTCAAGGTTTGATTTACGCTTGGGTTGATGTTCTGATTCACGTTCTGGTTCATGTTCAGATTCATATTGCCCATGGTCAGGTTCATACCGGACATGTTCATGTTGGACATATTCAGGTTCATGTTCAGGTTCATGTTCATGCCTCCATTCATGTTCAGGTTCATTCCGTTCATATTCAGGTTCATTCCGTTCATGTTCACGTTTCCATTCATCATACTCTTCCTTCTACTGTTCTCTCGGAGCTGCATGACCTTTTGTTCGATGAGCCTCAAATACTCATCTCGACTGGTAGACTTCATGAACGTATACTTTTCGAATTCCTGGGCCATGGTGGCGGCTCTTTGTGGGTCATAGTTGCTGCTCTGGATGTCCTTGAGCGCCAGAGACAAAAGTTGGACCACTTTTTGCCGGTCAGCCCCGGAGTAGCGTGAATGCCATGAGTTCATCTGCTGGTTCATTGGCGGGTTGTACATTTTTTTTTGTTATGAACAAGTGGGTTTTAAGCTTAATGGAACAGAAGAGTGATGTGCTGGAGATTTTGGTCAGATATATGGTTCGTTTTGGATTTTTTCGATTTTCGTTCCAAATATAGTTTTCACTAATGGTATCAATTTACAACACAAAAAGTGCTGCGGACGACAACGTGTCTTGCTGTAGTGCTCCAGTGCACTCTGCTTGCGTTACCACTCGGAACTGTCAAAAATATGGGAGGTTCCAGGTTTCAATTTAAGCTGATCCAAACGAAATCGTGCGGGGCGGATTATTAACTAGCAACGCAGACGACCTTGAGATTTTGGTGGTTGGGCCGGTTTTTGGCGGGGCAGATATGGCGGGGTTTCTTTAACGAAGCCACAGAAAGATATACGGCAGGACCCTGTATATATACCTAGCAGGTTTATTTCAGAGTATAACTTGATTTTATATGTAAATTCTACGATATAGGTTATTTTCACCAGGACTCGGACTCTAGTGTTGGCGGTGCGGTTCCAGATGATGCGGCACGGTGCAGCTGTGTGCAGCATAAGGCTGAACGTCTGGAAGAGCCAGTAGCCGACGTGCATAAGAACCAATTTGGCATAATGATTCGATACGAAACAGTGATTAGAATCTGTAAGCGAATGACCTGATTTAAATATATGCTTTGAAACAGAAAATTGATCTGTGAGATTTGCAGCAAGAACGAATTCGCAGCAAGATCTAGAGTCTGACAAGATGGAGCTAAGATTTCATTTCAGGAAAAAATATATTATGATGTCAGTGAACAGTGCAACGTGAACGTTACATTGTAATGTTACAATGCGGACGACAATTGAACGGTACAATGTAAATTCATTTCATATACAGTGGAACAGATTCGACAAAATAATGTCAATTTACTACTTTCATGGTATTTTTCAGTATCTATACTATATCGTTGTGTAGGTTCGCTTGATCGCACGCTTGTCCCGAGCGCTTTTTTGTTCTTCTTCATCAATATATTCGGTCTCATGTTCGAGTCTCCATTGCTGCTTGGCATACTTGAGACCTTGGGTATTGAACCCTACCTCTGTGGAACTGGTCTGTAACGCTTGTCTTATCTGTTCCTTCACAACCATCAACTGGTTTTTGAGTTTAGGGTCTCGCTGCCCTATCAATTCTCGAGCATTGCTCTTCACAATGAAGAATAAAATCTTACAAATAAGTGAAAGATGGACAATGTTCCCCGCGATTTGACTTCCACTTGTCCACACTTCAATGAGTTTCAACAACTTGAGTGTATAGGAAAATGGCAACACCAAAAGTGCATCTTCCATATGCGACAGTCTGATCTTGGATGCTACGCTCAAGACATATTCCTGTCCACTTACTCCCATTGCCATTAACACCGTATGCTGTGTAGGACGTACTGGAGCTGGACCTGCCTTCAGAGCATTGTACCGCTTCATATCGGCGTCATATTGCTCATGGTTGCAAATATCTTCATATCCAATATCGAGCGCTTCCATGAGTTTTTCTCCAGCTTTCAAAGTTTCCATCGTCTGCTTCTGAACACCCGTAGTCTCTTCTTCGTCTTGCTCACCACTCTTTTCTTGTTCAACACCCTCGAGTAATTCTTCCTCATAAAGTTCGTCCATTTCCTTTTCTCGCTCTTCCTCCAAAAACACCTGGTCGTCTCCAGCCATCCATAAACGAATGGAATGATCGTGAGATGTCGAACACACAAACAGCCCGTCACTACTTGCACTCAAGCACCACACTTCGGACTGGTGTGCCGCTAACTTTTGCACACATTCAAATTTGTCTCCGTCCCAATATTTCACCACTCCATCTTTTCCAGCTGAGAAAAAATTGTGGGTTTCGCCAAGAAACTTGACATTCATAATCGAGTCCTGGTGCCCAAAAATCGACTTGTGGCAGTCTCCGAAGTCAAGACCCCATATCTTGATGTTCTTGTCGGCGGCAGAAGTTGCAATCAATTTTGAATCTGAAGAAATGTCGATGGAAAGAACCGGCAACTTATGACCATACAAGGTCAAAAATAACTTCGAGGTATCCATGAAAAGAACCTGAACATTGTTGTTAAGAAGCGAGATTGCCAACAACCGAGAATCAGGCGATACTTTGACACAAAGAACATCTTCGTTGACCTCAATCGTCTTACTATGAACCATCCGCATCCTCAGAATGGTGGTTTCGGTTCCAGGAACCGTTTCCTTTTCGACATTGAAATTCCAGAATCTCACCGTCTTGTCGTTTCCTCCCGTCACCAACTGGTGTCCATCAGGAGTTAAGTCCAACGTCCATACTGCCGACCCTTCGTCTTCACCATGGGCAGATTCAACCCGGTCAACCAACGAAGAAGATGTCAAGTCCCACAACTCCAAAGCACCATTTTTGAACCCAACGACTATCAAAGTGCCTCCAGGAAGAAATTTGCAACATAATGCGTATCCACTATCCAACACAAACGATCTGATAACGTTTTGGGTCTTGAGATTCCATACCTTGAGTTCACCGTTGGATGCAGTGGCTATTAACTTATCGTCTGGTGAGATATCCATGGCTCTAATGTCACTTCTATGGCCCAACTGTTCAACTGTGTTCTGCTTCACTGGTATGACATCTGTTGGAGTGGCTTTTTTGACCAGCTCTGGCAGAGAAATGGTATAGTACTCAATGGAATTGTTGGCGAGAGAAACCAATAACCCCATTTTTCTTGATGATTTTGGTGCCCATGAACAGGACCGGATTTTGGCGGAAGCTCTTACCGTCGTATATGGAACCACAAGCATGCTGATCTGAGCTTCTTGTATTGACTGCTTGATCTCCTCTTGATCAAGTCCCTTTTCTGCTAATCTTTTTGTTCTTCGAGCAATTCCCTTCTTGATTTCATCGTCCAGTCGTATTCTGAATATTTCAATGGTACGGTCGGCATTCTGCAAACACAAAATGGTCGCTGTAGTATCAGCAATGGAAATATCCTGAAACTGAATCTCGCTCGTTCTGGCTTTACTTTGCTTTTGAAAATTACCCAATTCAACAATTTTCTGTGTATCTGGCTCGGTAAGATCCAATTTCCACACCTTGATCTCATCACGATTTCCAGCCGTAAAAACTAGTCCTCGCTCCGTATCGGTGCCCAAGGACCAGCACTCACTTGAATGTGCAACATGAGTCTCTACACACTGCTGACTCTTCAAATCCCACAATTTGATAAGTCCATCTTTCGAAACACTCATCAAGTAATCTTCCATGGAATCACTGAGGTCCTCATTATTATGCAACGAAAGTAGCTCAGTACCGGTTATCTGTCCCTTGTGACCCTTAAGCTTAAACAATCCTTCTTCGCCAACCAAATCCCACATTATGATACTGGAATCGAACGAGCCGGACACAAGACGAGCTCCGGTTCTGTCAAACTTGAGTATACTCACGCCCGACTTGTGGCCCTGAAACGTCATTATAACAGATGCTGATGCTAAATCCCACACTTTAATGGACCCATCGCTGTATCCTGATGCTACAATGTTGGATTCGGGGTGGTATGCTAATACGGTGACTGTGGCTGGTGCCAGCGAAGTGGGAGCATTGTGGGCTCCAGGAGTCAACCCGTCTCTTAAACGGCTGATAATCTCTCCTGTCTTGATGTCCCATACGAGAATCTCTTCTAAAGCGGCAGTTAATGCTCTTCCAATGGATTTGGATGATTGAAGTGGAGGTAACCATATGACATTGGAGTTGGAAGCGATGACTCCAAAGCTTGCTTCTTGTTCATATCTATCGTATGACTTTACCATTTCACTCTAGCGATGTTGAAGAGGTGCTGGTGATATAGTTCAGTTGTATGCAAATAGGAAGCTATGCTCTTCTCGTTAGCTTCGAATGCGGCTCTGAAAAAAATGGCGATGCGATCACGTGATGTATCTGGTAGAGATGGTGTAAGTAGATGTGGATACCAGACTAAGTTTCAGAGTGTTCGATGTTTCTGTATCATCTCTTTCGTACTAGAGCTTTCCTTGGCTTATTCTAATTTTTTCTGGTGGTTTTTTACCACCAAAAAAATATAGCCTCAAGACAGAATTGACTGCGAAAAGACTAATATCAATACCAATTAAAAAGGAACAACATAACAACTTCCCTACCACTTTTACTCCTATACATCATTTTAAGCACTAATGTGTACGTATAATTCATAAATATAAAAATCTGCAAAATTTGCCATTTTGTCTATATGATAAAGGCACCACTAATGAGCAAGACTACATACACCACTGCTTGCCATGGAGCCGATACAGATGTTGCAGCACCCTTCTTCTTGCCGGTGGATGTAGATGACGATTGCGAGCTGGATTTGGAACTGGAACTGGAACTGGAACCTGTAGGACTTGCAGCATCAGTGCTAGCAACGGCATCTTTGGAACCTCCATTCCAGCAGTATTTTTGAAAACATTTTTCACATTCAGAAGATTGCTTGATACCTCTGCGCTCCTGAGAACGTCTGATGATGGCACATCCCATACAAGTGGCCCATCCATCATCAGTAGTACCATTCTTTTGAGTGGTAACTTCAAATCCGTTTCTTATAACTCCCCATTTTTCATCGTTGTCGTAGGACATCTTGTAGGTGGAAGTGTTGGAGTTATAAGAGTGTCTATGGTTGGGCATGTACACCACCAAGGGAATATCGGTTTCGTTGATATTATTGTTTTTCAGCTGTTGAACAAGATCGGTCATATTCGAAGCATCGCATCCAAAGAACACAGGTCGCTTGTTGAGCTCTTTATCGACGAATTCATCCACTGAAGGAACATATGGGAATGGCGTACCTCTTCCTTGAACCGAGTATTGACGCTGGTAGGTTTCCACGAGAGAAGAACCATTGGGCCAATTTTGGTTGGTATCGGCAGAATTGTCGTAGGCAAGAATTATGTCCAATTTACGAACCGTTTGGATCAATGGATACAAAGGAACATTTTGGTTGTCTTCTCCACCATCGCACAAGTAGAGAGTATCGTTCTTGAGGACAGATCTCAGACCACCATACTCCGAGTCATAGAATGGATTTGGCTCGTATACTGCAATATCATCTTCATCGTTGCTAACCAGTTTCAACAACTTGTTGAGAAGAGATTTAAGAACGCTGGGGATACTGGTTCCAGGAAGTCTCAAAATCACCTGGTTGAAAAGAGAAGAAGAAGTACCCAATACGAAACCAGCATTGTCGAAATTAGCGGTACATTTGTCATTTTTAGGATCACCACCCAGAACTCCACTTCCCAAGTATTTGACGTCGAAAAATGTGTGAACAGATGGATCCCACGATCCCATTTCGAAGGGATTGAACTCAAAAACAGTAGAGTTGCTGTTAATGATGTAAGTACCTGGGGTTCTTCCATCGGCAACCACCACTGGGAATGGCATTTCGTAGTCTTTGAAGCTGGACAAATCTTGAATGGAGGACCAGGTAACGTTCTCTCCACCTTGATCGCCTTCAAAAAATTGGTTGGAAAGGGCACGGCCCCAGATATCAGTAATCGAGGTCTCAAACCCAGCATCTTTTTTGGCGTTGAGAGCATCGTAAATATGCTTGTAGTACTCCACCGTTTTAATGACATTAATTCCATTAGGGTTGAAAATCGAGTCCTCCAAGTCCCAAATTTTCTTTTTTCCGGAATAAATATCAGCCACTGAGATCCAGTCGTTTAAAACCATCAGTCCAACAAGCCAGTTTCCACCGGATAAACCAGCAATATATGTCGAACTTTGCAACAAACCCCCAAGACCATTCTCCGAATCTTCCCCGTCGTATCTGTCGTCCAACCCCAAGAGCTCGCCAGCTCCACAGAGCATGGCACGGTATCCTCCTCCAGAAAACGCTACACCAATGGTGATGTTATGCTCGTCGGAATAATCGTTGATGTAAGTTTCCGCATCAAAGTCAGATAAATTGGCTCTTTCGGATAAAAATTCAATAAGCTTGTTGTTGGTTTTTTCCCACCGATGGGTGATGTAGTCTCTTTCGCCATCGGAGATATTGACAGACTGCCGGGTCAACTCCCCAGACGGACAATCGGTTTCGTAAGGAGCATATTTGTTTCTATCAGAATCGGTTTCCGTAGCCGAAGCCGACCCTGAAGCCGAGCTGCTATCGTCTTCCCATGGCCAATCAAACGCTGCGACAGGGAACACCAATAAATAAATGTACCAAAGGTACCCTAGGATCAACATGGGTAGCAATAGTGAAAAATGCAGATTCGGCTCGGCTACTTATAGTAGCAGAAAACAAGCCGCGAGCCCCGCGTGGTGCATGCACGCCTGGCTTGGCCGATACGAGACATGAAAGAGGTGAGATTATGATGCAATTGGAATAATTGTGTATGATATTCTATGGCATTCTACGTTCTGGTTTTTGTTTGCTTCCGAAAAGCTTTCTTCTTTTTGGTTATCTTCATTTTCCGGCTCGTACAGTCTCATCCCGATCCACCGCAATATGCACGGTCGCAGCGAAGGAATGCGCAGTGCGGACTAAAAATAGCACACTGACCTACTCTCTAGTCAGTTTGCCTGGTAGCTTTCACCACCACGGGGAGCATTCCTCCTGTAGAAATGGTGAACATACGATGACCCAACACCGTAATGAAGGCGCGGATGGTTCCAGCGTGCGAAGTGGTGCTTATAACCGTATTTTCGTGGACCTTGGAGCGGTCGACCTTGTGGCCATTCCACTCATTGTCAAAGAGCTTTTGTAGAAACCCATTGACTCGCAACGACTGTTGCACGAGAGTCTCGCGGTCATGGTCCTTGAACAAGGTGTCTTCCTCGGGAAATCCATCTTCGATTCTAAAACCGTACTTTTTGAACCTCTCTTCAATCACCAGCCTGGACGACCGTTTGTCACAAAGATTCACATTCAATGTCTCACGAATGGCCTCCGTGACAAGAGGACGTGGCTCCGTGATACCCTCCCACGTGAGCACACACGTCCACGAAGAACGTTGCAATGGTGAAACATAGAAAGCCTGGGGTATAGGCGCACCCAATTGCACCTCCTGCTTCCATGCCACATTGTTCTCTTTGGCTTGGTTTATACCCAATTCCGTCAACATGGGGTCTGGAGCATACACAATCTCGCCATCCGTGGTCTGGTTGTGCCACTTGTTTCTCCATGCTTCAAATCCATACTTCTCCACAATCACATTGTGATAGCCCTGACCATGACGAGCCAAAAACACCAATTTGTAGCTCTCGTTGTCCGCAGCCTCGGCATTGAGCTTCTCCAACGTCTTGGTGATCTCGTCCCACGACTTCAACCGGCCAAAGTTTTCCTCGGTGTACCTAAACTTCAAGTCGTCGGTGGCCTCGTCGGTCTGCTTGAAGAACCCTTTCACCACTTCAAATTTCCACGGGTAAACAAGTTTGTTTTCGTCATTTCTCTCATCCTGGCACGCTCTTATACACTTCTCATACTCCAAAGTGCCTTCAGCATCGCCGTGGGCATCGGTATAATCGTTTACGGTGGGTATTAACAAACTCATGAATTACCGTGTGCGCGGAAAATCTCGGACTTTTGTGCTGCGGCTGCTGCTAATTGCACGTTGCCCTACTTTCTGGTCACTATGGTTATTAACCTATCTAATATACACGCTACGTCTTTCTCGATGTGCCCTTGAAATCGGGCTTGAAATCGGGTCGGCGAGCGGAGGAAATGCCTTTCTTGATCTGGAACTTGGTGACGATGGCTATGTGATCCGAGGGAAAATGGGCGTCGGGGAACCCGATGCAATTCTTGAGATAGTTGTCGTCGATCTTTCCCAAAAGCCCCTTGACCCGCAAGTTTCCAGGGGTATACCAAATGTAGTCGATCACCTCGGTAAATCCCGGTGAAAAGTTCGTAAACGGTAATTCTCCATCGTAAGCACTCTTCAACTTGAACACATGCTTAAACCCTTCGTCGGTAAACCGTCCGTAGTCACGACCATCGAGATCGGGATGCTTGGTCACAGATCCACTGGAGAAAAGTTGATACACGGCGGAATCTTTAACAGAGTTGAAATCTCCACAGATGACGACATTGGCATTTTTGACATCGTCGGTGTGGCCAAACTTCTTAAGAACTCCCTGAAGCTCTTCCAACAAGATTCCAACCTGCAATGCCTTCACATCGTTGAAAGCTGGATCCCAATGCAAGTGTGTGTTTGTCACGAGAATCTTCTCGCCGGATTCAAGATGTTGCAAATATGTGATTAAGGCAATATTATCCTTGTTCATGAACCGGTTAAAAAGATCCTTCGTCTTCTTATACTTGTCCGATCCCATGCACACACTGTTGTATTCAAAGTTCATCTTGGTCAACAACTCAAACTTGGAGCTCTTGTAAAAAGTAGCACATCCATCAACCTTTTTAGAATCAACACTACCCATGGTTTTAGATCTTGTCTTGCAGAAAAAGACTCCTTTGTACCCAATTTCGGCCATCACCGGCACCCAGAAGTCATGGAAAGTCCTGGTTTCCACTTCTTGCATACATACAACATCAGTCTTGTAGCTCAATACCTCTTCTTTCAAAGCGGCCCGTCTGAATTCCCAATCTAAAGCCCACGAAGGTGTAAACTTGTACAACTTGCTTGGAGCATAATGTTGACACAATGTGTTGTATGACAATAACGTGAAGGAATCAGGCTCAGAATCGCTTGTGGTAGAACTGTAAGCTTCTGGATTCGTTGTGGGGTCTATGACTTCGCCATCATCCTCCAATAATAACCAGGGACGTGGATTTGGCGCAGGATGGCCCGGTTTCGTATCGCGAAGGTATGCCACGAGTTCTTTGGTGCCTTGTTCGGCAACGATATTGGCGATTTTGAGGTCGAGAGGGTTACCCTCGATTCCCAAGAACAATAACTCGATCAAGTTACCGAAATTGAGCGGGAGAGTCGTGATGTTGTTGTCAAACAAGAAGAGATACCGCAAGTTGAAGCACATACCGAGCTCTGGAGGCACTTCCGAAATACGATTGCGAGACAAGTCCAACGTACGCAAGCTCTTGAGACGTGATATCACCGGGGGAATCTCGGTCAATTTGTTATTGTTCAAAAAAAGCGATTCGAGAAACTCGTACTGGAACAATTTGGGGGACAAGATGGTGAGTCCTTGGCCGCTCAAATCCAATTGGCACCAGAGCTGGCGGCCCTGTGACTTGAGGCGCATGCGCTGTTCCTCTTGCATGTGGTCATCATCGTAATCGGTGGTCATCTTCTTGTTGTGAAGCAATGCTGGGTTCTGGGTGATTGTCAGTTTCATCACCAGTCTCTCTTGTTCTTCCAACACCGCTACCACCTGCTTAGTGGCGTCGACCAAGTTCATACTCTTGACTTCACTGTAAGGATTCTTCTTGCGGGAATTGGCAGCGTATTGCCGGGCATAGAAATGAGGAACATTGGCGGTTCTCGACATCTGACAGAGCTGTTGTTGATGTTGCCAGTAAACGGAGCCGGGATTTGTCACATTGATCGACTCGGTGGTATGCTGGTGGGGCAACAGTGGCAGAGCATACTGTAAGTTTTGTCCGGGAGGATTCGACATTCTCAAATATGGTGGCTGTTGATGATTATTCTGTGATGGTAACAGGGGTAACAGTTGATTCTGGCCCTGTGTTTGGCCCTGGCCATAAGGACCCATTCTGTAATTATACATGTCATAATCATAGTTTCCCGATTGGCCCAGCTGGCCATTGCTTTGAAGTTGTTGAAGAAGGATCTGTTGCGCCTGCATGTTTTGCGGCTGAGATTGGAATTTGGAGTTATTATTCATATCATACGTGTGATTGGCAGTGCGAATGGTGCGCACGCAGTCTCCAAGTGTCCTTAAAGGTTATATTAACGATGTCTACAAAACCTATTATTGAGGAGAGTTCAACAAACTCGATGGCGTCGTGCGAACCCGAACCCAAACCGCGCACCCATACACCGCACAGTTGGGTGCAAAAAAAATGTCAATATGGTTGCATACTAGTTAGTTCGTCAATCATCATTGCGAGATCGCCACGCTGCCTTTGAAGCCTTTTAATTCTATCTGCAGTTATACCAGAGTTGACCAATTTTTTATTGGCTCCTTTGCACAATTTTTGTTTTCCTAGAGTGCAGATATCACAATTGCCGTAATTTGGAGGACAAATAACTTGGCCAAAACCAACAAGAATCGGGTTGATATCGCCCCAGAGTCTTCGTGGTAGCCAGCTTTCCAATTCTAGTCTGGTTTGTTCGGGAGTTCGAGCCTTGGCACTTACCCAACCCCACATTTGCGCGAGTCTATGGATATGAACATCCACCCCAATTCCCTCATTTTTGTACCAGCCTCTCTGGAGAAGAAGATAGCCCATTTTGGGACCCACACCTGGAAGTGCTACAATATCGCGAATGTTATCAGGAATGTCACCGGAATGGTTATCATGGAGCATTTGACTTGCCCTTTTGATATATCCAGCTTTACGATGGTGGAAACCAACTTTTTGAATGCACTGGTTTATATCTTGTTCTGAAGTTGCCAACACTGCTTCTAAGCATAGACCGTTTGGAAAACCCCGCTTCATCAACTCGTCGTCAAGTGTCTTTATAGCTGCAAAGTTGACTTCGTCTTTTGTCTGTGACAGAAGCATGAGAGAAATCAAGAGCTGAAACCGATACGTACGAGGTGAGTCGAAACCATGGGGTCGAATTTTCAGAGGAATACGCTCACAGCCCATAGTATCCACTGGAGACATAAACTTGGCACGCATTTCCACTACCAGATTGTATACCTTATCCCAGTTTTTGGGCGCAAGCGAGGAGGGAACCAGCTCTATGTCTTCGATTTGGAGCTTACGAAAAACATTCGGGGGTTTAGTGCCATCGCACCAGTCCATCTCAGCCTTTTCAGTTGTAGGTTCAGACTTGATTTCAGTTTTGGATTCGGAAATGATTTCAGTTTTGGACTCAGACTTGATTGCGGTCTTAGGTTCTACCTTTATTTCAGTCTTGATCTCGGATTCTTCTCTGCTTTTTTCACCAAAACTCTCAGTTTTTATCTTTCTCTCAGTTCCTTGTTCTAATTTGACGCCTTCAGTACCATTTTCTCGTTTCAAATTTGTCTTTTTCCGCTTCGAAACGGTGGTTTTCGCCACTGATTTGTGCTTTTTTTCACCGTTCAGCTCGTACAGCCGCTTAATTCTATGTACAGCAACTTCCCCAGCAAGCCCTTCACCACCATCATCCGCTTCTGCAAGAAAAAGCCCCTGATCATTCTCAAGCTGTATTCGTTTTGCAGACGCCCGCGTTACCATTAGCCGCATCGCCATTCGAGAATCTGGGGAAACTTTCGTCATTGCATCCGCACACCAGCGTGTGCTTAAGAGCGGTTCCGGCGTGTGAGTCAGATGCGCTTCCAATCATTCTGATTTCAATTCGATACGATTTTTTTAGATACTTTTGCACCTGCGACTCGAAAGCGCTACAGCATTGAGCGACACGAAGCCAGTGTATATTTATTGAGAGTTCTTTCCAAACTGTTTCTGCAACGAAATCAAATACGATTATTGCACGATTAGTTGATTCGATTACGATAGTTGATTCGAATTCTTTTGCAACGATACCCGATTCGATTACTTCTTACTTTCCACAATGGAGCTTCCCAAACCGAAACCCAAACCGAAACCTAAAGCCCGTAAGAACGGATCCACAAACACGAAAACTATTATGGCTCCAGGAGCCGCTCAAGAAAGAGTAGCACAAGCGTGTGATCGGTGTAGAGCCAAGAAGACTAAATGTGATGGAAAACAACCGTCTTGCTCCAACTGTGCTGCTGTAGGGTTCAAATGTATTGTCTCAGATAAGCTTTCACGAAGAGCGTTTCCCCGTGGGTATACAGAGACACTTGAAGAGAGGATCAGACAACTTGAAACCGAAAATAGAAAGCTCGCTGGATTGTTGGAAATGAGACAAGAGCAGTTGGAGTTGATGAACAATAAGGTCGGAGAAACACTCGTAGACAAATCACAACTGAAGAGGGAGGTACTGCCGATGGAAAATGGGCTCGTGGTGGATACAATTGTCGAACCAAGACAAGCTATTACATCGTTGAACTTGTCGTTACTCGATAACCAAAATTCTCATTGGCATGAACACCAGAAGGGGTGTCCCTGTGGATGTGCACAGTTTCCCCATACTGTTCATGAAAGACCAGTATCGTTAGCAGGCTCAGTAGGACCTCCATCTCTTGCCAATTCTGTTACTGGTTCATTGGCGGGCTCGATCGTGAGCGACGACGACGACAGCTTACTCAGTTTTGACGAGCCTCAGAACAATTATTCTGGGGAAAAACCAGCCCCGGGAGCGTTTGCTGCTGCCACAGCTATCGCCGAGATGCAAAAGTCCACCAATCATCCGGTCGACGAACGGAGTAAGCAACAACTACTCACATCTCTAGTTGCCATGTCGATTCCTCGAAGCACCGAAGAAACCCTTTTTGTTCCCACGCTTTTAGCCAAGTTTTGCCAGAGTTTCGGCTACAAATCCAAGCAAAGCGTACTTGCTGCACATACATTGGCATCGTTAAAAGAGCCTGTTCCAAGTACGGGCTCCTCTCGTCCTAACGTGAGGTTTTTGATGGACAGAGAAGACTTTGCACTTTCCGAATCTGAGGTTCTTGCGCTCTTAAAATTGATCCAGCTTCCATCCAGAATCGACTTGGATCAGCTCATCACCACTTACTTCCAGGACTGGGGAAGTGCTTTTCCCATATTGAACAAAAATGCGTTCATGAGTGGATACGCAAAGCTCACAGCAACCATGGAACATAATCGAGTTCAAGAAGTTGACCAAAAGTATGAACTGATAGAGAAGTTCACCGCTATCGTCGTCATCGTTGTAGCACTCAGTTTAGTGTCCAACAAAAACACACATATACGAGGAGACTCCAAGGGCACAGAGTGGTATTCTGAATCATTGGCTCATTATGACTACCTTATTCATCACTTTATTCGACCCAATTGTATCATCACAAAGTACTGCTCAATCCAGTCGCTTCAGGTCCTTTCCTTAGCAATGCAATATTGTCTTGTTGTTGGTGACATCACCACTTGCTATGAGCTTCGTGGAAGACTTATCACTATGGCCCAGCAGTTGAGATTACATAGATGTCCTGCTGCTGTGTTAGGAATATCTGGTGATGGAAATGCCGAGTTTCGCAATTTTTTACAAGGAGAAAGAAGAATTCTCTTCTGGTGTGTCTACTGCTTGGACATTTACTCTTCATTGAACCTCGGTGTTCCACGATTGTTGAAAGATTTCGAAATAGAATGTGCCTTGCCCTTTGCCGGTAGAAATGATGATTCTGATGACGAAAACGAAAACATTGTGATGATCAACAACACTAAACTTTCCATCGTTGGAAAGGTTTCCAAATTTGCGCTTGCGGTCATTTTATACTGCAAAGTCTTGGGTAAAATTTTGGACTCGATTTTTTCCAGATTTGAAAACGATGATATTTATAATAAAGCACTTGTCCGAGACGGTATGCTTGACAATTGGCGGCGTGAGCTTCCGGCGGAGTTGAAGTTTGACATCGATGTCAGTGCGTTCAATATCGGCGAAAACGGCGAAGCGAAGAATGGCTGGACCCATTACAGCAAGCAGCAACTCACCCTCATTTTTCTATTCTGTCACGCCAAGATATTGGCGTACTTACCCATTCTTTCAAAGTATGGGAATCACCACGATGTTGGATTATCGAAAAAGGAACAACTTACCAAGGGTACGGGACAAGTGGGGTCTATTATGTCTTCAGTTACCATGATTCAACAGTCTTCAACTCAAATTTTGGACATGATGAAAAGTATTTCGACGTCCCCTCTGCCGTTCGTGATACCTGTGCCATTAAATCTTCCCAGGCAACAAATACGTTTGGCTCTTTTGGTGGCTCGTGGTTGCTTGGATTATACCAAGGGAGGACCATTAAGGCTTCATCTGAAAAAATTATTGGACGGTACCGTTTGCTACTTGAAGTGTGAAAGTAGACTAAACATCCCAGGGTGTGCTAGTATGAATTCAGCGAAATTGCTCGAGCTAACTGTTCTGGGAGTTTTATCACCAAACACCTCAAAACAGCCAGCGTCAGAGGTTAAGTTTAAACCCCAACCATCCAACCAACCAATCACGAAAACAGCTGTGGTAAGGGAACCTCAACACCGGTTCGGTAATCCATTTTCAAATACCAAATCGCAAGATGAATCTTATCAGATTCCCGATTCAAATTTGCAAGGAGAAAGTGAAAAAATGGACCGTCGTGGAAGCACTACTAGCAGTGATTATCAATTTCCTACCAATGATGGTGACGAAGAACCACCCACGGAAAGTGATGGTATAGAGTCACTTCTTCTGTTTGATCCTTTTAAGCTTGATCTTAAGGGACCTTTACACATGAACGATTTTGCAGCCGATGGTTCTCTTGGACTTGCACCATTTTTGGACCAAGCAGAAACGCTAGAATGGCTGATCACTCAGGACGGAAAGGAGGAATTCGAGAACAATGCTGACGCGTTCTTTGAGTGGAATTGAGTAATATAAATCAATTACGGTATGAGAAGTGTAGTCGGAGCGGTGCCCGCGTCGGACCCGAAACGCACTGTGCCGCGGAACGCCGCACCAAGGTCAGTGGAAAATGTGGGGGAAAAGTACTCCGAAATTTGTCTATAAAAGGCCATTTATTGCAACTTAAAAACCATTTAGGAGTTATTTCATCATGGCTACTTACTCGAAAGCATCATTCAAGTCTCTCAACTACAACACGTTCCGTCCTCATTACCCGCCAAGTTTCTACGGCATTTTGGGAGACTATATAAAGTCTCGGGGAAACCCAGTTCCCGTTAAGTATGCGTTAGATTTGGGTTGTGGCACGGGAGTCGCTACGTATCCCCTTTTGAACATTGCAGAGCGTGTGGATGGCTTGGATCTTTCACCAGTGATGATCAAAACTGCTACAGATTTGAAGCAAAAACGATTGAAAGAACTTGAAATTGACGATTCAAGCAGGATCAATTTCAAGGCTGGCGGTGTGGAATCTCAGCTTTATGATGGCGAAAACCCAATCGAAGAAGGTTCCGTTGATTTAATCACCGCTGCTCAATGTATCCATTGGTTCAAGGACTACGATACTTTTTTCTCCACTGCTGCCAAATTATTGAAACCTAAGGGAGTTTTGGCGTATTGGTACTACGTAGACCCAGTGATCACGTCGTTTTCTGGGCCTTCGAAAGTCGAGAAGGCTACCGCATTGAAAAATGCCTATGATATCTACTTCAAGTATGTCTATGAAGATCCTGAGTATATTGGTCCATACTGGGAGAATCCCGGCCGAGAAATCATCAAAAACTTCTATGTTGAGGTGGACAAGCACATCCCTGAAAGTTTGTATGGAAACAAAAAAGTTAACAAATTGGAGTTGCACCCAAATACCTCCAAGGAACCCAATGAGAAGGACGACTTGGTTTTGGTCAGAAAGGGAATTAAACTCAAGGAATTGGAGGGCTATCTCTCGACTTACAGTGGATTCCACTCCTACAAGGAAGCCACCGGAGACAAGAAGGATTTCATTGGGTCCTTTTTTGCTGAGCTTGAGCAGGTAAATGGGTGGGACAGAAATGAAACCGAAATCGATATTGTGTGGAACACAGGATACACCTTCATTTCCAAAAAGTAGAATCTTTCAGTATGCCGATATTCTTATGAAGCGATGAATATATGAATATTCATTTTCAGCTCTTTCTGCTTTGATCTTTTTGCAGCTTTCATGTCCTGCATGCGCCCGTATATATGTTGGGGTTGCGAATTGGAATTTGGCCAACTCTATGCTATTTCGGGTCCCGTTGTTATTGATCCAGGCCGTGGCCACGTCGTTCGTGATTTGGATATGTCTATCCACTGCCCTTCCTCAGATCACTGAGCGGTACAAAAGTGGAAAAAGTTTCGTCAATGAACCGGAATATCCATATATACCTGTGGGGCCGCGGAGTACCATCAACAATTCCGAGATTTATTTCATCATTGCACATCCAGACGACGAAGTAATGTTCTTTCTGCCTTCGTTGCTTGAATTGAGTCGTCCAGCCCACCATAACAATGTCCATTTGTTGTGTCTTTCCACCGGAAATGCCGCACATCCTAGCATGGGTCCGATTCGGAGTAATGAATTGCGACGGTCGGCTCTGATATTGGGTCTCCCAGCTTCCAATGTGGTTATTACAGACCTGTTCAAGGACGGGATGAACGAAATCTGGGATCCAGCAGCCATAGAGACGGTTTTAAAGAAACATGTAAAATCGAATAATGCGAAAATTGTCACTTTTGATGAAGACGGCATTTCGGGCCACGCAAACCACATTAGCCTTTTCCGTGGCGTCAGCCGGTTTGCCAAGAACCATAATAAACAAGGTATGGAGCTTTATGTGCTCAAAAGTGTCAACTTTCTTGAAAAATATTCGTTCACCATGCTCACCAATATCGAGCTCATCTTTCACCACCTCTCAAAGCTGATCATTGGTAAGGTATTCAACGTCAGCGTGAACATCAGCGTTTTCAAGCTGACGATTGGCAAGAAGTCGCTTCAATTCTACTCCGATTTGAACATGCTTAGCGTGAGCTACGCAGCCATGGCTTACGGCCACTATTCACAGATGGTGTGGTTTAGGTACGGCTGGCTTATATTCTCCCGCTACTTGAACCACAATCAGTTGATCCAAGTAGAATAAGTATACTACAAATTACGGAACCCAAACTGCTTCTGGCACCAATTACTTCCATGCTCAAAGTACTCCTGTTTGGAGATGGAGATCTTTTCAAAGATATCCGATTCGGTAAGCTTTGCGGCGCCGTGCCATGGTCTTTCATCAGGGGCTATCTTTTCGTGTTCCTTTAACTGCACAAACCAATCCAGAGGAAGTTCTTTGACTAGTTCGCTGTGTAATCTCAGCTTGAAATTGGGCAATAATGATGAGCCGCCTACAATATGAATATTGGCCAGGAGAAGTGGCTGGGCAGCTACAGGACACGCCATAATACACTCCACCACCAAGTCGGGCAAGTTTTTGAACGGGGTCAGCTGCAACAGCGTATTGGATGTAGATACATTGTCGAAGATTATTTCTGGATGGTAGAGTGCTTCCGGGACAGAGAACCGTTCGTCAGAAAGCGTCAAGGATTGGGCGTCTGTTGGTGGTGATGCACCGTCCTTCACCACGTAACCTGTAGCGGTGGTTTTGAAGTCAGGTAGCACAAAATTGCAGGAATATTTCTTGCGGTTTCGAAGAGTCTTTTGGTAGTCGGTGGCTAGGAAGCAGGTTTGTTCCTTGATGGTATTTACAAGTATAGGTTCGTCCAGGATATCGTAGTGGCGGAACGACACCATTTCACGAAGAAGACCGTTGAGAAGGTGGCCCCCCACCGGTAGTTTTTTGACTCCTTTCCAATACACATTTTGATAGATGATGGGAATGATCCATGTAGCGTTATAACCGGCATCGATGACAACCTGAAAGTCAGCCGGAGAGCCACTGCCGTCGATCCACGGCACCAAAGACGCCGGAGTACACCGATAGTACTGGGAAAACCCGTATTCTTCAAACACAATCTGGTCGGTGTTGATGGAAAGTTGAGGAAGTTGAAAAGGTGTTTCTGTCAAAACAAGACTACACAGCAGCGCCTCGAACTCAGATGTCCCCACGTCGTCGAAGCAGTAGTCCCATATTGGCTTTTCAACCTCCCAAGTAGTTAAGTGGCCCTGGTCAAAAGGACGCTTGAAAACAAGTCCTGAGTAGTGTTGGGTTTGATTGACATAGTCATTCGATATATGGATCCTGCCATCTCTGGACCTTGCCAATGTGTTGCGGTATTTTTTTGGATTCTTGGACGCGGCAAAACCGGCCTTGATGTTGTAGGAGCCGTTATCGACTACAAACGGCGTGGGTTCCATGAAGAGAAACCACCGGCGCGCCGGTGCGATGTGGCTCTGGTGCGCGGCGCGGTCGGAGTCGGTGTGCCGGAAAACTGGCGCCTGGTACTTAAGTGTGGAAGAGCGATACGAGAAAAAAGTATAGGGTTCACAAGTTATCGACAAATAATACGCACTCTTTCAATTCATACTCGTTCAATACTCATTTAATACTCAGTTTATACTCATTTCATACCCATTTAATACTTGCATTGCTTATATCTGTCACTTTTAACTACCCGGTACTCATCGATATATCAAATTCATCAAATCAATCGCTTCAAATTCTTCACCAAATCGCTACAATCCCTTCACCACCTCAACAATCGATGGCTGTCTTTTCCAAAACACACGGATCCCCAAAAATAAAGGTCCATCATGGCAAACACTCATCTCCATTGGCGCTCTCCATTCGTCTTGAATCCCCACCCATAATGCTCTACGGAGCTCCCCAGGACCTGTCCGGGTCGTTGGTTTCGGGGCTTCTCTTTCTCGAAGTCAACCCTACCAAAAAAATCAAACTTGAAAATGTTTCGTTGTCTCTCACCCAAACCGTCCACTACTCCAAACCATTCATTATTCCATCGACTTCCGTGGCCGCTTGTTCCGACTGTACCACCAAGAAAACCGTGCTTGCAAGATGGGATGCTCTTACGTCTACAACAGAGTTCTCTCCTGGTCGCCATGCTTATCCATTTTCTCATTTGTTACCAGGTTCACTTCCTGCTTCGTGCAAGCTTGGTTCGCACATGACGAGTCTGTATATCAAGTACGAGTTGGTAGCGGAAGCTGTCGGCCGTGATATCAAGCACACAAAAGTTGTACTACCACTAGATATTACCAGGTCCATTTTGAGAGGCCCGGATCGCAATTCTTTGCGGGTATTTCCTCCCACCGAAGTCACTGCTTCTGCCGTTCTTCCCAGCGTTATATACCCAAAGCTGCAGTTTCCGATCGAGTTGAAGCTAGATAACGTCGTAAGCTCCAAAATGGATAAACGCTGGCGTATGCGGAAGCTCATTTGGAGACTTGAAGAGCGCACCAAGGTTCGTGCTTCGACATGCCAAAAGCACGAATCCAAGCTTCGCCAAACAGAAGAGTCACAACGCAAAATACGAAGTAAGTCTCCACCAAAATCGAATGCTGGTCTCCATCATAGTACAATTCAGACAGGAATGCTTATAATACCGGAAACTGAATCTCAACCCCATGAGCTTGACGCTGGAACTGACGGTGTGGAACATGAGGTAGAAGCACCAGAAAACGACACCACCGAGACAGAACGAAGCAGACCCATACACGTTCACGAGACCTTTGTCGAGGACTTTCTTCGAGACGTTAGTCCCACACCTGCTCCTACAATCACACCTGCAGATTCCAACACCAGTTTACAACCATCTCCAACCAACTCCACCACCCAGCTTTACCTCGAAGAAGTGCGCACTGTATCACACGGAGAGATCAAAACTGGCTGGAAATCAGACTTTAGTGGCCGTGGAAAGATAGAGTTGGTGGCAGATATCAACCTCATCAACTTTCTGACTGGCGTCCACAACCACATTGCCAATGCCTCCAGCGACAACCACAAATTGCACGAGGACGACCAGGGACCCATAAAAGGAGCTAATGTGGCATGCGATGTCGAAGATCCCCAGCTAGGAATTTATGTGAGCCATACACTCATCGTCGAGGTGGTGGTCGCCGAAGAGTTAATTCTGAATGAGAGGAAAAGAAGAACCCCAGGCCTTGAACCCGTTCCCTCGAATTCAAGTACGGCTTCAGCAGCAAGCACAACAAATTTGGCACCAACCACTAGCACTGGTGGACTGCCATCTCTCTCTGCTGGAGTCCCCACCGGAGCTGCCCGAGTTCTACGCATGCAATTCAAAATCCCCCTAGTTGAGAGATCAGGACTAGGAATTGCCTGGGACGACGAGGTGCCTCCCACGTACGAAGACGTGCGCTCGTTGAGTCCTCCTCACTATACTGAGTCACCCAGCAGCATTAGCCTGGTGCTCCAAACACCCACGGTAATCAACGGGATTGGTCTGACTCCTTTGGAACCACGAATCTCTCGTGGATTGACAAGTGAAATCCAGGACTTGACTTTATAGTGTAATTAGCTACTTAATCCTGCCTAAACCCACCTCTACTCGCACATTTTGCACCCAATTATTTTCCACTTGCGACCGATCGTAAGCTGTGTTCCTGCAGCTAACGACGCAACAATTTCCTTGTCTCAATATACCAATTGCCTACGGAGTACACCACGCAATCGCCGAGGAATATTGAGGATTCCTCGTGAGCTTCTAACACTTCACAGATACCATAAATGAACACAGACTCGACCTCGAGCCCCAATATGGTTCCAGACAACCTGGTTCCATCGATTGTTGAAAGAGGACATGGCCAAGTCGATTTGGATTCGAATTCTTTGAACCATTCCGACCATGAAATCTCTCAAAATGAACATAATGTTCGCAGAGTTCCCAGCAATTCATCAAGAATCGATGAGGACGAGCCATTGCTGATTTCCGTGCCTTCTGGTCATCACCTTCAAACCCCGAATATTCAAAAAAGAGACTCTCGTCGACCTAGCGGACTCAGAATTTCGTCCAGAGTGTCTTCGGTCACAATGCAGTCTTCTAATTCCAGTCCAGCATCATCCATGACCTCATTTCTCGACCATGAAAATCGTTCACAACCCAAAGACATACTCCGCTACCCAGTGGTGTCGACCCATGCATACTCATACGCTCATCTCTCTCCCAATTCGCTCGCCTTACGACTAAACGTTCTCAGGAGATCGTTGGAAATCATCAAGGATCATCCGAAGATGTTGCGTTCGTTCGAGAAAAACAGATCAATCCTGGACTTTGATCCCCAGATTCCCCCACGATTTTACAACTCCGCCAATAATTCTTCAGAAGACGTCAGCCACAAGACCTCCAATGCCTCGTCTGCAGCACTTGCAGCGTTAATGCGTCCTCCCATGAAGCGGGCAGACAGTCTTCCAGCTCAAGCCTTGAAACAGAGAAAGGACGAAAAATACAAGTCCACCAAAATCGATGATGATTTGGCTCCAGAAAACATCGAACATTTCATCGAGTTGCTTGATAGAGACAACTCCAAGATTGCAGCAGACGAAGAAATCGCTTCGACACTCTATGACCTTTCGCTCATCGAGGAAAATGAGAACAAGGTCGATCATCTTGCGTTGCGATCAACGCTTCTCTACGCTTTATCCACCCCATTTTTGGATTCCGCAACTACTCCCACCACCATTTTGGGTGGGAACCTTCCCCAGACTGGTGGTCAGAGCGGGACCCACACCCCAATCAGTGCATTTCGTCTGTCTGCAACGATTAGCCAATTGACCAATTTGAATCAGGGCAATGTCCCAAGTCCTCAGACAGGCACATTCTCTCGTCCTTTCCATAATATGACTCTGGGAAAGCATGCTCTTCCTCAGTCAGTCTTCTCCATGGAGGTTGATAGTCCTTGGTCAGTAAAGGGAGCAAATGATTTAGCCTGCTTGATGTTCGGAGTACTGAAATCCACCATTATATCCTTGACTCTTATGGATCTTATTGCACCTCAATTTCGCCACTTTGTGACGTCTCGCCTTCTTCACCAGGAGGACAAAAATATCATTCTTGCTGGCGAGATTGTTGCAATTGTCAGGCTGGGAGGCAGTGACTATGCTTGGACTTCAATGTGGGCTAAACGTACAGGATCGACTATCATTTGTATGTTTGAGCAAATTCCTTGTGATGCCTTTGACATGTTACTTCTGGCTCCTCGCAACAACGACGAACCATACACCGTCAAAAGTATCAAGAAGGTTGCGGGCCTGTTGATTGACGAACTTGGAGATCAAATTCACGGCATTAAAGATTTTTCCCACTCGCTCGCTGCTCAACTTAGCTCTCAAAGCAATCCACTAGCTGACGTTCCTCGCGACTATGAGGACATAACACGCATCAACCTGACTAGATACTACACCATTCGTCTCAAATCACGAGAGAATATTCCCTGTGCCATCACCTCAAATCCTGTTGAATTAGACGACGATAGGTGGGAGGTGAAATTAAAGTTACATTCCATGCCTTATATTGCTGGAATGTTTGTTTTAGACTCTTATGACCATAGCGTTCTTTCGTGCAATAATGCTATCGCCAAGAACCTTTTTGGTATAGCGGCAGATGAACTTGTGGGCAACTCTTTCACCACTATAGTTCCCAAGTTTGATGAGATTCTTCTGCTAGGTCTTTCGGAAACTGGATATGATATTCACGCCAATTCTGGGCTTGTTTTACCAGAGCACTTTTTCCGAAGATATGATGCATGGAGAAGGGCAGACGAGTCAGAGAACAAGGAACAACTTTTCTTCAACTCGCAGGGTATCGAGGGTTTACACAGAGACGGCTGCACCATTCTAGTGGACGTCCAATTGAGAACAGTCCAAGACACTTTCGTCTTGTGGGTAACTTACTCAAGAAAGACCAAGGCGAAAAAGAATGCCAAGAAAAGGCAAACACAAACCACCAAGCTGGAAGAAGAATTGGAATCTCCCAAACGTAATTCCCTCAATGTTTCTCGTGTGCTGGAAAACAATACTCCTCTACAAGGCTTCTCGAGGAGCGACGTTGACCTCCCTTCACAGCTTCAATTGTTCCCGGAGAACGAGTCTGAGATCGTCGAACTAGGTTCGAGTAGTACAGAGGTAAGTCGTCACAATAGTTTCAAAGCTCCCAAGTCAAGACCAAAAACACTTGCGCTTCCAATAACTCACTTGAGCCTGCCATTCAATAGGTCGAATCTGTCGGAAAATATTGACGTCAAGATAGCCACGGCTTCTTCGCCAAGTCAACTGGCAGGAAATAAAGAAGCTGACGTTCAAGACCAGCTATCAAGTCTGCCTCTGCAATCTGCTACACCTGCAAGACAAGGTGAAATTTCACACAAGGAGTACACAGAAGAAGAATTGCTGCAATTGGAAAACGACTATATTGCTTCAAAAAAGCAGCAATCTGCTCTCTGGCCAGTCACTGTCGGTGACAAAAGAAGGACCAAAAAGTTTAGTGATTTCCAGGTGTTGAGAAATCTAGGTGAGGGTGCCTATGGAAAAGTGGTCTTGGTTCAACATCGACAAGATTCGGGGTATAAGGTGATTCTCAAGTGTATCGACAAAGAACGTATCTTGGTGGATACTTGGGTCAGAGACCGAAAGTTGGGAACCATTCCTTCTGAAATTCAGATCATGTCCTACTTGACTAATGAACCACATCCCAACATTATGCGTATCATAGATTTTTTCGAGGACCGCAAGTACTATTACCTTGAAACACCTATCTTTGGAAACCCTCCAGCCATCGATTTGTTCGACTTCATCGAGGTGAGATCAAATCTTATGGAGTCAGAGTGCAAATTCATATTCCGGCAAATTGTCCTGGCCATCTGTCACCTCCACAAACACGGAATTGCTCATCGTGATATTAAGGATGAGAATGTCATTGTAGACGAGAATTGTGTCATCAAGATTATCGACTTTGGAAGTGCCGGTTATACCAAACTGGGACCATTTGATGTGTTTGTAGGAACCATCGACTACGCATCGCCCGAAGTTTTGAGAGGTGAAAAGTACGATGGAAGACCACAAGACGTGTGGGCCCTTGGAATTCTCCTCTACACAATGCTCTATAAAGAAAACCCATTCTACAACGTTGACGAAATCATGGAAGGAGACCTTCGCATTCCTTATACTTTCAGCGAAAAGTGCACAAATCTCATCCGACGCATTTTGGTTCGTGACATCCCGAGCAGACCAACAGTGGCAGATATCATGGATGACGAGTGGCTCAGGTCAGACTAACTTTTTCATAAGTATTTTGCTCTCCCCACATTTCGACCTGCATGTTGCTTTCACAAGAATAGCGGGGAAGTGGCTAGCCGATGCCGATGCCGATATCCGAACAGCTGATTTGAATCCCTTGTTCTTCATTCTCAACACTCGCAACTTAAAATGGCCAGACTCAATTATCCTGAACGCCGTACTCAACAGGTTGGAAACCACCTTCGTCCTTCTTCGAAGAATCACGTAGTTTCCAAGAACCCCGATGATGTGGTCATTGTTGCTGCCTACAGGTCGGCGCTCACGAAAGGCAAGAAAGGGAGCTTCAAGGATGTTGGTACAGACTACTTATTGGTCAAGTTTATCGAGGCATTCCTCAGCAAGGAAGGAATTGATCCTACGATCATAGAGGATATTGCTTGTGCCAATGTGCTCAAGGCACGTTCTGGAATTACAGAACACCGTGTAGCTTCAATTAAGGCTGGAATTCCCGATACCGTTCCAATTGTTGCTATTAATCGTCAGTGTGCCTCTGGTCTCATGGCCATCGGTGACATTGCCAACAAAATCAAAACTGGCGAAATTGATTGTGGACTTGCCCTTGGTGTTGAGTCGATGTCGAAGGATCACGGACCAAACAAATCCCGTCCAGAGATTACCAGTATCTACGACAAGGATGCGACCATGCAAAAATGTGTGATACCCATGGGCATCACCAACGAAAATGTGGCCGAGCAACACAAAATTCTGAGAGAAGTTCAAGACAAGTTTGCTGCTGAATCTTTCACGAAAGCACAGCGGGCGCAGGAATCGGGAGCCTTCAGAGACGAAATTCTTCCACTTGAAACTATCCTCAACGACAAAACTCTGATCGTCGATCAGGATGAGGGTATTCGTAAAAATGTGACTGCTGAATCTTTGAGCAAACTCAAGCCGGCTTTCAAGCTGGATGGATCCACTCATGCCGGTAATTCGTCCCAGATCACCGACGGAGTTGCTGGAGTGCTTATGATGAGACGTTCATTTGCCCAAAAGAATGGTTATCGCATCATTGGTAAGTTTGTTCTCCATGTCTCTGTGGGAGTACCTCCCGAGGTTATGGGTATTGGACCAGCCTTGGCCATACCTAGAGTGTTGCAGAAGACAGGACTCACAATTGAGGATGTGGATATTTTTGAAATTAATGAAGCTTTTGCTGCTCAGTGCATTTACTCTCAGCAAGCGTGTAACATTCCCGACCATAAATTGAACATCAATGGAGGTGCTATTGCCTTGGGTCATCCACTCGGAGCCACTGGTACTCGGCAATATGCCACCATTTTGAGAATTTTACAACCTGGACAGATTGGAGTGACTTCGATGTGCATTGGTGGAGGAATGGGTGCTGCCAGCGTAGTTGTTAAAGAGTGATTAAGATATATATTTTGTATCTGGATACTGAAATGTATGCTTTACAGGCTCATGATCTACAGTCTTTACTAAGGGTTTATAGTTAACTACCATTTCTGTTAACGTCGATTTCTTTATTTGCACCCATTTCTCATCGCAGTCTCAATCTCAAATTTCATCGCAACCTCTCCTACGTTTTCAACCAACACCAACTATAATATTCCAATGCATAAATGGATAACACAGGTAACACTGAACGAATACCTACACTTCCTTATTCATTTACCATCCTTCATTCATCGAATTCAAAACTTCAGATCTCTCGCCATGTCACAATATCTCACGTATTCTCCAATATAAGACTCGAACGCGTTCCTTCCGATTGGTTCAGGAGCCCCATATTGTTCACAATCAGCCCAGATTCAAGTTTGGAACTTGGAGAGTGGTCAGGAAAGTACTGGCTTGTTAAAACAAGAGCAGACCCTAATGATCGGGATTACGAAAGAGGTTTAGTTTACCACATTCTGGCTAATCTCTTGGGTATGATTTACCTTGAAAGAACCGTAAACTATAGCAGAATCTTCTGTGAGAATAAATCTTTGCCAGTCCTGGCTGGTACCGTCGAAGAATGTATTCAAAAATGGAGTATTGATGTTCCCAAGAAAGATTCAATTCAGCAATCGTTTTCCATGGCACCTCCAATAATATCCCCAATGTCCGAACCCCATGATACCGCACAATTGGAAACCGATCCTCTCGGGTTTATCTACATGAAATACTATAGTGCTCTATATTCCTTGAATACTCCGCTAAGTTACTTTCCCAAGATGGCATTATCACGGTTCAAAGTCCTTTGCGCAAAGAATAACGATACAGCAAGAGAGTACCTTTTGAAGCTCATTTTATCCAACGAAGCGTTCCATCAAAGGCATGGTGGACCCCATGGACTAATAAGAAATGTGGCTTTTTCGTCGAATTCTGTAATAGAGGAGACTTACAAAGATAAATTATGGGATCTGCAACCGGAAATAAGTCAGTTCAAAAATAATGATGAAGAGCTGAATGCTGCGGATTCTGATTTGGATCAAATCAGAGCCATCGCCTCGGCGCTTAAAGTACGAGAGGCTCACCTACAAATACTTTTGATCTTTGAGATTCTAGATTACGGAAGTGTTCACGAAGAATCACTTTTAGCACTGAACAAAGAACAGCAAGAACTCATTCTCAGACCTCAGCAAATAATCAAGAAATCGCTAGTCCGAAAACGCAAAACAAAAAAGAAAGTGGTGCCCACATTTCTTGGAATGGGCGTAACGCTTGATGAGGAAATTAAGGCAACACCAACAAGTCCCAGTACAAATACTGTTAATGAGAAAAATCTTATTGCGATACTCGACACGTTAATAGAGAATCTCACCTTATGGGATACCCTTGAGGAATCTACGAAAGGGAAGAAAAAGGAATCTTCCTTAGGATTCTTTGCCTATGTTCTAGTGCCCTACTTCAACAAGAGACTTCCAGAAATCACAAAATATGTCATTGAAAAGATCAAGCCTCATGAAAAATCACGAGGGCGTCTGAGACTGGTCTCTTCTGAGCCTGCAAAAGGGCAGGTACCGTCGGGTCAGGAGTCGCTGAGATCAAATCGTAGCACACGGTTCCAAAAAGTGCATCTTGATCCTCAAAAGAACCCAAATCTTAAACGCTCCAACATTTCTCTTGCTAGTAGCGAAGACCTCCTACCTGCCATGTCTTTGAAAAGATCAAAGTCGAACTTGTCTTCCAAAAATTTGCAACGGCGACAAGTTGACATGTCTTTTCCCAAACCTGAGGGCGGCAAGGAGAAAAGAAAGAAACTCAACAGGCTGCAAAGTTTGTACGATCCACCAACTTCAACAGAGTCCATTTTTGGAAATGCTAAAAAGGCGACCAGATCGTTTGCTGCTGATCTAGGAACTATCATTTCTACTCCTGTAAAAGAGAAAGTATCCCAAATCTCTGAGACTCCCAGCACATCCCATCATGTTTCCAATGGCCATGAAGTGGTAGTAACACCAGAGGAGAGGTTTGTTTTGCCAACAGTAACGAGTGTTAAATCATCTGGAATGAGAAACTTGTCAGATAAATTGTACGCGGCAGCAAATATCGCAGAACCCAATGACATTCACAGCACATATACATCGCCAGTGAATTCGCAACAGGCTATCGTAAGCTCAGTGGAAAGAAACCATATAGAGGAAACACCAAAGGATGGTTTGATCATATCGTCACCGCAGAAACTGTCTACCAAGCGCAAGCCTGGCGAGCCGGTATCGATCCAAGAGTCTCCATTTTTCCATACGAGCCTCAATGGGTCACCGACGTCTAGTAACCAACGCACTGGAGTCTTTGGCAAGATTGCTAGAAGAAAACGTTAGCATTGTATCAATACTTGAATTTTATTATAATACACTCATCACTGCTTATTTTCAGCCTCTCCGAAAAAGAGACCTTGTATTATCTCGGAGGAATCTTCCTGCTTCAATACCTGCTCAGCTAAAGCTTCACCCAAACGTTCAGAAAGCTTCTCTTTTGCGCCATCTCCAACTTCTTCTTCCATAGAATCTTCCGATACCTTCAAGGTACGCAACGCATCGATCGCAGACGTCGTCAAAACTTCTTTTTCGTATTCTGGTTTGGTCGAATCTACCACTACCAGGTTATACCACACTTTTAGGTTTCCGACCAACACAAACTTGATAACTTCGCTTCCCATATTCTTGAGTCCTAACAAAGCACCATATTGTGTCCCAGTGGGTTTCGAAGGGTCTAACAAAGCTCTTAACAAAGTTCGGGTGACCCTAGGTCGAAGAGTCGAATAGGACGAGCCGTAGACCTTCACAATGTGTTCTAGTAATATGGCAGCAAATTCTCGAACAGCCAACTGGTTTTTCAACGCTGCCTTTTCCTCTTCTTCTGTTTGTTCTTTGGGAGCAGAGGAAATCTTTTTCGCCAAAAGCAATGTCAAAATACATGGCATCAACGCATGGACATAGGGTTCCAAGAAGATCGTAGAGTTTTCGGCAAGGGCAGATATAACCTCCAACATTGTGAAAAGAATATCTATGTTTCTTAATTGGTTTGTGATCTGTTCGGCCACGAATTGGATGAAGTAAGGCACCAACTGGTGCAATCCTGGATCGCTCTTCAACGATGTCAACGCAGCATCCTTAAGCTCTTGTTTTTCGGGATCAGACGAAACCAACACCTCCAGCACTTTGTCAAAGTATAATTTGAGCTCTTTGGACAAGACGTGCTTGACCAACGGCTTGATCTCAGTGTTTTTCTCGGTTTTTTGTGCTTTTGTGCTACCATTGGCCGCTTCTGCGTCCTTGGCACCATCTCCATTGGCATACAGCAAGATATCGTTGCCCAATATAGAAGTAGTAGCACCACGCAATACTGGAGGGAGGTTTTTGATTTCGGATGGGAGTGGATTTTGAGGAATCATGGGTTGAACACCCTCTATAGCAAGCCAGTGGGCTGTGAAGGTTGCTTGGCGAGGCACTTTGGGGAGTTCCTGGTTTATAAGCTTTTCAAACTCGATTTCATTGTCGTCGATATAGTACAAGGTTTGACCCAGGGCACCGACCATGGTCTCTTTGAAGTTCAAGGGTTGCGAGTTATCATAGCCATAGAGTGGTTCAATGTTGAAGACCTTTAATGCGTGACTTATGTCCTCGGTGGTCAATGTTTTTCGTTTAGAATGTCTCATAAACTTGATAGCGGTTTCTAGAATTTCATGGATTCTGTACTCTACGTCCATGGCAAGGTTCTTGGCTGCCTCTTCTGGCAAGTTTATCCCTAGTGACTCGGCGACATCGCCCACAGTGTCATGGGGCGACCAAAGGGTGTGGGAAAGCGAGATTCCCGAGTTGTTTTCCATGGTTGTGCAACTAGAGTTGAGCTGAAAATCGGTGCGAAGTACACTGTGCCTACAGGCAGGACTGGGAACAGGGTAGTAGATGGTAAAGAAGAAGAACAGGGCACAAAAATTGCTTTTAATTGCTCTTGAATGCTCTTGGTGCTACTTACGGTCTATTTTGACTATACATATTTGTATGGAATGGATCTGACCGTGGTGAACAATTATGTTCGTACGGTCTTGCAACCAAAGAGGTCTCGCAGCCAAGCTAGAAAACCATGCTAGCTATGCTAAGTTATCCCTATGTCTACCTTTCCCCTATTTCTTCTCTCTCTCCACCAACGAGAGCATGGTTGAGGTCCAATAACTTTTTCACTTCCCTAGTGAGCTTATCGACCTTTCGGTCTCGCAGTGCTATTTGGTCAATGAGTGATTCAATGAGTTTTTCCTTCAGGGATTCCCTTGCCTTTTCTAATAGGGAGCCAGCCTTGTTCTTGGGTTCTTCATCTTGCTCATCATCTTCTGAGGTTTGAGTATCTTTAAAGTCATTTTCTAAGTGCTGTTCCCAAGACTCTCGAAGCTTGTTCTTTGAAATTTCGGTGATGATTTCCACATCATGGTTCTGGAGCGATTTGAGCTCATGGATAATACGCTCTTTGCGCCCTCGGGGAACATAGATCGCTATATCTGCTCCCTGGCTGGACCCGGCAGGCCGTGGGTGGAAACTAGGAACATATTGCTTCATCTCATACTCGTATATTTCCTTCACTCGAGGCCCATTGATGGTAGAAATTTCGTCCAAACTTTGCCTGGGCCCAGTATCATGTCGCTCCCCTATTCGTTTGAGAGCCAAAGTCTCGTTGAGTTTGATGGCGATGAGCTCCCAGTAATCATTTTGCTGTTTCTGGGGTCGGAGATGAGGCAAGTATCTAAGAGTTAGCTCAAGTAACTCCTCTCCTAGCTCTTCACGGATCTGATCCTGTTGCTGCTTATAGAACGATTTACTAAAATACCCCATTTAGCAGACTAATTGCCTCCCTGCTATGATTGTATTTATATGCGTGCAACTTTATTCGCAGCCTTGATGCGCCTCCATGCGGTGTCATCTGCAGAAGAATGACTCGGTGCATTTTGACGCCTGTTACCCTGCACGCTTGCTGCAGAAGTGGTTGCGAAAGATACATGCTCTATGAAAGTATAGATTCATTTAAAGTTTATTTGTTTGTTACATGCTGTGTTTACTCCCTACTCTATAATCCCTTATCGGCACGAGACATTTTGGACAACTTTTTCAATTTATCGTTGCCTTCACTAAGCTTGCGTTGCAGCCTCTCATATCTTTCTTCTGCTGCCTTTGCCAGAGCCAACCTGGCCTCATTTTCCGACTGCAGTGTGCCCCCAAGAACATGTCCCTGCGATTTGTTTTGCTTGGTTTGGGCTAATCTCAGAGTTCCCGTTACCTCTTTCTCCAGTACTTTATGCAGCTTTGGTTGCACCTTGACATCACTTGCATCTTTCGATATGCAACTCCCCATGCCGAATTGCGTCTTTCAGGCGCCCTCAATTATGGCTGCATTCCTACGACCATTACGCACATAAATATCGGTACCGCCGCTGACATAAGCATATTTTTCGTTAGTCGTGTCTATCTATGTACATGGTTAACCACTAAATCTCATGTTTTGCACCTCCTTCACGTAGTTAATGTTCTTTCGTAAGTGACGGAACTGAGGAACTTGTATCTCAATGTCACAATCAAATGTTTGTGGCTCTGGCAGGGCAACTCTGGCAATATCTGCAGCAACATCTTTTCTTTTGATCCAGTATCTCACAAACCGAATGCATGAACGGTGGTCCTGGATGTAATCCTTGTACTTATCCAATACAGACAAGTAGAACTCTTTACGAGCATCCTTGAAGTGTGATAAAATAGTCGCATCTCGCAAGGCCGCCCAGTCGGCGACTGGGATATATGTGAACTTGTTCTCATCAAGATGTTTAAGCGAAGCATTCCACTTTTGTAAAATTTCCTCGTTGGAATAGCTTTCTAACAGGCCAGTTTTCTTTAAGCAAACTCTGTAAGAAACGGGGGTCCTCTTGACATTGTAGACATCGTAGTTTTCGATAATCTGCTCTAATACTTCCTTGCTATCCCATGAGTAGTTACCGATGATGGTATTGAGGAATACTTCATCAATAGGCTTGCTCTCTGCGTACATGGCAATGATTTCACGAAGTTTACTAAACGATTCCTCGTTTAATTCGGGGTATTTTTTGAAAAAGATGGTGAACAATGCATTGTTCAAAATCGCATAACGAGAGTTCAACACTAGCTGTTGTTCAGTGTTGTAATGGGCGATACTTGCTCTCCAGAAGTAAAGGATGTTGTCCATTGGTTCATTTTGTTCGTAACAATTTTCAAGCAATGATTGAATATGAGGCACCTTAAGCTTCACTCGGTAGGGTAAATCGTAGTGGACAACCTTGTCAAAAAAGTGCTTAGAGATCTTGATATCCTTACAGGTACCAATAAAACTCAAATGCAAGTCACTGAGAGATGCCAATATTTTGTTTTTGTAGTGCAGCTGTTGAGCTTTTTCGTACAATTGCAATATCGATTCCAACGAATCCAATCCGCGCGAGTAATCGCCTGCGGCAATGGCTATTTTTCCCATTGAAGTGAGAAGCTCATGTCCCACTTTATCGAGTTTTTCAGTGTTGAGCTCGTAAATGTGGAGAATTTCCTCGTAGGTGAATCTATTCTGTTCAAATGTCACCGGTAAGATGACCGCCAAGATCTTTTCATCCAAGTACACCTGGCCGGTTTGCTGGTCATTGACACCATTTTCCCAAAGGTGGATCATTTCTGGATAGAGCTGGAACTGTTTCATCAGATAAAATAAAAACAGTAAAGTTGGAGCGTTTAAGATGGCCTTGAATTCACCATTGGTGATGAGTTCGCCCAAATGAAGCACGGCCTGCTTCAAAAGCACTTCATCGTGGAGGTTCTGGTTTTGATACTGGTCACTGTCTCTGTTTTTGGCGCCAGAAAGACGGTTGGTACGGTTGTTATATACTCCAGAATTGAGAACTTGAGCATACAGAAACAAGTCTCTGGAGACAAACGTATCTCTCAATGACTCGTCTTCCAAAGCACGCGAGAGGTTGTCCAAGGTAGAAGCAAAGGCTCTCTCGCTGTCGTGATCATGAATAGACCGGTAACGGTGGGCCAAGTCGATTTGTTCTTTGAAGTAATTGAGTTTATTTTTCGTTTCCGCGTCCAATGCTTCACGAACAAGTGGATCTTTGGCTGATTTGGATAAAAAGTTTTCAATTTTCGAGTCGACAGACGATGCCGGGCTTTCAGAAAGACCAGCAGCACTCAGGTTGGATCTAGTAAATTGAGAAGGAGAAACAATCGACAGTGAAGTCATCGAAGATGGAGATTGTGGTACTCCAGAAGCATTTGGAAACCCCAAACCATGTTTGTTGTTCCTTACATGCTGCAAGAGCACCGGTCTCAAGCTAACTTGACCGCTAGAAGCTAGCAATCTAAACATAGCAGTGGCGTAATTGTGGTACGGTTATATTGAGAATTCGGTCACCACGAAAATTTGTGCTCCATCTCAGCTGATGTCAGCAGCTTTGGCCAGGGTGCGATCTTGAAATTGGGAGCCGCGACAGATCAGATAAACCATCAGTGGAAGAGAGGACGGTCTAGGCGATAGTTACCTGTATAAAGGGGCATATTTATCAGGCAAACAGACTGCGAGAAGTCTACTGAAACTTTTTCATATTTCTAAAGCTTCGCTTAACCGTCTTTATTCTTCGCTTACTTGATACTGGATATTGCTAACGACAATACCTCGGTAATGGTTTACCCCAGTGAGACCCTGGCACTTCTAGGACAGGATTTTGGGAACAACAAAGATGCTAGGAAAATGCGAGGGCGCAACAATGGCTTGAAAGACTCGAAAAAGTCAGGAAAATTGGGTACATTCGATGGTGTGTTTCTTCCTACCGCCCTTAATGTCCTTTCCATTTTGATGTTTTTAAGATTTGGGTTTATTGTGGGTCAAATGGGAATACTAGGGACATTTTTATTGCTTGTGATGTCTTATACCATCGATATGTTTACCGTAATGTCGGTCAGTGCCATTTCTACGAACGGTACAGTCAAAGGCGGAGGTGCTTACTACATGATCTCACGATCTCTAGGACCCGAATTTGGTGGCTCCATTGGTATCATATTTTATATTGGTCAAATCTTGAATGCGTCGTTGAATGTGGTGGGTTTCATCGAACCGTTAACTGTCAATTTCGGTCGCATATCCGGAGATATTGCCAATATATTACCAGTGGGTTATTGGTGGCAGTTGATGTACTCCACCATTTTGCTTTTCTTGTGCACTGCAATTGCATTGATCGGCTCAAGACTAGTGTCAAAGACTGCTCTCTTTCTCTTCATCATGCTCACTTTGAGTACATTATCTATTCCATTATCCACTGCATTTGTTAAGCCGTTTTATCCTCCCGGCTTCGATATCATGTACACGGGTCCCTCGTGGACCACTTTCAAGGAAAACTTACTACCAAAGTTCACCAGCGGGGCTGCAGGTTCAGTCCAACCTCCGGGTCAGCCAGAAACATTTCGTAATTTGTTTGGTATTTTCTTTCCAGCTACAGCAGGCATATTTGCCGGTGCTTCGATGTCGGGAGAACTCAGGAAACCCAGCAAGTCGATTCCTCGAGGAACTATTAACGGCCTTATCTTCACATTTATTTTTTACCTGTTGGTAATTACATCTTTAGGAGTTTCTATCCCTAGAGATTTGTTGCATAAAGATATCAAGGTGATTCAGACTGTGAACATATATGGTCTCATTATCATCTTGGGTGAATTCTCGACGTCGCTTTTCTCTGTCATAATGGGTGTGGTTGGAGCTGCGAACATTCTTGGTGCTATAGCGAACGATCGGATCATCCCTGGCCTTTCTGTGTTTTCCACCATAAAAAAATCTTCGACACAGGCTACCAAAGCACGCATCATGTGTATATTGGTTACTTGGCTTATTGCTCAAGTTTTTCTTTTTGCCGATATCAATCAAATTGCTACATTTATCACGATGGCCTTTCTTATGACATTTATTGTCACCAATCTAGCCTGCTTTTTGTTGAAAATTGGCTCTGCTCCCAATTTCAGGCCCTCCTTCAAATACTTCAATTCCAAGACTGCCTTTTTGGGTTGTGTATCGTCCATCATAGCAATGTTCATCGTGGACGGTATCTCTGCCACTCTTATTATTGCATTTTTGATGTTTTTGATTATGGCCATACACTATATGACACCGCCTCTGAAGTTTGGTGACATATCTCAGTTATTAATTTACCATCAAGTGCGCAAGTACTTGCTTCGCCTCAAGTTGCAAATGAGTACTAAGTACTGGCGACCTCAAATTCTTCTTCTTTGCGACGACCCTCGTTCGTGCTGGAATCTCATAGGTTTTTGCAACCATTTGAAGAAAGGTGGTTTGTATATTCTTGGTCATGTCGTCATCATCAACGACGGAAACAATGATGGAAGTACTTCAGAGTTTGGTGTCAATGCCTATCAGGAATTAAAATCACAGCGTAATGCATGGGTTAAGCTCCGTGATATATCCAACATTAAGGCTTTTGTGCAAATTGCAGCTGGTCCAACACTTCCATGGGGCGTCAGAAATGTCTTTTTGGGATCTGGATTGGGTGGTATGAGACCTAATATTACCGTGTTGGGCTTTTATGATTTTGTGAAACATGGTGTACAATTGCCTCTTTTGCCCTCGTTTAAGGATAAGCAAAAACTTTTGTCTCTCCCTACGGACTCTTGCAGAAAGGAGCAAAAAGTGTCAATCAAACAATGGGTCCAGATAGTAGAAGACTTGATCGTGATGCAGGCTACCGTCGCTGTAGCGGCCAATTTCAATATCTTAGATCTCCCCAAGCTGGACAAAAAGCATCATTCAATCTTCACAAAAGCCAAGGATCATTTTTCCAAGCATGAAAAGAAGTACATTGATTTGTATCCAATTCAGATGTCATCTATTGATTTTCTCGAAAATGGAAAGTCAATTCTTTCTACCAATTTTGATACCTATACGCTTATATTGCAACTAGGAGCTATTCTAGTAACTGTTCCGGAATGGAAGTATACTTCGCATGTCCTTCGGGTCATTGTCTTTGTTGAACTCGAAGAGGAAATTGAGGATGAAAGAAAGAGGCTTGCGGCGTTGTTGGAGTCGTTGCGAATTGATGCTGATATCAAGGTTATACATCTTGGTGATGGGTCTCTTGACACTTACAATTACATGGTAAAGGGCTATACCAAGACAGCCACTAATAAGAAGGAATACTCACGCGTGGACCAGGTTTTGAAAAATGATCAATGGTGGGCCAATTTGTGCAATGCAAGAGAAACAATTCGAGAAATCGAAAAGCTGAAGCTGCGCCGACAAGCAAGAAATGCTTCAAGGGCCAAAGAAAGTGTGTTTTTCAATCCTTTGAATTTCGGTGGTGGAAATACTCCTGTGGATGAAAGACCCTTCAGCGGTGGAGTTCGCAACAGAAGGTATACTCTTTCGAACTTGCATGATCAAGGTCTTTCGCTTTCGTTCAACATGAAGTCCCAGCATGGAGACCAATTCTTCAAATCCATGCCAGATGACAGCTCTAGCTCGAGTAGTGAGAGTGAGAAGGAAGAAGATAGCAGCGCCGAAAATAGCGACTACAGTTTTGCTCGTGATCTGGGACACAATACCACGGGAAATAACTATCTACGTCCAGAATTAAAGTCGAGAGCGAGTAAGCTCAAACAGAGTGAAGGATTGGGAAGCGGTAGCGGCCATAGGTCTAGCGACCAACTCTCCATACGGTCTTCGAGATCAAATCTCAGGCCCAATTTCTTGTCATACAAGATACCAGAAGCTCAGATCCAGGACAATGATGATAGTGGTGGTGAGGATGACAACAAGCCGTCCATAGGCTTTGTTGAAGACTCGGAAGGCTCTGATAAAGATGACGATAACACCGAACGAGCTGAAGATACGAAGCATGAAGAGCTGACAGTGGAGAAAGTGAACAGAGTTGCGAGCAACAAGGACTATTTCAGCATCAAACCAGTGGGCTCGGAGCTAACCAAAAAGAAATCTGATTTGGGTGGCATGAAATCACCTTCGATACTCACGAACAAGGAAGACATTATGCACAAGATTCAGACTCCCCAATTTTTGGAAGCCGAAGACGATGAAGAGGCTAATGATAGCGGTGATTCCAATGTAGACCCCAAAGACCCCAGATCCAAAAGCAGATCTGTTCCATCATCGGCGTCTACTTCTCGCTCTGACGCTTATAAAGGTCTTCCTCAAATGACATCGGCTCAGGCTACTGATGCTGGACTTACCCGAAAGCAATTGCAAGAAGAACTCAAGAACATCTCCTTCAACGACCTTCCGGCAAAGGGCCAGCATCTTGTGCTCAATGAAATCATGAGACGCAATTCACCAAAAGATTCCACTGATATCATATTTTCCACATTGCCGGCACCTACTCTAGGAGCACATCTCGATGAGGAAGATGCGTTCGAATACACCAATAATTTAGCAGTGTGGCTCGACGGTCTCAGTCCGATTTTCCTCCTCAATTCGCAATCAGTGACGGTAACGACAGCCTTATAAGAGTATACCATTCATTGGGCCTCCTGTTGGCGTCCTGCACCCACTTCGCGATATGAGTTTCTCTACGCAGCGATGGCAGTGATTTCATTCCGAGCAACTAGTGGGTATCTATGATTAAATGTCACAACTACATACTAACTCTAAAGAGGTTCACGCTTCTAGTAGTAATAGCCAGGATGATAAGCTCCAGAAACGTAGAGCCCGTTTAGCGGCATGGAACCAGAAGAAAGCCAGCTCCGAAAAGAGCGAAAACAACGAAGATAAGAAACCGAAAATAGAACTGCTGAAGCTACAGGAATGGATAAAAAGGCGCCAGCAGAAGTCTGCTACACCAGAAGTACCCAGTACAGAAGCATCTCAGAAACCTACATCAATAAAGCCCATTCTTAGGGCGAGACTTAGCACTCTGTCTTCGAAGCAGACACAACTAGTACCAAAAAAACGGTCCATCTTTGACGACGACGATGAACAGGATGATGCTAAGACGGCTAAAAAGGACTTTCGTATACCTAACGAGAAGAAATTACCGGCTTCGACCGAGGAACAAGAGAGTGAAGACGAAGAGAAAGTTCTTGAGCGAATACGGCAGGCGGAGTCTGGAACATCATTTTTGGTAGAGCTGGGTTTTGAGCAGGATCTTGGAGCTGATTCGGGAATCAGTGGCAGCGAAGGAGATGAAGAAGACGACGAAGAAGGTCAGCAACGACTTTTGAGTGAAAAGTTGCAGAAGTTAACTAACAAGGAAAAGAAGCTCATGGCTTTAGATTATACACAAATGGAGTACACTTCGGTCAGGAAAAAGTTCTATACTCCCCCTGAAGAACTCAAAGATGTTCCTCCCGAAAAAGTTACAGCTTTAAGAACCGCTATGGATGGGATAAAGGTGCGTGGTTCAGATTGTCCAATGCCTATACAAAAGTGGGCACAGTTGGGGCTTCCCTCGTCCATTATGACGGTTCTTGAAGAGAAACTTGGCTACGATACCCCATCCCCAATCCAGTCTCAAGCATTACCAGCAATCATGTCGGGCCGTGATATTATCGGAGTGGCCAATACTGGGTCTGGTAAAACTCTTGCCTTTGTGATTCCCCTTATTAGGCATATTATGGACCAGCCACCATTGAAGTCTGGAGATGGTCCTATAGGAGTGATCTTGACTCCCACACGAGAGCTAGCTTTACAAATCCAAAAAGAGTTGGTCAACTTCACACAAGCCGTTGAGCTTTCTGTGTGCTGCTGTTATGGTGGATCTCCCATCGAGTCTCAGATAGCGGATTTGAAACGAGGCACAGAAATCATAGTGGGAACTCCAGGACGTGTAATTGACCTCTTGGCAGCAAACGGTGGAAGGGTAACGAACTTGCGACGAACTACTTTTTTGGTGCTAGATGAAGCCGACCGAATGTTTGATATGGGTTTTGAGCCGCAAGTCAACAAAGTTCTTTCTCAAATAAGACCTGATAAGCAGATGGTACTTTTTTCGGCTACTTTTCCCAAAAAGTTGGAATCACTCGCAAGAAGCTTTTTGGTTGATCCGATAGAGATTGTAGCGGGTGGTATAAGTGTGGTAGCACCCGAAATTACGCAACGGGTTGTGTTGATTGACGATTCAGGAGACATATCGCAGAAGAAGCTACAAGCATTGCTCAAGATCGTTGACGAATTCTCCGTCGAGGACCCAGAGGGCAAGATTTTGATATTTGTTGATAAACAGGAAGCCGCTGATGACTTGATGGTTCGACTTTTGAATAATCAAATTCTGTGCATTGTGATCCACGGAGGAAAAGATCAAGTGGACCGAAAACATGCAATCAAGCAATTTTCCGATAAGAATGGACTTCGAGTTCTCATAGCCACTTCTATCGCTGCTCGTGGTCTTGATGTAAGAGGGTTGAATTTGGTTATAAACTACGACGCCCCAAGTCATATGGAAGACTATGTTCATCGTGTTGGTCGTACAGGTAGAGCTGGAGCCACCGGAACGGCTGTGACGCTCGTGCTATCCAGTCAAGAAAGAGAGATCAGAGACTTGGTGAGAGCTATGAAGATGAGTGGAAAAGTCGATGATATTCCTGCTGAATTGCAAAGTATAGCAGACAAGTTTTTGAAGAAGGTCAAATCTGGCGAGGAAAAGTTCAATTCTGGCTTTGGAGGAAAGGGCCTTGAAAATTTACAGGAGAGGCGTGACAATGTGAGAGAAATAGAGATGCAGATGTATGGAGATAAGGTGAAGGAAACCAATGGGGTATCCAATTCCTCAGCGGGAAGAAAAGCACTTGGTACTCCAGAGGCAGCTGAAATAGCAGGAATCAAGCTTCCTGATTTTGATATCGTTGAAGGTAGAGCACCAGAGACCTCTGGACCTGACAGATGCAAATTTCACTCCAGAATCGAAATCAACGACTTGCCTCAAAAAGCGAGGTGGGTGGTGGTTAATCGTGATAGTTTGTCCAAGATTATCGATGCTACCTCTACGTCAATTACAAGCAAAGGTCAATATTATCCTCCAAATTCCAAGTTGCCCAAACCTACCATCAAATATGGACGTGAAATCCCACCTCCGCCTAAACTTTATTTGCTTGTGGAGGGCCTAACAAAGTCAGCAGTACAGGAAGCCAACAAGCTTCTCCGTCAGAAAATGATAGAGGGTGTGGATGTTGCAACAGAAGAGGATGCCAAGGCCCCAATTGGTCGATACAATGTATAGACTTTAATTGCATTGGGGGCTGATGCAACGTCAGATAAGCGCTACGATTGAAATAGCAGAAGCTTAGCTTTCCAATCGTGTATTGCTCATCGGATAGTATTATAATGCTGCAAAAAGCTACCTTTGAGGGTACTATCAACTCGATGAAACTCAGCTATTTCCCGATTTTACGATCCAGCATCAAGTCCACCTAACACTCACATACTGCAATATACATGAGTACGAATAAACACTAGTAACCAACTTCATGTGACCCATATATTCCATCGGCTACCCCAGCTTTTTCCCTGCATACACACCCGATGCCTCGGTTAATGCGCGGGGTACCACCTTTCTTATAAATCTCTTTTATTTCTACGTGAGCTGGAATGGTAGAGTCTGCTGAAGCATATAAGCAATACGACGAGTTCGTCGTCACGGAAGTGGAACTGGGTTTATGGCATGTTCAATTGAACAACCCCAAGACTTTGAATGCTTTCTCCGAGACGACGTGGAGACAATATGGCGAAATTTTCACCAAGCTTGATGCCGATCCAGAGGTCAATGTGATCTTGGTGTCTTCCACTTCGCCCAGGGCGTTCAGTAGTGGTCTTAACTTGAAATCTGCCATTGCAACTTTTGGTCAAAGCGTGGACATGAATAATGAGGAACGTTACAATCATATGCACCAACATATCAGAGACTTCCAGCACTGTATCACCACGCCAGCCAGAATCAACACTCCTACAATTGGGTTGCTCAATGGTGTGAGCTATGGATTGGCGTTAGATATGGCCGCGTGCTACACCATTAGAGTGGCAGTTGAAGGTGTCAAGTTTTCCATCCGTGAAATCAAAATTGGAATTTCTGCGGACATTGGTTCGTTGCAGAGACTCCCTGCTTTGGTCAACAACAAGTCCGCGTTGTACCAACATGCCCTTACTGGCGACATCTTCGGAGCCGACGAAGCGTTCCGCTTAGGTTTTGTTAGCAGAGTGTTACCTGATTTGGAATCTGGCGTCGAGTACATAAAGGAGGTTGGTCTGGATATCGCTGGAAACCAGCAATGGGCCATCTACGGTACGAAAAAATCTATCCAAGAGATCACCGATGGACTTTCTGTGGAGCAGGGCTTAAAAAATATTGCCCATCACAATGCAACGCATATTGACAAAAGATTCATCCTGGCCATGATGGGAGTCAAGTTGTAGTGGACGATAGTGAAAACGTCGTGAAATTGGTGGAAAATCTTAGACAAGTTCTCACTCTGCCTGCTCCTCTGTCGTGCTTATTGCCGGTCGCAGCCGTTATGATATATGCAGTATTTAGTTAGCGAATTAAACTGAAAAATTTCATTACAGCGATCATGAGCTACCTTCCAAGCCGATCTTTGAGGGCTGTCGGTACTTCACGGCGATATGCATCGGGCCTCGCGGTTTCTCTAGGGGAAGCGTCGTACCATCATGCTTCAAGTAGTATCAAGCTGACCTCAGGCGCCAAATCTCAATCGTCTGTAGCATTGATGATGGACAGTTTGCCGTCTCAAAGTTGTATTGGGAATCTTTCGGTGGCCTATTCTTCGAGCTTGAAGCCGTATGTTCCTCGCGGGTCATCTCGGATAAAGAGAAATATCATCAACTTGCTCGAGAATCGAAAATATGAGCAGGTTTTGGACCTACTTCTTCGATGGACCGAGTCTAGTGTCAATAATTCGTGGAAATCCACTATTAGTGAACGTGAAATGGCATTTTTCATTGGAGCGATTGTCAAGTATCAGTTATATGTCATTGCTGAAGCTGCAGATGCCAAAGGCATTCATCGGGACATCAATGTAACCCACCAAAAGTTTGCTGAAGCGAGAAGCTTGAGAGAGAAAATACGAGGTTTGTACAGCATTTTGTTGTATGGAAGCACCGAAGAATCGCTTTATGAGCGGCTGAAACGTGCCAATGTATACAACTCCGACCATTATACCGGTTACCTTCTCACTCAAGCGGACTATGAAAATTTAATTTCTCTCGAGTTGGGAAACCAAAAGCTTGATTTAGCATCCAAATGGTTCCAGAGATTCCACAGCCAGTTCGAGGAACCACTTACAAAATACACTTATGACATGTGGGTTCTAAAATTCAAGGTATATTGTGGTGGTGCACCATTTTTGTGGACCAGTCCAAAAACAGATGTTGGACGTAATGACATTAGACGCCGAAGAGGTATTTTTCGGGCCGAAAAACCATGGATTGAAGTCTTTGATGAATACCTAAGAACCATTCTGCGCACAACCAATTCCCAGCCTGTCCTCGATAACAAGATGAACGAGGTTTTAATCTCATGCATGGGCTATAATGGCAGCTTGAGCTATTTGACCAAATACATTGAAAGCGTATGGGGAATAACCGCACAAGGTAAGAGCAAGTTTCGACTCGAAAAGTCCAATTCTCGTTATCCGGACCTTGCTATCTTGAAAGCTATAGTTGTTTCCTTCTTCTATAACCAGCAGTTCTTTCAGGCCATGACTTACTTGAATAGTTTCCAAGAGATTTATGGTATAGATTTGACCATTAGTCCAGCGAGGAGCTTGTGGGATCAGGTGTTCCGATACGCCGAAGGTATCACATCGTATGACGAAGATAAAGCTCTCTCTGTCTTTTTGAAGCAGTCACGAATCAACGTTGACACCAAGAGGAAAAAGGAGGACAAGCTTCGTCAAGTTCAGTCCAATGTGAACTTTGACTACGAAGGGTACTTGACATTTGTTAAAGATTTGGAGCAAAAACGCACCGCTACCATGTCCGAATTATGGCACTTATATCGCGACTCCAATGGTTTTTTTTGCACTGGAGTTGTCAAGGCATATTTGTCATTTCTTGAAGTTAAGCCGTCGAGTATGGATCAATACTACGACTTGATGACTTATTTGGCAAAGTGCTATCATGAATATGCTGTGAGCAACCTGTCATTTAACAGGCTTGATCTCATAACCAATCGTATCTATGATAACGATGAAAGGGTCTATGCGTTATATGAGCAAGCATTAGCAAACGCTATTGAGATCAAGGGTATTCTGGGTTATATAGGCCAAATCGAACCCTTGATTGAAGAATGGAGTTTGGACAACGAAATGGCACACAAGTTGCGAGCCAAATTCATGGAGAACCGTCCGAGATACAGATCTATCTTGGAGGAAAATAGATTGCGGAAGGTGGAGGAGCAAGTAGAAGATGAGGAGAAGTTACTAGACTTATTCTAATGAGACATGATATACCAATGTAGTGTTTTTTGCAGCTCAAAGTTTGTCTCCGTTTCGCGCCTTGCACTCTGGTCGTGTGTGTACCGCCGCACCAGCGTTGACACGAAACGAGAAATCCACCATGGGCGATCACAATGGCTGAGGGTTTGGAAAAGTTTACTGAGGTGCCCGTGGAGTTTTTCAAGGATGGCAGTGCTTTCGTGAGAAAGTGTCAAAGACCTGACAAGAAGGGTATGTATATTCCAGTGGTTTGAACAGGAGATTTCATTTTAGATAACAGGGAAATTCATATTGAATTAGGATACTTATCATTGAAGACCCATTCTTCAAAAAATGCCGTTAATGGCTATATTTCACATTTCACTATCTCCATATTGCTCTTTCAATGTACTGACCCAGAATATATGAAAATTATCAGAGCCGTCGGTGTTGGTTTTATCATGATGGGAGTGGTGGGCTACGCTGTCAAGTTGTTGCATATTCCCATCAGATACTTGATTGTATAATTTTGCTGCGTTCGGCGTAGTTCGGTCCAATTGCTAATGTAGTTTGGTCAGTTGTTTATGTGGTATAGCCTAGTTGTGCCTAGTATAGCCTAGTATAGTATGGTAATGTACTGCAGATGGCCTCACGTCTCACTTTTCTGCAGTCTGCGACAAAGTTCCACGCTCATCGACCTCATCGCACAAGGCTGCAAGTTGACATGTCCCAGACTTCCAAGTTTGTCAAGAAGTTGGCATCCAATGATCGCGCCACGCGTGAAGCCACGTTCAAGGCGCTCTCGAAATATCTCTCTTCGCGTAACGCGGCAAAGTTAGATACGTTGGAAATGGAAAAATTATGGAAAGGGCTCTATTTTTCAATGTGGTTTTGTGACCGTCCTGGCCCCCAACAACGATTGGCAGAAAACCTTGGGCTGTTGTACTCAAGCCATATTCCAGCTTCTGCGTTTCCGAGATTCGTAGAGGCGTTTTGGGTGATTATGATTCGAGAATGGCCCACCATTGACCAGTGGAGAATCGACAAATACTATCTTCTCATCAGACGAGTTGTACGGCACTGTTTCCGCCAGCTCAAACAGCAGAATTGGGACTCAAAGTTGGTGCAAGGCTACTTGGAAGCTTTGGAAAAGCACCCTTTGAGTGGAAACCAATCTGTAGGAACTGCATTGCCATACCATCTATGTGATATATGGATGGATGAATTGGAAAGGGTGGTATTCGAGAAAGATGACGAGGAAAATGAAGAACAAGATGAAGAACAAGATGACGAAAATGTGCTCGAAAAGCTCGAAAATGTGCCGGTAGACACCCTTGTAGAGCCATTTGCAAAATTGAGTAAATCCGCTGCGCTTAAAACATTAAGAGAAAAATGCAAAGCCGAAGTGCTTGAAGATAAAAGGTACCAAAAATGGCTGACGCAGAACGACGATGAGGAAGAAGAAGACGTAGACGAGGAGGAGTGGAAGGGATTCTGAAACTTTACATACTTTTATATTACCCAGTGGCAGAAGCCATCGGGTGTGCATATAATCCGATATCATTTTCGCAACTGAGGCTAAACTGGCACATTGTAGCTCTCATCATGGCTGATGATCCCGGAGCAAATGACGGGCCCCAGATACCCAAGTACGTCACCAAGGTTCCCTGGTACCAGAAGGAACGCCAAAAGGACGAAAATGACTACCATTCGCATCATTTGAAGAATCCTCAAGATGGCCCAGTGGACTATTCTGAGGCACAACATGGACCCGGATTTCAGGAGTCATCCGACACATCAGAACAGTACGACAGCAAGCGAGACCGATGGCAGGGGTTTGATGCCTCGGACTATGTGCAAGTTGCCAATCAATGGGACCGTATGAAAGCAAAAGTAGTGGATGCTGGTGGACGAGATTCTGAAGACTATGGAGTCGAAATGATCGAGTTGGGACTCGAGTACCGAGATTTCCGTTCCAGTGTCAAGCAGGACGTGGAAGAAAAGACGATCCGGGACCGAAACGACGTTCCAGAATACATAAAACGTATTAGTGCTGGAAAAATTCGAGCAGACCAGCCGAATCTCGATATCGTTACATCGGACGACCAATTTGTACGACCCACCATTAAAGGTGGCCATGACTTGGGTTCCGACTTTGAGGCCACGCGTGCTTTTGCCTGGGACCAGGATCGTATTTTCAAACAAGATCGCCAGCAGGTGAATTTAGAACTGCTGCTTGAATCACTTACGAGCACCAACGCTTCCAATATGCACGCATATCCCCAAACCAACCTCAATGCCAGTATGGAAGCCAGTCCTACCGCCACGGTGCTCCAGGCTCGCAAAGACGCCGAAAAGAAGCGACAATCAAAGTTGCAACTGCGCCAGAACTTGCTTGCAAAGTATGGAGATGGAACCGCAGATGAAACCTTAGGTGGGACTGCAGATGGCTCGGAGCGTGCGGCGAAAGTTGCAACTAATGGAACACCACGAGTCATCGACGCGGAGATTAACGATGAAAAATACCACCCTTCGGCGTGGGGAAGCTACTACAAGGACGGGTCGTGGGGTTACAGTTGCTGCCATTCAACTGATAAATCGGCACCGTGCACCAAAAAATGATAATTTGACAGGTGTCACGTGAGAGTAATTGACATTACCGGTGGTATAATTGACTGTCATCCATTGGTACACTTTGGCAACTTTGGCATTGGTACGGTAGTGTTTCACTGACTCGCGCGTTTTTGACTGTTCCGATTCCATTTTCGACCCTCTTTTCCACATGGGCCAATTTAGTCTTGTGGCTGCAATCTGCCCCACGTGGGGTAAGCCTCGTGTGACGGAACGCCAACGTGTTGGCGAACGTGGGCACATACTATTTAAAGAGATCTGTGGCACGCATTGTTGTGGTCAAATATGACGGAACGCTTACCAGGACCACCGGTTTTAAAGACTACTATAATCCAGCTCAACAAGGATTTGGATGTCGAAGATGGGAATTTTGAAATCTTGACAAATGAACAAACTTCCACTTCCTCCACCGGCGCGACGCCATCAGCCGTTCCTGGAAAAAAGAAGAGGCGGCGTAGTACCGCCAATGCCGATGCAGAGGAATTAGCCAAGAGAAGGCACGAGACAAAACAGCTTCATTCGGTGATAGAAAAAAGACGGCGGTTGAAGATCAATCGTGAGTTTGAAGCATTGAAATACCTCATTCCCGCGTGTCGTGAATCGGGCGCTGCCTCCAACTATCCCAACACAACCTCCAAGTTTAACGGTAACAAGATCGATGGCATGTATAAACTCACCATTCTCAAAGCTGCTGTCGAGTATATCTTGTACTTGCATCGCACCATCCAGCGTCAACATTCGATGCTCTCCCAATTCGAAGGAAGCGACTTTTTCGACGCTTCGTTTGCCGATGTCCCATTGGACGTCAACCAGTACCGTGACATCGACCACGACTTCAGTTTTAACGATTTGCATGATGAAAAAAAGAACAACCACAATGTGATAGAGGAGGATGAAGAAGGTGACAGTGAAAATTCCAGCGATCCCACCGACAACGGGGTGCCGACGCTCAACAATTTTCGTCAGCTTCCAAGCCCGCAAATAACCCCAGACATGGGCCCCATACTCTCTATGATGAATAAACACCAACCAGCTTACTCCCCCACCAGATCCTTGTCGCGTACTTCGTCAATGTGTGATTCACCAAGGGGGTATTCCTATCCCTCCACCACCGAGCCTTCGCCGCTTACAACTGCATTGAAGTCCAAAGTTACCACCAGATTCCTGTTACCGGATCCAGCCATTCCTGCCGATGAAGTTGCCATGCCGCAAAGACGTATGTTCAAGACACTGGTGCCGGCCAACAACACCATTATGTCGTACCCTGGTTCGCTCGAGATGGACGAGGACGCCACCAAAGCGTTGCTTGCACTCCGGAAGTCAAGCATAGACAATTTGTTGAATTAGTTGTATTATAGAAAATAGACATACCTTCTAGCTTTCGGTCTCGCGCAACCATTCTATGTACTCGTCGATTACACTGGGCCAAGACGCCATCTCGTCGTATTCCAGAAGGTTTTCGGGGTCGCTGGCAACAACCTCCTTGAAGAAGAGGTATACCATTCGCCAGGTATCCTTGGTTATGGATTTTTTGTGGGTGGTGAGAAACTGGAACCATTGGTCAAATCGGAGCTGGCATCCTTCGAATTCCGGTCGTTTGTACAAGAGCATTTTCCAGTATTCTACGGCGGTGTCTATGGCGAGGAGTCGTTGGCCAGGATTCTCCATTGAAAAGTCAAATGTGAAATTGTAGAGCTGGACAAACTGGAGTGGGTCGCACTGTTTGATGGTGGAGTCAAGGTTATCGATGTACTGTTTCATTTCCGCGACACTTCGAGCAGAGGTTTTGCTCCAGTTTCCAATGAACTTGGTTCGTGTGAATACACCCATTGAGGGCGCCTCCAAAAAAAAGGCAAGGGTTAAGCTTTTGGGATCTTCGGGCTCGATGCCCAAGTCGTCGAGATACTTGAGCACACCATCCACATCTATGCGTTCTGGATCAGCGGGATCTTGGTATGTCTTATAAATATGCTCAATTTGCGGGTCTGAAGCTACTAGGGTCGCTCGAGACAGCCCATTTTCCAAGTAAGCGTTGACGGCTTCTTCGAGTTTCCAGTTGTGTTTTTCAAGTAGACTTGTAGCTGTTGTTGGAGTACACCCGGTGATGCTTACGAGCTGGTTTCGAGCAGTAGAGCGTGACGGTGCCATACTGAAGTGGTAAACGAGTTGGATAGTGTAGTAGTATACGCAACTAGTTCAGTAATGAATTTCGCAGCGATTACTCAATCTACGATTTCTCAATCAATCTCAAATACACAATCACGATCCACCAAACAACGCCAAACAACACCAAGAAACACCAAACCAAAAGTAGGCCCGTATTATACACATCACTTTATGGACGTCCGCACCATTCTCAGGGTCTACGATCTCCATGATCTAGCCTCGTCTGTTTCAGACATTGAAAACGACGTAGCGCTTCTTTTAGAGTGGCTCAACCCGGCGAGTTCTCCGCCATTGGGTCCCGCCCAGCCTTCTCCCAGAGTCAAGGCAGCCATACGACGGTGCTTGAAGGACCAGGAAAGCCAAGTGGACTTTATACGACTTTATGCCAATTCGCTTCGTTCGAGTGTTCCGGGAACATTGGAAACAGCGCTGGAAGCTGGAAACTTTGACGACCTTATGGCACTCGTGGACACCTATGTGTCGTACTTCAGACTCTGTATTGACTATCTTGGCTTGGAACAGGCGGCAACCCAGATCTTTTATCGAAGTCTTCGTGCCATGTTTCGTGCGGGCCTATTGCTGCAAAAATCTTCATTTTCCAAAATGCTTTCGTCGTATCTCGAAAAGAACCTCGTAATACCTCTGGCTACGCTGCCGGAAGCACACAAGAAAATCCAGTTGCTAGCGCACATTGGCATGTCGGAAGAGGTTGCGGCACTCGTCACCAGTCTTGCTATCAATCGTATACGAAACTATGTCCGATCAACTTGTGCTGGCGTGTGGGATCGTCCGGTTCTCCAAAACCTCAACAGGTGGGTGGAGAGCCAATTGCACTGTTTCCATACCATAGACCCGTCTTTTGCTCCACTTCATCATCTCGTCAAAGTGGCCCATACCGAGCTCGTGCTGACTAGAATAATCGAGCTTTTCAACTTGGTTGCGGCCTACCCACACTCCTCGGTGGCTCTCCAAGAACTCCACGAATGTGTTCTGCTGACGGGTGAATCTGCTGCAGAAAAACTGTCGCACCGTGCCAAGTTGGTGGACGCTTTCATTGAACAATGCAACCAAAAACTTCTTCATTCCGGCGCCAATACAGTGGAGGTAATAACGACGTATGCGGCAACAATTCGGTCGTTTTTGGTCATAGACCCGAAGGGTGTGCTCCTAGACAAGGTTGTGCGCCCAATTCGTCGGTATCTCAAGGGCCGCGAGGATATTATTATCACTCTTGTACATGGCCTTCTTGATGATGGTGAGGCTAACCCACTTCACGAGCTTGCCCGTGAGTTGCGCCGTGGCCTGAGTGTTCCTGTTCAGGTTGGAGACGAAGACATGTCCCAATGGATGCCTGATCCAATCGATGCCCTTCCTGATTTCAAGAAGGGAAAAGTTACCGATATCATAGAATCTCTCATCTCGATCTTTGATCTGAAGGATATTTTCATTTCAGAGTTCACCCAGATCTTTGGTAACCGCTTGATTAACCTCCACGACTACGATACTCTGCCCATTCAGCAACAATTGGACCTCCTCAAACTCAAATTCGGCACCGAAGAGTTCTCTACTCTTGATGTAATGATTCGAGATGTCATCAACAGCAGACAAACTAATACCGACATCTCAGGAAATCTTCCCTTTCATTCTTTAATCCTTTCACACATGTATTGGACAAGCGTTTCCGAAAACATTTCCGACGTTGACCACTTTGACCTGTCTCATCTCAAAAGTTACTTTGAAACATACAATGACAAGTTTAAGAAAAATAAACGAGGTCGGTCTCTCGAGCTTGTTCCAAGCTTGGGCCAAGTGACGCTCGAGATTGAAACACAGGGGTCCACGCAAACTTTTAGTGTTTCTCCAAGTGAAGCAGCTGTGGTCTTAGAATTTGGCTCAAACGTCTCCCAACTCAGTATTGCAGATATATGCTCGAGGCTCAACATGCAACAATACCCTGCACGCACTGCGTTGGATGCCTGGGTCAAGAGAGGAGTATTGGTTGAAAAATCTCCAGACGTCTTTACGGCGGTCGATTAAATAAAATTCAATTAATACACTTAGCATTACGTTTGACATGTCTCTAGTTTACCGATTTGGATATTTCCACCCCCTGCTTCTTTTGGTTATAAGCTTGGGTAGGCTGCCACTTGCGAGTGCTGCGAATCTCATCCATGGCGTAGCCTGGTATACGAATATTCCAGTTGCGCTCCAAATGGAGTTGAATATCCTTGACATCCACAGAGTCCACTTTGCGATGTTTAGCGAGCCTGCAAGCAAATCCAGTCACAGAGCTAATGAACTCATCCGCAAGATCCAATAACAATTCTTCAACATCACCATCAATGGTAGTTTTCCCATCTCCTTCATCTGCTCCAATGCTGTTCACCAACTCAGACAACTTCCTCTTAGTCAAGACCCTTCCACCATTGTCAGGAAGGGCACTAGGACCGCCAGTGCTAGACAAGTCGTAAGTTGGCATCCTAAGAACAGAAGGAGTACCCAACAGTTGACCTATACCATTGGCTACACCTCCTGCGAGGGTAGGTCTATTATTGGGGTTAGGTTTGAGTGTGACAGCGGCTGGTGGTTTCACGTTGATGGTATTTGAGATTGGCATGGACGAGACGCTAGGCTTTGTGATTCCAGACAAGTTGATAGCGGGTGGTCCAGGGGTTTGGTTGGGGCTTGTTTTGGAAGGTGTTCCATTGGTTTTGCCGGAAGCAGGAGGCGATGCGGACCGGCCACTTGAACCAATTCCTCCGGATGGCGTTCCGGGCCTGATATCCCCTTGAGGCGAGCCAGCAGATTTGGTGAGAGCGGGAGAGCCTGCGCCCTGGGCAGAACCTGGTCTCAAGCGAGGATCGGGTCCTGACGCTCCACCACCCATTGCAGGCGTGCCTACCTTTACAGCAGGACTTCCCGCCGAGGCTGGTGTGCCGCCTTGAGCACCTCTCTCCAATTGACCCTTCATGTACACAGCAACCTTTTGATACTGTGCAAACTTGGATCGAAACTGATTCAATTGGTTGTCAGTGTTCGCAGCTTGTTCGGCTGACAATCCGTTAGCCTTTCTTGTCTCAAGATCATTGATCTGCTTGCTCAACTCGGTTAGCACCGTGTTGATTCTCTTGAGGTTTTCGGCGGAAACAGCAAGCGCCGGGGTAGAGCCTTGTGCACCGGCCGTCGTTCCAGGTTGCGGTGCAGAGGCTGGACCAGCATTTTGACGCTGAGCTGCCAAATTCTGGGGCATGCTCTGTGGAACCGGAGAAGATCCTTGTCTATTAGCAATCTGCGAGGAACCAGGGTTGCTGGTGCTAAGTCTTGGATTCATGGTGGACCCTTGTGGAGTTTGTTGTGGATTCATTTGGTTTTGCTGTTGTTGACGAGCATTTTGTTGCATTGTCTGGTACTTCTTCAAGATCTGCCTCAAAGACTCAACTTTGGCATAGTGCTTGGCTCGATCTGCCTCATTGGTGGCGGCTTGTGCAAGAGCTGCTTCTTTCTGTAAAGCCTGGACAAATTGACCGACGTATTTCAGCTGAATAGTAGGGATCTGAGCCTGGGAACGTGTCTGTTGGCCCTGTTGGGGTATCTGCTGGGGCTGGTTGCCCTGGTTGCCCTGATTCATTGGTCTTGGGTTGGATGTGAAGATGGAAAAGAGGAGCGACTTTGAAGAAGTTCAATCGAGGCAAGTTATGAGAGGCTGTATGCAGGAACGGGCCCACGATGAATTGGGTGCAAAATCGGTGGTTTTGAGCTTGCTATTTCAGAAAAGGAAGTGAGGCGGAAGAGTAGTTTTGGGCATTTTTTTATGCTTTGAGCTTACTGGAGGCTGAAATCGTTTTTAAAATTTTCAATTTTTGATATTTTCTCGATAAAGTGTGTGCTCTCTGTATAATCATTTTCAGTACTAATCCTATAATTCAATTTCGAACTTAGCTTGTAATCAATGAAAGTTCTTTTTTGCTTCAGCTTTCTTGACTTTTCATTCAAAATTGTTCGGCTCTTCTCATCTTCTTTAGCAGGAACGAAACGTTGCCTCGTTGTTGGCTGCGATGACACTAAGTAAAAGTGTCCTCTTCTTCCCTGACGTAGAGTTCTGCTCTCTCATGGATCCCCTTAGTGGATTGCAAATCTAAATACATCATTCCGATAATCTATTGTAAATCTATAAGGTGAAAAATAATACCAGGTTTTGATCCACGCTCACTTAAATCGGTGTCACAATGCAAAGCACCGTTCGACGCTTTTCTCATTGTTACCCCACCAATTTGGCATAACCAACCCCACTGAGTACAAAGCAAAAATAATTAATACTGCAAGATTGTATCCCGTGTCAAATGCTGCAGCCATAATATAATTATATTTCTGCCAGAGCGAATGATGGTAATGGAATGCCCAGAATGCTGTCACTGTTCCTCCCAAAAACTTCGACAAGTATCCAGTAGAAATGTTTCCATAGAAGACTGTCATACTCGAAAAGAAAACAGTAGTGTTCCACAACTGAAAATTCAACTTGCTGTTAGGAAAACGTTTATACAACGCAAAGATCGTCAAGGGACCTACTAAACCAAGTAAAAAGCCATAGGGAAGCCATTTATAATTTTCAAATAATCTTGAGGGTCCCAAGACAACATATTGGATTGCATTTGAATGGAGCGATGTTATCCCTTGAGCGGTCCATTGATGAAGCGGGTCAACCTTAGTACCGTCCAAGTACGCTCTCTTCGTATTGAGCACCCACCTGACTGCCAAGTAGTTTATTGGCACTCCTATAAGCTCTCCGTAAAGTTGACAAAGAAAAACTGCTTTTGGTGGTAAGTGGTTGTAGAAGCCAATTCTCATACACTGGAGATGAAATTGTGCTCTGTACCAAGCATCCCCGGCAATTGAACCAAAGACGGCTCCACTAACAGGATGTATTTTGGCTTGTCCTTGAATCAAGTACCCATAAAACAACTCATTGAAAGTTCCAATGGCTAGCTGGAAATTCGATAAGGCGTAGAGCCATGCAAGAGGAGTGACAATTATAGCACCCAATACTAAGCCAATTATACAGCACCACCAAGGCATGAACATTTGACCTGACAAGAAGATGGTCATCAACGTGACAAACGAAACTGTGAAAAGTATGAGGTACCATGAATTGGGTACTGGATCATATCTATTTTGCAATTTGTTCAATGTGTCAGTATGAACAATTTTTTTAGATCCACGGTGCCGCTTGATAGACTCCACGATTTCGTCATATCTGAATGCTAATATCCATACTACTCCACTAATGTAGGCAGCATAGTCAAAGAAAATATTCCATGCTCTTTGTGCCCCAAGAAGGACTGGGCCATACTTTTCGTATGCTTTCTGATTGAAGGTAAGGTCGTCGTTCAATAGCTTAGAAGAAGGATATGGTTCACCTGAAGTGGTGAAAAGACTGTTGGACATTAGTCCATGGTGGTAACTGATGAGACTGCTCCATTTTGCAATGGGAAGTAATATCCAGGCTCCGATGACAAATGCTATGAACTGAATCACCTGGACCCAGTAAGGGAAAAGCATGATTGTTGAGTTGATGTTAGCCCAATCTAAAGAGAGATTGAGTACTCCCATACCGCCCAAGCCTGAACCAAGGAAATTCAACACCTTGTTGTATGGTGCTATCCAGCATAAAATTGCCAAAGACGACGTCATGGGGAAAATGTATTCCGGGAAGAGTTGCCAGATAGCCACCGATCCCAAAACCATGAAAAAAAGCTTCATTCGTCTGCCACCAAGTTTGGGATCTTTGTCGGCTTTTTCTTGGGTTTGAAGTAAGGTTGTTTGCATGAGTGCCTGGGGCCAAGGAAGCTGAGGATCGTATAGGACCAAATCCTTGGCAATTGCACCGTAAGAGTAGCCCACAAACACAATTGCCCACATGAATGCAATTGCAGTGACCGGATGAACTTTTTCACCGAATCGTAAATCAGCCAAAGAAATTGCGTTGGTAGCCAAATTTCCTGTGGCTCCACTGCTGGCTGTTATCGTGATCATGGCGGTTTCTTTGATCGACCACGGACCTGGATTCAAGTTGAAACTCCATCTGAAGACTGAAACTCTCTTTTTAGGAAGTACCTCGGCAAGCCATTTACCTGCCCAATGACAAGCAATTTGAACAAAAAAAATCGAATAAGCGGCAGCAGTGGTTCTATAGGTATTCATAGTGTCGATGAAGGCTCCAGGAATGACAAATAATGTAGAGAGCAAAAAGTACCGAAATGTGATCACCGGCAAATTCACATCATCTTCCAAGGAAACAGACTCACGAACCATGTCGGGAATTTCGTCATCTTTTGCTATTTCCTCTTGCCTAGTGCTGTCTGAATCCAGCTGCAGAGCTCTGCTTGTTTCATCTTGCTCGGTGGAACCATATTTGGTTCTGACTCTTAGCAATGGATCTCTTGCTTCTTCATGTTGATTCAAGAATTGGTACTTTCCGCCTTCGTCTTTACGACGACCAGACAGCATTTTAAAGGTAGAAAGGGATTAGAAGATGACACACTATTCACCACGTTTCAATGGGTAGCAAGAGTGATATTGAGTACGGTTGCTCAAAATTGTTATCGCACTGTTTGAAATTGCGAATTCTTACAAATTTACAATTGTTGCAAAATGTGGCTGCGAAAAATTACAAAACACACCAAAATTTTTTTATTGTGTCAACACCATCTCTATAATCGGCAACACATCTTGACTTGAAGTGTCGATGGTGGATTCTGGATTTGATAGTTTTTCCTCAATTAGCCTATCGAGCATGAGTCTTAACTGCTTCAAAAGAACACCATTTTTGCACCAAGTTCTCACGGGGATCCAGTTGTCAAGCACAATTCCTGGCGATGGCCTTCCGGTGTTGAGACATTCAGCAACGTCATAGGATATCTCACCTCCTAGCAACACGGTTGCCAAGGAACTCGTTGGGGTCAATTCTCGAATATACAACTTGGTGGAAAAATGGGAGTTGCCAAAAACCACAAACGGTGCTTTTAAAGCTTTGGAGTTCAGCAGTACTTTGGGTGTCAAATCAGCCTTATAGCCTGACCGTGCCTTTGCCATATCTATATTGCCTTCTTCATCCATGAACTCCTTCAAGTCGGGAGATACAATGTCTTCTGCACTGGTATCAAAGAGCACCGAAGATGGATGAATGAAAGCTCGAGATGCTGGAAGCTCTTCTGAGGAGTCATTATCTTTTTCATAGTTTTCGTTTCTGATCCAAAATTTGGAAAGCCTGGCATCAGGGTCCATGGCAACGGCTCCAACTGAGGATTGGAAATACTTTGCTTCTGGGTACTGAACCCTTGCAACGTTGGGATAATATGCTCCGGTAAGTACAGCCAGCACAATGGTCAAGTTGGAGCTGTTTCTATTGAGATTCGAGATATTTTCCTTGTTTCTGGAATTGTAGCTCATAGGCACAAATCCAATATTTTTCAAAATCGAAACGAATTGTTCTCTCGTGGATGATATGGTGGTCAAGTTGAGATACGAAAGGTAGTTGTCCTTTATGAACTTTTTGGTATTTTGGCCTTTGAATCTCATCATGTTGTATTCATCAAATGCAATTGCCAGGGCAATAAAGTCTCCATGTCCTTTGGAAAAACTCGATTGAACCTGTTTGATTTTGTCTCGGTTTTCAAAACTGTTCAAGAACGGCGACCCACTCGAGCTCACAGCTGCTAGCGTCAAACTTATATCCAAGCAGCCAAAAATGCAGCCAAGAATAAGCAACTTTCCACTAGGAAGATCGGTGGGAAGATATGATAAATACTTTCCCAAATACGTCAAGTTACCTTCATTCAACGCTCCCATCTCTGTAAGTAATTGCAGCGATTTGGCTAGCGAAGACAGATCTGGAGGATCAATTCCACTGTTAAGAAATGCTTCGACATTGTCAATACCCATGGACTTAACAACCAAGTACAAGTTTTCAAGTCTGGTCCTCATGATTTCAGGAATAGGTTGCGCCAACATTTGTGCTTGTGTCTCGGTGGTATAAAGATGGTAACATGTTCCGTTTGTGATACGACCAGATCTACCTCTTCTCTGACCAACCTCGGCTTTTGAGCACCAATTCTCTACCAACTTTGTTGCATCCATTTGAGAATCATAGAAAAGCGATTTTGATCTTCCCGAGTCTATCACAACTACACAGTCGGGAATGGTGATGGAAGTTTCTGCCACATTTGTTGCAACGACAATTTTCCTTGCGCCTTTAGGAGGCCGAAGAAACACTTTCTTCTGCTCGCTGGGAGAAAGTGCAGAGTGCAATGGGAGACACCAGCAATCCATACGATTGTTGGAAAATAACTCTTCAATTTTTCTAATGGTGCGGTTGATTTCCATCACTCCAGGTAAAAAGATCAAAAACGAACCTTCAGAGTCTGCACTATCGCTGGCAATCTTCAAACACAACTGTGCTATCAAGTCGTAATTGAGATTGCCCAACTTGAAAAACCGAGAGTCAGCTTTAGGTTGCAATTTCTCACCGTCGTCAGACATTATGGTGAAGTTGAGATCGTCCAAAATGGAATCCAAATAGTAATCTTTGATGGGGAAAGTTCGTCCTTCGATGTGGATATGGTTCACTTTTGTACCGAAAAAGCTATTGAATGTATCAATGTTGATTGTTGCCGACATAAGAACAATCTTGAGATCTGGAAACCGGGACATTACTGTCTTGAGCACAATCAACAAAAAGTCACTGTCAACAGATCTTTCGTGAACCTCGTCAATGAAGATGTATCCTAGACTTTCAAACACACTTTCATCGTCTTTGTTCGATGCTAAAAATGATTGGAGCATACGCAATAAGACACCGGTAGTGACGAATGAGATTCTGGTTTCGGGACCAGTTTTATTTTCGCCTCGAATAATGTAACCAGTTTCCTTACCAACCACAGACAACCTCTCGTCGCTGATTCTCTCAGCAAGACCCATGGTTGAAATTCTTCGTGGTTGGGTGCAAATTATTCTTGACTTGAAATCGCCTTGAGAGTTCATGTAATCGAGCATGAATTGTACTGCTTGAGTGGATTTTCCAGACCCAGTTTCTCCGGTGATTAATGTCACTTTATGGGAATTGATAGCCTCAACGATCCTTTCCCTCTTTTTCCACGCTGGTAAGCGCATTCTGTCAGAAATAGACGACTTCATTTTTGAAGATTTCATCAAATCTTGATACTTTTGTGCGAGCTCTTCCACATTTATGTCGTTTGCTTTTGGTCTCCTCGAGGTAGTTTTGGTCTTGGTTTTGGACTTTGAGGAAGCCGATACCCTGCTGCGGGAAGCAAAGGAGCCAGAAACCAAAGGACCGGGATTATCAATAATTGATGCGATATTGCTCTCAAGCCATTCCACTATCAAGTACACCATGCACTCACCGACAAAGCTATTCTCCAAGATATAAGACAAGAGCTGTTTGAGAATCGAGATCTTGATATACTTGGCCAATTTGAAAGAAGGATCAGCAACAATAATTTGGATTCCAGGAAGATTATTGGGGTAGTCGTCACAGCGCAACAAGCGAACTTGAAACAAACCAGCAGAAATGTTTTCTGGACTCAAGGAAATGTTGACAATCCTTCGATCTTCTTGGAAAGATATTTTGTGGTTCCCAATACTTTTCAATGCATCGATTTCTTCTTCCCACAATTGCTGCGAGTCGTCAACTGGACCGACGTCTTTGGCTTGATATCCAATGAGCTTGCGAGTCAATCTTATGCTGGTCAAGAACTCATCGTTGTTGTGCTTTTCTAGCTCTGCAATAATCTCGTCGTTGTCAAATCCCGATTCCCCTAAACGTTTGAGCATATACTCAAGTTTTATATTGTGAGAGATTTTCAAAGACACAGCCGAGTCCTGGTCAGACTTGGCGAATATAGGCGGTAAGTCATCCTCGGGAATGTAGAAAATGAGCCATTCCAATGCTGAAGTGAATGTCAGGGTATATGTGAATGCCTCTTGAATATGCAGTGGTCTAAAACCTAAAGTTTCTAGAGTGGAAGATAAGTCAGAAGTCAGTGATTTCGCAGAGACTTCTGTCTTAGTGAGAACCCAGTCCATGTGGTGCTTAATGGAGTCTTCAATGGATGCTCGTATCTCGGAACTGAAGTCAATGAATGGAGCACTTGCCCATACTTTCTTGGGAAACGAAGTTCTTGTTGTTTGTAATTGCTGTTGATTTACTGGTTTTGACGCTTTGGTAGGTGCTGGACCATCTTGCGACTTCAACTTGAGGTCTGAAGTTGGACGAGTGTTGCCTGATACAGTTCCTTTTTTGGGAAGTGAATTGGTAGGACCTATGCTGATCGTTGGTTTTTTCAACTTCAGTTCATTCTGTTGCTTCAAAAGACGTTCTTTCTCTCTCTTTTCCTTCTTCTCCCGCTTCTCTATAAATGCCGTAAACGGGTTGGCGTTAAATTTGAAATCATGTTCTTCTTTGTTCGTCTTCAAAAGCACCAATCGTTCTTTCTCCAAAGCCGTCCAATAGTCCCTAAAAATGATGGGTAACACCATTTTCATGTTCTTAACATGATTAATTCGGTGTAGCGTGTATGTGGCCACATAGTGACGAGCTTCATTGGTAGTTTCTTTAGGCTGATAAGTTTCTGGATCAGGTTGCATTCTCAACTTGATCAATTCTTTTGTCTTTGGGTTTTCCCAACTTAAATTGACAATCCCAATGTACCCAGCCGACGTCTTCTTCATATCAAATATTACCTTGCCCCATTTCTGTTTTTGACAATGCTCATGTAGTAACGTTGCAGGTAACTTTCCTGTCCATCCAAAATTTTCACCAATTGCTAAACCACGCTGTGGTTTATTGGGATCAGGTGGAGAATCCTCATTCTTCTTTGATTTGGACACCAGATTACTGGGCGGTGGCAGTGGATCTGGCTTTTTTGATTTTTTTGCCATTTTTAATGTTGATAAAAAAAATGTACCACCATGATTCGCAATGCTGCAATATACCCTTAAGAGCGCTGGGCACAAAATACACCAGAGGATGACGTGGTGGCCTAGTGGCCGCGAATGTGCGAAACCCCCCTTAGTAAGGGTGTTGGGATGCGGTGGCTCAATGGTAGAGCTTTCGACTCCAGATCGAAGGGTTGCAGGTTCAATTCCTGTCCGTGTCAATTCCTCTTTTTTTCTTTTTGGTGATTTTTTAAAATGAAGAGAAGCAGCTTGAGAAGTGTACGGCTTGAAGTGCAGCGGCTAGAAGTGGCGGCTCTTTGTCATAATCTATAATTAACACTATGTAACATACAATCGGAACTATAAACCAAACGCTATAAGGCTTGATAGGAAAGTTGAGAGTGGTCATTGGGCTCATTGATATCGAAGGTGTATGATTTAGCAAATGGGTTACTCACAAGGCCGTCCAAGTTGTCTATTGATTCAAGATTAAGTGCGTTGGAGGGAAGATCATCATCAAGGTACGGGCTGTTTAGCGAAGTGAAGTCAATAGGGGCACCATTAGTTGTACTATGGGGCATCTTCGACTCTTGCAGGGCTAATTGTGAAGGGTAATTTGTGGTGGATTGCGGTTCCAAAGATGGCGATGAATTTGAGGCACGAAGAGCAAGGGAAAATTCATTGCCGTTATTGGAAATAATGTTGTTATGGGCGTGGGAATGGTGATGGTGTGAATGGGTATTCTTTTGGATATGGCCGTGATTCTTCATTTTTTGATGCGAAGGCAGGTAGGGTCTAGTCAACGAAGAAGACCTTCGAAGTGAGGACCCGGACGATGTGAGGGTGGGTGAGTGTATTGTGTGGGTTTCGAGTTTATTTGTGAGCGATGTGACCGAGGAATTGCGTGGGGGAAGGTCGTTGGAGAAAAGCGAACCTGGTAGTTCAGGGTGATGATTCGACGAGTTGTCCAAATCGTACTCCAGGTTTGAAGATTGTGGTGAGGGAATTCCACCCAATGCTGCCAGATTAACAAGCATTTGACGACCAAGCCGTGGCTCGAGTCCCATGGTGTCGAACGACGCAAGCAGTTGTTCGTCATCGAGGGAGCTTTCGCGAGAGATGGAGGTTTTGATCGGATGTGAGTCTGCGAGCGACACTTCATCGTCTTCTCTTTCGCGGCGATGGCGAGCAAATGCGCTTGCTGCCGCCTCTATACCCTTTTGGGATTGCGACAGCATAGTTGCTGCTATTATAGCACCTTTTTCCCATTCTACAGGAAGGCTCGCAAGCAAACCCTTCTCCTTGATGAGATAGGTAACCACGTCATTTATGGGAATAGAGTCGGATTCTGGATCGTATAATTCCTTGAGAAATGGGAGGTGGTTTTTGGAAAGCTGAACCATTTTTTCCAACGACTTTGTAAGAAGATCAAGGCGGGTTTCCAAGAGCTCTACGTAACCAGACGGTGGCAGCTTATCCTTGGCTCTTCTTTTCTCCAGAAATACACAAATTTTATTGTCAGCAAGACATCTTCCACAAGGTTTTTTTCCATCACATTTGGTTTTTTTAATCCGACACAGGTCACACGCCTTGCCTACTCTTTTCTTTTTTAGGTGTGATTGACTATCATGATCCTCAGGCGAGGAAGGCTCCGCATGGGAGTACATACTTAAACCAGAATAGATACCGGGGGCATAACTAATCAGAGGGGCGCGAGGCTGCTTTATACTACATGGTAAGTGCAGGAAAACTAACATTAGTGCGATATTTTCGGTGCCGGGCCGATGACCTCGAGCAAAGGAACGGGGACGGTCACGATTGCAAAATAGATCTGGATGAAGTCGGTGAAGTGAATTCGAGGTACCTATTTGGCCGAAACAATGTTAAGAAAATGCTGGGTCTGCGGCTGATTTTTGCAGCCATGCATGGCGTCACAATCGTTCGAAATCGTGTTTGGTAGTCGTATATACCATATGCTATTGTTATAGTGGCGCCCCAGTTTGCAAGTAAACGGTCAACACCTAAACCTTCGCAAGGCTGATCCGAGCAGTAGCCGGCGGTTCGGCCGACAGCCGGATGCGGCTGCCCGGCACGGAAGCAACGGGCGTAGAACCCGATCGCAGCCGTACACCACAGCGATTTGCACCCACTTTTATGCGGTATATATGCGCAGAAAAGAAAGGTTGCATCCAGACTTAGATTCGCCCACATTTTGCCCGCATTCTACGCAAGTTGTAGCGGAGGCTCAATTGGCTTGCAGTTGGGGTTGCCCGTCTATGCATGTACAGAAAATATTAGATAATATTTGAGGGTCTAGGTTCTAACAATGAACCAGCCAATGTTTAATGTATTATTGCTCATTGCTCAATTGGGATTGTGCATAGGGGCTGGATAAAATCGATCTTTGTTTGGGTTGAGCCGTACGCCGAGAAAATAGACAGAAATAGACAAGAAAATAGACTAGCCGTGAAGTTTAATATTGGCAAAGACTAAAGTGAGACATTTCAGCTTACAGCTTAATGCAATTTCCTTCTGCCGTATTCTTCGTGCCTTGCATGACAAATAGTACATACCATTACTCAATTGGGAAGCTGGTGCGCTGAGCAGTTTTGTCCATATACGTATATGGCTATAATTACGACAGAAAAGTGCGAAAAAGATCGGCACTTTTTTTCATTTTTGAGACATGCTTGGTTGCCCGTTTAGCCGGATTGGGCCAGATTGAGCCAGATTGAACCGGATAAAATAGGAGAATACCCATGGGACTGCACACAAGAAACGGCATATAATTCAACATATTCGACTGCACACAACCCACGCCTGCACAACGCACACCGCTCTGAACAGGCACCAAACACCGATCCCCACCAGCACACCCGTCCATCCGCCATGCAGGCATTGCTCCGCGGTTGGCACCAACCCGACGCAACCAAGGGATCTGCAGCGATGATGCAGCAACGATCTGATTAATTGACGCACCATTGATGCATAGCTCAAAATTATTGATGCAATTGACCCCTATTTTGCATCATTTGATGCATTAATCATGCTCCCATAGACGCACAATTCGCATCTGACCCCTCAGGTGGTGCCACCCTCCTTGCATCCGCACTTATACCACACTACGCGCACGTGATACCCGGGCGACACCCGGGGGGCCATGGCCCGAGCGCAAGGCTATAAAGTCAATCGGCGCGCCCTCGATTTCTTCACCCACATTTAAATTATACAATGGCTATTACCGTAGGTATTAATGGTTTCGGTCGTATCGGCCGTTTGGTGATGAGAATCGCCTTGCAAAGATCAGACATTAAGGTCGTTGCCATCAATGATCCTTTTATTGCTGCTGACTACGCTTCTTACATGTTCAAGTATGACTCCACTCACGGTCAATACAAGGGTGAAGTTAAGAGCGAAGGTGACTCTCTCGTTGTCGATGGTCACTCCATCAAGGTTTTCGGTGAAAAGGACCCAGCTTCCATTCCATGGGGTAAATCTGGTGTCGACTATGTGATTGAGTCCACCGGAGTTTTCACCACCAAGGATGGTGCTCAAAAGCACATTGACGGTGGTGCTAAGAAGGTTATCATCACTGCTCCATCTTCGGACGCTCCTATGTTCGTTGTGGGTGTCAATGAGGACAAGTACACCAAGGACATCAACATTGTTTCCAATGCTTCTTGTACCACCAACTGTTTGGCTCCATTGGCCAAGGTTGTCAATGACAAGTTTGGTATTGAGGAGGGTTTGATGACCACCGTGCACTCGATCACCGCCACCCAAAAGACCGTCGATGGTCCATCCCACAAGGACTGGAGAGGAGGTAGAACCGCTTCCGGTAACATCATTCCATCGTCCACCGGTGCTGCTAAGGCCGTCGGTAAGGTTATTCCTGAATTGAACGGTAAATTGACCGGTATGTCCTTGAGAGTGCCAACCGTCGATGTGTCGGTTGTTGACTTGACCGTCAGATTGAAGAAATCTGCCACTTACGAGGAGATTTCTGAGGCCATCAAGGCTGCTGCCAATGGTCCTTTGAAGGGTATTATGGGCTACACCGAGGACGCTGTGGTGTCCACCGACTTCCTTGGTTCCAGCTACTCTTCCATCTTTGACCAAAAGGCCGGTATCTTGTTGTCTCCTACTTTCGTCAAGTTGATCTCTTGGTATGACAATGAGTTTGGTTACTCCACCAGAGTGGTTGACTTGTTGGAGCACGTTGCCAAGGCTTCCCAATAACTAGCCTCGGACGGCAGCTCGGACTATAAATTGTAGTTTCCCATGAAGCACCATATGTGAAAAGGTAGTTGTTCAATGAATGATTGCAAACGAAGTGTAGAAAAAAACGTAGAAGTCGGTTTAATAGCGACATGCCATTTCTGAAATACTTAGCTACTGAGCTTAACCTATTGTTGACTATACCTATAGTTTCTCTGTCTCTTCACAATTTCACGTTCAATTTTAATTTTCACTATTTCAATTTCTATCTTCATTCCTCATTCTCTATTTTCTCTCATCTCCACAATTCACAAATTCAGCGCGCGTTGTTTTTATGGACCATCTACGCAACCGCCAGTTCGGTCTCTATACCAGCAACAGAACATTTCCAGCTCTAGACGAAACTCACAAGCGTCACATAAGTCATAATCTAGCAGCGTATTTATACTCGGAGCATTCTAATAGGTCCTCAGACAAAATAATTTACAATTCACCTCATGATATAGTGTCAGATATCTCGGTAACTTTTCGATCAGATTTGGTGAATTCGCTTCAAATCACAACAATTACCGTGAGCCATCCCGATACCTTGTTGTCAACACCACAGCAGGTGATTTTCGTCACAGAAAATGAAAAAACCGTCGTTTTGATTTCTGGAACTCGGCCGTTTGCAACTATATTTGTCCAAATTCTCGAACTGGCTTCGATATCGCCACCAATAATGATCCATAGACTCACGCTTACACCGAGTACACTTCTCAGTACTTTGGAAGAATTAGAAGCGGATGATGTGAATTTGGTGTATACCGTAAAGACGACCAATGATGCTCTCCGGCTGATAAAAGTGTCGGTACCCGAAAAGGATTTCCGGGCATTGAAAGACTCAGGATCGGTAGCAGAGTCGCTCCAGGATTATTTGCACCGAACGTCAGGTATCAGGTTTTCAAAATTGGGTTTGACACTGATATCATGTTCACAGGTTCTCGTGCTGCGGACCCGAGTGAGTATGGCTCATCCTGAAAAAATTGTTCCGGTGATAATGAGGGGGGTAGATAAGTGAGAGAAGTAAGGGTGAATGAGTAGAGGGAAGGAGTGAGGGAATTAGAGTCAAAAGTGAGAAAAAAGGTGCTTTCTTTAGAGGTGAAATTGAAAGTGAATAAGGACGGAACGAAGAAAGAAAGATTTTCTTAGGATGTTTTAGGTTTGTTGGTATGTTGGTTCCATTATTCCTTTGGTTGGAACATACTTTTAATCAGTGAAGGATTGAACGGTTGTTGCAACCTTCTTATCCTGCACATTATGAAACTGTGCAAACTGCAAAATGAGATTTAACTACCAACCACCACATTCAAACACTAAACAATAAGCTTTTTGGTCGTTTCCCATTCCGTTTCGTTTTCACTTTTCTGGCAATTTCTCATCTTTCATGTTCACTTCCATTTCCATTTCCAACTCCATTTCCATCTCCACCTTCACGCTCCCTCTTGCAGTCGCGCTGAAATTTCCCTGCACACTCCCACCGCGCGCACTTTCGCCCGCACCATTTAACACGTCGCGATTTTTCATAACTCAGTATCATGTCGACCGGTGTGAGTACTGGAGACCAGAACGGGCTCCGGTTTCGTGGTAAACGACCCAAGGTGTCTGGAGTGAATAACTCAGGTGAAGAACCTCACAATGATCTTGGAGATGACTCGTTTGTATCGGGTCTTGCTCAATTGGAGAAGATCTTGGCACCAATAATCTTTACGATTTTGTCGTTTGGCGTCCGGTTGTATCGTATTGGACTCAATGCTTCGGTGGTGTGGGACGAGGCTCACTTTGGAAAGTTTGGCTCGTATTATTTGCGTCATGAGTTCTACCATGATGTCCATCCTCCATTGGGTAAAATGTTGATTGGTTTATCCGGCTATCTTGCCGGCTATAATGGTTCATGGGATTTCCCATCGGGCACAGACTACCCTGAGTACATCGACTACACCAAAATGCGGATTTTCCAGGCGATTTTCTCATCTTTGTGTGTTCCTTTTGCATACTACACCATGAAGGAAATTGGTTACTCGGTGGCTACAACTTGGCTTTTCACGTTGATGGTATGCTTTGAGTTGTCTTACGTGACTCTCGGAAAGTTCATCCTTTTGGATTCAATGCTTTTGTTTTTCACGGTTGCTACCGTGTTTTGCTTCGTTAGATTTGACTCGTTCAACCAAAAGACACCTTTCACTCGTAAATGGTGGAAATGGTTGTTGTTGACGGGTATCTCCATTGGATGCACCTGTTCCGTGAAGATGGTAGGATTGTTTGTCACTTCTTTGGTGGGAATTTACACTGTTGTGGACTTGTGGAACAAGTTTGGAGACAAGTCCATTTCTTGGGGAAAATACTCTCAACACTGGATGGCTAGAATTTTGGCCCTTATTATTGTCCCATTTCTGATTTTCCTCCTTTCCTTCAAGGTTCACTTTGACTTGTTATACCGCACCGGTACTGGTGACGCCAACATGTCATCGTTGTTCCAAGCTAATTTAGAAGGCTCAGACGTTGGAGGGGGCCCTCGTGAAGTCACCATCGGACACTCCGTCGTTACTCTCAAGAATCAGGGTTTGACTGGAGGATTGTTACACTCTCACGTGCAGGGCTTCCCAGAGGGATCTAAGCAACAGCAGGTTACCACATACTCCCACAAGGACTCTAACAATAACTGGATCTTCCAGCATGCAAGAGGACAGCCAATTTATGACTCTGATACCTCGGAAGAAATCGAATATGTCGTGGATGGTATGTTGGTGAGATTAGTTCATCCTCAAACCGGCCGCAATTTGCACACCCACGATGTGCCAGCTCCAATTTCAAAGGGAGAGTACGAAGTGGCCGGATACGGTAACCTCACCATAGGTGACTACAAGGACAATTGGGTTGTGGAGATTATGGAACAGTCGGGTAATGAGGATAAGCAGAGATTGCACCCATTGTCGTCGTCTTTCCGTCTCCGTAGTCCCGTCATGAACTGTTATTTGGGAGTCACTGGCAACTCACTTCCAGCTTGGGGTTTCCGTCAGGGTGAAGTTGTATGCTACAAGAACCCATTCAAGAAGGACACAAGCGTACTTGGTGGAACATAGAGAACAATGATAACAAATTACTTCCACCACCTCCAGAGGACTTTAAGCTTCCCAAGACAAGATTTATTAAGGATTTCATCCAAATAAACTTGGCCATGATGGCCACCAACAACGCTTTGGTCCCCGATGAGGAGAAACAGGATGATCTTGCATCGGAGGCATGGGAATGGCCCACTCTCCACGCCGGTATCCGTATGTGTGGATGGGGACCAGACAAGCCCAAATACTACATGATTGGATCTCCCGCTACAACTTGGCCCTCTACAGTCGGAGTGTTGGCATTCTTCTTTGTTGTTCTTTACTACTTGATACGTTGGCAAAGACAAATTGAAGACTTCCCACGGACTAGAAAACTTCAGTTAAGACAATTTGTTATGGGAGGAATCTACCCCATGTTAGGATGGGGTCTTCATTTTGCACCATTTGTGATTATGGGAAGAGTTACCTACGTGCATCACTATGTTCCCGCATTGTACTTTGCAATGCTTGTTTTCTGCTACGAGTTTGAACTGTTCACAGAGCCTTTGCGCAAATCAAGAAACTTGATTTGGAGATTGGTTTACTGGGCCATTGTCATTGGCTGTTACATTGCTGTTGTCGGTGTCTTTTGGCACTGGCGCCACATCGCCTTTGGTCTTCTTGGAGACAAAGAGCAATATGCCTACCTCGATCTCTTGCCATCCTGGAGGATTGGCAACGACAATTACCGTTGATATAAAATACACATTACAGAGCGAACCTGGACTAAATCAACTGGGGTACAGGACATAGTGCGGGTGCACCGGTGTCCATTAGTAACACTTTCCTGACCAATCTCTCTCTTCTGTATCAAACACCATGTTTGCAAATGTAGCTAAACGACAAATTTTCCAAGTTTCCTTCTGCTCACGGTGTCTCCTACGCCAGAGGATACCACCACTATCATTTCGTGCCAATCTGACCCTGACAAGATCATTAAAACCTTCCTCATTTTCATTCCCCAGCAAAGATCAACCTGTGTCTGATTTCAACGTGACCAAGCTTACACATGGCAAGACAGACCTTGAAATAGCGCTTACGGAGAGAGCATCGAAAAAGTTGTGTCAAATTGCAAAAGAAGACAAGAATCCAAGAACAGCTTTACGCATACTTGTTGAAAGTGGAGGATGTCACGGATTCCAATACAATTTAAATTTGACTACTATAGACGACGCCGTAGCTGAAAATCCGGAAATGTTGGTTTTCCAGCGACAGACTGACGATGGTGTTGCAAATTTGGCTATCGATGAGTCCTCGCTCGAAATTCTTCAAGAGTCGAAAATCGACTATACAAAGGAGTTGATAGGAAGCTCATTCAAGGTGGTTGAGTCGCCCTACACGTCCACCGAGTGTGGGTGCGGAGCATCGTTCGACTTTGACTTTGACAAGTTGGAGAAGAAAAAGCAACAGAAGAAATAGTATATCATCTCCTAGTACATACACACTCTACATATCATTATACATCAATTTGCCTTCAAGGCAAGGTTCTCAATGCCCTGGATACTGCGACTGGCATAGAAACGCACATCGACGTCTTCATCACTTTGCAATTTTTCCAACTTGGGAAGAATGTCGTTCGATACAATGGAAGAAGCATTGGGTTGACCACTGTTTGCAAAAGTTTCAGCCAAAACCAAGTACAATTTGGCCACATTGAATCGGATGTTGGGCACGGAATCGTTCACCAAATGGTTCACAAATGGTAAAATAGACGACACCACAATATCAAAGTCAACTACTGGAATAATTTTGGTGGCAGTGAACAAGCATGTCAAACGAATAACAAAGTTTGAGTAATCAATTTGATCTTGATCATCTTGTGACGATTCGGGAGAGTGCAACAACCGCGAGATAATCTCCCTATTGGCCCATTCCGAACCAAAAATGACTATGAGTTCTTTCAAGTTGTTGACGGCGGCATCACGAATAGCAAACACTGGGTCCCAGAGCCACAGCATACACAAGGAAAGGAGTTCCGAATTGAAAAATGACACTCCCAACTGGTCGGCGAGCTTGGGAATGTACTCAATAATTGCCAAACGAACACGCCATTTGGAATCTTGGGCCAATTCAGTTATGGCAGGAAGAAGGTGAGTGGACAAGAGACTGACTCCGATGGTAGAATTGACCACCGAGAGACTGGATATGACATTGAGACGTACTTCAGGAAACTCGTCTTTCAACATGACCAAAAAAATTGGTAAAAGTTGTTCGATGGTGGCTTCTTTTCCGAGTATGGGGGCCAACCCAGTGACTTTTGATGCCGCTGCTGCTCTGACAGCCTCATGAGGGTCTTCTGCCAACTCCGCAACAACGGGAACGATTTTTTCCACTATGATAGAGCGTCCATCTGGAATATTAGCGAGGTATTCGCAAAAGTCAGGTAACTGACGAGCAATCGCCTTACGAACTTCACCCTCATTGTCCTTCATTAAAGACACGAATGGATCAACAAGCTTGGCGAGTTCAGCATCACCAAAGTTGGTTGCAAGTTTTCCAAATCTGTCAGCTGCGGTGTAACGTACCCGCCAGGAAGCATCACCTATAAGGGCAAGAACAGAAGCCAAGAACTGAGAGTTGTGGCTATCGTCACCCAGTTCTCTGAAACGGGCCAATATGGCCACGAGAACATCCACCGATAAGAACTTGACCGAGTCTTGATCGTCCAGTACCAAATGGTGGAACATGGCCAGAATAACGTCCCAATCTGCGGGAAGAGCACCGTCCAATTTTTCAATGATGGCGGGTAAATTGGAAGCGGCAGCACGGCGCACCATAGGACTGTCATCTGTGAGTAATTTTAAGTATGTTTGGAGCAATTCATGGCGGGTTTCCTCGTTGACCCTACGAATGATTGACTTGAAAAGACCACAAGCAGCGACTTTTTTCAGAAACCAATTTCCCAGACTCAATGTTGATACCATGGGCAAGAAGATTCCATGGAGTTCTTCGTCGTTGAGTTCATCAGCAATCAAATTGAGTGAAACGATCGCCTTGTCACGAACTATTGGTTCTTCCATCGACACCAAAATCAACAAAATTTGTATCACTGGCTCACAATGCTGGTGGCCGCCCACCAAGGGCACGAAAGACCCCAATTTTGTACCAAGTTCAGCGAAAACTTCCTCTTCGTCATCCTGGGCAACGTCGTGAAGAAACGGGAGAAGCTCGTTTACGGTTCTTTCAGGACCCAATGCCATGGCAATGGTATCTACTTTTCGCATTGCTTGAACACGGTTCGCCACATCGTCGTGCTTTAGCTCATCCATTAGCAATGCTAATGGGTAGAGATCATCGTTGAAGTTGTCCATGTTGCTGAGGGAGGATGCGGTGGTTGTTGAAAGTCACCGCCAGGCAGTGTGCAGGAAAAACTTATGGGACAAAGCTGCGAGAGACAAAATGGAAGCGGAGTCAGTAGGGGAGCAGATTTAGTTACATGAACCTAACCTGGGCCTAATCTGAGCCTACATGACAAATATACATAGAAAGATGTGAGCATATGTGAAAGTACATGAACATATTTTTGATTTTTAGTGAATCTGATTGGGATTGACTTTGAGACTATTGCGAGTTTTAGTGGTTTCAAGCTTTTTGGTTTCAAAGAATTGGGTTCAAGATTTTGTGGTTCAAGCTTTATTGTTTGAAAGAGAGACTTATGTGATTGGGATAACGTGGAAATCGTGAAATGAATGCCATTACAGCCTTCATTTGTGGGGTGCGTTAATTTGAGTTATAATGGTTGCGAATTGATAAGTTCTTCCGAGTAATTTATCAACGAAGAATTTTTCAAGAGAGTCATCCCGCAATAACAAAAGTTTCATACATTTATGCTGTGCATTATATCTTGAAGATAAATCACTGAAGGTGCTTAATTATTCTAGGTACCTCCAAAATGTGAAATCACTTCTTTCGTATAAGTTGAGGTAATTCAACTACAATTGCACATTCCTCAAGATCATCCTGGAAAGGTTTCCCATACAGAATATCATTTCGCCAATGTTGCCGAATATGGTTGCGAATTGCAGCCACTGCTTTTCAGTTCTCGAAATGTGGTTTGACGAATGGTTTTGAATTTGAGTTCTAAGTTCAATCCCATTCTTATTTCTGCCCTTAGCTTTCTGTTTCATGGCTTTCTGTTTCTTTTGCTCTGTGGTTTCCGTAACTTTTAATGGTCGGTTGTGGCTTTCGTCTTCGCAGTTTCCTGCACCCCACATCACATTCCCACGTTCACCATGTCCCATCCCGACAACTTGGACGTTCTCGCCGCTCAAACGGTGCCCCAGGATGCTGCCGAGTACCACCAATTGATCCTGAAAGAGAAGCAAACGTTGAAATGTTCCATTGTTCCGGGTCAATTTTGCCAGTCGCTGAATGAGACAAACGACCAGGATTTCGACTATTTAACCCAGCATTTTGGCGTTGTGGGATCATGGGAAGAGACACTCCAGAAACTACACGCCCTAAACAGTGCTAGTGACGAAAAAACAACCTACAAAATCTTATTCTTGGCTCGCCATGGTCAGGGTTTCCACAACGTCGCCCACGATATGTACGGCGACGACGCTTGGAATTCCCATTGGTCCAAATTGAACGGCAACGGAGACATGGTATGGGGACCCGATCCAGAATTGACGGAATTGGGCATCCAGCAGGCACGAGACAACTGTGAGCAGTGGAAAAAAGAGGTTGCAAATGGATGTCCAATTCCCACAAGATTTTTTGTTTCGCCGCTCCGGCGGTCTGTGGACACTTTGATCTACACCTGGGAGTCTATAAGTGATCCAAAGACGCTGCATCCACTAATTATGGAAAATCTTAGAGAAACCACCGGAGTTCATACATGCGACAAGAGATCGACTCGGTCGGAAATCGCCGAAAAATACGAAACACGAGGTTTTGTGATTGAGCCGGGGTTCTCCGAGGAAGACGTTTACTACAAGCCGGATTACCGAGAGTCGGTTGGCGAGCACGCCGTACGAGTTAACCGGGCATTTCAGCAAATTTTCACCTCCACTTCAGATCCGGTTCTCAGTCTCACCAGCCACTCAGGCACAATTCGCGCTCAGCTTTTGGTGTTAGGGCATCGGTCTTTTGCGGTAGGCACAGGCGGCATTATCCCGGTGTTTGTTAAAGCCGAACAAACTTGACGTATGCGCTCGGTTGAAATTTTAACAATAGACGAAAATTGCTATAAATAAAAATTGTATGAGTTTGGTTGAATTTCTGCACCTCAATTACACATGCTACAGACTCGCTTCGACTTACCTACACCTAAAAAGCTTGAAAATCAGCCACCGTTCCATTGGTCCTCGTCCAGCCTAAATTCGGCGAGCACAGCGAATACGAGCGAAAATTATGTTCACTACTGCAGGCGATGAGATTTTTTTTCTCTTCATGCACGTCCTGCATCAATCCCCCAATCAGTGCATGCAGCACCTCGGCACGGCTGTCCTCAAATTCTCGCGAAACTTATTCGATAACTGAAATTGGCACATATTGTTTGTCTCAAAACCCCAGTCTTGGCGTCCGCGTTTTTTTCCCGCATAACCTAATTTTCTACCACCCAGCCACCACTTGTAATATCGTGTGCATTGTTACCAATAAGCGGTTCGTGCATTCCTCACCTGCATTGATATGCATCAGCTGCGCCGAAATTGGGGGATCACCACACGTGGTGTTTGTGTGCACACCCAATATTGCAATCGTTCGTGTGAGCAGCTGCTTGTTTCGGGTCGAGAAATATCGTGCGTTGCAGATCAGCACTACTTCGGGCGTTTGTTTCCTTAACGGTTTTACCATTCACAGGTGGCCGGCACAGCGCCTATTTATGCAGGCTCATTTTTTGTGTCCTCTTATATCGCTAATTTTTATTTCATTGATAACCATCTCAGTAATTTCAGTCGAGGTTTTTCTGCGCAGCGCCAATAATCTACTTGTTATCAGTTTGTGACTCCCATATTGTTGAATCTCATCGATACTTCGACTAATCGTGTGCTGTTATACCGCTTGGTAGAAGGATGAAGTTTGGTCACAACTTTGATGACCTATCAATCCCTCAATGGCGTATACATAACCTAGACTATAACCACCTCAAAGGAGAGATCCGCAAGCTCACAGACTCCCATGCCAATACCGAAGGGTTTCCGCCCCTTAAACGGAACTTACGACATTTAAATCGTGCTTTCGTGGAAGATTTCGACCGGGTTTCCTTGTTTGCAATCACCAAATATGGCGAGCTTTCTCGGCGTTTGGCATTCCAGGAGATGGCATTCTCTCTGATATTGCCCCGTGGATCAGTATCGGAAGATGGAACCTTGGATACTGCTTCCAATTCCGATATTCGGTCGGCTCGTCGCCGCAGTCTCGTGGAGGACCAAATCAAGGTGGACGAAATTTTGTACCAGTGTTACGAGTTGTCGGGAACAACCCAAGACCTCTCGAAATTCATCCTCATGCAGAAAATTGCATGCCGAAAGATCTTTAAAAAGTACCAGAAGTACGCCCAAAATAAGAAGAAAGCTCAAGCTTTTGTCGATAACCTCAAGGACTATTTGTACACCAACGAACACTCATTTTTCAACGTCGATCTCTCGTCGCTTACACTCAAGCTTGCAGAGCTCATACGCTTGATCAAAGAACACCGGAGCCGGTTATGTGACGATTTGAAGTCCAAGTCTTACAGCCCGACATCGCTGATTGTTGCGTCCATGAATAAATTGGCTGCTACCAACCCTTCTCCTTTGCATGTTCAACAAAAATTTTCTAGTGCTGGCACAGAATTCGATTTGTTAACCTGTGTTAAAAAGAACTTTCACATTGATTGCATCATTCCCGACGAAACAAACTCGGTTAACGAAACGTTATTGAACTTGAACGTCAATTTGGGGCTTGATGTCGTCGATGTCAACCAGGAAATTGCCTACATGTCTGTTTTGTTCCTTCAAAATTCCGATCGAATGGACGAAGATCCTTCCTATATCATATCTGACCATTCGCAAGACGTTTCCACCGTCGTAGCCCACACAGGCGGGCTTCGCAAGTACGCTTACTGCGTGCTTCCGAACGACGTTGTACAATACCTTTTGGACTATTTAAACTCAAAAACTGATAAATTGAAGGGATATTTCCACCACACCACTCTGAGCTTGCTCACAAAGCTCACGATTGAAACAATAATAAAGCAGAAACATACCCCGAAATGCAGGGTGGACTTTCAAAGACACCGGTACTGGATGCGGAAGGACATCGTACTCACACAAACACATAGCCATGACGAATCAACCCCTTCTTTGTTTGAGGGTAAAACGTACCAGGACGATTATTACATTACTTTGGACAAAAAAATTCAAACAACTACCGATGCTAGAAGCATTAACATCTTGGGAGAAGTTGTTGACGAAGCGGTGTTTGACATCTTCCCCTACGCTCACCTTATGGTTCATTCCAATGACTCGAATTTGTCGACTTTTGTCAACGATTTGCGTACTCCAATTGAAGACGGTACTATAGGTCGGAGTTATTCGTCAAGTTTGTTGAGAAAGCTTCCGGTTAAGATTCAAGACTTACTCACGAACAATAACTCCTTGACTTTAGTGAAAAACTTGTCATTCTATCACTATATGCTTTCTTGCTACTTCAACATGGCCCTCGACCACCATCACATCAACAGTGAATATTCCAATTTGCTCAATTTGAACCTTCTCAAGAATTACGAGCAGGTGGAGAATTTCAAGAACCAGCGAAATGCAGAGAACAGACTATTAAAGAACAATTCACTTCAAGTGTTGCATCATCAAAACTCATTAAAGTCATTTTCCGATTTGCACCCTCAACCACCAGCGCTCAAGAAAAACGATTCGATGCTAAGTATGGCAACCACCAAGGACGATTTGTCGATATTCACCCATGATTATCTGGGACGTCATGGACTGTTGGAAGAGCTCGTTTCTGATGAAGACAGCACCAATGAGGAAGAGGACAATAATTACCTGCATTACTTGAAGTTGCACATACATCGGAATAACGACGAGTCGATAATCGGCGACTTTATTCTCCGCATGCTTCGATTCAAAAAGAGAGCGTTGTCCAAGCTCACTTTTTCGTCCAATAAAGGACGCAGAGAATACGAAATTCTTAGTGACGACCTCGAGCGCAATTATGGCTCCACCCACGACAACGACATGTCTGTGGGTCAGCGGAACTTGCGTCGAATCTTCGAGGAGGATTTTGATCACACGTTGTCATATTTTTACTTCTCCCTTTTTTTCATATCATTATTCGTATCCGGAGTGGAACTCGGAATTATCTACAGTCTACTTGGAGCCCAGGACGAAGACTCCAAATTACTCATGTCGAAAAACCTTTTGGTTGTTCTCGTATTGCTCTTGGGGTTGTTTGTATCATTAATATTCGGCATGATTAGCATTAATCTCAACCTCCAGCGATACTACCCTCTAACGTCACACACTGTGATTCTATGGCTGGGATTTGCAGTGGTTGCATTCGCCAGCATCTGGTGTGTGATTGTTATCATGGAACAACGCTAACATAGACCTATAATAAACTATTTATCATTGTATTCTCATGGATTTACGATTTTCGCCATTTCTTATGAAATTACGATTTCGCCATTTTCTCGCTACATCACATCACATTGAGCCATGCTCACTCAATTGCATTTGCAACCATTTGTGCCGACCTGCATACGCACGTGGCAGCTGCCAATCAAGCGCCGGCCGCATAGATTATGGGTCGGCACGTGAGATGATTCAACCTGGTCCTGCAGGCTCTCCATTTAGGGTTTATTATATCTGGCTTTCACAACCATTTTTTTGCAGTATCTCAACGCTTGATATAATGACGTCGCAGACGGATGCTATATCTCACGTTGTGAACAAGGTATGGGGACCGGTGTTTGTGACCCAACCTGCAAAGTCGGTTCCTTCTGCTTTTTCCAAATATTTTCCAAAAGCCAACTTTTTGATTTCTGCTAATGACCCATTTGCAGCGGTTGCAGATTCGGTTTCGTCCGAAGGTGACGAGGAAGAGCTTACCACGGTAACTACGGATGGCGTGACGCTTTTCAAAAATCTCCCATTTTTTTCGTCATCAGTCTTCTCTTCCTCCAAAATCGTGGTCCATGTGGAGATTGCTAACTTTGACTTTTCTCTTGTCACGGCACTCCGTGATTTGGAGTTCCCAGTGTTGGTGTCGCAGAACGCTGCTGAGAGTCTTCTGTTCTCCAAAACTGCCTACAATTTGGCTTCAAAACTCAACAAAACAGTGTTCCATTTCTTTGCACCTTCGCAGTACAAGACCAACGAGTCGGTCAAGTTGACGAACGACGATATTTTTGTAAACTTGGACTCGTCCGATGTGTTGGAGATTGCCGCAGCTTGTGACGTGAAGCCATTTGAGGCCGCCAACAAGGTTTCCAAGCCAAAAGATGCCATTCTCTTCTTGGGACAGCTCAATGACGAACTCATATCTGCCGCTACCAAAAACAATGCATTGATAATATCGATCAAGATCTACAAGCCATTTGACTTGCAGCAGTTGCTCTCAACGGTTCCCTCTTCAGTCGAGACGTTATCTGTGGTCATCCAGTCAACTACGTCTTCGTCATATTCTCCTTTGCTTCTTGACTTTTTCCAGGAGTACTCCAAGTTTCAGCCAATCAAAAACTTCACAAAGATCGTCACCGCCACCTTGGGCTACCTCACAAGTGATAAATACGACCAGGCAGTAGACAACTTGATCAAAAATGTCCAATCATCGAGCCCTGTCCAAGGATTGGCATTTGGCAAGCTCAACACAGAATTGACCACCAAGTCTTCCAAGCAGCGTTCAGAAGAACACTCGAAATCTGTTAAGGACGCTATTCAATTGGAACAGGCATACTTGAAGGTCTTGCAACAAGTAAACGACTCGAACATGAACGTCTTGAATGAATTCAATGCTAAGGACATCGGACAGCTGAACCCTGAGTTTGGATTCGGGTTATTTATTTCGACCCAGGAAAAGTTAGCTGCTCTTACAGAACTCATACAATCTGCTGTGCGTAGGAACAGCTTCAAGTCGTTGGACAACAATAAGTTAGTCGACTTGTTATCCAAGTGGTTGATTGCACAACGTGATGGTTCATCAAACACCGCTGCTTTGGCATCAGAGATAATTCCATTGCTCGAGTCAGACAGTTCAGATTACGCAGCCAAGATTTTGGAAAACAAAGAGTATCTTTCTCTCAAATCCAACTGGTTGATTGGCTCGGACTCGTGGTCCTACGATCTCGGTTCATCTGGTGTGCACAACTTGATAAGTTCAGGTAAGAATATCAACATGTTGGTCATTGACTCGGAACCATACCAAGAGAAGAGCCAAGGTAAAACACTCAATGGTTTCAGAAAGAAGGACGTTGGTTTATACGCCATGAACTATGGTGGCTGTTATGTTGCTTCCGTTGCCATTTACTCCTCTTATACCCAAGTTATCCAAGCGTTCATTGAGGCTGAAAAGTTTAACGGTCCTTCTATTGTGTTGGCTTACTTGCCGTACAACAGTGAGGCAGATGACACCTTGACCATTTTGCAAGAAACCAAGAAGGCAGTTGACACTGGATATTGGCCATTGTACAGGTACGATCCCGAAGACAAGAAAGAAGCGTTCAAATTGGACTCGTCCAACTTGAGAAACCAATTGAGAGAATTCTTGGATCGTGAGAATCGTTTAAGTTTATTGACTGCCAAGGATCCTCTTTTGTCAAGAAACTTGACATCCAATGCTAACACGGAGTCTCGCAAACACCAAGAAAAGGTTGCTGACGAGTCGTTTGCCAAGCTTCTTCATGGCTTGCTGGGTCCTCCATTAACCGTTGCTTTTGCGTCTGATGGTGGTAATGCCGAGAGCGTTGCAAAGAAGATTAACAGACAAGCCATTGGCAGAGGATTGAAGTCCATTGTGTTGGCTATGGACGACTTGTCGATCGAAGACTTGCCTGTCGAGACCAATATTGTGTTCATTACTTCTACCTCCGGACAGGGTGAATTCCCCACCAACGGTAAGATGTTCTGGGATGCCTTAAAAGGTGCCAATGATATCGATTTATCTGGTATCAAGTTCTCCGTTTTCGGGTTGGGAGATTCCGAATATTGGCCCAGAAAGGAAGACAAGCACTACTACAACAAGCCTGCCAAAGACTTGCATGCCAAGTTGGTTTTCTATGGCGGTGTAGAGCTTGTTGAACTTGGCTTAGGAGATGACCAGGACGCTGATGGCTACAATACTGGTTTCAAAGAATGGGAGCAAAAGTTGTGGAAGGCTTTAGGAGTTGACAATGTGGAGGGAGTTGAAGAACCAAAGCCCTTAACCAACGAAGACATGAAGATCGGATCGAACTTCCTTCGTGGAACCATCGCCGAGGGTTTGCAAGATCAATCTACTGGAGCCATCAGTGCAGTTGACCAGCAGTTGACCAAGTTCCACGGTATTTACATGCAAGACGATAGGGACATCAGAGACGAGAGGAAAGCTCAAGGTAAAGAACCTGCTTATGCCTTTATGGTTCGTCTTAGATTACCAGGAGGCTCGGCTACTCCTCAACAGTACATCAAGTTGGACGATTTGGCCGATGAGAGAGGTAACGGAACCTTAAAATTGACTACAAGAGCCACCTTCCAATTGCATGGTATAGTGAAGCATAACTTGAAGCCTGCCATTCGTGGCATGAACTCTGCGTTGTTGGACACTTTGGCTGCTTGTGGTGATGTTAACAGAAATGTGATGGTTTCTGCTATTCCCCACAATGCCAAGGTCCACTCTCAAATCTCAGAGGTTGGTGCCCTTATTTCTGATCACTTGTTACCCCAGACCACAGCATACCATGAGATCTGGCTTGAGGGAGAAGATGAAGGAGATAAACCAGGCGATAGTGCTGCTTGGGAAAAGAGAGAAAAAGGACCCAAAAAGAAAAAGACTTTGGTTTCTGGAAATGCTTTGGTGGATGTAGAACCATTGTACGGTCCAACCTATTTGCCCAGAAAATTCAAGGTTGTCATCACCGTTCCACCTTACAACGATGTCGATGTCTATGCTCATGACATTGGTTTGATTGCGATTTTGGAAGGTAATGTGGTTGTTGGATTCAACGTGTTAGCTGGTGGTGGTATGGGATCGACTCACAACAACAAGAAGACTTACCCTAGAACCGGTTCTATGTTAGGATATGTGTCGAAGGAAGAAGTTCACATAGCCTGCGAGAAGATCATGTTGGTACAGAGAGACAACGGTGATAGAACAAACAGAAAGCATGCCAGATTGAAATACACCATTGACGACATGGGCGTGGATGTGTTCCGTGGAAAGGTTGAGGAGCTTCTTGGACACAAGTTTGAGGAAGCCAGACCATTTGAGATCAAGCTGAACATTGATTATTTCGGATGGACCAAGGATGAAACCGGATTGAATCATTTCACTGCTTTCATCGAAAACGGAAGAATCGAAGATACTCCAGACCACCCCCAGAAGACTGGTTTGCGTAAGATAGCCGAATACTTGAGTGATGGAAAATCTGGAGAGTTCAGATTGACAGGAAACCAACACATGCTTCTCTCCAAGATCGAAGACCAGGATTTGGAAACGGTGAAATCTTTATTGGCCAAGTACAAATTAGACAACACCGACTTCTCAGGCTTGAGATTGTCGTCTGCTGCCTGTGTTGCATTCCCAACCTGTGGATTGGCCATGGCAGAGTCCGAGAGATACTTACCTGAGCTTATCAGCAAATTGGAAGAAGCATTGGAAGAATATGGTCTTCGTCACGATTCCGTTGTTATGAGAATGACTGGATGTCCTAACGGATGTGCTAGACCTTGGGTTGCTGAAGTCGCTCTTGTTGGAAAAGCTTACGGTGCCTACAACTTGATGTTGGGAGGAGGACATCATGGACAGAGATTGAACAAGATCTACAGATACTCCATCAAGGAGGATGAGATCTTGGACATTTTGAAACCATTGTTCAAAAAATGGAGTCTTGAAAGGAATGAAAACGAGCCTTTCGGTGACTTCTGTATTAGAACCGGTGTTATCAAGGAAACTACCGAGGGTAAGTATTTCCACGATGATATACCCGAAGACGCATAAATATGAATGTATTTATTAACCTGTTATCGTTATTCGTAAATTTATATCTTCAACTTGATCTCATTGTTCTAATCTCTCACTTTCTCATCGTCCGCTTCTTCTCGACCCTGATGTCTCCCAATAGGCCCTTGATCGTTGGAGTATGTTTACGTTCGACCTCTAAAACATCTTTGAGTTTGACGTCGCGGAGAGTTACACTTACGGTATTTAGTCTACGTAATATGCGTCGCTCACAGGTCTGAGCAATTTTTTCTGATTCATGCTGCAACAGCGATATACGTTGTTCTGCAAGAGCACGAAATCGAGCAATAACAATCTGTTTTTCTTGCTGTGTAAACATCTAATGATCCGCTCACCACTAAAACTTTAAGTTGGTGGTGCTATTTAGTGGGTTGCGCACGACTTCTCTGTGGCAACGCGAACACCACCTCTCAGTTAATGAAAACTACGTAGATAACTAGCTACCTCATTTGCAATTTTCAGGTGGTGAAACGATACATCCAATAATTTCTTACCTTCCAATTGAACCTCCCATACCAAATAAACCCCCAGGGATTCCCCAAAGTGTATAAAAATGGTGCTCGAAGCCACCATGATCGCCATCGATAACTCGGAATATATGAGAAATGGAGACTTCATGACCACCAGGTATGATGCCCAGCTCACCGCGACCGAGTTTATCTTCCAGAACAAAGTGAACTCAAACCCAGAAAATACTGTAGGTTTATTGGCATACGGAGGTGCGGGACCACAGGTATTGTCGACTCTCACCACAGATTTCGGTAAGATATTGTCAGGAGCTCACGATACCAAGATCAGTGGCACGCCGCATTTTTCTAGTGGTATTCAGGTTGCGGCGCTTGCTTTAAAACATCGTCAGAACAAAGTACAGAATCAACGTATTATCGTGTTTGTGGGCAGCCCTATAGAGGAGTCTGAGAAAGATCTCGAGAAACTCGCCAAGAAGATGAAGAAGAATAACATTGCAATCGACGTAATCAACTTTGGTGAAGAAGCAGTTAACACCGCCAAATTGGAAAAGTTCAACTCTGTCATCAACAACCACGACAATTCTCATCTTGTAACGGTACTGCCTGGTCCTCGTTTGCTTTACGAAGTGATCGCCACGTCACCCATTCTAGTGGAAGGAGGCTACGACGGTGGTGCTGGCGGTGATAATGGCATGGATGGCTTTGCTGGTGGTGACATGATTGATCCAAACATGGATCCAGATTTGGCATTGGCTTTACGTCTTTCTTTGGAAGAAGAGAAGTTGCGTCAAGAAAGAGAAGCAGCAGAGAAGGCGAAGGCCGAGTCTGGGGAAGGAGCTTCAGAAGAGTTGGGCCGTATAGATGAGAAGAAAGAAGAAGATGTGCCCATGGAGGATGCAGACAAGAAGTAGGATTTCATGCATACCTATTTGTGCACCACGTATATAAGACCGAATAGAATCAGTTTGTGGTCCACTATTTGTGTTCACAAATTTAAATATTTCTATTGATGACTGCTAAGCGAAAGAGTATCCACCGTAGCACTAGACCTGTTCTATGGGCCCTGCTGGAAGACCGTATTCTTAGTGAGCTTCGCGAATCTCGAGCTCACTTTATCGACAAGTATCTCTCAGGGTCTTTGAATTTGTCACAGATTCCAGCCCCGAGCTGCTTGGAGGATGTTGGTTTCATGCCGGCGCCTCGACCTTACGGAGACTCGGGAACAAATAAACTTGTTAAGGAATTGCAAGCACTTCCCCACTGGAATGCGCAAAAGGTGTTCAAAGATGTGATAAAATTGTTACGTAAATCGTTCGCCGTATCAGGCGTTTCTATATCCCTCATGGAGACGAACAAACAAGTAGTGAAGTTTGAATCTTCCTTCGGCCTTGATCATGTCCCTCGTACGGTGTCAATTGACGGACATGCTATTTTGTCCAAAGATTATTTTGTTCTTTTGGACACCACCAAAGATTGGAGAACGAGAAACAATCCTTTTGTCACGGGTCCACCTAGGATCAGGTTTTACTGCGGTGTTCCTCTTATTTGCAATGATATTGCTGTTGGGGTCTTGGCTATATTTGATCCCTTTCCCAAATCCTCATTTGATACCAGGCTTACAAGAGAGTTACAGAAGCATTCTTCTGAATTGATACAGTTCTTGTTGTCACCCTACGACGTATCAATGACTGCTATCGACACGGCAGATGAATTGAAAGAATTGCAAAGAAGATTCGGACGAGCTACCAGCCGAGGTTCGGAAATGCTGGTTTACGAAAAAGATGGCTCTGGCAGTTCATACGCCCAAAATCAGAAGTTGCGCTTTCAAAGGTTGGATTCAGCGAGCAAAGATGAAGAAATGAACAGGATTCTCTGGAGAAAGCTAGCCAACGCGGCAAGTCTCCGAACTGCTGCTACTGTTTTGACCAAAACCTTGTTGATCAGCCACAAGTTAGACATGGTGGTTGTTTTGGAGCTTCGAATCACCGAACTCTACAGTATAAGCAGCACTTACTTTCCATATCTGGGTAAAGTAGATGCCGACTCATATAGATATCGTGACATGCTCGCAAGAAAACCTGGCACTAAGGATGTCATGACGAGGTTGATGGGAAGTTATGGAGGATCTCAAACAGCTACTTTTGACAGCACCATGATTGAAAGGGCTTCTTATTCTCAAGTCGGAATGTTTTACAAGAATTTGCGAGGCCACACCACGTATAACAGCGGGATCATCATGCCATTTCACAAGCAAAAAACTCGCTTATCAAAGTGTCCTTCAAACCAAAACGAGGAGCCCATTAGTGTTCAGCTGCGCTCCGGAGCGTATTTGATTGCCTTGTTCAGCCAAGATCCGAGTTATGACTTCAGCGCAGGTGTAATCGATGCCGCGTATAACGGAGCAATGTTGTTACGCCGGATCTACATCGACACATAGGTATCATGAATCCATTTCTCGCAAAAGCTCCATCTCTGCATCGTACGACTCATTGGGGATATCCTCAAGATGAGGCACTTCCGGGCGTACGAAGAGGTTCTCGTCCTGAGGATCGGCGTAGAATTCATCTTCACTAAAGAAGTCATCTGGCTCGTTCACCCTTTGCTCTGATTTCGAGTACTCTTGAGTAGTCAGAGGTTGCTCAGACGGAACGGCTAAACCCAACTCTTCCTTTTTCTTGTTGATTTCCGCCTCAATTAGTGTCTTTCTGTACCTCTTGAGAGACGTGTCCCTTGCTCCAAAGGATCTAAGCAAATAAATGCAGTCTCTGAACTTTGCCTTTGGGAGAAGACCATGGCACCAAAGTTGGTAGAATTGAAGGATCGCCTGTAGGTTCTGAAATTCATTGTCGTATTTCAAGCGTCTGCGCTGTGAAGATGTGAGGTCTTTCTTTTCAAGCTTGGCAGCAAGACGCTGATCGTTTCGTTCGATAACTCGAAGTGGTTTCCTATAGGAAGAGATGATAAAAGGAAGTCCTTTCTGTTTATCCATGAGCCCATCGAGATCAATTTTGGAGATTTTAGTACGCTTGGTGAGCTTAATGGGCTGGTCGAGCCCGAGTACGTCGTCAGACATTTTGGTGACTTTTTTTTGGGGGGAACTATATTTCAGAAATTCAACGCGTTGGTAGAATTTCAAATCAATCAAATATAACCTAAACTTATTCTTGTAACAAGTCCACCTGTTTCTGTGCTAGTTGTGCTCTGATAGTGCTTTTGTACAAAATAGTCAAAAGTCGTAGCAAAACAAAACCTTCTATAAATTTCAATAAGTTATGCTCTATTTATCCTGGCCGAATTTTTGTTTTTGTTCCGCGCCGCGCGCGCCGATTACTTGGATCTCATCAAGCCACCAACTGCTCAACTCAAGTCCATGATTACTTCGGCATTGGCGCTAGCGAGCTCGTTGCTCTATTTCGTGTTTCCACTTCTCCTCACCCTAAAGACCATATCTGATATTTCAGATCCTGTTCGAACAAGCCAAAGAGCCATTTTCTTGCTACATTATTGGTTATGTTACTGGTTTATTGGACAGATGCAGACCATTGTTTCCATTGCTTCTCTCGCAGGGTTTCCATTGAGCTCTGATTTTACGTCTATTTTGTTTTCTGGAGTTAAAATGTGGCTCTTTTATTACCATGGATGCTTGGTAGTACCACGAGTGTTATTGCAACCATTCTTGTGTCGATTTTTCCGAACAAACACGTTTGTGCAATTTGAGAGTTTGTATGTCGAGCCAATGGCCAGACTGCTTCCTTCGAGCGCTTTATTTGCATCAGATTTGGGTTTTTTGACGTCATACGCCCGGTTCCATAGTGCCTACACTCGGGCTGGAACTTCGTTTTTATCGTTCTGCCTCGACCAAATCTGCTACATTGATTCCGACAAAATGCTCCTCCAGCGCTATCACAACTTGACCAGCACGACAATGCTGTGGCTAAATTATGTGCGGACATATGTTGATCCCCAACCTGCGATGCATCATCATGATCGCAGCCATTCGCAAACATTCTCCCCAAAATCATTCCAGCTCCTGCCCCCGCAAGTGCCCGCAACTATGTTCCCCGTCAGTTCCTCCAAGTCAGTTCCCAGACTGTCGTCAAAAACCTACAATTTAGACCTTGACTTCTTCACTCGCCGAAAGAACGACAATGGTAGCTCCAGTCCCAAATTGGATTACCTCGACATAGGTCAGGACGACACATTCGACTCTGTTGACGACTCGATGGAGTTTCTTTCCAAACCTCACAAAGACCTGCCTCGAACCATCAGGAAAGTTGGATCCGTTTCAAGTCTCACTAATGTGGCTGACGAACTACCTCTCATGGGCTCTCGGCTGCGCTCACATCTGACCTCCAAGGCTGAAAAATCCACAACTGACCGAATCATCAACCCACTCACAAACAAACGATCCTTTCTGACTCCTCAGGACCTTCCATACCCAATCGAAGATACCCTTCCAGCGCACCCCAGTCCCGAGACATTCTTGGCATCTCGACAATCTCAATCGCTGTCGCTGTTGAACGGTCATACAATTGATCCCATCAAAGTCAGAAAGCTAAAACGAAAGGAGCCGCCTAAGGAATTTTAGCGAAAAAAAATTCGGGTCCCATTATCTCAACCGATTATTCGCATTGTTTCGCGGCTCATCTCTTTATCGCGTTTTAACCTTATGTACTACACCGAGCTTCTACCTCGACTAAACTCACTCACGGTGATACTGGACTTCTCTGGCGACGTCAAGGACATCAAAGGAATCAGAATCGACAAGAATGACCTAGCAATATCCACTGAAGGGAGCACACTTCGCATAAAATTACCCATAGATGGGAACCACAATGTTGCGGATATGACTATTTCATCTTTAAAGTACATTGATCTGTGTCTTCGGCTATCGATCTCGTTTCCTGGTACAAAGTTATCCGAGCACACTCAGTCTTTCATGGATTTCAATCATTCTAATGTTCAAAAATGGTCTTGTTCTGACCTTCGACGGACCCCACAAAATGCCGAAAAGCAAAATATCTTTCACTTTGGTTGCGCCTATTGCGACAAGAATATCATAAACTCGAAAGATTGTAGCTTTTTTGACATGCCATCGGAACTTTGGTCAGAAATGATGGATTTCTGGCACTGCCACAAACCTCACGATCATGGCAACCATGGAGAACACCAGCATACAACTAATCAGTACGAAGAACTCAAGCCAAAACAGATGGATGTAATCATTGGTGGATTCTACTTTTTGGTGGACAAGGCTGGTGGCTTGAAGGTTGAGGCCGACCAAGTCTACTGTCCATCATGCGATGCTGAACTTGGTGTTCTTGACAAATCTTCCAAAAAGGTGTTCAAGTACAACCTAAAACTCAACTATGATACAGTGCTGGAACAGTTTCCTCGATACCTATATGTCTATAATTGCGTGCTTGATAAGATCAATCTGTCGGCGTGCCGAACATTTGTCATAAAATCTGATTCCAAATCGCTATTTATTTGGGTGTTGAACATTGGATTGGACATATCCACTGAAACGGGCGTTTTTAAGAATGCATTGAAATTGCTATATGATGTTGATCACCCCGAAATCGAGATGCCTACAGAGGAAATAAGGGTACCCGGTGTAGTTCTTGACGATTGTATCACTCGTTTGCAAGAGATTAATTCGCAATTACCTTTAGGACATCGTTCTGCAGCTGTGGCCGGTAAGAATTTATTTATAAGCTTCATGGCTAGTGCTTAAGTCTATATGTATATTATCATGACTCTAACGTCAAAATATTCGTGGCTATAACTAAGAACTCAAAACTTGGATTCCAATATGTCCTTGACGATAGGTACCACCTGTTTTCGAGATGCCTGAACATTTCCTTGGTTAAATAAAAATAAATTGGAGACAGACAGTAACTTCTTTGCAAAACTTTCGTAGTCGTAGATTTTATCATTTAAGCTCAAAGCTTGATGAGCCAACGTTCCAATCTCCTTCAAATCACCAGCTCTTGGTGCATCCAGTTTGAAGTAGTAGGAGAATTCTCTGGTGTACTCATTATTAGTCTTTTTGGTATATGAAGTGGTTATCACTAACATGTCCAATTTGTGGTAATTTATTGTTCGAAGCAAAGCCTCCTCAATATCATTACCGGAGAACTTGTTGAAGATCCACAGGTACAGTTTTCCAAGAGAACTAAATCCCACACGAAGACCATTGAAGGTGAATTGCTTGTAATCTTTGCGCAATATGTCAAAGAAAGAAAGACCACTCAAATCCTTTTTGGCGGTTTTCAATGTGTCATAGTAAGTCAGCATCAACGACTCAGTGGAAACATCACTGGCTGCCCGTGTAAGTTGGGTCATATTTGTGGAAATATGTGAGTCTTGAAGGAGCATTATGTATCTAGAAAAGGCAACCGAATCCTCCATTTCCACCTTCTGTGTCATATTACTCGTATCGATTAAAAGTGGTCCTAATAAAAGTCCACACACATCCGAGGTCTCAAAGATTGTCTTATCCTTGAGGTTCGTATAGAAGTAGTTGAATACTAGTGAAGAGCACGAACCACTCTTTGTGATAATTCTTGGGTCAGCATCTTTAGCCACGTTTTCGTCTTCATGGTGATCGATAATTGTATCGATTTGTAGTTTGTTTTCGTCGGCATACTTGTGAAATATATCGCCTTGAATATTGCAATGATCTACTAGTGTCAAGTGTACCTTTTCCGACTTTTCACTCAATCTTTCAAAGTCTTCAATGAAGAAAAGAAGATCCTGGCCAATCGAGTAGGTGCCAAGCAACAAGCTGATGTCTTTTCTCAACTTGAACTCTTCTCTAGTAATGTTGATTATAGGAACCACGGGTTCTGAGGGTGCCTGTTGAGCTTTAAAAAAAGCTAAAGATAACGCACTTACAACGGAATCCATGTCTGCGGACTGGTTACCAGTCACAAACCTCAAGGGTTTCTCATTGATTTGGCGACGAAGGCCCGTCAAGAATTCTTTAACTAACATTAGATCGAAATTGAAAAATGAGATTTAATTGATAGTCGCGAAATTTTAATCTGTTCCTTCAACTATTTGGCGTAGTGTAATTTTATATCCAACCAGTTTCTCTTCTTCACCTCTTCCACCGGCAACGAAATATCACCATAGGTAATTGGGCGGAAATAGAAGAAAAACCAAGCAACGGCAACGGTGCAAATAGACACCAAAGTAATGATCTTCTTTTTGTCCACACCAGCTTGTTGAGCCCCCACTCTATTACTGGAGCAAATGAACTCTACTAGAGCTCCAGAGAACAATGCAGCTATCAAGTGTGCAGGGAGGTAGTGGTGCAAGAACTTTTGTCTGTTCATCAAAAAGAATGGCAAATAATGGGCGGCCCATCCAGCGAAAAGAAACCCTAAAGAGTTGTACAATCTGGATCTGGCTTTATCGTGTAACAAGTAAATGCCACGACGGCGAGTCAATTGGTCGGCCAACAAGATCCCGACGTATATAGCAAGGAAGGCCACTTCTAACCAGAATCCAATGACATTACCAATGAAGAAGATTTGCTTTCTTTGGTTGTTATCGTTCCAGAAAGAAACTCCCGATAAAGCCAAGGGCCAGGCATCTGGTTGCGATGCAAAAGGATGCTCCGAAGACAATTGGTTGTTGTGATAGAACATTAACCCTTGCAACTCCCACCATTTTTTCAAAAATGGAATTTTGCGAAGTTTCTTGGGAACGTATTCTCTTCTCTTGTCATCTTCAGGCATGTTGAAAATCTCGTCAAAAGTCCATGTGTTATCCATATCTTGAAGCTTTTTGTTTCCACTCACTTCCTGATGGCCGAAACCCCATTCTGGCAAAACTTCATCGTCATGGGTCCACATGGCCACGACGGTATCCACATGAATAACCTTCAAAGGAACCGCTTTTGTTTTCACCAACTTTCTCTTGTTCTTGCTGTTTGCTGTCGAGTGACGAAGCCTGAAAAGAGACTCGTTATAAGCCTGTGAGTACTTTTCATCATTATAAGTAATGGTGAACTCTTCGTTGGTCGACTTCAAAGGAGATGCCACATCGTGGGTCAACAAGTATCCGCCGGTACCCACATGTTTCAAACGAATGACATCGTTGGTGTAAACCGCCTGGCCTTTTTTGACTTCAGTAGTAGGAATGATTTCCCATTGACTGTTAATATCAATTGCAGCTTCACCATCAACCACACATGTCACCTGCTGAGTGTTGGAAGAAATCCGTCCATCCTCGTACCTCAAAGGATAGTCTGCCAAGTGAGAATGTAAAAGGGCGCCCGTATCCTTGTGTTTGATCGACACCACATCATAGTAGTTGACCTGCTTGGCTAAGCGGGCCATCGGGGACTCGATCAAAGTTTCCTGGAACTCCGACGACATAAAGTTGTCTCCTGGTCCCGACTTGGTCAAGATGGAGAAGTGAACGTAGAACCAGAACAAGTAGATCATAAAGGGGAAAATAATCAAGCACCACAACCGAGCAAAGAAATGTTGTGCGAGTTTGACATTGGTCAATCCACGGCGGTAGTCGAGCAAAATCCACAATTCGTACAACACACCAATCCCAATAGTAACATAAGTCAAAACACCCACATATTTGGTTGAAATCACGCACGAGAGAGCAACACCTGTGGCTGTCAACCAAGACCACCATTTCTTGGTGAATGGAACCTTTCTGTAAGTCACAAAGTTAAAGTAGCAGAAAATTGTCACGGCAACACTCAAGTTGAGTGTAGCATCTAAGAGAATGAGTCTCGAATCGGTGATGTGAGCATTGTCAAAACACACCAACACGGCTGCAAACGTACACGCAGGTACCGAGTAGCCCACAGTCTTCAAGCTTAGAAACATCACTGGTACGGTCAATGTTCCCTGGATGGCCAGAAATGCTCGATAGGCAATATATGGCACGTTGTTTTTCACGTAGTCGTCACCGATGTTTTCAAACTTGAACGCACCATCATAGCCAACAATCCATCCGACTGCAGCAATAAGCAACTTGGCAAATGGTGGATGCAAATCAAAGAAATAGGTTCTTTCCAAGTAATACGAGGCAAACTTTCCAAAATGAACCTCGTCGAACACCACCATGGGTGGGTTGGAGATTTTGGTGAAACGAGTGTAAATTGCAAAAACCGTCACCAACGCGAGTGCAAGGTAGTACTTGTGTTCCGGATCTGCAGCTTTGACAGCGACCGGATTATGGACTTTCGGTTCTTCACTTGCAGCTGCAGACGCAGCCGAACCGGTTTTCTTTCCCCGTCTCCGTAGCTCAGACATTGAAGCAGCAACTTGTACAAGTGTTGAAATCTGCGATCGTGGAATTCGTGGCTTGTTCGCGGTGTATGGAGTTAGTAAATAAATGTGTGCCTTACATCGCGTTCCATTGTTTGCAAATCTGTCAATTACGTAGAAGTAAATCCTATTATGTAGTGTGGCTATGTTACATTTTCATTTTAGACCTCTTTTGTAATCCCCCACGTCCCTTGATTATGGGGGTCGTAGGCAGGGTGAAAACACTTGTGGAACTGTTATAACGACTCGTTGGAGGCTTCTGCTGAGGGTACGAGTCTCGGTGACTTGCAGATGATTGCGACTCCAACGATGAGTTAGACCGGTCTCGGGGCACTCCATGGCCACGAGTGTCTATTCCCTCGCCCACAAGATCTGCGGCTCCGCGCTCGTGACGTCGGTATGCAAAAGGATCAATTGTTCTGTCATTGGCCCTGTAGGTTCCAATAGGTATGGCGTCGGTGACTTCGGCGGTTGCTGGAATGGTGATTGGTTTCAGCGACGACAACTGCTTGATTCGCGAGTTCCGTTCATCAAGGAGCCCTTCGTATCTAAGAATAACCGCAGAAAGCTCTTGTATCTTTTTTTCGTATTGTAAGGAATACTTTCCAACACTTTCGCTGAGCGCTTGCTTCGATGTAGCGAGACGTGCTTCATAGCTTTTCACCTGTGTGTCGAGCGTCTGCTTGAGTTCAACAAGGTCGCTTGTTAGCTTGCCGTTGAGATCTTTGGACACTTCGAGTTCAGTTTGAAGCTCAAATATACGCTTCTCTTTTTCTGAACTAGCAATGTTCACCGGTGTGCCGTCTTCACTAGGAGGCTCAAACTCAATTGGCTTTTCTTTCGGTACGTCGCTGACCTTCCTCTCTTCAAGCTGTCTCTTTAACTCAGCTATTTCCGCCTCTCGCTTTGGAACGATGCTGCTAAATGTGTCGTCGACATTGTTCTGTAGAAAGGAATACGTCTTTTCAAGGTCCTTCAATTTGCGTTCAAGCTCAGATTTCTCGAGTCCTAGAACTTCAAGCTGGTCAACAAGAGCCTTGACATCAACGTTGTTCGCTTGTGATGGTGACTCCTTCTTGTCAGAGACAACTTTGGGCATCTCCTCCAAATTTGACAGCTCTTTGATGTACGTGTCACGCTGAAGCTGGTTCAATTTGAGTCTCATGTCGATGTATTGCATTGTTGTAACATGCCTCATGTAATTGCTGAACTCGAGTTCGTTCGCTAAAATTGTCAATTCTCGATGGTAGAAACCTCTTCCTCCTTCATCGACCGAACCTAAATGCTCTTTGGATTCACTGGATTCAGCCTTCACCACACTCTGCACAGCTTTGGTTTCAATAGATGTAGTAGCTGACGACGTTGGGCGCTGAATTTGTAGTGATCCCTGGTCGTTTGGAGCGTACATCTTCTCGTGTGTATCATAAAGTTCTTCGAGGTAACCTTTGGAAGTTACTTTTTCCAGTTCCTCGGTGGGCTTTTCTTCAAAACTGGTTTCTCTGAACTCTACACCGCTTGCTTTTCGTCTTAGCGAGTTTTCAAGAACGATTTTCTGTGCAAGTCCGTCCTTCACTGTCATCGATAGAAAGCCAGCAGAAGAGTTCTTTCTTGACGCCAAGTGAGAATCTTCAAGGCTTGCCATGGATCCATTGCTGCTGATAAGTTTGATATCTGCATCCAGCCAGCTGAATGGGATATCGAACACCAATCCAGCATTGAGCTTATAGCATGCAAGAGACAAGCTGGTTGGTGTTCGCTCTGCTTTGAACCACCCAACAGGGTTCGCAAGTTCCAGTTCAAGGTCTGTAGGTGAAGGGCTCTTGTAGTCGACAAACACGGGGTGCAATTTGAAGGCCTGAAGCTGGTCGTTGTAGAGATTTTGAATCACTTTATTCCCTTTTGTGAAATCTAGAATATAGTCCAAGTGAGCGACAGTGGTTATTTGCGGAGGAAACTTGGAAATGTACAGTTCGGGATCCTTGCAAAAGTTGCAGAAATTATACGGCACTAATCCGTAGAGTAGTGTAGCAAGATGCTGTATGTTTGCTGTAGAAGGGCCACGCCCTAGTTTGCGGGTGACATATTCCTGTTGACTATGGGAGACATCGATTTCAGCGGCATTCCAGGTGATTGAGTAGGTTTCCCAGAAAGTTCCTGGAACTTGCGGAACATGAGCTTTGGAGCCCCAAACGGTAAGTCTTAAGAAAGCCACGAAAAGATCAGATATCAAGAGTTGCGAAGGCTCGTGCAATGCAACGTGGGGGATGGCCATGAAGGCACAGTTGAGGGCCGCTTCGGCTATGTACATGTTATTGTCGAACAAGAGCGATTTGAACAAACTCGTTATCAAACTGCTACCAGAAATGGGAAGAATGTGGTTTCTGCTACTCTCAAGGAACTGAGAGAGAAACAGTAGAATGTCTAGTCGCTCACTGGGGTATCGAAACTGGGCATCGAGCATTGCAAACAAGTCTAGTGGATGTCGAGCGCCATATTTGAGGAGGAAGATGGCACAATTTTTTCTCATGAAACGTTGTCGTTCAAGCTGCATTTGGCTATTTTCCTCTCTCTTGATAGTAGTGGATACACTGGCCCTTCCCAAGTAGATATTGAGTATGTGGTTCATGATTTTGAGTGCTCGTTGACGTCTTGCAGCTTCGAGAGCGGTGTCATTGGAAGAGACATATACGTCCTCCGAGTTACTGAGCTTGATTACAAGGTCCTGGATCATTTCTGTGAACTTCAAGTCGACGCCTGCGCTGTCCAAGGCCGTGGGTAAATATGTCTTGAGCCAAAGCATAGATGCATCCTCCAACAAGATGGGAACAAATTGAATCAAAACATTCAAAAAGAACGTTTGAGTCTTGAGACCAGAATGCGGCTCTATGAAGGTGTTGTAGACACGGAGGAGATGGTCATTGACGTTAATTGTCTGTTTTATCGAATGAAGGGTATCGTGCTTGTGGAGAAATGCTCTGATCGCCTCACAGAGAAGAGCGACGTCGGGATCGTCCTGGGCATTTTCGTGGTCTAAAATGTCCTCTAGGCGCCCGAACACAGTATCAAGACATCGTAGGAGGTCCCTCGATGACCCCAGCATCTATTACAGGACGAACAAGATATTGGTACGAGGTTGAATGATTTATGATTTTCAAATCGCGCGACAATTTAATTAGAGATGAGCCTACTTGATGTGATTGAGAAGGTGGATACGTTTCCATACGACCATATCCCGGAACACTATTACCATTTCCTAGCACACGATGGAGTCTGCATAGGATACATGACCAAAGATATGGCACTTATGTTTGATGGTGAGCCAGAATTTTCTGTTGATAACGGGGCCAAGACGGTAGCCATGGGTAGCCATTTGACCACAATTGAAGCTCGAAATGAGGTTTGTAGCTCAATTGCTTCCCGCTGGCGTCACCTCCCTCAATTCTCTTTGTCGTTGGATAAAGGCTGGCGTGACGAATTGTACACTGTGTATAACCCTCTGTCCACCCCATACATGCTTGTCGAGAGAGCATTTCTGGTTTTGTTGGGAATAGTCACATACGGTGTCCATATCAATGGGTATGTTCCAGCAAGCAAGAGCAAAGATGGAAAACTCAAGATGTGGATTCCTCGGCGTTCGCCGACTAAATCGACTTTTCCAGGAATGCTCGATAATACCGTTGCGGGAGGACTTGGATATCCGTACGGAATAAACCACACGGTGACCAAAGAATGTCAGGAAGAAGCGGGGTTGGATGCTGAATTTGTCAAGCTGCACATAAAACCTACCGGAGTCGTTCTGTATATGATACAGCCTCATGGCCCTGAGCACCAAGTCCAACCTGAAGTTGAATACACTTTTGACCTCGAGTTCGACGACGAAACTTCTGTGGTGCCTCACCCCGAGGACGGCGAAGCCGAATACTTTCTGCTTATGACTCTTGATGAGTTGCTACCCAAAGTTTTAGCTGGAGAATTCAAGCCCAATTGTGGCTTAATCATTGTGGATTTTTTGATCAGACACGGCTTAGTGGGGCCAGAAACACCTGGCTACGCCGAGATCGTCAGCAGGTGCCACAGACGCTTTCCTTTTCCCACTTTGTGAAACTTTGACTGTTATTGGTTAATGGCTGCAACAAGCTAAAATTGTAATAAAATAATGTATGAAATAGTGTATATTTTGACTATCTAACCACAAAATATTGTAATTGGCGCCAATTCAAGTAGATATGAATCCTTTCACGAGATCTCGTAACATAATTTATTCTTTTCCTTCACCTCTCTCTTGCCGGTTGCTCGCTCTTATCGCGATTTTCAAATTTGATCTCACATTCATGTCAACCACATCAATGCCTCTGCTACAACAGGCTGCCTATTCTATACGCACCAGTATTAGCAAGCAGCTTCACCTAGATGACAAGATTACCAAGAACGAGTTTACGTCCAAAATCGAACTTCTACAAGACATAACGTTCAATCTTAGCTCTCTTCTTCAGCACAATCCACATGAAACTTCCGTTTGGATCGACCTTTTAACCGTTTTTCTGGACCATTTAGTGGTATACAAGCAACATTATCGATCCTTGGTCCTCTCCAAAAAGCAAGAATGGACTATATATCCTATAGAGAATCGGATCTCGAAAGTATTTGGAGTATTTGGCCGCTTAGTGCTGACGCTTTTAGGTCTACAAATCACTAGGATCTCAATTGATGTTGAGGAGTTACTTTGCAACACATATTCGCTTGCTGAAGTCGAATATATTGGTGAAGTTCAGTATTTCAATAATACTGAAACTTTGGTATCTCAAAGCACCCTGGTCGTATTAGCGATGAAGAGCCAAGAACTGCCTTCCACTTATATTCGAATTCTTACCGGCTACCTCAGATGTGCTTACATTGCAGGGCTTTCTCATTATACAACCGATATCTTGAAAGCAACATCTCCTCTTGAAGTTATACCATTGATCGAAGAGTCCTCGATCGAATATTCCGTGATAAATGACTTTTTCAAGTATTCAGCATTCAATCTAGTCACCAACTCGGTGCGAGGAAACAGTATTGAAGACAAGTATAACCTCCATGCCGATCTCTTCTTCAGAGTGTTGTTGAATCTCCCCAATCTTAAACTCCTGGTGTTCCACAAATACAACTTTAACGAAGAATCTGCCGAGTCTGCTGTGTGGCCCGAGCCTGCAACACCACGAGATCCTGCTTTCGTAGCGGATGATCCGTTGGTTCGTCGTCAAGAAATCTCCTTCATGTATATTCTAAACTACTTGCTATCGCTCACCGATATGCTGCAGTTGGTCGATCCAGATGGCTATTACGAACGTGAGCTTCAGTTCTTGTCTCTGTCGCTTACATGGAGAAACACAAAAGATATACGAAATGCTTCGAGATCAGGAAGTACCCATTCGGAAGCACTGCTCTATATGGAACCTCGAGACGATGAGGCAGAAGCACCAGCGAATATGACGGCTGCAAGCCATCCTAGTTTGAGCTCAATGATCCTTCATGGAACATATTCACAGATCAACATAATGGTGTGCCAGATATTCAACAACCTCAAAAAACCAACGCTCAACATTCCTTTTGTCCTCAAGGCGTATAATTTGTCCAAGGACAGCGAATTGCACTACAATGTATCGCTCATAGACCCAGAGAAATTTCCCGGAAAAATAGCCTATGCCTCGGTGCTAGATAAGATAGTACGTTTGTTACATGTTCTTTCGGCTCAATTTCTTGTCGACAGAACTGGTTTGGATGCTATACCAACGGGCCTTGTGGATTCAATGTCTTTACAGCAAATTGACACGACTATAAAACCGTTAATGGCTCGCTATGAGAGCCAAAGTGCAAAAACAAGTGACTTGAAATCACGCAAAGGAAAAACTCTAGCATTGGCACAATCCATACAGATGCTAGACGAAATCTCAGCCAGACTCGATGTGTGAAAATATATTGAATGGTATTACGTATATTTGCAACCTTACGTTATATATTTTGCAACTTACGCGAATAAATTCATCAACCAAATGTTTCAACATGGGTGTGTCTGAAATCTTTCGGTCGTTACGCCACGATATCAACACGGAGTAAGTAATGCATCTTGGTGATGTATCTCTTTCGTGGCATAAATCTAACTCAGCACTGAAAATGCAAGGGTTATTGCGGATGTCGAAGAACAATTGAATAGTCGCCATTCTGACACCCATTTTCAACTCTCGGAAATGTTGAAGTTGACGCCGCTCCAGCTCTGGAATGGATACTTTACGTGCTTCGACCCAGACCTGTTTCTGGAAGACGACATCTTCTCATATCCTGAGGTAGAAAAGCTGGCGCTAGAGGACGAGGACGAGGACTCGATTCTCCGGAAAATTCGTGAAGACTTCAAAGAGATAAAACAAAGCATAGACAGCTTGAATTGTACCTCTGGTGCCAAGGAGCGGTTAACGAACAAGCTCAAGGAAGATACTTATTTCTTTTTGTTGGCCAGTCGCTACTTCAATTCGGTTGCATACCATTTCAAGACCCGTGACCTATTTGTTCCTTTGAAGGTCCCGGCATGTACCACGCTCAAAGAACATGAAGCTGGGTATAGGTATAACGCCGCTGGTATCGTAATGAAGCCGAATGAAATAGATGAGATCTTGGGAGAGAAAGCTTTCGCGTACTCCCCATATTTGTCGGCCCTACTTGAACTCTCAGAAATGTTAGTTGATTACACTACAAACATTATCATCAAACTTTCCACGGATTCAGATGGGGATGATGATTTAGTCAAGGGTCAGTACAGCTTGGCGTTGTTGAATTTCAGTCTTTTATCCCACTTGCAAAACGGGTTCCAAATGTTGGATCTTAAGAACGACGGCATCAGAAGAAAGTACGATAAACTCAAATACAGCGTGAAAAAAATCAACGGTATCGTATACGATTTATCTTTGAGGAGGCTTTTCCCATTCAAGGCGGAAGTGACAGATCGTTAACAACGCCATTATCAAGCTTTACTCTTTTTGTTTCTGGTAATTCGTCGTCGTTGAGTCTTTTGCTGCTTTCTCCGTTGCTGCATGTGTTATCGATAGCTGTATCCTGATTAAAAACTATTTTGTCGCCAATGAGTCCTTCCATTTTACCAAAGACCATTTTATTCCCAATCATCTTGGGTGCGTGTGTTGGAGGTGGTGAACTTGTAACTTCATTCTCATTCAGCTTGAATGGAAATTTGCACTCGTATATGTCTGGCCACTCCAACTTGAGAAACTTGGCGTATATATCTGGATCTTCCTTCATAATAGCCTCATAGTTTGAACCTGATTTCTTAGCCAATTCGGTGAGCAACGGCAAGATTTCTTTCTTGGCCATTTTCTTGTTGGTCGGAGTATCCAGAGCTGTGATGACTTTGTCGAGTTCGTACTTGTCGTCGTAATATAAGTACATTATAATCAAGATTGCAATCAGCGTATCGTCAATAAGTGCAGTAGGACCAAAGCCAGTGTTGAGACGTTTGAGCTCAACAAAGTCATGATTCAAACAGAAGTATGGCTTTATGGCAGGAGGAACCCCCTCCGTGGTGATCTTATCAACAATAAACTTCATTTTTCCGGTGAATTTGTAGTAAATTGTGTACATGATGAACTTCTCCGTAAACTCCTGGGTTATACCACATCTTTCCCGTACAACTTGGCAGACCGACGAAGTTAGAATGTTCCAAGCTCCTAAGGTATTAATCATAATTGAATTTGACTTCTTCAACTTGGGCATCATGAAGAAGAGATTACTTAAATTCTTCGTCTTAATGGAGGTTTCCATGTAAAAACATGCATATTGATAAGTGTAGCAGAAGTGCTTTCCCGGACGTTCAAAGTCAGGCTTCCAGATCTGGACGAGAGACTTTCCGCTAGACTTCGGTGATATCATGCTACTCATCTCCTCGAGAGCTCCTTCGGCATCATTCTTGTAGTCTTTGAGAATTTTTGCAAGCCTATAGCGAGGTTTGTGCTGCCATCTTTTCTTATCTTGTGATATGATCTCTCGAAGACATCTTAATATGGTGTCATTGAAGTCTTCTTCAGAGTGAATGGCAGTTACATCCACTATTGGAAACTCCTCGTGAAGACATTTGGCTGCGTACTCAATGGTGATGCTATGGTCTTTCACATACTTAAAAAGAATTGAGCACAACTTATATCTGGGCTCAATAACACCATTATTGGCTTTGGTGACTGCTTCACAAGATGTAAGAAGTGTTTCGATAACGACTGTGGGATCCAGCTTGACTTTTCTTTGTACTTTGGATAGAATGTAGATGTTGCTCCACTCTCTGGGCGATGCACGTATTGCAAGGTGTAGAACCTGTTGAAGAATTTTGAGACATATTCTTCTACTTGCAATGCTCTCCCGCTCAACTGAAACAAATTCTCCACCTGATCCATCATTTACAAATCTGGGATTCTTGGTCACCTTGAAAGCATGCATGGACATTGGAGGCGTACAAGCATTGAACAATTCCTTCGAAAATGATTCCATGAGTTGACTCACCATAGGTTTGTAATCAAACCTATCAGATGTTCTTGCACACTGGTTTATTGCCATGAAGTAACAGAGTAATGACTTCCTCTGTAAGTTAGCCGGACCCACCTTCTTCTCGTCAGATTGTAGCTTATCGGCGGTCCAGGTTAATTCATCTTGAACAAAGTAGCCGTACACTTGACCAAGCAAGAACCAACTTTCTGCTCTCCATGGACAAAATAGTAAATCGTTTTGAAGAAGCGTAATGACATGCTCAAGTTCCACTGCTCTTATTTGCATCGACTTCTTTCTTATTTTATAGGTGGTGAAGATGATATTTCCCTGGAGAAAGTATAGTCCCAAGTCTGCCACTTGCTTTTTAGGACTTTCTGAATCGTCAGGACTTCTAAATGAAACGTCCATGAGTCCATGAAACGCATTTTTCATAAATCTTGGCGACAAACTTGTCGAATCCAAGAAAAACTCGAGCACTTCTTGTCCTTTTCTTGCATCGATATCGGTGTCTATATTCGGGTCGCCAATTTCCTCATACAACATATCAACAAGCGACCGAACATCAGACTTCATTGGATTGGAAATAGGATTCTTTTCGAAGCAAATAGGAAGAACAAATTTGATGATTGTCATTGCAGTATTCTTGTCAAACTTTTCGGTGCTCTTTGTGGCATGATCTTCGGGAGAGACGCCATTGATAGCTAAACTGCAATGGAATCTGCAGAGCAAAGTTTGGGCCACATCTTGACTGAATTTTTTTGGTCCAATTTCCAACAAAATGTCTTGAATAAGACGAAGGTATAAACCATTGGAGCAGTCACACATTCTCCTTCCTCCAAGCTGCTCATGGGTTAGAGCAACAAGATCTCTGATCATTTGAGGATCCGACGAAGATAATTCCAAATTCTTGACATAAATTATGAGTAAAGACTCCAACCTGACGATTGCATCTTTGAATGCATTATAAGCCTTTGGTGAGCTGATTTCGACTGAGCGTTTTCTGCTTGTGATCAAACTCGCTTCCTCGTGGAGAGAAAACATGTAAAAAAGCTCGAGAAGTTTGAAGTAACGCAAAAGTACATCGGGCGAAGCAGACGTCAATTTCCAGTTGCCGGTTTCCAACATTGTCACAAATTTGTTTAAAGAGGTTGCAAAGGAGCCAAGAACTCGCAAGAGCACAGTTTTTGCCGTACTCTCGCTTTCGTTGTACTTTTGCGACTTTAATGTGTTGATGATAGAATCTGAGTAAACCTCAAACCCATTCTGGAACCTTTCTAGTTGCCCGCCCTCTTCGTAGAACAGAAATAAAATGTCCCATAAGCTGAGGGACATGTCTACCGGAGAAGACCCCAAGAACATACGAAGTTTCAAGAGTACCTTCTGGTTCACGTCGCTTTCATTGGTGTTTTCCAAAAGTATAGCTTCCATGATCTTGATAGCTTCATTTGTATCTCCTCCAGATTTGGCACTCAATACCTTTGCAAACATTGATAGCACTGAGATAACAGTGAGTTCTGAATGAGGGCTGTCTTTTGTGAGCTCTGGAATGTTTGAAAAGTTACTGTATGATAGTTCAATAGGATGACCTAACAGCTCCAACAATCTGTTGAGCTCATCAATACTCTCAGATATAACATTGACGTCTTGCCAATTAGTTGTTCTCGATCTTTCATAGTGTATCATGGTCCATTTAAAGCGACAAATGCCTTTTAAAAAGTACAGGTGGGAATCAGGTTTAGGTGCTCCTATTCTTAGCAACTTTTCTTTGACAAAAACTTCCCATTTCAGGATCTTTACGCTCGTTCTGAGCAACTCAGTAGCGACAATGCTCAAATTTGACTTGTCGTTTTTAGAACCACCTTTTTTGAGACTCTGAGATATCAACTTGTTAATTTCCTTACGAGCAGATGAATATGAGTCAACTAGAAATTCAATGGTGCCCACACCCAAGAGGAAGTGAGCCTCTACTTCAGTAGACTTAGCGTCGGCTGCCTGAGATGAGTTAAGTTTCTCAAGAAGAAAATCACTGGTTTGAAGTACCCATTCTTTGGTAATTGAAACAAGCTCACCGGGCCAGGTGGAATCGCTCGTGAGACAAACGACTTTCGAGGCTTCTGAAGTGTTGTTTGCGAGATCTGGAACCAACAAATGAGCCAAAACCTTAACTTTAAAAGCTAAATAGTGGACATTTTTCTTGCTCCATTCCTCAAGAATTTCGCAAATCGTGCTTGATGATTCAAAAGTTTCTATCGTGGGTGCGTGAACAGAGCTGGTGTCTTTGCTACCAAACTTGTCCAATATGTCGAGAAGCTTGATTTTAGCATCGTCTTCTTCCTTTGCCAGCGATCTCAGTGTAGTTTCGTTACCAAATAATGCATCAGTGTAAGTTTTTCCGTGCCAGTCGTTTAAAGTGTCAATGAACTCATTCAAATATCCATCAGAATTGAGGAAAGTTTTTACTATATCACCCAGGTAAAGGTTGCTTTCGTCGAGATTGCAAGTTTGGGATAATAATTGGCTTAGTTTGGTGAAGAAGATGGAAGTTTCAACAAAAAAATCTTCTCGTAAATCGATGTCTTCAAGGTCGGCAACATTCTGCTGCTTGAACCTCTTTGAGGATCTCTGGATTTGTCTTTCTTCCTTTTCTTCTTTTCCTTCCTTCAATTCTTTCTCAGGTTCCTCTGCGACAGACTCCTGTTGAACTATAGGTGGTTCGTCAGTCGTTATTTCTGGCTCCTCGAGAGGCTCTGAAGCTTTAGTTTCAACCTCTTCGACTTCCTGGGACTCAATGGTGATTCTGTCCCATTGAGCGTCAGTGAGAAGGTATGGTTCCAAATTTTTTATTCGAGCCCTGGACACCTTCAGAGCCTTCTCTTTATCCATTCTTGATTTTGCGGCCTGATCTACTTGAAGAATCACATCTAGCCATGTAGTGCTCTTTCTCTTTATCTTGATTTCAAAGTCGGTGAGAGCTAGAGCCTTTGATATTTGAGACTGAAAATCATCACGAACCGGCGCAAGAAACAGCAACTCTTTGTCGAGGCCTGGAGGCTCGAAATCCACGTCATCGCCTGCGATGTGTTTAAGAAGTACTGAGTACATAGACTTGAGGTTGTCGTTGATGGATAGGGTTGTAATTATGTCGTCGCTCTCTGTTTCTCCGCTGAGAGCGTACTCAATTGAGTACCTTAAGAGTCTTTTGAGGCCCAAATATGCAAAGATTTTGTACATCACACATAGCAAGTTTTCATCGGGCTCTTGGTATACCACAGAAATCACCATATCGTCTATCATGGTGTAGAACATGTCTTTTATGCTTGGATCTAGCTCGCCATTGGCTGGTCCTGTTTGCTCCAGAGGTGTGTATATGCCGTTTTGTAGCATCTCCCAGTAGAGAAATGCTCTGTTTCGAAACACATGGTATCGTAAACTTTTCACACTTGGGGAAAGAAACGAAAGTTCATCGACCACCGTGTTGTCCCGACCATTCTGAACACCTCGAATCAACGATTCTTCTTCGTAATAATGGTTGGAGATGATTTCTAGCTTGAACAAGAGTTCATATTGGTTGGCTGCCTCCTTGAATTGGGATTTCCGTTGCAATTGGAGTGCTTTTTCAAAATCTTGGAGCGCCTGTTCGATTTGAAGTTCTCGAGTATGTTCTTCTTCAAGATCTTTTTTGGACGTTGCCGAGTCCTCAGAGAAGTTTAGCGGCACAAATGATGACTGGGTTAGTAGAAGAAGAGGAGGGGAGGGCTGTGGTGCACTATTTTATGAAACATACCATTATACCATGTACGATTTGCGAATTCGCGCGAGAGAAGAGAAGTCGAGTTGAGAAGATGATGGATGAGAAACTTGGTTATTTCAGTTAAAACTGATTTCTATTGAATGGTCACTACAATTGGCTCAATTATCTCATTAAGCATTCTCAGCTATTATCATCATCTATACATTAATCTATGTTACAACTCTCCTGATGTCAGAGATTCCAGTTCAAGTTTCTGTTCAAGGTCTTCCTTCTGTTCTTTCTTCAATTGTCTTCCAAACCGCAAGTACCATATGGTATGACTAGCAAAAATTCCCAACTCCATGGCGAGCACAATGGCATACAACACCATACTCATGATATCCATGGTGCCGAACACAATACTGAGAAGCGAAAGAAAAGCTCCCATAGAGTCCATCGTCAAAAACACAAAGTTGATGCCTATAACTCTGCCCTGGCGCTTTGCTAACTCGAAATATGGAGGAACAAGTCCCACGGCGAGAAGCACAGATGCAATTATGCCAATCACGAGCATGGGCCAATGAGTACCATGTTCATAGACCGGACGCAACCAAAGGATAAACCCAACCTCAAGTCCTACCGCTACAACAAGGAATGCAATGCTTTGCAACAAAATGTTGCGTGTGCTCAATTTCACGGGTGGATAATACAAGGTTTGGATCCATGAAATGACACAGAAAAATGTGAATAATTGTGGTTGGATTCGAAGGGGAATTGATCCGTTGGTTCCAAAAAAATAGATGGAGAACGGGACTCCACTGGCAGCCCAGAGAAACATCATCATGGGTGGAAGACCTTCACATTCCTTTTTACGGTAGTTTCTTATAATCTGGGGTACCAACTGGATACACCAGCAAACCGTTCCTATGGTGCCTAGGACATTTTCTGCCACTGCGTTGTACATGGCTTATTCGTGGAAAGTGTATGACTTTAGTAACTGATTCTGACTTCTGTTATCTGTTGGCTTTCCATCCTAATGACAGCTTTTTTCTTTTTATATGATCCTCACTTTGTTCGCGCGCAAAATTGCTCGATGGACTTTCCGAATTCGGGACCGGAATTAGAGCCACCATCGAACATCTGACTAAAATTTTCAAAAAACGAGCCACACCATGTTTGACGTGTTAAGTAAATACACCCGCGTCGCGCCACTTGCAACGTAGTGATACTCATACGAACACAAATAGGATTGTGACAAATGGCTGCGAATTGTCTGTGATCATAAGAACTGTGATTTTGGGAGCTGATTGGCCAACTCCTAAATTTTTCAAGCACTAAGCCTTCTCCCTTCTCTATTCCGAGTCAAACTCAAACCCATATTCGTCATCCACTGAACCCTTTGACAGAAGACTCAGAATTACGGCTTGAGGAAGAGTGCTGCCGGTATATAGTGCCGGAAATTCCCCTTTCGGGCTAACGGAATTTGATTGCGCACCCGATTCAGGCCTTTCTTCCTGAGGCTCCAAATGCACCTCGTTACCAGGTGGGTTATAAGTGAGGCGGCCCGATGAGTCTTTGTGGAAAAAACTCGCAGGAATCTCAGAGATCGCATCTTCAGAATCGCTCTTCAATTGAGGGCTGCGAAAAGTACTTTTGAGCCTTGTAGGTAGTTTTGCAACCACCTTGTTCTGTTTCGCAACTGGTCGCTGAATCGTAGATTTTGGCCTGAAAATATTTTTTTCACTCACGTCGCTTAAATTGATGTCGCTTTCGTCCGAGGAAGTTGGTACAGCGATGAGATTCAAAATTTCTTCCTTGGCTTTTTCCTGGTTTTTCGTGCCAAAATTGTCCGGCTTCGCTGAACTAGCAGGTTTTGGACCAACTGAATCGTCCAGCGATTCATCTTTGACGTTTATGTAGTCTTGGATTGCGTCTGAGGTGCCAGCTTCGTGGGAACTGTCAGGTTCAAATCCACCACCTTCAGGTTCAAACCCACCACCTTCAGGTTGAAATCCTCCAGCTTCAGATCCTCCAGTTTCAGGCTCAAATCCTCCAGCTTCATGTTCAAACCCACCAGCTTCAACCTCAAACCCACCAGCTTCAACCTCAAACCCACCAGCTTCAACCTCAAACCCACCAGCTTCACCAGCCTCTACCTTCTCTGGCTCCTCTGTGACTGTTCCATGCTCTCGTATCAATCGTTCTGAGATTCTCAATCTCGTCAAGAAATGCTTCCAGTTTCTCAATGCTATCATTTCCACCATTTGTTCCAGCTTTTCTCTTTCCTCGTCGAGAAGCTGACCCAAAACCAACTCCACGGCTTCTCTATATTGTACGTCGAAAACTATTCCGCCCTCTTTAGCAGTAGCTTTGCTTCCCTTACCGAAATCAAACTTGACTACTGCCTTGGCATAGTCGATTTGCAAGATTCTGGCGGTTTTTTCTAGCAATTTCAACGGTGTGGTTTTATCAGCTTTTAGCAAGTATCCATTCTCAGGCAACATGGTGGGAACATAAACGTCGATATTTCCATACGCATTCTTGGGGACTTTTCCATCTTCAATTGGAGGAGGAATGTACAAACTGGTCTGAAATTCAGCATAGAGTCTCCCATCTTCCTCGTCGTCGTCTTCGGCATTTTTCTTTGTCTTCACCTTCAATGCTTGTGCTCCAACTTTGAGAACCCTTCCTCTCATATACCAACCTCTTGCTGATCTCAACTGGTACACATGTGCTCTTTTATACACCGTCATGACAGTAGAGTTCTTCTTTGTGCGAGAACGAAACGTACCTACTTTGCTGGTAGCATCGTCTGGGTAGATGACTTCGTTCAGACGAAGTTGGCTCTTCAAAGCAAATAATGGGTGGTTTTTAAAATCAGCAAGACTATTGGGCATCCCTTCAGCTTTGTCTCTATCGTGAAACTCTTTGAGCTCGTAGGCATCCACGGAAGTCACTTTATCCCGTCGAATTGGTGAATTTGCTTGTCTTATCACTCGATTATACCACGTAACTTCCTCATTGGATCTAGCTTGTATCCGCTTCCTCGACGTTTTGGCATTGAACTGATAGCTATACCTTCGTGTGACATCCTTCACACCGCCTAGCTGATCATAAGCAATGACATATGTCATTTGGTTTCTGGGGTCAGAACTTGGAGGCTCAAAAGAAGTGCGTCTCCGCATTGGAGCAACTTCAACTGTCTTGAGGGTAATTGGGTCAATGCTGACCCACTTTTTCAGGTACTTGTTCCACACCTCAATCCAAAAGATGGGGTAGGACGACTGGTCGACAGGGTCTGAGGTGGGTTCCGCAAAAGTGGGCTGCTGCCTTTGAGCAAGTAGAAACTTTGCTTTTGTTGAATGGGTTTCGTCTGTGCTATTGACAGGTTCTGGTTGGTTTTCCATCGGCTCTGGAGCCTTTTCGACGGCTAGCGAGGTGTAATCCGGAGGCTGTAATGAGAACACTAAGCGAGCCCGAAGTCCTAAGGAACGCAAAAGACACACAAACCCTTGAGCCCCAAGGTCACGCGAGCCGTTATGGGCAAGTACCATTCTCTGGAACTTGTCAAAGGTCATGTTTCTCTCGAATTTCTTCTGCACCATCGAAAGTTCTCCCCAATTTTTGCGAATCAAACCACGCCTAGTAACGGTGAATTTTCGGGAATAATGGAGCATCAAGTTTCGAATTCCGTCGAGAAATCGCCGGGACTTGACCATGGTGAGCGCATCGGTGTCCTTTTGGTCTAATAGGGCCACAATTGACTCCGGAACCGATTTTCGCATTGCTTCCAAAAGCACATAATCGTTGCACCACCGGTTTCTAATTGCTCCGTGGCACATCATCGCCACTATGTACCACTGGTGGATGAGTCTGCGTGTTCTGCGCTCGTCTCGAGACACCACCACTTTTTTGGGAGGGGCTTTTTTGTGGTGATTAATGGTGATGGTGATGGAGTCATCTTTTGGTGCAGCCGGCTCAGAAAGATCTGGTAACACATTTCCGAGCTCCACGTCTTCGAACTCGTCGGAATCGAGGTTTGAATCCGAATCTGAGTCGCCGACTGACTCAATTTGTTGGGGGTTTGGAGTGGTACGGCTGCTGTCTGTGTCTACAATTATTGGCTCTGGAGTTGGTTCTGGGGTCTCTGAAGGGTTGTTTCGCTTTCTTCGCTTCCGGGACTTGTCGCTGGAACCCATACTTTGTGCGGCTTCACGGAGCAACAAGGAATAATTTCTGTCTTCCATCGTAGCTCATGTTGCGAAGATGAAATCGATCGCACTAAATATTCGCGCTGAAAATCAGTAGCACTAATATTATCGCTGCGAAAATCGATCGCACTAAATAATCGCACTGAAATATAAGCCATTCACCACCCATTCCAAATACACACTTTTGCACATAGAGCCATGCGACGATGCTTGGAACCCTATTCCGACCCCGACTATCTCGCCAGATGCTTCTGGTGACCCAAAAAAGCCCCGTTGCCTGGAAAATGGTACACACAATGGCATCTCGAATCATCGATAAACAGCATAGACTCATGTATAGAACCCTTGAAAGGGAAAAAACCCGGTACAAAAAGAGCAAAATCGCCTTGAATCCTCGAATGCGTGATCTTTTGGTATACTTGCACAAATTTAAAGACGGGAACGTTCACCATATTCACTTGAAGTCTCCATCTCATCAAGCCAAAAACGCCGAGCTTCTCGAAGCTGTGGTTTTTCACATCATTATGGCACTCCATTGCATCAATAACAACATTCCAGTGGAAAAGCATTACAGAGCGTCACTCGAAGAGATCAAAAGGCGAAAAGAGATTAGCCGAATTTCGAATGAAGACCTCGACTTCGACTTCGACATCGACTCCAATATTCAATCTTTGGTCGAAAAATTTACCATAAAAAATGAAAGTTCCCACAGCCAAAGCCATTTACATGATACCCAAAGGACCCATTTGCATCTTTCTCTACAAATTTTCAACACACTTTCAGACTACAAATTTCTGGATTTGGTTTCTTGGATTGGTTCGGTTTCGGCACCATCTGTCCTAGACAGCTGTAAGTCGCTAGCCACACTCACGGAAATTCCACCATTTGTCACCTCAGATCTACTCCTACGTACACCAATGAGCCCAGCAGACCTCCAGCTCCAAATCGATGTCTGGTACCAATTTATGGCAGACATCACCACCGCCTATCATCACCGCAATTCGCATTTGAAAGATATCATCGATAATCTTTTGTTCTATTCTGTGGTTCACGACACCTCCTTGCTCCCAGACGTCTTACATCGAACCCTTGGCCATCTTACCGACAAGAAAAAAGCGTTCCACTTTCCCTTTGTAAATAGCGAGTATTTGAACAAACTCATGTGGACGCTAGCTTTCGACTTCACGAGGATCTCGAACCAAAATCAACTTGTCAAACTGGTGGTTTCGGCCCAGGAAATCATCGTCAAGTATATGGCTACAGTTGGAAAAGTCAGGTTGAAGCTTGAGGGCCACATGGGAGTTGTGCTAGCTGTGAACTCGATTTCGCAAACCAAGGCTCGGCGGTTTTTCACCATAGCTGAGCAGAAGTTTGTTGATGGGTCTGTTCTTCTGAGCCGTGAAATGAGCTGCTACAATTTCACCAAGACATACTTGAGCGATACCCCGGAGTCCCTACTCGATACCTTCAATTCTTGTGCCATTGACAACTTTCATTCGGCCAGCTTGTGGTTCGCATTTGTCACCAAGCTTCGCCAGTTCGACTTGATGACTGTAGCCCGCTCGAAAAAGATTCTTGAGGAACTTGTCAAGCACAGCGATCGTCTTCTCATTACCAAAGATATCCTTCTGGTACTTTTGTATCCATTGCAAAGTTTGAAAAGCATGCATGAATTCATGCAAATATTGGGAAGTGGTCAAGCAGGGCACAATATGGTAGCGGCGCATATTTCAGTGCTAACTCCCAAGTATCTTGCGGCACTTTATAACAATCCTGAAGCTGACGTGGTACCAGACTCGTTATGGAATTTTGCTGAAGAAGTAAAGGCTCTCCAACTAGCAAGACACATTTATGCTAAAGCCAAAAAGACACCCAAGTTGGTGGGGATTATGCTCAATGGTGAGGCAGGTTTACAACCCCAACGGATATACGACTTGTACAAGACGGAGCTCACGGATCGAGGTTTGTTTCCAGACGAACAGTGTCTACTTGCATTGATAGTTGCAGCCAGTAGTTCGCTGGAAACTGTGCTTATGTGGGGTAACTTGTATGCTCCACAAGTGGCCATTAGAGAGTTCAATATCTTTACTGCTGGCAGCGACAAACGGTCCTCGCGGTACCTCCGTCTTAGCGACAAGCTCTGGCAGCGGTACATTGCAATGCTAGTTCAATTTGACTATAATTCAGAGTTATCTACCATTTTGCAGCGATGGGTCGAGATCGAGTTCCAGCCTTCTCCGGAAACTTTGATGGCATTGTTGCGGGCTCTTCCCGTAGACTTTGCGCTGCGGTGTATAAGCCACTTTGAGAAGCTCAGGAGAGAAAGTATAGGAGACCAGTTGAAGGGCCCAAGTCTGTGGTCGTGGCCGACAGTTGAGGAAATGAGACAAAAAAGAAAATGAAAATGAAAGTGGAATTTGGAAATGGAAATTGGAAAAAGAGTAGAAAACTTTAGGTAGAATATGTACACCAATTACGTTTTCATTTTATATATCTTGTACAGTTTTTCTCGTTTTTTTTTCTAATTTGCAACCGCTCGCTCTCGCTCACGGTTGCTTGGCCGAGCCTCGGTGCCGGATCGCGCGCTCATTGGTTCTGTGAAAATTTCCCCGGATTCGAACCTCTCCGTACAATGTTAAGATACGCCAATCCCGTAAAAGTCCAAGCCAGAACCTTTGCATCGACACTGAGCCTCCTCAAGGGCACCAGAATCGAAACCGATGCTTTTGGTGAGATCGAAGTCGACTCTTCCAAGTATTATGGTGCTCAGACCGCTCGGTCGAAACACAACTTCAAAATTGGCGGACCTGCTGCTCGCATGCCTCTTCCTGTGGTTCATGCCTTTGGAGTTTTGAAGAAGTCGGCGGCTATTGTGAACGAAGAGTTGGGTGCTTTGGACCCCAAGCTTTCGAAAGCGATCCAACAAGCTGCCACCGAAGTTTCGGAGGGTAAGTTGGACGACCATTTTCCTTTGGTGGTGTTCCAAACTGGTTCCGGAACCCAGTCCAACATGAACGCCAACGAGGTGATCTCAAACCGTGCCATTGAGATCTTGGGTGGCGAATTGGGATCGAAAAAACCAGTTCACCCTAATGACCATTGCAACATGTCTCAATCTTCCAACGACACTTTCCCCACCGTGATGCACATTGCTGCTGTTTCGGAGATCAGAAAGTCATTGCTTCCGGAATTGACCAAGTTGCGTGACCTGTTGCACGCCAAATCCGAGGAATTTAAGGATATTATCAAGATTGGAAGAACCCACTTGCAGGACGCTACCCCATTGACTTTGGGCCAAGAATTCTCTGGTTATGTCCAGCAGTTGACCAATGGTATTGAACGTGTGGAAAAAACGTTGCCAAACTTGCTGAAGTTGGCTCAAGGTGGTACTGCTGTAGGAACCGGTTTGAACACTCGCAAGGGCTTCGACAAGAAGATTGCCGAGCAAGTTTCCAAATTAACTGGTTTCCCATTCGAGACTGCTCCCAACAAGTTTGAGGCTTTGGCTGCCCACGATGCTGTTGTGGAAGCCAGTGGGGCATTGAACACCGTTGCTGCGTCTTTGTTCAAAATTGCCAATGACATTAGATACCTTGGTTCCGGTCCAAGATGTGGCTACGGAGAATTGTCTCTTCCTGAAAACGAACCAGGTTCGTCTATCATGCCCGGTAAGGTGAACCCTACCCAGAACGAAGCGTTGACGATGGTGGCTACTCAGGTTTTCGGAAACCACTCTGCCATCACTTTTGCAGGTGCTTCGGGTCAATTTGAGCTCAATGTGTTCAAGCCAGTGATGATTGCCAACTTGTTGAGTTCGATCCGTTTGATTGCCGACGGCTCGGCTTCGTTCAGAGAACACTGTGTGGACGGAATCAAGGCCAACGTTGACAAAATCGAGAAAACTTTGCACGAATCGCTCATGTTGGTCACCGCATTAAACCCCAAGATTGGCTACGATGCTGCGTCCAAAACCGCCAAGAACGCCCACAAGAAGGGATTGACCTTGAAGGAGTCGGCCTTGGAGTTGGGTGTGTTGAGTGAGCAGGAATTTGACGAGTGGGTGAGACCAGAGAAGATGATCGGACCCAAGGATTAGGCTGCGAATTAGAATATTTATTGGTCAAGATTTCAATTGATGTAGTCTACTATTCCATCCCATTGTCTTAGTACTTCTTGTACTTTATATTTCTTTCTCTTCTTTGTCTTCTTTTTACTTTTTGTACTTCTTGTATTTTTGCTCCATAGTATCTCTTCATTCTTGTGTTCCTGTATTTTGTATTCTGTATTCGCATTCGATTCTGATCTCATCTTATCGCACTTTCCTCTCTACAATGTCGGTATCCAGCCTCTTGGAGCAGATCCAGAAACGGGGAAAAGTGGTGAGTCGGCCTCCTGAGGCTGGGTTGTCTTCAAAATCTACTCAGAACCAAGAAAACCGACCGGCAAATACATCAAAACTTGCCTCTTCGTCGCAGCCAGCGCAGCGCCAAAATCGTACTGTCGATCCAGTGGTGGCCAGACTTAAGGAAGCACGACGGCTAGAGATGGAGCAGAAGGAGGCCTCCAGAAAGGAGGCAGGAAAACAAACAAACAAGAAAATTGGTGCAAGAAAATCGTCTGGGTCAAGTACCACATCCAGCTCAGCAAATGGAAAGAGTTACGGACAACCAAAAACTTCTTCCACAGCCCAGAATGCTTCTGTAGCACCGGCGGCCCGAAAAAAGGTAAACTACAAGGATTTAATGAAGAAAGCAACCACCATTGACAACAGCAAACTCTCGTTGAAAATTAAAGCAAAGTCACTGCTGCCACCCAATCGTCTGCCTCCCATTCGTTCGCCACCCATTCGTCTGCATTCCCGGCCCGAACAACCAGAACCTTCCAAACCTCTGGCTCTTACCTCTAAAAGTGTCGTTTCTAGCGTTTCTGGACGACAATTGCATTCAACAGACCGTCAGAAAGCCAATAAAAACGGACCCAAAAAACCAGAAACTTCCTCCAGACCCTTGCCACGAGCACCGCTACCCGTCCGCCAGCCGTCAGCAAAACTCTCTCAATCGCTCAGTAGCCGTCGTACAAATGATAAAGAAGACGACTCGGATATGCTGTCTTTCTTGGCCTCGGATGACGAGGAAGAACGCAACCAAGATTACGATAGGGACGAGATCTGGGCTATGTTCAACCGAGGCAAGAAGCGAGCGGACTATGAGCGGTATGACGACTACGATAGTGACGATATGGAGGCCACCGGAGCCGAGATTTTGGCCGAGGAAATGAGATCGAAAAGGACGGCTGAATTGGAAGATCGCCGCGAAATGGAGGAAGAGCTTCGGTTAAAGGCACTCAAGCGCCAGCGAAAGCAGAAGAATGGTTGAGAGAATCTAGGAGTTCAGGGCTTGAAAGTAATAATTAGCATATTTAAATCTTCGCGAAATTTTATAATTTTGCATTCTCAGCTTTTCAAATTAGCATTCAAAACTATAGTTTTGTTAACACAAAACTAGCTGTAATGGACCCAGACATCTTCCCCAGTCTTCATTCAGTCACCAAGCAGCTCCGCCAACAATCCTTATCCCTCAAAAATAGACTACAATCCATTGTCCATGATGCCAAATTTGTAGAGTCTCTCGACCTACCGGTATTGGTGCCCAATGAAAGATGCGGTTTATGGTACGTTCCGCCTCAGAAACGTACAGATTCGGCCTACTTCAAGTCTACAGATGGCCATATGAACGAATGGGCTTTTTCGTTTCGAAGATTAAATATCCACTTGCTTCCCTTGTTGCAAAAAACCGAAACAATTGCAATTGTTGATTCCACCAGAAGAGGCAAATTGATGCCCGATGCACTTCTGAAAACTACTCCCATCTGGTGTGCTGTTATATCCACCATAATGGCCAAAAGAGGCTTTTTTGAACTTGATAATGTCCTCTATACGCCTCGCTCAATGGTTTCAGAGAGCGAACACAACGAGATTGCAAAAAAAATCAACCACTTTGTTTTGGAAGCAGAACGACTCCATCTCTTCGATAATGTGGAGCTCGATAAGCCTATAGTTCCTTGCTGGATATATCCTGATAACGAAGGTGAGGGCCGTTTTGGGGGCCGTTTCGAGGGCCATTTTGGTTCTTCATCGTACCGCATTCAGTGTGTCACAGCGTCCAGGAAAGCTTCTGGAAACTCCTATGCCACAGCTGTTCATGACGGAAAGAGCATATCTTGGAATTATGTACAAGGAGCAGCAGACGACCATGAATTGTGGATCTCAAATGAGGTCTGCGAAGGAAAACTCAATGCTGATTTATTCTGGAAAATTTTGGACAAAAATAAAAGCCTGTTCATTGATTCGGAAACCGGATACTTATACGACTGGCTTACTGACGAAAAATTGGTCAAAAGACTTAACGAAGCATATTTCAACATGGATTCGGACAGTTTAACCTCACCTATCTCAGATATTACATTCATCGAAAACGACGAAAATGACACAGGGATTGCTCTTGGAGTCATCAAGGAACCGCTACTGGTCCAGTCATTACAAAAGAGGTTCAATCAGGTGATTATTCTTTCAGAAAAAGAAGTTTTAGCTGATGATAAAGCAGTAAAAGTTCACCATTACAAGCTACAGTCTTCCAAAAAAGGCTCCAAGCAACTCAGAGCGATTCTCCCACTGCTTATGGGTCTGATAGACATTACCAATACAAACAAAGTGCTAATTGCTTGCGATACAGGTACAGATTTGGGTCCTGGAGTCGCCTTGGCCATACTATGCAAAAATTTTGATAGTGACTGGAAACAAAATTGTCCAAGATATATCGATAAAGATACAGTCAGACGTCACAGCGCCGCCCTTGCACATGTCCGGAGGATCAATCCCAGCAGAAACACCCTTCAAAGTATCAATACCTACTTGATGGGCACGGCCGGTCCTGCATAATACACAAGCGATTTTTCAATTTGCAATCTCAAATTTGCAATTTATCAGCTGATTAACTTCTGTCAATGCGGTTCTTGTGTCTTCCTGGATACCTCCAGAGCGGCAAAATCCTAGCAGAAAAGTCGTCTGGCATCAGGAAAGCATTCACGAAAAAGTTGGGTTATGAACTCGACTATATAGATCCTCCCATCGTAATCGGTTCACCTTCAGATTTGCCTTTTTCGTTAGGCGACGGTGCTGAGGCCGAGGAAAGATGGCAGGGGCTTGTGGACAAGAATGCCAATCGCTGCTGGTGGCAGCATGATCTGTCTGGGCTGAATCTGCGTCCATACGTTGGGTTTGACGAAGCGCTTCGTTACGTCACTGATTATATTCGGGACCATGGGCCCTATGATGGCATTTTTGGGTTTTCTCAGGGCGCCGCCATGGCTGCTATCATTGCTAATCGAGAAAATCTGGTGAAATTGGCGTTGTTGGTGCTGCCATTCGTTTTTACCCAAGCTCGCAACGAAGACGAAGACAGAGTTACTCTCGATTTTGACGTCTCCGATGTTCAAGAATACGCCAAAAGTGTCCGTATTGTGCCCGGCTACGAGCAATTGTACGAAATAACCAATGAAAGTTTGCAAAGTGTTGTCGTTTACGGCAGTGAAGACCTGGTGGTTCCTGCTATAAGATCAAAATACCTTGCGAGTATATTTCAAAATTCCACAGAAATTGTACACGACGGAGGACACCTCGTTCCGAACAAGAAACCCATAGTCAACCAGCTCGTTGAGTTCGTCAGCGGCCGCAACCACTTGTAAATAGGTATACGCTATAACCCAGTAGAACACCCAAACACCACCACTCGATATTGTCATTAGCGTACAAAATCATCAGCATCAATACTGCGATGTCAGGATCAAAACAGGGATCCGAAAAAGCGTCCATAACGAGTCTAATAGATAGTGAAGAGCAAGGAGATGAAGCAACATCAGTAAGCACACAGAATCAAAGCCCAAAAACCCAAATTACACAAACGGAAAATGTTGAGGTTCAAAATAGCGATCTAAAAGTCACTGAAAACAAACCAAAAAACACTGAAATGAAGCCTACAGACCCAAATACAAACGCTAGTACCACAGAAAACACCCCTATAACCACTAGCAATGCCCAAGTTTCCGAGAAATCCGAAAAAACCGTGCCGGCGTGGATGCGAGAACCGGAAGAAGCTCAAAATCGGTACGACCGATACGTTCCGAGGGTCGATAATAGACGAAGGGGAGAGCCCAGGGTGGCAGAAGTGCGCCAGGATCCTCGGTATGCGAAATATTTGCGTCAGGACCAAGAAGAACGACGCATACGACGTCCTGATGACGAATATGAAGGCGACCATAAGAGAAGAAGACCCGAAATGGTGACCCAGTTTGACGACCGAAGACAGGGGACTCGAAAAAACCATCCTGGTCAAGCAGGGCAGCTGGAAAGTGAAGAAAATGGCGACGAACAGCAGGGCGACGATGAAGAGGAGACTCCTGGCAACGAAGAACCAGTAGAAGCGCAACCGTATTCACGTCTTGCGACGTCCGTTCAGTCTACGCAACACTACCACACGTTCCAGAGCCATATTGCCAACAAAGAGAACAAAGATATCAACAGTATTGTTCGGTCGCATTACAACCAGCGCACGATCCAGTCGAAAATGCAGGGCTCTCGAACCAAATCTCCCATTTACAAGCTCCGGAACTTTAACAATGCGGTCAAATACATGCTTTTGGGCAATCATGTACGCAAAAATCCCAATCCCGGACTGCCTACGGTGATTCTCGACATGTGCTGTGGTAAAGGAGGAGACCTTAACAAGGCTGAATTCGTTGGCGCCGATCAATATGTGGGAATAGACATCTCAGACGCTTCGGTAAAAGAAGCTTTCCATCGGTACCGGCGCAATAAAGCTCGGTTTATTCCCAGAGACGGTGGTCGAGCCGGCCAGAGAGATTCACGAAAGTACAATTTCGAAGCATGTTTTGCTACTGGTGATTGTTTCCAGCAATCAATACCGGAAATTTTGGAACCCAACTTCCCGGGAATCGTCAATGGTTTGTTTCCAGTAGACTGTGTTCTGATCCAATTTTCAATGCATTATTCGTTTGAATCCGAGGAAAGAGTGAGGACAATGCTCAATAATGTTTCCAAATCTTTGCGTCCTGGAGGTACTTTTGTCGGCACTATTCCCTCATCTGACTTTATTCGTGACAAAATTGTTAACAAGGATTTCCTTCCTGGAACAAATAATAAGTTTGGCAATGAACTTTATTCTGTCACATTTGACCGAACTCCGCCATCCGACGGAATATTCCGGCCTCCGTTCGGGAACAAATATGACTATTTTTTGAAGGATGCCGTAGACAACGTTCCCGAATATGTTGTTCCCTTCGAAGTATTCCGGCTGATGTGTGAAGAGGTAGGTTTAACTTTACGCTACAAGAAAAATTTCATTGAGATTTTTAACCAAGAAATTCCCAAATATTTTCACAAACTTAATCGCAATTTGGTAGACGGAATGAAGAGGGCGGACGGCAAGTATGGGGCGGAAGGGGCGGAAAAAGAAGCCGTTAGTTTCTATTTGGGGTTTGCGTTTGAAAAGCTTGGTTGATGGTTGCAAAATGGTGGGCTCGGTTCAAATTTTTTTTTTTTAAAATAAAATTGGAGAATTTTCACAAAAAAAAAGAATATTTTTTATGCAATTAAACGACATATACCAGTATAACGCGTTGTGTATTATGCACACCAAGCACATAATATACATATAGATATATATGTGTCATGCATTGCTAATCATATTAGGTCTTGTATGCAATGTATGATGCACAAGCAGGGCGTTTCCACTTGACAACTTGAGGACAGCCTAGAATTTTTCCCTTGCATTTTGTAGAAATTGGTGAGGAAGTTGTTAACGAGGATTGCCATGGAATTTAGCTGTATGGGGCGAATTCCAAACACTTGACACTTACGAAAAAGGGGCAAGGTCTATTGTTATGCACCTCGTGCTTTCAATCACGTATATAATGCCATTTACGCTGGCGGTTCAGCACGAAAAACGCCAGATTCGGAATGACGCGACCCTGATTACACGTTATTGGTTAGATAATATTATGCAAAAAATATGCTGGTTACAGTAGTTTTGTGATTTGAAACGATGAAATGCATCACCTGTATGCAACATCAAAACTCTATGGAAATGAGGAAAATTTATGCGCCATTCGATTCTGGAATTAATGCGGTAAAGTCCGAGTCCCTACATGATTTGGTGCCCCGAAACAGTTGTCTATACAACTGTTTGGGGAGTCCTGCATATTCGATGGCTTAGTGCAGATGGCTATATGCGTGCGCAATCACACCTACATTTATTCTTGCATGATAAGCGTTTTTTAGCGAGCCTCAATATGCACGACATCACGATTTCGCTGCACCAACTGGCACGGGATCTTTCACCGTGCATAATATCGTAGCCGACTGCTGCAAATCTTGATTGCTATCCCCAGCATTTTGAGGTCGATAATGATCGTCCCGCATACCAAGAAGCACTGTTCAACTTGGCACAGGAACGAGAAAATGTTTTCAAAACTCCGATGCTAATTTTTTTCGTTCAATGTAGACTAATGCCAAAGCTATACGCACCTGGTGATAAAACCCCGCTCGGGGTTGAGAGTCCGAAATTCTTTGGTTCGCGCATGAAGGGTACGCTCTGAATGATAAAAGATTGTGAAATTTAGTCTCAACAGAGTGTCTTGAGGCGACCAATAGATCTGTAGCTCACCAATATTGAAAAAAAAATTATGCAAGTCAATGCCTCGAATCAACAGCTCGCATAAAAAGATGACCGTATTTTGAAAATTACTTTGCATGGTGTCGGCATGCAAATTCAACCGACGCTTCAAAAAGGATGCATTTTAGCAGCAAAAGCAACCAGCAATATCACCCTGTTTCAGGTTCAAAAGAACGAAGGCTTCGCTTAACGCACGACGTGTATTGTAGGGTATTCACAACTTTTGTTCGTGTCCAAAATTGGAAATAAATATTTCATTTTTTTATGGGGAAAATTTTATCTAAGGTTGCATGGTTGGTACCTGTATCCTATGCGGCGGCACATAATACTTTTGCATCGCATCGCGTTGCAGGTTTTGGCAAAGACGTTGAAAATGCCTGCATTAGAAGCATTGGTCCCTCCAAGCATTCATAATACCTTTTTAAAAAAATTCTTGGCATGGAAAACCGTAGACCAGTGAATTGTCCTTATTCGTACGTTATTACGGGTTATGGGACAAAGTTTCGGGTCGAAATTTCATCTGATGCGGGGGTGTAAAATGGTTGGGATTCAAGCCGCACGTCGCCGCAGGTGAGGCATAATGATTGAATCGCTACTGAAATAAGATCGTACTCGCCAATTGTATGCATCTACAAAGCGTCATCTATTAGGTAGCAGTCATTACAAGCAACCACAAACGCCATATTAGTAATGTAGGTTTTCATGCACAATGTATGATTTTTTTTTGCTGCCGGAACTGCGGCTCCGGTCGGTCATAAATTTTTTTAACACATTTAAACTTTAACTATCTGGCAATAGTAGTCAAATATGCACCATGCAAGGTATCATCTATGCATCGGAAGTGCATCGAACGCCACCGCGGTTTTTCTGGCGCATGTTCCATAGATAAGAACATTAAATTCTTGTATTTTGTTTGTTGCCAATAAGGTGATCAACTTTCACCGAATGACTGATGATCACAATGGTTCGAAAAGTGCTGCGATTCTGCTGCTTCTTAATCGTGATAATTCAGATTCTAATTCATCTTCAGAATCCAATAAGGAAATTGTAAAACCAAGAAGAAGGGTTCGCCGGCGATATAATCAAATTCTTCGGAAATTTAGTTGTACGTTTCCACAATGTAACAAAAGTTATGGGTCACTTAATCATTTAAATGCCCATATTGTCACGAAAAAACACGGTAAACGGAAATCCAGAGCTGACTTTCAGTTTCATGAAGACGCGGTTTTGTCCCCCAAATTCCCCCCAACTCCTCATCCTCAATCATACCCCCAAGTTCTCGGGGGACAACCTCAAGGCTACCAACCAGCAATGGGATGGCCAAGTCGAAGAGACCAAGCCAGCGGCACTTATTGGTACGGAATGCCAGTAGGACTGACGCAGGCGTCGGATATTCCATCAAAGCTCGGAGTTCCGGGCCACGATCCGTCTTCCGGCCCAAGCGGTGCCCCACCTTTTCAGCAACCTCCACGCGTACCTCCACAAGCATCTCCCCATGTTGGTGGTGCACCCCCACAACATGGATTTCCGGGGTATGTTCTTTACAGTGCTCCGTTTTCCTCGGGTCCAATTGGACCACCAGCTTGGCAACCGCCATTACCGCCTCCTACGCATCTTCAACCATCAAGTCACAATTTGCCGCTAGCAAAAGATTCTCGAAGCTCATCGACATCCTCTTCAAAACTGCCATTACGCACTTTTCCATCTCCCCCACTTTTCCCCGCCCAAAATCAATCTTTAAACTTACACCCCATCACCTTACCACCGGTTCTTGCTAAATTACCTAGTCCTCCATCGTTACCCCCACTTTATACAAAAGAGGTTGCAAAATCTCAAGATAGCATGCAAGTTTCTGTTCAAGCTGCAGATTCCTCAAGTTGCAGTTCAGAGTAACTGTTAATAGATGTATTTAGACGCGACCGTGCCGCATCGCTATAAAATTACTAATTTTTTGCAAGTTTTCGTGTTGCTTATAGAGTTGGTATACACGCGTCGTGCATTAACCGCGCATTTCAATATTGACGTAGCCACCTCTAGATTGGATCAATTGTAGCATGGACGATCCAACGCAGGAACTTGTCAATTCCGATGCAAATGCAAATGCGACGCAACCAGATCATAGCGTTCTGTCCGACACGCAACGCGACCGGTCGGTCACGCCCTCGGTTGATGAGGAATCGGATCGTCGTGCAGAAAATGAACCATCAGCCGCAGCTAAACCAAAACGAAAACGGTTAACACTTCAAGAGCGATTGGCACTCGCTGCAAAGGGAAAGAAGAATTCCAATGCAGACGGGACTGCAGATCCACCTGTATCTGTATCTGCATCTAAATCTGCATCTGCATCTGCATCATCTGCATCTACTGTTGGAGACACACAGACGCATGCGAATACCACAGCGCATACAACGCATACCCCACCACAAACGCAAACCTCAATGCAACCAAACGCTTCAGATCCATCCCATTCACCTTCCATGCATACGTCAAATTTGACACCTGCAGCCCAAACTGCTATTTACCCCGAATACGAAGCTTTAAAGAAAAAGTATGATTCACTTGTGGAGGAAAACCGACAGCTTAAACTGGCCCCCAAACCACAGTCCAATAAAGAGTTGATTGCAAAAATTGACAAACAAAATATCACTATAGAACAGCTTCGTCAAGAAGGTGAAGCACTTTCACTCAAAGAACTCAAACTCAATGAAACAATAAAAAAGCTTCGGTCTCACAATTCGAATTTGGAATCGTCTTTGCGAGACTATGCCAGTAAAGATGAAGATTCTAATGTCAAAATGGTTCAAATGGAGCAGGTTTTAAAGACACATCTGGTTAAAAGTATTGATCAATGGGTAGAAAAATATGAGGAAATGAAGCGAAATCTTGAGGAAACGTCTGCAGCACTTGGTGCTATTCGTGAGCAACACTGGGAGGATAAATACAAGGAACTGCAGCAACTATATGAAACTGAATTATGGGAAAAAAAGCAAGCTTTGAAAGAAGTGAGCGATCTCACCATCCAGTTTGATATGGCCAAGAAGCAACGAGACCTTGATTCCGAGTCAAAAAATACCATTATTGCTGAATTGAAGAGAGAATTACAGGGAAAGACAAAAGAAAAAACTGAAGAAATTTCACGACTTGAACGTAAAATCGAACTGCTTCGTCTTCAAAGTGAAGGTGGACATCATTTCGAAAGTGAAGATTCTTCGCAAGTGAAACAGATAGACTACAGTGAATTTCTGAAGCTTTCGGAAAACCACCATAATCTTCAACAACAGTATCTTTCGTCGCAGGAAAACTGGAAGTTGATCGAGTCGAATCTTGTTGCGAAAATCGATACTCTCACCGTGTCGATCGAATCTCTCAAGAAGTCGAAAACCAAGCTTTCCCTGGATCTCAGGATACTCCAAGCAAACTTGAGTAGCAAATCTGACGAGCTCGATACAGTTTTGAATGAGGCGAAGAAAATGCGAGGAACCATCGACGACTTGAATTTCCAAATTCAATTGAAAGACGAAACAATTGCAGATTTGGAAGACAAGCTCGGCAAGATCCAAGAAATACACAACAAGGAGCGCACTTCACTCATGCAAAAAATATCAAAACTTAGTGAAAAAAAAGAAGTCGACAATTCTCGCAACATGCATCTCAATCTCGATCCCGTTCTGCGGCCCACTATGTCTCCACGAAACAACAGCTGGACAGAGATCCGGCTTGGTGAGTCCTGTACCACCCCCTCAATGTCCAGGCATACTTCTCTGGTATTTATCCATCAAAATCCTTCGCTGACTTCGTTCGACGTCGCAGACGATACCTTCGACGACACCTCTCTCGGAGCCATTGAGGTCGGAGAAACGTCCAACCATGTTCCCAGCTCCGCCAGCTTCACGGGAAAGATGCCTACTCTGAGTCTAACCTTGAGTGGAGGAAATAATATCCAGTTGATTAACAAGATGAGCTCGACGATTCGGCGACTCGAAATAGAATTGGTGACCATTCGTGAGGAAAGCGCCCAACTTGCCGAGGAAAAAGAACAGCTTCAGCAGGAGCTTCTTACGAAGATCAAGCTTTCCAATGAGAACGACTCGCTCAAAGAAGAAATTGCAAATCTTCAGTTGCAACTTGCCGAAAAAGACGATCAGGCCCAGACCATGCTAGAATTGATTGGAGAAAAATCCGAGCGAGTCGCAGAATTGGAGGCTGACGTGGAAGACCTCAGAGGCCTCTGCAAGCTCCAGGTACAACAGATGATGGAAATCCAGGGCAAGTAGTTGACCGGCTTGTATAAGGCCTTTGGTTTGTGTGCAGTACCACCGTCAAAATCAAAAAATGCAAATGCGATGCGATGCGATTTTCATGATTGGCACTAGTGGTTATATCAACCAGCAGGGCACTTGCTTTGCCAATGTCATATCCCGGCCCGGTAGAAATGAGATCCAGTTCTACTCGTTGCTTGACAGCGAAGCCAGGCCTTTGAAAATAGAACTTTCGGACGATCTGGAAATTGTAGCCGCCTGCTGGTTTGTTGAAAATTCCCATAATAAAACAGAACGAGCCAAAAAGAGGAAAGTGGACGACGCCAACACGTCTTCAAATGTAATTGATACCACAGAATACTTTGTAGTTGGCCACAGTTCCGGCAAAATTGCCGTTTTTTCAGCGCTGCAAAATTCCGAAGTCAACTCTTTCCACCTTGAAACGGCAGTTGTGGCAATGACGACAGGAGAAAAATCGATTTTGTGCCTAGACACCGAGCTGAGTATCATCGAAGTGACGATTCCAGAAGGAAAAAAGCTCAAAACAAAAATATTCAAAGACATATCTGACATCCAAGCCGTGCAAGTATACATGGACAAAAACAAGAAACAAAACTACATATTAGGAAACCAACACTTGAGTTTGGTAGACCCCTCGAAGCCGAAAAACTTTCTCGTAAGTCGATTTCAAGGCGACCTGCTGGTGGTATCGATAAAGGCATCGAAACTTCATCCCACCGTTTACTATGCCATTCGTGAAAATGACCAAAAGATTTATGTCTACGACGTTGAAACTCAACAGGAGAGGACCCACGCAGCGTCTTCGGCGATTCTGAGCATTTATGTGTGTGCATCGGGCTCGGATGAAGCTATTTTTGTGGTTTCAGAAACAGGTATTGAAGTGTTCGTAATGGATTTTGAGTCTGATTTCCACGAAAGACCGCCCGCATGTTTGATCAGAACCTCCTCGCAAGATGACGAGGTTCCAGTTCGTTTTTCGGCGGTTTGTTATCGAGACGATAGTCTCACTGGAATTTGGTATAAAGGCTTGCAGCCTCAGTTTGAAGATATTGACTGGAATTTCAAGTCTGTGGGAGAGGTTATCGTTTCCATACAAACCAGTGAAAAGGAACCAGCCAGCAAGGTGAACACAGATACAAGCATAATTGTTCCCAAACTGACGGAAATTAAAAACATTCCCAGTGAAATTCTCTTTGACAAAATTCGCAGCCATCTTCAAGAACCCGAAAAACTTATCCACTTGTGCTCCACCAATAATGACGAGGCCAGTATCAAGGAAGTAGTTAAGAGATTTTCCGCCGAAGAAAATGGGCTGGAGAGCATATCCAAACTCTATGAAATAGTAAGCCATGAAGTAGCTTCCAAGCCAGACGATACTGCCGTTCTTGCCCTTTGGCTCAAGTGGATTCTCTTGACTCATGGCGGTGCTCTCTCCAAAAGTGGAGATCATTACAGCGATTTCAAGCAATTACAAAAAGGTTTATCCAAGGGTATGGAACAAATGCCGCAATTGTTGGCTCTTCAAGGACGCTTACAACTTCTCCGAGCACAAGCACAATTGCGGGATACTCTGATAGAAGTAGAAGAGCCCGAGGAGGTTGGAAGAGAGAGCTCTGTGGTTTATGCCAATGGCGAAGACGACGATGAAATTGATGAGGATGAAGAAGATGAAGAGGAGACGAAAGTAGACGAATAGCATTGTAATATAGGGTAGAAGGCGTGAAGAAACTTAAACTGTACTTCTGAATAGCATCGTTAATTCATCATTATTCAGTTCATATAGCTCATCAATATCCAACTATTTCATTTGTTCATTAGCTTTCGTTGATGAAGGTTCATTTGATGATGTTTGGTGTAATGACCCAATTCATTAATGTTCATTTATCATGTATTCCATTATCAGTTTATAGTTCAATTCATTAATCCAATTCATAATTTCAGCTCATTTTGCAGCTAAGTGGGTTTCAGTTCATTAGTTCTAGTTCATTAATTTTCGCTCACAATTCAATTCATACACCTATAATCAATGCTCTCTTCATTTCTGTCAATCAATCTATCATATACTCGTCTCCCATTCCATCTGACTCTTTTCTCTCACTAATTTTTCGCAGCCTTTCGCAGCCTTTCGCAGCTCTTCTCATTTTATCTTCTCATTTTATCTTCGCAGCTTCTTTCACCATGTCAAAGTCATTCATATCATACAACAACATACACAAGCTATGCAAAAAAGGCGCCAGCGACATCAAGCAGAACGGCCCGGTTGACTTGATCATAGCTATAGGGGGCGGAGGCTTCATTCCCGCCAGAATATTGAGAACTTTTCTCAAAGAAGAGGGAAAGAAAAATATCCCTATTCAAGCCATTGGGTTGTCTCTCTACGAGCAAATGACAGAGGACGAAGACAAGATCGGCAAGGAGGTGGTGCGCACGCAATGGCTTGATTTTGGCAATTTAAGTCAACATTTCGATTCGTTGATTGGAAAAAATGTGTTGATTGTCGATGAGGTTGACGACACCAGAACCACGTTACACTATGCCGTGAGCGAGTTGGAGAGAGATGTGTTGGAAATGCAGCAGAAATTGGGCAGAACAGACGAAAAAACCACGTTTTCCGTGTTTGTTCTTCACAACAAAGACAAGCCCAAAAAGGCACAACTTCCGGACGAAATGTTGCAAAATGGACGGTACATTGTGGGAGAAACTGTGGTGGATAAATGGATTATTTACCCGTGGGATGCTCAGGAGATTGACGAGCACACGGAAAAGGCACAGGAACAGGGAAATATATAGATAGAAGCAAAAACAATAAGCAGTAGAAAACATTTTTCATTTGATTTGCAACCGTCCTTTTGGCCAGTGCCGCGCTTCTTCGGTAGAAATGCGCGAGTAGTTTAGTGGTAAAATCCAGCGTTCCCATTGCTGGGCCCCGGGTTCGATTCCCGGCTCGCGCAAAACCCTCTCAATATTTTTTTCGACCTGCGTCGCTTGAATCCGTAAACCTCTTCATCCTTCTTTATTATGGACACCCGGCAGCTTTTGGCTTGTTTTTCGGGCACTCTAGAGGCCAACCAGGCCGTGCGACGTGATTCAGAAGCTCAGCTCCGCTCGTTGGTTCATACTCCTGGTTTTTTAGACGGGTGTCTCGACATCATCTCGAACCATTCCAGCGACATTTCTTCGCCAGTTAGAAAGGCTGCTGCTGTATACTTGAAGAACCATATAGTCCGCAAATGGAACGTTGCAGATCAGGCCGGGATAGCTCACCAGGACCGAATTTCCGTCCGTGGTCGTATTCTTCCCACCATAGTCGCTGTGGACCATCAACTAAAACAGCAATTGGTTCCTGTTTTGAGGACGCTCATATCCAAGGATTTTCCTAACAACTGGCACAGCTTGCTAGCGGACACGGGCGAATTGCTCCAGCAGGTTCCACAAAACGACGGAGACGACCAAAGTTTTCTGAAATTGTACACCGGTATTTTAGCGTTTGCCGAAATTTCACGCAAGTTCCGCTGGGCCACAAATAAGGAGAGAGCACTGGAGTTGAGCCCCATTCTCGTGGTGTTCCCCCATTTGCTCAGCATAGGAAAAAGCATACTTTCAAGCCCGGAAGCCATCACCGAGGTCCGCGCCGAGATGCTCAAGTTGATCCTCAAAGCATACAAATTTGTCACCTACTTTGATCTTCCGGATGAATTCCAGAGCCCAGAGTCGTTCTCAGCGTGGGGTGAACTCCATGGACTGGTTATAAATGCGCCCACTCCAGCGTATGTTCAAAATTACGACGACCAAGAAAGATCACTTTTAGAATTCTCCAAAGCGGTCAAATGGTCCATTGCCAACCTATATCGTCTCTTCACCCGGTACGCCTCCGAGAGCTTGAGTCGCAAGTTCACATACACCGGTTTCCAGGACACTTTCACCACCAGTTTTCTTCCGCATTTGATATCCAACTACTTGGGGGCCATCGACCAATGGTGTCACCACAAAAAATGGCTTCCCAGACCAGCTCTTTTCCATCTACTCCAGTTCCTATCGCACGCCGTGACCCAGAAACCTTCGTGGCCTATGCTCCAACCATATGCCGACACATTGGTGTCGCATTTTGTGTTCCCGTTGGTGTGTCCCAGCGAGTCGGATTTGGAAATGTTTGACAGTGATCCCTTGGAGTATATCCACACCAATTTCGACGTCTACGACGAGTTCAATACCCCGGATATAGCAGCATTGGGGTTCTTGGCGTCGCTTGTACTGAAGAGAAAAAAGGCTACTTTGGAACCCACCATGACATATATTTATACCCAACTTTCCCAGCTTCAGAATGACGGTTCTCTCGACGGAGCCCGCAAGAAAGATGGTCTCTTTCGCATGATAGGAGCACTCACCCACTACATAACGGCTCGGTCGCTGCCGTTTTACCCTCAAATGGAGCAGTTTGTCGGCTCTATGATCCTCCCGTCGCTCCAATCGGAACACGAATTTCTCCGGGCCCGAACCCTCGAGGTGGTCCAGAAGTTCTCGGAGCTCGAGTTCAACGACGACCACCTCGTGGCTCAAATCTCACAAGGAATCCTCACCAATTTCGACTCCAGCTCGCTTCCTGTTCAATTGGAAGCTGCTTTGGGGATCCAAACCTTTTTACATCTCGATCTTTTCAAGCTGTCGTTGGCCCAGGTGATCGTTCCGACGATGCTGAAGCTCTTGGCTCTTCTGAACGACATAGATAACGACGCCATTCCCGTGGTGATGCAGGAATGTGTTGAGAATTTCGCAGAACAGCTCCAGCCGTTTGGAGTCGAGTTGATGGAAAAACTCACGGCTCAGTTGTTGCGGTTGGTCACCGAGATCCACCAAGCCTCCCAGGTGGACGTGGACGATTATGATGGCACGCTGGACCAGCTGGACAAAGTTATGGCTGCGGTTGGACTTCTCAATACCGTGATCACCGTTTTGCTCAGCTTTGAAAATCTGTATGATATTTGCATCAAACTCGAGCAGGTTTTTGCGCCGGTAGTGGAATTTGTGTTGGTGAACATGGTGGATGATTTTTTTGGCGAAGTTGCCGAGCTCATGGAAAACTCGGTTTTTTTGCTTCGTGCCGTCACTCCTACGATGTGGACATGTTTCCACCATCTTTTTGCATGTTTCCAGGACGGCGTGGCGTTGATGTATTTCGAGGAATTCATTCCGTGTCTTCACAACTTTCTTCTCTACGGAAAAGAAGAACTCTTGAAAACACCAGACCTTGCAAACCAGTTTTTCAAGATTTACACCCTAGTTTTCGAAGGCGATGCCAACGCAATTGGTCTCAACGACCTTGCCTTTGCCTGTGAAATGGCCCAGACTTTCATCTTGACGCTTCAAACAGAAGCTCACCGGTTCACTGCGCACTTTGTCTCTTCCACCATCGACACCTACACCACCGTCAAGAGCGCCAGTATGGTGGGTTACAACAAGTTTGACGTCAACATGCACGACGTAGTGTTGGCGGCATTGGTTTACGATACCAACAATGTGCTACAATTGTTGCACCAAAAAGGTGCATTGGTTCTGTTTTTCCAGCGGTGGTTCAAGTTGATTCCGGAGCTTCGGCGAGTATTTGACTTGAAGCTTTCGTTGCTAGCACTTATCGCTGTGATTTCCAGCGCCGAAACTCCACTTATCGACCCAATACTTGCACATGCTGGACAAGCGCTCGCACAAATCATGGAACGAATGCCAGAACTGATTGCCGAATTGGAGAAAAAACGCAAGAATTTCACCGAGGGTGCATCGCAGTTTGACCACGCCGACTTTGACGATGCCACCGACGACGAAGCAAGCGATAATGACAACTACGTAGAATTTGACGGAGATCTCGACCACGATACCAGCGACTATCTTCAATTTTTGAAGCTGGAAAACTCTAAACTCAAGCACGAGGGCTACTACAGCGACGACGACGACCAGGTGACCGAGGATCCGCTTTCAACAAACCCATTGGAACCGATAAATGTGTTTGAAGTGTTTAAGAATTTTGCGAGCCAGCTTCTGCGGGATATGCAAGTTGCCGTTTTTGGCAATTTGACCAATGAGCAGCGAGCGACGTTGGAAACGGTTGTGGGGCACTAGACGACGACGAGACGACGAGGTACGAGGAGTCGAGAAAAAGTTAAATTTAGACTTTTTGGGATTCGTGGTGGCTTTGGCATTGTCTGCAAGGCCCACCTCATTCGGCCGTAACGCCAGCCGTGTTCGTTGATGTGTCGGCTTACGACCGATAACTCCGTCCGATCGGCCGCAAAGCGTTGAATGCGCGCTTAGAAATCGAAAATATAAATGGTCGCAGCCATCCATAATACAGTAATACAATTGCACCAATTACACCAAAAACACCAACAGTAAAAAAAGCCAAAAATAACACCAAACCACATTAATCCAAATGTTGCCGACAACAATTCTCTCTATGACCGTCGAGAATATACAACCCGAACCCAGTAGCAACAGTTCCACTGTCCAGGAAAATGCCATCACCAAAAACGAACCCGATGTGTCGGAACCCGCTACAAAACCGGCTGAAAACTCCTTTATGGCTCCGCACTTGAAACCGTTGCGTCTCAAGCTCTTGAAGGCTTTTTTGGGTGCGATTATCTTCATTTCAGCCTACGCCCTTGCTGTATTTTCGCTCTACTGGGGTGCCGCTTACGACCGAGTTTCCAAGCTCAAAAATCTTCGAATGTTGGTTGTGATTGAGGACGCGCCCGTGGGTAATGTCCAGCCAGTAATTGGCAATTCTATAAGGTCGTTGGTGCAGCAACCACAGGTGAAACGGTTGGGCGACTGGCACGTTTATTCTGGCGAAGAGTTTGCAAAACAAGCTCAGAAACATGACAATACAATTGAGGAAGAAGTGCTCGCCAGATCCATCACCAGGAGTTCTGGTCGTCTATTTATGTGCGTGAGAATGCCACCTACGATTTTTTCCGGGCGTTGCAACTGGCGAATACAAGTTTCAATGCCCTGGGCTCCATTGTGTCGATTTACGAAACAGGTCGCGATAACATGGCTATGCTGCTGTACGTGACTCCCAACGTAAAGTCCGTGGAAGAGATGTTTTTAAGGAAGGCAGCTTCGCATATCGCACCTCCTTTGATCCAACAGCTCAGTGAATCGCAGCAAACAGCACTTTTCAAAAACGACAATACTACAGCTCTCGTTTCCACCCAGTTCCCCTTTGTTTTCAGCGACCATAGGCCTTTTACTGACCCTGTTTTGATAGCTCCAACCCAGGTGGGACTTATTTATTTGATCATTTTGACGTTTATTCAACTCAACTTTCTCATGCCTATCAATTTCATGATGGGCGCCATGAAGTTGAAAAACTTTCACTACGTTGCGGTCAAGATGCTCGTGTCGTACGCGGGCTACTTTATCTTGTCATTGATGTACTCATTTGTATCTTTAGCCATGCAAGTTGACTTTACGGTAGCATTTGGCAAATCTGGATTTTTGGTTTTCTGGATGTCGTCGTTCTTGACCATGTGTGCCGTAGGAGGAATGAACGAGGTGTTCTTTTTGATTTGTTTTGCTACGATCCCTCCATTCATCGGAGCATGGTTATTGTTCTGGGTCATCAGCAACGTCACTCCAACATTTTCACCACTTGCACTTTGTGCTCATTTTTTCCGCTATGGATACGCCATGCCCATCCATGCGTCGTACGAAATATCCAAGGTGGTTTTCTTTGACACTTATAAGGGAGCCTTGGGAAGAAATTATGCTATTTTGGTGATATGGAATGCTTTGGTGTTTGTATTGCTTCCATTTGCAGCGATTTTCTACAAGAGAAGAATGGCGCAAAAGGCCATTGCTGAGCGCCAGAAGGTGGTGGACGAGGTGCAGAACGGCAAGATAAATTAGGAGAACGACGAAGAAGATCGTATTCAATGATCGAGGAATGAGCTTAGAAGCCTTGGTTGAATATTTATTGATTGACAACTTCGAACAATATTGAAGATTGAACAGTGACACATGCTCAAACAACTTCGAAATTAATTGCAGCGAACAATCATAACCCACGAGAACATTGTATATACCACGAGGATAATAATAAACGAATCACTGGGGAACAATGCAGAAAAACAAATTAATCAATTAATCGATTTACTTTATTGTTTTGGCTTAGTTTTTACATAATTACTCTCTACTTCGTACTTTTTACCTAAACTCGATCTCAAATATCTGGGGAATGCTTCAGCTCAGGAAAAATCGCTCATAGCCCAATGCGCTCCATTTTTAAATAGCCACTCTGCATCGTAACGCGCATCCTATTCTCGTACTTACCAAATCGGGCCATCCCGAGGCCGTAATTTCCCGCATTGTATCACACTGTGCAGGGTCTGCAGCACCTCCTAGCATCGCTGCAATGCAACCAGTAGCCAAAAATACACCAATATATATTCGATATCTTTTAATCTATTTCAATCTTTCTATTTCTCCAACTTTTTCATTTCCAATCTTTATTTTTCTCAATCTTTTAAACTATTCAAACCTTATTATTTCTAAATCTCTCATTTTCTTTGCGGCCATTTTTAGCTGCGCGATGCCAATATGCCCGTCGCTAAAGCAGGAAGTATCCGGCATACAACCCACCGGTTCTGCAGATAACTGCGCCACGTTCTTAAGCCGTTATTCAGCCCACATGGGCACCCGGCCCACATGGGCTATATTTAGTATGGGTTTTCATTTATTTAAATACCTTTTGCTGAACTACGAATTCAATCGTAACTTGCCACCGAAAGGGCCGTTTGGTTTTCCTGAAACATCTTGAAACATATTTTTTATTATTGCCCATTCCACATCGTCTCCACTTTGTTCTGCTAATAAAGGTGGTTCTAATTTCGTTCATTTTTTGACTTTGTTTTGCGTCCGTGATGAAGTTGTTTCTCTTTTGCGTCTACGCAAACTTGGCTTTGGCCCTTAATATCCTTCTTTCCACCCCAGACTCGTGGGTCACCAAGAATGTGCGTCACTTGAAGGCGGCACTCGAAGCTCAAAATCACACAGTGGTGGCCATTGCTCCACTATACGACAATATGGGATCCCAGAAATTGGTTTCTGACGAAAGTTCCATAACGATAGATACCCCCAGTGACCGCTGATTTCAACGTAAAGAGACTGGTCCAGTCCGCTGAAGCCATTGCTGATGGAGGTGATTTCGGCCATCTCCTTCCCGTTCACCAAATCTACTATAAACATATTAAAGCCATGAACCTGGCGGCTGGAAAAAGACCTAGAAACGTGGTTCACAAAGATGATGTTCCTCAAGAGTCTGTGGTCTCCTATGACGTTTTTGGCCAGGATCCTCTCGACCCATCGTTTTGGTACGTCGACTCTCTGCCGGTATCTACCCTTCTCATCGGGTTGGATATCATTTTGCCCAAATATTACCCCGATTTCAAGCCCGACTTGGTGATTTTGGGTCCCCAAGAAGGCATCTCTTATACCCCACAAGCCGCCTCAGACTACTACGAGTCGATACAAGCCATGGCAGCTATTTCCGCTTCGCAAAACCACTCCACCATCGCTGTTTCCAGCGAAGATAATCATCACATATACTTTCAAGACGAGCACTTTTTCAATGCACAACAAGAAAAACTCAAGCGGTTCAAGAAGAATGTATTTGCAAGAAACATTCGCTTCACCAACAAAAAAATCATCGACTTGGTTACCAGTTTAGAAAAAAAGGCTGCCGGCAGTCTTCTCCTTCCTTCCCGAGTGGCACTCAACGTCATCATTCCATCCATTAACCACGAGTACTCGCATTGTGCAACCTCCAGCAATCCCAACGCCAAACTCAACCCAGAATTCAAACAGGTGATGTTTGAGAACGACGCTCCCTCATCTGTCGTACCGCAATCGCTTCCAAAGTACCGTCTTACTGATGACAAGATTCAAAGGCAGGGACTGTTGAAACTTTCTGGATTGGAGAAAAGAAGCATGAGCGAAGAAGACGAGATTGTGGAGAAAATAGAAGATGCCGGTGAAGAGCAAGAGGTTTACGAAGAAAAGGAGCAGCCTACTTTCGTGGACAAGAAATCCTACTACTATCTCGAGACTCTTCGTAATTATGCCAAGCACCCATTGGCTGCATTCCACACCGATTCCCAAATCAAGGTGTTTGACAAAAGAAACCTTCACCAGTTGTCGGACAACGACGACTTGAATTCCTTACTCAACAATGTCGATGAACTGGCCGTTCTCAACAACTGCCATATCAGTATTGCCGTAAACCACATGGAGCTTGGTTCTGGGCTTGGGCCAGAGGTTTTCGACGTGGAAAGTCTCTTTACGCATAATTAATAGAATATAACGATATTACGAAAGAAGAAGTAGCGCAAGAAGAAACAAAGTAGAGAGCTTACCGATACACAACGTAAGATTTTGCATCATGTCTTCTCGTTGAGTCATATCACGTGCCGATAAGAGTTGCGAATTTCATCAAATCTTCCCACAGTGTGGACTGATGCTTGTACCCACACTCTCGGACGAGGTCTCTGTGCCTGGACGACGGTTCCAGAAGCTCAGCAGCATATCATGCATGTCTCTCATCATCAACAAGATGGTTGGAACCGGGATTTTTTCAACTCCTGCTATTATTTTCAAGTATCTTGAAGGCAATGTGAAGCTATATTTATTCTTGTGGCTCGTAGGAGGGATTGTTATTTTCAGTGGATTTGCTATTTTTCTCGAGTTTGCCTTGAATCTTCCTTTTCGAAACGGTGGCGAAAAAAACTACCTCATTAGAGGGTTTCCTCGTGCTCCTAAAGGACTACTTGGTTGCATTTATTCGTTTCTGATTGTGTTATTAGGGTTCAGTTCCGGCAATTCCTATGCTTTTGGAAAGTATGTGGTGTACGCTGCCACGGGAAGAGACGACGGTGGCCACGAGGGCTTGGTGAAGGCAATTGGTGTGGCATGTATCACTGGCTGTGCTCTTCTTCATGTCAATTTTTCCAACCATGGAACAGCCCTTTTCAATATTCTTGGAGTGTTCAAGATTCTTGTTCTTTTCCTAATTATTGGCAGTGGTTTCCTCGTGTGGACGGGACTTGTCAGTCCTTTGCACCAGACAGAAGCAGCTACAAATTTTGGAGCATCTGGCTCTCCCAGCTCCTATGCCATTGCCGCAGCACTTTTGGAGATAATTTATTCGTTTAAAGGGTGGGAAAATGCCAATTACGTGCTAAACGAAATGGAGAATCCTTACAAAGTACTAGTTTTTGCAGCTCCAGCCGCAGTATCGCTTGTCACTTTACTTTACTTTCTCGTCATTCTTTCCTATCTCGTGGTCATTCCAAAGCTGGAGCTTTTGGACAGCGGCGTTCTCGTTGCAGGAATCTTCTTCACAAAAATTTTCGGCGAAAGCATCACTTCGAGAATTCTTCCATTGGTGATTTCTCTCTCAAATCTTGGAAATGTTTTGGTGGTTTGCTTTGCCCACGCCCATGTCAATCAGGAATTGGCCATGAACAACTACTTGCCCTTCTCCAGCTATTTCCAGAACATCAACCACGCCATATGGTTGCACTGGTTTGTGACCGTGTTGGTGTTGGTGGTTCCTCCATCGCAAGACATCTACGAATTTGTCGTCAATCTTTACATCTATCCAGGAACCTGGATCAACGTTCTTCTCACAGTGGGCCTCATATACCTCAAACTCAACTCTTCAGAACAGTGGGGCACCGATTATTCCAATGCTTCTCCCACCGAGGATTCAGATTCTTCGTTCACCGAATTAGACCACTTGATTAACGCTCAGCACAAATGTCCCAAGATGAGCGCACCCACAATCTGCGTGGTAATCTTTCTACTTGCAAACCTCTTCTTGGCGATTTTTCCTTTCGTTCCTCCACCCTCATCGTCGCTGGCTGCAAATTCGCTGGTTCCATATTGGTGCTTTCCGGTAGTCGGAACTTCTGTATTGCTCATGGGTGGAGCATGGTTTTTCTTACGAGAGTACAGAAAGAGCACCAGTACGCTCTATGAAACACGATTACAACACTTTATAGACATACATGCTATTTTACATCTCTATCTTGTGGGCCTCGGCTTCCTCCAAGCCATCCATTGCACCCGCACTGGTTCTCCACAATTCTCCACAATTCTCAAATCTAGTGATACTAACCATGGACTTATCATTGAGTGGTTCCGGCTTCGGCATGCCCAGGAAATGGGTTGAGGAAAACTACCAGCTTGCATTGAAGTTATTTATGAGCAAAAGTTTCGAAAGATCTTTCGATATCACGAAAAAATTGTACAAAGCCAGCTTCCACCAATTGTCAAATGACACTATTCCCCAAGCATTATTCATCAAAATCATCAACTTGTACCTCACAGAGGTCGGTCTCTTCATAGACAAAGCTAATAATGGTCACCACTATAAATTGACCAGGCGAGAGAGGGAGGAAATTGCTAGTGAGCTCAGAAACGATAAACTACTCGATGAGCTTCTTGTATTTTACGGTGATGATATCAACCTGATTCCTTCAGCGATATTGTTCAACTTGCTTTTGGTCTACTATATTAATAGCGATGTGATTTTCGAGAACAAAAGTGATCTTCTTTCCAAATTCTCTCGGATCTATGCATTGATAGAGATCGAAGAAGACCCCTATATAAGGAGACTTTCCGACTTGTACATTTTCCGAATCCTCCCAGACTTTAGCAAGGAAACCGAAGCTGAAAATTTAATCCGGCAATCGAAGTTGTACAAATCTTCACTTGATAATTCGCTAAAGAAATTATCGTCTGCGATTGAGCAAAGAGAAACGAAAAGAAAAGCCGCCGAACAGGAGGTGAAGGCTAGCCAGTTGAGAGCCAAGGAAGAACAGCAAAAGAGAGTCAAAGCAGAAAAAGAGCAAAGAAAAAAACAAGATCTTCAGTACCAAACGTTGAATCTGCTCAAACAAAAGGCAGCTTCCGAATCTATGGCGCCGGCTCTGTCCGGAAGAAACACACCACAAGCACGGGACATCGAATCCTTAAAGCAACGTGCTTTGTACCTCTATGGAATATCTAAAGACTATATTGCCAAGAGCTCGCCCTTCATACTTCTTGCCATTATAGTTGTGTTTTTAGCATCTCGTATGGTCAACCTTCGCCGGTTAAACTTGAAAGAAGCTATACAAGAGACGGTACGCATGGCCTTCCAGGTGAAGTACCTTTAAAAAGAGGTGAAAGAATAGGAACCTCAGCTAATCTATGAAGAATTCTAGATAATTCTAATGCACATCAAAAGAACAAAGGAACCCCTTGGTTCTCCTCTTCTCCCTCTTTATGCTGGAACATATCGTATGACATGGTCGGTTTGGGCATTTTGTCCAAATCTTGGTACTCGTTCATTTCAGTATCGTCACCACGAAATTGGTAGTCGTCGTCGAACATTTCGTTAAATTTGCTTTTGGTAAGCACCCCAGCATCAGTAGAAGCTTCCATCATGTTGAAGGTGATCAAAGTACCCGAGTACAGATTCATCAGCGAACGGCACAAAAGTTGAATAGATAATGTTCCGGCCATATCTTTTCTAATTTTGCACTTTGACGAAAGCTTCACTGCCTTCTGAACATTCTTCAAGATGTTGTAGTTGTAACCAGTTGTCATTGACCCGTTAGTTTCCACCATTCCTCCTTCACGAGGCTCATATAAATTCAATTTCTCAAGTATGGATTTTTCCGGCGGATACATCAATTTCAGATGGCCCATAAACCCTTTTGAAACAAACTGGAGCAGGTTGTCGATGAACTTGGGCCCAGCCTTGTTTCCATTACCCAAATATTTCACTTCATTCGAAACTATGAGGAACAAGTCTACCGTATTCACAAGCTCCAAATCACGAAGCACCTGAAAAAAAATATCACTTTTTAGTATGACTTCAAATTGAACTTCGTTATAGTTTAATACAAGACCATAGTCGTCGTCAACGTCGTAGCTTCTTTCCCACGCATCATACGGGTACAGAATATCGGAATAAAACGTGGAAAATTCGAGCAGTTCACTCAACACATTATCTTCAAATTCTACAACAAAGGGTGTACCTTCTCCATGGTAATTGATATAGCACTTTGTTTCTCCGGTATCGGGTCCTGGAGCAGCCGTCTTTTTAGGTTTTGAAGTCAAAACGACGGTATTGAAACAATCAGCCATGAGCTTCACATCGATGCATAGTCGAAGTTCTTCAATTTCTTGTGAGTTTCCAGCGTAGAAATTAAAGCTGGTGAATAGGGAAGGGTCCAAACTGACCTGAATGTTGCAAATATGATTGTAATCGCCATAAAGTGTGATTCCTTTGGGAGATAGTATCATAAGAGCCTGAGAGCTCACCGGAACAACCGAAGATAAAACATCAGCAAGATGAGATATTTGTGTAGTGGATGCAGAGAATACTTTGGGGGGTGTAGTTCCGTCGGAATCATGCTGGCTGGAGTCCACAAAGAGACTCATGCAAATGTTTTATGGGAAACGGTGATTAAGTTAATCTTCAGAGCGCGCTGAGAAGACTAGTAATACGAAATGCAATACGAAAATGCAACAAAAGTGCAATTGAAAAATATAATTGAAGTTGCAACTGAAAATTCAATACAAATGCCTGGCTTGGCCTATGGTCTCTATTGAGCTAGTAAACAGATATATAGTTGTCAATCCTGTTCTTTTGGTTCTGGGCAATACATTCAGCAATCCAAGTAACGTTTCGCACTTCCTGCTCTTTGGACCGAAGCCAAGCCCAGATGGTGGATAACGTGAACTGCTGGGTGAACGCATTCTTACAGTATTGCATTTCGAGGAAGTAGAACCAGTCCTCTAAGTTTTTGGAGCCCGAATCTTGTGAGCTCGAAAAAAGATCCAGGTACTCACCGACAGATTCCACAATGGACTTCAACTGTTCGGGGTCGTCAATTTGTGACAATTGCGTGTGGTACGTGGGGTACAACTTTCCGTACGAGGGAAACAACAGCACCTTGTCCTCAGGAGACAAGTCGGGGTTATTCATGGAGTTGAGGGCGATATTGATTACTCTTTTGTCGGCCTCAAAGCTCAACAATCGGGTCATAATTTCCTTGTCTGGTGACAGGAATTCTTTCTCGACAAACTCGACAAACGCCTCCAAGTAATTCTTGTACAACTTGTTTCTGATAATTTCAATATTGAGATCGTCCAAGTCGTCGGCACTTATACAGTTTTTGAAAAACGGTGCCAACGGAGTGTCCACCAACACAGTGCTATACAAGCTCTCGATGTCAGTGGCAATGGAAAGAGTAGGCAAAGTATCAAACCAGCCTAGCGGGTGGCACTTGGAGAGAATTTCTGACTTGTCTCTCTCATGAAGTGTTCCTGTGATCATCAACGACACATTGTCGATCATGTAGCCGTAACTAATATAGTCCAAAAATCGAAGAAGCTTACCCGATGCTTGTGCCCTGATATACTGAAACTGCTGGTAGAGTTTCTTTGACATTCCATCTTGAATTACAGACGTAGATAATGGCCCAGAATACGAAGCTAAAAAGTTGCCGTAATCCGTGGCAGACAACTGAAGTTTAATATCGTCCAAATTATCACACTGGGTCAAGTTGACGTACTGGTTGTTGCCTAGCAACCCGTCGCGGTATCCTCGTACAACGCCCTCCACGTAGCCGTAGTCAATGTTGAAAAACAACCCTTCCATGTTTTGAGGGTGACGATAGCGGTGCGTTTCGTCCTTAATCTTTCACCAGAAGCGCACCCACACACCCACACGTCAATCGCGAGTCACCAACAGCTAAACCATCTACAGTCCACGCCATGTCGTCAATTTTGCTCAAAACGCTCGCCGAAGACTTGGATCCGCATCTACGAGACCAGCTTTTGGGCGATGATGATTTGCAGCGCGAAACTCAATCGTATCTCTCGCGCTTGTTGATAAACGATGAACTCTTGTCCACAGAGAATTTCTCCACCACCACCACTGACGATCCAAATAGACAACAAACCTTGACAGAAGAGATTGCGGAGCTCGACCAGCAGCACCATATTGTGAGCAAGGAAATGGCAGCGGAAACAGACCACAATAGAGACTTAATCGTGGGTATATCTCGCAATCTCGACGACATCAAACTGCGACTAGCAAACACAATTCCGTCCCAAATCGATACTATTCTACAGATTGTTGATTCTAGCGAAAAATTCGACCGTCTTGTGGTTCCAACGAACGAAAAACTCGAAGAATCCATCAAATCGAACGATGTGATACTTGCCAACATCGATTCTGTTCTTGACTTTCTTGAGCTTCCCACCTTGTGTAAGCTTTGTATCTCGCAAGGAAACTACCAAGAAAGCCTTGAAATTTCGATTTTGGTGCAGTCTTTGCTCATCAGGTTCCCTAAGCTCACCATATTCCAGCGTATAAGCAAACAGGTAGATGTCGAATTGGAATTGATGGCGAAGGGACTCATCAAACTTCTCAACACCAACCTTAAACAAAACCAAATTCTCAAAATCTTTCAAATCCTCAGCCGTTTAAACCTCAATTGCGTAGCCTCAAGCTCAAAATCCACTTCGATCTTGCTGCCTGTCTCGTCCGAAGACTCGTTTCATAAAACCAGGTTCCTCAAACTCATTTATCTTAATGGAAGGTTCAAATTTATCATCAAAGAATTGGAAAACTTGGCTCCGCTAATTCGTTTTAATCGTCTCACGTATTTGAAGCGTTTCGTGGAGACTTACAGAGAACACATATTCAGTTCCCTCTCCATTTATTCTACAATATTTTCAACCCAAGCTACCACCAACAAAGAAACATCCGAAAACGATGACAAAGCCCTCCTATATCAATATATTAAAAGCTTATCAATGCGTCTTGTTGAAGAGATCAATGAATACTTTCCAGATCTTTATTTTGGAAAGAGCGATAGCGACGATTATGCTGAAAAAGACGGCTTCATTTTACAAATCATCTACTTGTGCAAGTCTGTGGCCAAGTTCGGCACAAATTTCGAGACTATACTCATGTATGAGCTTTGTTATAAAAGGAATACTGGTATCACAACGGAAGATTGGGAACGAAATATTGCTAAAGTTGATATTTATGCATAGCTAACTTGTTCTACAACGTCATCACAAAAGAAATGAGGTATCATGAATTAAATCTATCACTGTAATACACGGTCGACCAAATTGTTCAAACCAAATAAGAACCCCAATTCTTGTCTTCCTAGCTTACTCACGGACTTCATGCCATTCTCATCTAGTGCATTCTGCACCATTTCTTTCTTGTACTTTTGGAGCTCCATTATACGGCCTTCGATCGTGTCATTGAGCAAGATACGATGGACAAAAACCTCACGCTGTTGACCAATTCTATGAGCTCTATCCATAGCCTGCTCTTCAACAAATGGGTTCCAGAATGGGTCCATCAAAATAACATGATTTGCACAAGTTAAGGTAAGACCAACATTTCCTGCTCTTAACGATATCAACAAGACCTGAGTCAGACCCTGGTAGAAGTTCTTTATCGTATTATTGCGAGCATCAAGTGACATCGACCCATCATAACGTAAAAATGGTATACCTTTTTTGTCAAGAACCAACTTCATCAAGTCAAAGAGAGTAGTGAATTGTGAGAACACAATGATCTTTTCTTCCAGACTTTTCGTTCGTATTTGGTTCACGAGCTCAATGCATTTTTCGATCTTTGTAGACGGTGTGAAACCATTGGTTTCTTCAATAAGGCGACTTATTATATCAGTAGAGGTAAACTTTTCAGGGGCCCTAGATTTTGGCGAAAACAAATCTTCAATGGCTTCTTCATCGTATCCGTCGTAGTGAACCTTGTGAAACATTTCATACTTGATCAAATCCTGTTCCTTAATCTCCCTTGAACAGGCAAAGCACAGAGCACTTCTGAATCCTATTATTGAGTCTCCCATTTCAAAGCGTTCAAAGAAATTTTCAACACAGTTTTCACAAATCATATGACCACACTGAGGAAAAAGAGTTATAGAGTGTCTCGAAAAGACATCATAGCAAAGTGGGCAAGTGAAAATACCCTCTTCTTGACCGTCACCACCGGTTATATCGTCACTCAATTCTAGCTTGATTCTCTTGACGGTTTCTTCATCGAAGTCACAAGTTGCAGCATACATTTTCTTCCAACTTTCACTGACGAAAAGAGAGGGATTTGTCTCTGCTCTGCGCTTGAGATCACCTACTTCAACCAAGTAGCTGTGACAACAGGCCTGTCGAAGACGCAAAAGAAGGGTAAGGATACTTGTTGTCAGTCCAGCTGAGTTCAAGAGCCCTTCTGCTTTGGATTGAATGTTCTGTTCTAGGGCGTCGTAGTCGGCCTTTTCTTTCGCTTCCATGTCGACCTGAACTTCTTCAATATGCTTTTCGGGTAGACTCAATATTGGCTGTCCATCGATAAGAGAATCTTTGGCACGACGCAATAAAATAGCACTAAGCAATGCCTGAAGTTTCTTCATACTTCTTCTTTGTGAGAAGACATCGGAGTAGCCTCCTTTCTGCTTTAATGGCAACACAATATCGCCTCTGAATCTTTCTTCATCATTGTAAGGTTTGATACGTAGAAACCGAAGTATGGGGTACAACTCATCGAGATTATTCTGAATGGGAGTTCCTGACAAACAAAGTCGGTACTTCGACTTGATACAATATACGGCTTTCGAAGCGATAGCATTTTTGTTTTTGATGTTCTGTGCTTCATCCAAGATAACACGATAGAAGATGGCTCCTCTGGAAAAAAATGGCGAGTCGTACAGTTCACCACCAGAATCAAGATCAGGAACCACATTTTGACCTGGGGTGACCTGTGCTTCTTCAATGGCAGACTTGTAATGCTTTTTCCATTCTGACGACAAGGTGCCGTAGGAAGTTAAAACCACGTCAAAACCTTTAAAAGCCCTAAATCTTGTCATCAGTTTCTTCTCGTTTCCGTGATATATAGCAACTTTGAATCGGTAAGACGACTTGAGTTTCGAGTCGAGCTCAGCTGCCCATTGACGTAATAATGCCACAGGAGCTATCACCAAAGTTGTCTTGCAGTCGTCGACGCTCGATTTGTGTGCTACAATTAGCGACAACGCCTGGATAGTTTTTCCCAATCCCATATCATCGGCTAGTATGCCGCCCTTACTCTTGGACTCCTCCATCCGAAGCAACCAAGTCAAGCCCAATTTCTGGTGTTTCAATAGAGAAATAGCCAATTCTGGCGGTGTAGCAGCCATGTCTTCGGTGTCTGCTTCTTCGTCTGGACGGATATTGTTGAGCAATTCTTTAAGGTCAACCTCGTCTCTTCCTCCATAGACATTGCGTACATAACCCTGCGGTTGAACAGGTTGTGGTTGAATATGTTGCGGTTGAATAGGTTGTGGTTGGAGCTGAGCTTGGAGCTGAGCTTGGCTTGCGCTTTGTATAGACATTAGGCGATTCAATTCCACTTCTGTCTTGCGAACAACGTCTTGGAGACGCGGCAACAGCGAGTGAACTCTCCGGAGCTCATTAGTGAAGTTTTTACGGCGCTGGTTGAGCCCTCTATAAGCATCGAGCAGTCGTTGGGCTTCACCCTCGAGCGCCACGAGTCTCTCACGCTCGCTATTAGGGTCTTCTCGTAACATCTTCAACTCCTTTTCGAGTCTGATGGCCTTGGCAGCTGCTGCGTCCATGTTCCTCTGGTCATGTTGCATCGTCTGGGAGAGAGATTGACCACGAATCTGGAGCTCTTGTATCTCCCTCATGTTCTGAGCACGCACCTGCTGAAGCTGGTTGATTCGTAGTTGGTCTGCGTGAAAAGTTGCTCGTGGATCATGGCCAAAATGTGCCACTGGTGCCGGTTGGTTGAACAAGCTGGGAGGGGCCACTTGCGAGTCTGGGGCTTCCACTTCTGACGGATAGCGAAAATTGTTGAGTCGCTGGTGGTTGGAAAACGAAGCCTCTTTAAACTTGCCCAATTTTGCCGCTTCAACAGGGTCTAGGATCATTATTTCGTCATCACTATCATCTATAAAATTTGCTGGATCTGGGTCTTGGGGAATCACTGGTGGGTTCATAACATCAGAGGCGTGGTAGTAGCCATTCAGGGGGTCTGTGGTCTGTATTTGGTGGTCATTGTTGGTGACGTGGCTCTGAAACGGCTGAAGTAGTCTTTGAAAAAATCCTGGTTTTTTTTCGGTTTCGTTGTTTTCTGGCATTTCTTCGGTCAAGTCTATCACCACGTCGTCTGAGGCAGCCGGGGTATCATCATGAGTCTCCTGGGACGGGTCGTTCCATTGGTTTGTTGAAGATCCAGGTTTGAAAAGTGAATCTAGTCGTATTCGTTTTTCGGTATTCTCGCCATTTTGGCGCAAATCAGACGGTGTAATAGGTTGAGGAATGGGTATCGGGGTGCTATCTATGTCTGAATCGTCAGAACTAAGGTATATAACGTCTTGAACATCCAGGGACATGATCGCATACAAAAGAGAACACAAGTAAAGTTCGCGCGGTTTTCTTATCGTTGTCTTATATACTACAAATCACTCCTCGTCTTCCAAGTAGTCGCCATTTTCCTCCAAGATCTTGTCGAGACAGATCTCCAATTCGGTGATCAACCGGGGGTTATTCTCATCAAAAGCCAACCCTCGCTGGTAATCAGCACGAGCAGCCTCGTAGTTTCCCAAGAAAAAGTTGGCAACTCCTCTTCTCAAAAAGTTATCTGGGGTGTTCATTTGGATGCCCAAGAGCATGTCTGCGTCGTTGAACGCCTGTAAATATTGCTTGGTTTTGAGTTGGGCATCGGCACGGCTCATAAGAAACAAACTGAGTTCCTGAAGCGTGCCTTGGAACGACTCGAACTTTTGTCTTTTACATATCATGCCAATGCCAATATCAAACTGGCGGACCGATTCTTGGAATTTTCCCTGCTTGAACGCCTGGACACCTCCCTCGTACAATTTGCGGATCATTTTGCTCATATCTTTGTTGAAGTTTTCTTGAGTCGGTTGAGGTGGTACGTCGGCTCCACATCCTATAACTTCCGCAGTCAAGGTGTTGAGTTGATCCAAGTCTAGCTTTAGGTCTGGGAGCACTGCGGCTGCCTGGTCTGGCATGCTCAAGGTCTTGGACTTGGGGTCATACACCACAGGGACGTTCATTGTGAAGTGTCAAGTGAATGTGGAAAGTGTCGCACAACGCAGAGAGTCTCACGTGGACAGTGGGAGTAAAAGTGTTAGGCTGGTGCGAGTTGGTGTGGAAGGGCCAAGAGTGCGAAGTTGCGGGAAAAAGAGTGCGTGAAAGTGCTGGGGGGCGCGGGAGGATGCCCGAAATTGCGGGAGAGTGCGAAAATTCGTGTGATTTTGCGAGAGCTCAGTGCGACCCTCAGTGCACACTCGGTGCGAAGCTCACTGGGCTCAGCGCGACGTCGCTAAATTAGTGCTATGCTAATTTAGACTCGCGCGGCTGCAAAATGTTTGACTGGTTGCACAGTGTACAAACGCAATTGCAAATATTGGTACAAATCTACAGTGGTTTTCAGAGAAATGCAGGCAATAAGACCTTCACCGCCCGTTTCTCGGAGCTCCTCAGTGGTGGATTTGGACCAATTTGGCTACCTTTTCAATAGCAGAGGAAGTATCAATTTGTCTTCAAATTACCCTGAACCGCATATCACAGCGGCCGATTTGGTTCCACGAAAACCCAACCCGGGGCTCCAACTTCCTCCAATTGTCGCCGTTAAACCGAAAAGGAAAACTTTGGCAACAGTCAGGCTGTTTTTCAAAGCGAAACAGTCGCCGCGGTCCACTTTACGAAACTTGTTTCAGTCGAAACAAAAATCTTTTACTCCGGAAAATAGTGGGATTCTGTCAAGTCGTATAGCACAGCTTGATATGAGCATCGACTCTCCAAATCAAGTCGACGACATTAAACCAGTTTATTCTCACGATTCTATCGCAGACTCAGGTTCAATTTCTTCCCGAGAAGATGCCGTTTTTTCTCCAGGAACTCATCGTCCCGACGAGACCTTGGATAGAAGCATCAACGAGCAACTTTTTGGTGAAAACTCAAGTTTAAGAACCTCGGAGGAACCGTCGCCGATATCAGAAGAGTCGGTTCCACTGACAAGCTATTGGCAAAAAATTCGGCATCCAGTCCAAGCAGCATCTCCCACCGTACAATATCACAAAATTAAAGACAGAATAACGTCGCTTCATGTCCATTGGCTTTCCCCTTTGCCTAAACCTTCTCCCGATATCACCTCATAACCACCCCGTGGTTTTCGCAGCCAAGTGCGACTTTCAGTCCTGACTCATAAATTTTCACTGATAAGATCGCACCTACTTCCTAAATTATTGCCATGCCATTCGACATCAAAAGGACCCTCCGTCCCAATATCTTAAAGTTGGAACCCTACCGCTGTGCAAGAGACGACTACAAAGAAGGGATCTTGCTAGACGCAAATGAGAATACTTATGGTGTTTCTGTAGAACAATTGTCTGCTCACGAACACGGCTTGGAACTCAACCGGTACCCCGATCCCCACCAAATTGACTTGAAGAAACAGATTTTGGCATTCAGAAACAAAAATTTCAACAGGTTTGTGAAAAAGGAAACTCCTTTGCTCGAAGCAGACAATTTGTGCCTTGGAGTCGGTTCAGATGAGAGCATCGATTTGCTCTTACGTTGTGTTTGTACGCCTGGAAAAGACAAGCTTTTGATATGTCCTCCGACGTATGGAATGTACTCGGTCTGCGCAACCGTAAACGATGTGGAATTGGTGAAAGTGCCACTTACGGTTCCCGATTTCCAAACCGATAATGAAAAGATTGTCTCCACGATTGAGTCAGATTCTAACATAAAACTTGTCTACTTGACCTCTCCGGGAAACCCCACCGGAAAATTGATAGAACCAAAACGTATCATTGACCTTTTGGAGAAACTTGACAACTGGAACGGATTCTTGGTCGTAGACGAAGCCTACATTGATTTCACTCAATTGGACCCAGAAACCTCCACGAGCCAGTCCATGTCGACTCTCGTCAACCAGTACCCTAACTTGGTTGTAATGCAAACCCTTTCCAAGTCCTTTGGCCTTGCCGGTATTAGACTTGGAGTCACATACTGCTCCAAAGAATTGTCCTACTACTTAAACTCCATGAAGTATCCTTACAACATTTCGTCGCTAACTTCAGATATAGCTACCAGAGCCACGTCTGCTGCTGGCTTGAAGATTATGAAAGATACCGCTAAACTTATTATTAGCCAAAGAGAGTACTTGCTTGAACAGCTCCAAAAACTCCCCGGAATTGGCAGGAACCTCGGTGGCTTGGACTCCAATTTTCTTTTGCTAGAGGTTTTGGATAAATCTGGAGCTCCATCGAACGATGTTGCTAAAAAATTGTACCAAAGATTGGCCCAAACTCACCAGGTGGTGGTGCGGTTCAGAGGTACGGAATTGAATTGTACAGGTGCTCTTCGTGTTACCGTGGGTACTCCAGCTGAAAATGAAACTTTACTTAAAAAATTCAGCTCCTGTTTTGAAGAGATCTACAATCTATAGATTAGTTAGAATACAGTGTGGTTCGGTATATGTGTGGGTGTAATGGGTGTGGTGATTTTTTTCTTTGCGACTAAACCAATTTCTTCAACACTTTACTTCAACCATGACGAAGCAAAACTTTGTGGGGTTGGTGGTTTCCCAAGGGAAAATGCACAAGACCGTCAAGGTCCGAGTGCAGACGAAAACATACGACAAAAAAGTACATAAAGAAGTCTTTAAGAGGAAAGACTATTTGGTGCACGACGAAGGAAATTTATGTAAAGAAGGAGATATTGTTCGTATTGAGTCGATACCCAAGATTTCTTCGCGGAAGTACTTTGCAGTTGCCGAGATGAAGGTGAATAAGGGTCAACAATTTGCCATGTACGAGTCTTTGGCCAAGAAAAAGGTGGCCGAAGAAGAGAAGGAAAAGTTGCAAAATTTCCTTTTGAAAAACGAGCAATCACAAGCGATTATCAGCCAAGTCGAGGATCTCCGTAAACTCGATCAGATCCACCAACAGTTCCAGAGCAACCCTGAAGCCGACAAAGACCTTCTTGTCGAAGAAATCAACAAAATCAAAGCCAAGTACAACATCAAATCGTGGCCCTCCACGGAACCCATATTGTCTCTTGAACTCAACCAGGACGAGGCAGACATGACTGAGATTGAGAAAAGAGCGAAAAACATCAAGTCCATTTTGGAAAAGGTGATGGGCCCTGAACATACCGAATTCAGAGAGAGAGTATTAGCCGAGAAGGCCAAGGCTCCAATTGCCAATCTTAAACCATTCACTCAAAAAAACATCTTGCGCAAGTTCATATTAGATCCCCGCAACGAGTGCCCTGTGCCGTATTAGATAGAGTGTGACGATCTTCAATGTACATAGAAAATATTGGGCCCTCTCGTTCCAGCCTGTATACTCAAAATGTTCTAATCGCGAATTTCTTCTTTTCTGTAAACAGTCAACTACACTTAGCCGAGGCACAATTCTATGAGATTTCAAGAATAGCAGACTATGAGTGTAATATAAGGTCACTTACACCTCCCAGCTCCAATATTTGAAACTTTTATCCGTTCAAGTCTCTTATTTATTGCCATAAAATCACAGTATTTTAATGGCGGATTTCCGCAACCGACTACAAAGGGCCCGAACGTTATTGGCGCTGCCCGAAACGGCACTAATCGACGACTTGACCGAGGATAAACTCCTTAGGTTCCATGACAAACTCAATCCGCTTCTAGAGGGCGGATATCACGATAAATCGATTCGCTATAAATTGGATCAAGAGCCGGTTCCGCCGCTTCACATCCTGCTGGTCCTCACAGCACCCATTGGTGCTATCAGCAACCTCACAGTTCGTCCTGGCGAGCCCCACTTCTTATGGTGGTACTCGATCTCTACTTATTTCCCACTTTTGTCGGCTTGTGTTGGTCCTCTTTCCAACTGCATTTCAATCGTTGCCCTTATAGAACACTGGCGCCAGGATCGGACCAGCTTAAACCTCGTTCCAGACCCTCCCAGAGTGCTCGCATTGAACGCGTTGAGCTTGGGTTTGGGAATTATTGGCAATATGTCGCTTCTCATGAATTTTTCAGGTACCGTCAAGTATTTGGTTACCCAAGTCATTTCCATAATATGCTGGTTTCTGGCCAGTGTGATCCTCATGGCGGCCTTGTTGGTAGCTAACAAAAACTTTACCGGGAGCAATCCTCGCTACACTCGTACTGAAGGGTTTTGGTTTGCTGCTTTCACCTGTTTCTTCTACTTTGTATGTGCCACGTTGATGTCGATCAACTATGTGGGATATCGCCTAAAGATGTATCCTCCGGTATTCAACTTGGACAACAAGCAACGATTATTGATGTTCTATACTGTGTTTCTTTCGTTTTGGTTGGTCATTGGTGCCGTGGTGGTAGACAAGCTTCTTGATGTCACTAATTACGGCAGCTCTCTCTACTTTTGTGTTGTGTCCATTCTCACCGTGGGATTGGGTGATGTGCTTCCCATAACCGCTGGGTGCAAAGTGTTTGTATTGGCGTGGTCTTTCATTGGGCTCTTGACGTTGGGTCTCGTCATTGCCATGGTTCGACAAGTCACACTTCATTCGGCTGGCCCGACTATATTTTGGCACCATATTGAAATAGCCAGGCAAAATGCCCTCCAGGCTGCCAGGAGCAAAAACTTGGATCTTGCTCCAGAAGATGCTTTCATGGAAATGAGACTAATTAGAAAGAAAGCTCGGTCTCATCAGACTACCATGTCGCTTATCCTCGTTTTGCTTGTATTCTTTGTGTTCTGGCTCGTGGGTGCTTGCATTTTCCATTACATCGAAGGATGGTCTTACTTCAATTCGGTATACTTTTGTTTCTTGTGTTTCATCACCATCGGGTATGGTGATTTTGCGCCCAAACAACCATTGGGCAGGGTTTTCTTTGTTTCGTGGGGTATTTCGGCAGTGCCTTTGATGACAGTGCTTATCTCGAACCTGGGAGACAAGTTGTACGACTTTGGTGAGAAAATAAGCGACTATACATGGAAATGGTTTCGCATTGATTCTTATAGACATTTGAGAGAAAAGCACGACAAAGAAGTTGCTCCCATAGATGAAGACATGGACGGTGGTATTGTCCGACAACTTGAGGAAGAAGAGGTACTGGAGGAGGAAGATATGGATCTGATCGTTGAAACATTGAAATCACATTCTCGAAAAGATTACGATCCTGACACCCCCATTAATGCGGTGAAACTCAGCCATGATTTAAAGTCGCATGTTACGCAGCGAAAGAAAACGTTTCAGAAACTTCGGCTGTCGCTAGAATTGTTAAAGCCTATAATTGAAGATTCCGTTGGAGACCCCTCCAAGCGGTATTCTCACGATGAGTGGAAAAAAGTCTTAGATACGGTGGCCGCACCTCCGCCTAATACTGACGGTATGAGTGCCAAGGTGAAGCAGGAAGTCCAGGATAGAGCGAGATACTACTGGCTAAGCGAGCGGTCGCCGTTAAGACTTCCGATCATGGAGCCCAACTATATGATTTTAAAGTTGTTTTTTCGAGTCGAACATGACATCCAGTCTATGTTGGATGACGAAGGAGAAGTTCTACGTAACTTGAAGACGTGGATAGAAAGGGCTGAGAGAAAAGAATCCGATATGAACACTGACTAGATATTTACGATACCCACGAACAAAATTATTTTTCGCACCCAAATCAAATGTTATCGGCGCCGATATCGCGTAGTTAAACTATTGATAACCCCCAATTTTATTACCATTTGAGTTGAAAAAAAGCACGTTTGCTGCCCTTCCGTAACTTCCCTGCACCCCTTATAGACCATGAGCTCAGTGAATTGGTCTAGAGATGATCATCCTCTCTTCAAAATGGGAAACTTCACCGTCACGAGAGCACAGTTCAAATATATAACCTTCACTATTATTGGAGTTTCTTTATTGTGGCCATGGAACTGTTTTCTATCTGCTTCGGCATACTATGGAGAAAGGTTTGTGGGCTCTCCTAGCTTGGCAAAGACATATTCGTCGACCATGATGACGGTGTCCACCATCACCTCGCTCATATACAACTACTATCTTTCTCAAGCTCAAACTGGAGCAAATTACCATCGCCGTGTAAACCTTGGTCTTGGAATAACAGCGGCTATCTTCTGCCTTATGGCGTTTTCGTGTGTGTTGGAAATCTTCTTGGCAATGAACGATACTGTCTTTTTCTTCGGTCTCATGACGATGGTTCTTGTTTCTGCCGCGGCCACTTGCTTGGCCCAAAACGGTACCATGGCGTTGGTGAATGTTTTGGGAAGCATATATGCTAACGGGGTGATGGTGGGACAAGCAATTGCTGGAGTTCTACCCTCCGTTGCTCTCATTGCTTCTCTTTTGATTGTTGGAGAAACCAAGACAGAAGGAAAAAGGAACGTGGAAAGCAACTTTGGCTTGTTCTTGTACTACATTACGGCGAGCCTTGTGTCTTTGGTGGGCATGGGGCTCTTGTACATTGTCGCAAAAAAGGGAGACAACGAGTACCGAGCACTCGAAGACGCTAGAGACGAAAATGGAGACCATATTGGAGTGGGAATTGGAGATGGAGATGTTGGAGGCAGTGGGGAGTATGGCGAGGAACTAGATGTCGGTCAATCTCGCCATGTACCGTTTCATGTTCTTTGGTCAAAACTCAAGTACCTAGTTCTGACCATAGTGACGACTTTTGCAGTGACACTTGTGTTTCCTGTTTTTGCATCGAATGTCCAATCTGTCCATGAGGGTTCAGGATGGGTTTTCAAAAAAGCCATTTTTGTGCCGTTCATCTACTTTGTTTGGAATATGGGAGATGTGTTAGGAAGAATCCTCTGCGGCACACCTGGTTCTCGGCTATTAATTCGCAACCAAAAAGTTCTACTCCTATACTCGGTTCTACGCATAGTGTATGTGCCATTGTTCTTGACCTGCAATGTCCACCCTGAGAAAGGAGCATTGTTTGCCTCGGATATCTGGTACATTATGCTACAATTCACTTTTGGATTATCCAACGGCCAGTGCTGCACTTCTGCATTTATGGTAGTTGGAGATCACTGCGACGACGATGATGAAAAAGAAGCCGCCGGAGGGTTCACCACAGTTTTCCTCAGTTTTGGCTTGGCATTGGGCAGTGTCGCTAGCTACGTTGTAGCTATGATGTAACCGTTCTATTATTGGAACAGACCCAATTCGGCTACATGCACTCACCCTCACTATCTCGTAATTTTCGCGATAGGATAATTTCCTCTCTGACATGTCGTTCTGGGATAACAATAAAGAGACATTCAAGTCGGCAGGTAAAGCCACGGCGGTAGGGATTGGTAAAGGAAGCAAGCTTGTTGCCAAGTCAGGTTACAAGACCTACAAAAATTATGATGCCAAACGTAAAGGTCAAACTCCTAGTGAACCTGGAGCCGAAGAAAAGCTGGCCCCTATAGGTCAGCCAATCAATACTGTGGACGTTAAAAGTCTTCCATTGCCTCCAAAGCGTGTTGCTCCAGCGTACGAGGTGCCGGCTTTTGGAGAACCTTCGAAGTACGCAGGTGTTCAACAAACCTACCAGCAGGGACAGGGTCAGCCTCAGGGCCAGAATTACGCCCCTCGGGGCCATTTTCCGCACGGTCAAGTACAACAGCCAGGTCAATTTTCTCAGCAAGGTCAGCAAATACAACCTCAAACCTATGCTCCTCAATCACAACCCCAACAGACCCAGTTTCCTCCACAACCTCAATTCACCCCACCTCAAGCTCAGCTTCCTGAGGATCCTATGAACTCCCCGGTGGCACCTCCGGCGTACTCTGCTGGACAAGCTCCGCCTCCTCCGCCTCGACAAACAAGCTTTCAGGAACCGGCTCAGTCGCCCGGCCCAGTCGTGAATCAGCAGATCCCTCAAAGAATACAACCAGCTACACCAAATGCTGCCGCTAATTTAGGGTCTCAACCCCAACCTCTTACTGTGGAAACTCCTGCTGCCTCATATTCTCTGCTGCAAAACCCCTCATATTCTCTACAGCTACAGGGTCAGCCCTCTTCTCAGCCTTCCTATTCTCAGCCGTTAAGTCAGCCGGTGCAAGCCACGAATAGCCAGCGTCAGAACGGCCAAATTCAAGCGGCTCCTCCATATACCCAACCAGCTGTTGCGGCTAACTTTCTGGGCTCAAATTTGCATCAGCCAACTAACGTGGTGCCTGAAGAGCAGCCAGAGCAGAAACCGAAAAGACCGCTTCCAGATCCCACGCTGTTCGCTCCTCCGCCTGTTCGCAGAGATAGGCCAGTCACAGCTCTGGTTACCAGCAAACGGCCCTCGCATGCCCCATCGCAACCTCCCATTTCCCCCACATTTTCAGGAAGTTCAAATAAGAGCCTGAGTAATCCTCCTCCCCCTCCGGCCAGAACTCAGCCTTTGCCGGCGGTGTCTTTTCCTCCTCCTCCTCCGCCATCTTACCGTGCTGCATTATCACCCCAATCTTCCAGTCAACCTGCAATTGCTTCGAATTCTCCTTCATATTCACAGCATGTAGCAAAAGACGGGCCACAAGAAGCCAACCTTGGTTCTGAGGAAACAATCACGCAACCTGTCAAGCCGCCTAAGCCATCGAAAAAACCGGCACATTTAACCAATCAATCGACAGCAGATTCTGCCGTCAACCCAACGCAGACAGCAGTTGATCCAATGCAGGCAGGTATTATAGGGGAACTAGCAGCTCGCAATGACCGGCGACATGATGGGGCTGAAAACAAAGTCCCGACATCAGAAAACGTTACGCCAATCAAAACAGTGCCTGAAAAAAGAGCAAAGCCAGAAATCAAAGCGAAAACTGAAAAACCTCCAAGTAAACCTAAACCAGAAATCAAAGCAAAACCAGAGCTAAAACCAAAGCCAGCAATCGAACAAAGACCAGAAATCAAACCAGAACCAGCAACAGAACCAAAACTAGAAATCAGGGAAGACACTTCAGTGAACAATACAGCTTCAAAGATTCTGCATTCGTCTACTGTGTCAGAATTAGAGGCTCGTTTCAAAAAATTCGCCATTCCTGCTGTCAGTGACGACTCGGATTCCACTACTCGAAAGCCACCTGTGGTGAAGCCAAAGCCCACACTTCCACAAAAGCCGAATCTTTTGAAGACTCACACCGGTAATGTGACTCCACCGCCAGCACCACCATCACGGAATGGTTCTCGTGCATCAATGAGTCCTGCTTCATCAGTTGCATCGACACCCCCTCCTCCTCCACCGCCAAGAACCTACAAACGGGAAAAAGCTGCAATTCCTTTTCCTCAGCGGTCTGTCTCAGAACCGCCAAAGTTGGACCTTGAGCTTTCGAGCGGTTGGTTTATGAATACTACTGGACCACTTGAGCTCCCTAAGGCATTGACCGGCCTCAACTATACCACCTCCTATTCCTATAGCCTGTTTGGTGGTAGTTCACAGCTGACTCGAACCGTTAGTATCAGGCTCCCTGACTTGGCTATTGTTCTGTACGATATCAAGTGGAACGACAAAGATAGCTCCTCAGCACATGTTGAAATATCACGATTCTTATCCTCTCCACTTCAAGCACCAATCTCAACCAACGAACTCATCCAGGCAAATCAACAGTTTGGCGAGCACATCGCTGCTTGGACGGAGCATAATATGGGAAACAAAGTGGCTACAGGAGAATGCTGGGATGTGGCACAAAAGGCCCTTCAGAAAGGGTGTGGAAATCATGCGTTTGTTTCCACATACTACCACCATGGTTTCCCCATATTAACAGCCACTGGATCACCATCGGGACCATCTTATTCAGCTTCACCACTTGATGAAATAAGAAGAGGAGATATTCTTCAATTCAAATCGTGTACTTTTACAAGCTCAGCAGGAACTCAAATTGTAGGGGACCCCGATCACACGTCTGTGGTGCTAGAAGTTGCCTCGGGAGTAATTCATGTTGGTGAGCAGAATGTCAATGGAAAACGGTACGTAGTCAGAGGAAAGTACGTGGTTGAAAACTTGAAAAAGGGCACTTTGACCGTTTATCGCTCCATGCCACGGGCATGGGGTGGAGATTTGTAAGATAGACCATATCTACCATATATATCTTTTGTATATCTCAGCAATTGTATTCTGGCTCGGTTTCTTTCAACTAGTAACTTCAGTTTTGTTATCTCTGCTTCTTCATCTTCCTCCCCACATTCACCGTGTGCAGGCAATCTCATCGGCATCGCTTCGAGTTCGCGATGCCTCGATTTTACTAATTGACATATGGACGCTGCACCAGCGCTTTCTACGCATCAGGATGAGGCCACGTTCCAGTTTGATAAGGTCTCAACCAAGAAAAAGCTAAGGAACCACTTGGAAGTTGGTGATAATGTAGAATACAGCGAATTAGTAGCTGCCATTCGAGATTACTACAGTCTAGATCAAGTAGAAGAATACCTTCTGGCTACTAACCACCAAAATTATCTCTTCAAACATATAACTTTGCAGTTCCCTGATGAGCTTTTAATGGACGCCGCTACGGTGGTGCATGAATTACAGCGAAATTTGTCACAAATACAAGTTATGAACACAATTGCAAAAAACGATGAACCCATGGAAAATTGTCAAGAAAAGAGTTGTGGATGCCGTGGCAATCTGGTTGATACTACTAATGGCCAGAGGCTCTGGATACTAGCCGACACGTCGTACTCGCCTTGTTGCATTGACGAAGTGGCTGCTGAACATGCGAACAGCGATTTGGTGGTTCATTTTGGTGATGCCTGTCTCAACCCTGTGGACAAAGTGAGAGCTGCATACGTTCTAGGGAAGCCCAAGTTTGACGCTGGATCATTTCGAGAAAAATTCAAGGAGAAATTTATCGACTCCAATGCCAAAGTTGTAGTTATGGCTGATGCCCCATTTACTCGATATCTCAGACAATTTTATGACGACTTCAAATCGTTGTATCCGAATCTAGTGATTGCTGAGCTCTACCAGGAAGCAGGATCGTTACATGATATTATCGATTACAAGCCAATGAAATCTTCTGGATTGCAAACTTTAAACAGAACTTTTGAAGGTGGGTTGAACCTGCTTGAAGACTTAAAAGACTACAGTCTACTCCACATAACAAGACCACACGACCCCAGACTACTTCAGCTTACCACCAGATTCTCCCTGGTGTCCATATATGACCCCTTCACGAAAGAAATCGTTGATGGTCCCTACCCCAATTTAATGAGAAGATATCGCTACATGCATATGGCCAGATCTGCCGGAACCATTGGTATTCTTGTTAATACCCTTTCGTTGAGCAACACCAAGACGCTCTTGAATGCCATTCTGTCCAAAATACGAGAAGCTGGCAAAAAGTACTACATGTTTGTGGTTGGAAAGCCCAATGTGGCCAAGCTTGCCAACTTTGAGAACGTTGAACTTTGGTGTGTTCTTGGCTGTGACCACCAGGGAATCATTATAGACCAACTGAACGAGTACTTCAAACCGATAATAACTCCGTACGAGTTGATTTTGGCATTAAATGACGAGGTGGAATGGACAGGACAATGGGTAACCGAGTTCAATACCGTTCTTGATCAACTTCAAAACGACGAAACCCTACAAGAGAACAAAGATGGGGACGAAAGTGACGAAGAACCTGTTTTCGATCCCGTTACCGGAACTTTTGTAAGCACTTCGAAACCTCTCAGAAGAATTGAGCATTTGAGAGTTACCATGAATGGTGAGAAAAACGAGCCACTGAATAATAGTTTAGTGGAGCGGTTTTCCAACACCGTTGCTATCAAGGGCACGGTATCGACGTCTGCCATGCACTTGCAAAACCGCGAGTGGACGGGTCTTGGCAGTGATTTCGTAGACGACGAAGAAGGTGCCATTGTTGAAGAAGGTAGAGGAGGAATTGCCCGAGGCTACGACTACGATCGAGAAGTACATAAATAGCATGTTGAATTAAAGATTCTTCTTCTGCAATTTCTCCACCTCAGATTTCAAAAACTTGGTCATTTCTTCTTGTTTGTAGTACCCAAAGCCATCAAACAACTTTGTGAATTCGATGCTGGTTTCGGATGTCATTGCCTCCCCATCAATTTTAGAAACTTCTATACGTACAAAGTAAGTCGGGGTGTGCTTGCGGGTCCACGTAGCAATTGATATCTTTTCCCCGTTGTCAGAATATCCCACAAACTTGTTGTTCTTGTACTTTGGATGGTATGTCAAGTAGTAGTAGAACAAGCTTAAAAGCCCATATATGCAAACAGATATCACTGTTACATTGAATGTGCGCTCAAATCCGTATTTCTTGTCGACATAGAACAAGAGTCCAGCAATCATTACAGATACAAGTCCCGTGGCTAGCTTTGTATCGGTGAGAAGAAACGACTGGGAGTAGCCCATTTCGCTCATTGACAAGACAAGATTCTCATCGCAAGAAGTTCGTAATTGGTCAACGGAGCTGCGTTAGTATGGCTTTGAACATAAATAGGTGGCATTGCGTACTTTAGGTTGGTTTTTTTAATGGCTGACATTGTTAGTCTAGTTGCAACGTTTGAGAATTTTGGGTGCGACTTTTGAGCCGCGCCGGTATACTGTATGTATCTATGAACTGGTGAAAATCACCGTGGTATATTGAGCAGCAGTTACCATGAGACGTAAGAGCTCTTCATGGAATTCTGACACGTACTGAAGATTGTTCTTCTGTTTGTTTTCAAAATGGAGGTACATCATGAGTTTTCATTTTCACCATCGTGAGAGTCCTTTGAACGTGGAAGTTTCCTTAATTCTTTACCATCACTCCTCATCTATGACCCTTCACCACGCATTCGAAGACAAAAGTATTCTTTTCTTCTTTTTCTTCTTCCCGTTTTCTTTGTTCATATCCTCTCGTGCCCGTCGTATCATTTCACTGGCTTCCCAACTCTCGTGCTCCTCCATTGCTGCCTCCAACTCAGACTTGCGGATCTTGGTGCCCCAAGGCGTCGACCGGTACTCGCTATCTGACTCTTCAGAATCGCCCATTGATTCAGATGTAAGAACTGGCAAGTCCGTATAAGCCACATCAAGCGCCTTGAATTGACTCACCATTTCGTCGCTGTTGGTGCCATTCTCCCTTTCGTAAAACGCTCGCGTACGTAGTTCTTCTTCATTTAATGCCCTGATTCGATCTTGTTCCTCTTTGCGAAGCTTGCGTGCTGTCGATTGTGATCTCTTCGTTAAGTCGTTTTTGAACATTGTCCATGCTTCGCTGTTGACATAGGGGCTGCCGCGCCAGTTACATTCCATGAACCCAATGGTGGTACCTATAGGAAGATGTGAAAGATATTTGAACTTGGTCAAAGCTGTTTCCGGAGAAAGTTCGTCGTATCGAATGGTCTCGATCGGAGCCACTATGGAAGTGGGCATGGCAGAGTAGTTTCCGTAAGAGGTCCTTAGCACCTTCATATCAAGTGGAGAAAGGACATAGATTGTGTTGGAATGAAACCCTGTCTGGTAATATCTGAATGGTTCTGGATCAACCTCGATAGTTTTCTTTTCGGGCACCACAGGTGCCTTATCTTTTCTGAAAGTTTTCCATGCCTCTAGCTGGGCGTCTATATCATCTAATGCTCTTTGTGTGAATATGTCCTCACCGTAAGCGGTTCTTTCCTCTTCTTGAAGAGCCGTAATCTGTGCCCTCTCGGCAGCGAACATCTCTTCAAGGTACTCAGATCCACCACGGAAAACTCTCAGATACGAGTCGAACTCATGATCCGAGTTGATCCACGGAAAAGGCTCCACCAACGGGCGTAGTTCTTCCATTGACACCGGTAAAGCCACCAAGCTTGCGTGAGGTCGGTACATTAGTGTGAGCACTGTTTCCTGGTTAACTTGGGGGATTTCGAACCGTTCGTCCACACTGGAGATCCGCACCGGCTTGACTTCTTTCTTGCGTATTATCGATGAGCACAAAGGGCATTCTCGATACTTTTCAACCACAGCTGCACCTTGTCGCTTTTGGGCTTGCGGAAGCTCACTCTCCAAGAGGCGAAGAAGGCATCGAAGACACAAAATATGACCACAAGCCGTCAACATACGGGGTGCTACAAGTTCGTCCGTTAGGCAAATGGGACACTGGTTGCCCCGGTGAGCAATTATCTGGAAGATATCTTCGAGTGCAAATGGAATATTGGGGTCTATCTGCTGCGATGCGTAGTTTCCATTACAATCGACCACGAATTTGTAATTTACGTTAACAAAAGCCATTCCTCGAAGAGACTGGTGCAGTCTACTGGGCCGTCTCTCTTTCTTAGTGTGCTTACGAGATCTGTTCATATGATACTCTTCCAGGTCCCGGTACGACAGAAAATCGAGAAGATGGTTGATAGAAATCTGGTTTTTCTTTGACGAGCCGTTTACACGCTTTCCGTTACGTAACTGTTGTTCCAAATCCGATATGTTATCATTAAAAATATCTCTTTTTGGCGGCTTTGCTGCCGTGGTTTTGTTGGATTTGGGGCCCTTTTTTTTGCGGTTTCGAGAATCTAAAGCAGACGCCTTGGATCCAGCACCTCCTGCGTCTGTCAAATTCCCGTTTTCAAGCCCCCTATTGAGTTCTGTGGTATTGCCACTCATGGTGGATGGTACATCAAATCGGTTGCACGCGAGAAACTCGTGGGGGCCCGCAGCCAGTGTGGGTGCACCGGTGCGCATAATCCTAGGTTCCCGAGGGCGCTTTCTGTGAGGTAACTATCACAGCCCCAACTTTCCTATGACGTACCAGCATCTTCCAGGTATGCCGGTGGATCCTCCAGGCTACATAGATGACCATGGAGGATCGGCAAATACACAGGAGGTTTCGGCGTCGATTTTCGAGCAGTTTGAAATAGAAGACGAAGCGGTGGAGCGTGACAGTTTTATGGTACGAGCGTCTTTAATGACAAAGAAATTTGTTTATGGCTTCAGTTCTCGTGTGGTTCATCCTGTATCACGGCTCATTGACCCGATGTACGAACTTTATAAGTTTTTGTATTCGAAATACGAGGTTTCCGTTCAAAAAATAGGTAACCCTTTGGTGGTCAATCGGCTATTATATGTGTTTTCCATCATGATAATTATGTTTTTCGTGTCACGATATAGTTCTCGTGACGGTGTGAATGGCTCTAGTGGCGGGGCTTTTTCTCAAAATGAACTTTTCGACAGAGTTATGCTTGGCGACTCCATCAAGTCCAAAATCAATACCGCTTCAATGAAGGAAAATTTGGAGTATCTCTCGTCAATGCCCCACATTGCCGGCACCCGGGGTGATCTCGCGTTGGCCCGCTACGTTGAGTCGCTTATGAACAGCAACGGCTTGCGCCATGTTCTGCTTGAAGAACTTCAGGCTTCCATTAACTATCCTCAACATGACCCCAAGAAGACCTACGTGAGCCTTGGAGATGGTTCGTGGTCCGCTACTCTTAACGAACTTCACAATAACGATATGCATTATCTCGCCTATAACCCCAATAGTTTGGCAACTAACGACCCTCAAGAAGGCACTTACTATTATGCAAACTACGGTACTCCAAGTGACTTTGAAAAGCTTCAAGCTAACGACATACAGATCAAGGACTCCATCTTGCTCATACGCTACGGCGGAGACTTTCCAGAAGCCAACAAGGTCCAGTTGGCACACGAGCACGGCGTGAGGGCCGTCGTATTTATCACTCCTCAATTCGAGCTCGGAAAAAAGGGAAATGCAGAAAAAGTTGACGATGTGATTCAGCGACAAGGTGTTGGACGCGCTCGTGTCAGTCCTGGAGATGTTCTTACTCCGGGGTGGTCGTCTCAAGATGGGTTTGTCACCCGCTTACCGTGGTTCAAATCAGAAACCACTCCCAAAATACCCACTATTCCCATCTCGTATCTGGATGGAGAGAAACTACTTGCACGGTTGGAGAAAAGCGGTGCTTCCTTTGGCGATTATCATTCTGGGGTTCAATCTACAGCTTCAGATCGTCTGCTTCGTGTTCTGGTCGGTGACAATGAGTGGATGATTCACCAGATTTGGAACGTTGTAGGTTCCATTGAAGGTCGCGAACAGAGTCAGCAAGCGATCATCATTGGAGCGGGCCGTGACGCTGGCTGTTTTGGAACGATGGGTGCTAATACTGGCACTGTAGTATTGATTGAAATGATGAAGGTTTTCACTGCTTTGCAAAGACAGTGGTCGTGGTCGCCTCTGCGGCTGATACACTTTGTGCTGTTTGATGCTACAAACTACAATTTAGCAGGCTCCACAGAATGGGTGGAAAGCACCAAGGAACTGTTGATGAAGCAAGGGTACACCTATATTGATCTTAGTGATGCCATAGCTGGGAATGATTTGCAGGTACAATCGCACCCATTTTTGTCAGACGTTATCAATCAAGCATTGAGTAAAGTGAAGCAACTGGATAAAAAGTCCTTGCTAGAGGTTTACAGGAGCAAACATGGCGATAAGTTTCCATATGAGATGTTAAGGTTGCGCAATTACTTGCCGTTCATCAACTTTGTCAACATGCCAGCGATTGAAATTCGGTTTACAGGTTACAAATACCCCGAGAATTCATGCTACGACAGCTTTGAAAGGTTTGAGTCGGCAGAGATAGACCCTAAGATGGAGAAACATGCACAGTTGGTGGAAGTTCTTTCACTCGTGGCGCTTGAACTTGCAGAGTCTCCTATCATACCATTCAATTTCCTCAATCTTGTGGCTCGAGTAGAGGATTACAAGAAAGATATGGAAAGGTACATTAACGAGATGATAGAGGCAGGAAGTAAAAAGGCGAGACCAACGATCCATTACGAAGGACTTGCAAATTCCATTAATATATTGGAATCCGCCGCACGAGCTATCCACAAGTGGTACGAGGCTTGGGCTAACTACTTGCAAGAAAGTGCTGATATGGAGCCAAGTATGCTTGCCTTGAATCGATGGAAGTGGAATGAAAATCTCATCAGATTTAACGAGTATTTCATTCAGCGTCAAACCAAACCAAAGCGAGCAGGTTACCGCAACGTTCTATTTGGTGTGTCTTATGCAGCACCAGTGGAAGCACAGAAAGATCATAGTTGGAATTCGTTTCCTCAAGTACGGGACAACGCTTATTCACAGCAATATGGAGAGGTCCAGAAAGAGATCGATAACTTGGCAAATGCAATAGCATATGCAGCAGAACAGGTTACGAGAATTCAATAGAGTAATGAATGTATTATAGACTAAGTAGGAAGATATGCCGAAAGAGAGATGTAGAAAACTGCTAGTCAAGAACAAGATTAGTATTCAATGGTGAAGGCTAGTCCGACATTGAAGAGCAGTCTGGTCGAAGAACGAATCAGAAATCCTCTCGGTGGCCAAGCTGGCTAAGGCGCGAGACTGTAACTTCTAGTAATCTTGAGATCGGGTGTTCGACTCACCCCCGGGAGATTTCTTTTTTTTGCAAAATTACTAAAGCACACAACGACTAACCGTTATTAAGGTGATGTTAATTTTTGCATTAGATTGAAGATTAAGAAAGAAACATTACGTACAAAGAATATTTTGAGTGCACTAATCTTTTTTTATCTTTTTCTCCTCTAACTTCATTTTGCGAAATTTCAGAATCTTACATTTGCAGTCTATTTACATGCAGCCAACAAATCTTCCAAGTAGTAATCTCGGGACCTTCCGTGCCCATCCAAGTCTCTAACTGCCACTGTCAAGTTCTCTAAATACTCGATGTTAGGACCCGAAGGACCTCGGCTACTTTTGATAATCGATGCAGTATCGGCAATCAGCTCGGGACCCACAAAAGATTCGTTGTCAATGGTGCCAATATAAATAAATGAAGTGATGACATGGTAGCCGTTCGTCTGGGGAACTTCTGAGAGCACTTCTTTCGCCTCGTCCGTATCAGGACTGCTTACTATATGAAATGGAATATTGTGCAAAGTATACCCATCCTGTTCCCGAACATCTAAATACTCCCTTACCTCTGCCACATGCTCAGAAGGAATGTAGTATGCACATCCCCACAACTTCAAGTCTTCATCGGTCAATTGACTCACTTTGTGAGCCACATCTACAATGTTAGAGGCATCTACTGGCACTTCTGGAGTGGCCGATTTCGACTGTATATCCGTCTCCTCTCTCACACGCTCTCCACTACGAAGCTCGTACATATGGAGATCGTCATGGAACCGAGGATCTTGCAAATCGGCTCTTTGAACAAGAGTAACTACACGGCCCGGAGCTTCTGGAGTTCCCCTGTGATCCGAAGAACTCTGCCAAAACCTCCTGATATATCCCTTGAGGTACCCGGTGACTCTAAATGCATAATGGGGCGGCGGCTTGAATATAAGCAGCCCATAGCCAATAACCCACATACCAGTCATAGTTGCAACTGCCGCACTATCGTTTCTCAATTGTGCATCTTTGACAGGCTTGCATCTCGCGTTCCTGCACCCAGCCCACCCGAGTTCCTTCCTGCGGCTTTGCGGATGCCAAGCAACTTCTTGGCATTATCTACAAAGATTCTATACAAACCGTTTGATGGCATGGGCACAGCTAGAGGTATGTAAATAACCAGAGGGAGCTTAGAAGTACTTGGAGAGAGCAGGGAAACTTGGATACAAAAAGTAGAATTTTGAGCTACTATCAACAACACAAACAAGAGTTGTCAAGTATGGACTGATAGACATTTTGTTGCTACAGCCTCCAGATTTTCTATCGTGCTCCAGATTTCTTATCTTGTTCTCACTTTCGTCAGTTACAAGACATTCTTTTCAATACTAACCCAGATAGATCAGGCCCACATCGCCTATGCGTGTGTGGGGATCTTCAGTACGTTCTTCTCGCTCTTGTCGCTTTTTGTCAAGGAGCGTCTCTACATCGGTGAGGCGACGGTTGCCGCCATTGCTGGGTTGATTTTGGGACCTCATTGTCTCGGATGGTTTGACCCAGTGACTTGGGGTAATACCGATAAGATTACACTTGAAATTAGTAGAATTGTCTTGTGTGTTCAAATCGTGGCCGTGGCCGTGGAATTGCCACGGAAGTATATGAAGAAACACTGGGTATCTGTGGCTATTTTCTTGCTTCCCGTAATGACGTTCGGATGGCTTGTGGTGGGGCTTTTTGTATGGGCTTTGATTCCCCATCTCAACTTTCCTTCCGCACTTTTGGTGAGTGCTTGTGTGACCGCCACCGACCCGGTGTTGGCTGCTGCCGTCGTGGGTAAGGGTAAGTTTGCCGAGCGTGTCCCTGGCCACTTGCGTAACTTGTTGACTGCCGAATCTGGCTGCAATGATGGTATGGCTTTTCCTTTTATATTTTTGTCTCTCAACTTGACGTTGTATCCGGGACAAGCAGGACGTATCGTCAAGGATTGGATCACCCTCACCATTCTCTACGAGTGTTTTTTTGGGGTCATTCTCGGTGTCACTATCGGCTTCACTTTGAAAAGAGCGGTAGCATTTGCAGAGAAAAAAAGCTTAATTGATAGAGAATCCTTTTTGGCTTTTTTCATCTTTATCGCATTCAACTCGGCCGGCCTTGGCTCGATGTTGGGGGTCGATGATTTGCTTGTGTCGTTTGCGGCCGGTACTGCCTTTGGCTGGAATGGTGAGTTTGCTAAAAAAACTGAAGAGTCTCATGTCTCCACCGTCATCGATTTGATTATCAACTTGGCATTTTTTGTCTATTTTGGTGCCATTATCCCATGGCCGCAGTTCAACAACGCCGACATAGGACTCAACGCATGGAGACTAGTGGTTTTGGCTATTGTCATCATTTTCTTAAGACGAGTGCCAGCAGTCTTGGCTCTCAAACCTTTCACTCCAGACGTGAAAACATGGAGAGAAGCCTTGTTCTGTGGCCATTTTGGTCCTATTGGAGTCGGGGCTATTTTTGCAGCTATTCTTGCTCGCGGTGATGTTGAAGCCCATTACACTCACGAGGAAACCCCAATAGATTTAAGTGACTTGTCTCCCACACATCCGCACTATCAGTTGCTCGAGATCATTTGGCCAGTAGTTTGCTTTGTGGTGATCGTTTCTATTATTGTTCATGGTTCATCGGTTGCCGTTTTGACATTAGGAAAGCGGTTGAACCGAATGGCAATCACCATGACTTTCACTGCTACTAGCACCAAGGACCAGGGCCCATCCTGGATGAACCGTTTACAGAAGTTGGACAAGGCTTCAACTTCGTTTTCTCTTCATAGAATCGACACTGCCGTTCCAGGCGATGAAGAAATGGAGCGTTCAAACACCATTGAAACTAGCGGAGTCAAGGTGAGACCCGCTGGAGGTGCTAAGCGGAAGAGGCACAAGAAAAAGCGTAGAGGAGCTGCATCGAATCTCAAGAAGACCTTGTCAATGGCTAACTCTGAGAGCGACGCTGCATCTATGAACCAGAGACAGAGACCTCACACTGAATTTCTTCAGCTTGGAAGAAGTACATCAAACGCTCCTCCCGACGAATCGATACCTGTTCTGGAGGAGTCTCTAAATTCACCTGAAACGGAATCTCCGCAAACTGGAATCGATGAAAAAGACAATGATTCAGTTCCTTCTTTGGAAGTTGAGAACACTGGCGAAAAGATTGCGATAGCCGTTCCACATGGTTCACAGCAAGACGCCGAAGCAGACAAGGTGGATCATCGTACTACCGAACGCAAGCAGAGCGTTGCTACTGTTGCATATCAGGAAGGTAACAAGATTGTTATCGAGGATGAGAATGGTGAAGTGGTTGAGACTTTACCAATGAAGGGCAATAAAGCCATCGCCAAAGCAGCTCGTGGAGAAGATAACATGTCTATTCATTCAGCTGAGTCACTTCGTCGTCAAATGACCCAATATTCCACTGCATCGAATAGTTCTAACCAATCTCGAACACAGACTCTTGAGGAGAGATTGAGCAAGGTTCCAAGCAGAAGAAGAGCTTTTTACAAAAAGGGCGATCCTGGTCAGCGAAAGGTGTATGCTCATCAAGTTGACAACTTGATCATTATAGAGAACGAAGATGGTGATATCGTTCGCCGATACAGAGTCAACAAGCATTCTACCAACAGGGAAAGGTCGGGGTCGCTTATGAACAGAGCATTATCCAAGGTGGGTATCAGGTCTAGACAGGGATCAACTAGTGCACCCGAACCTGTGTTGACGCAGGTTCATGATTCGACCAAGCCAAACTCTCCACTCAGAGATTCCAAGCTCGAGACAAAGATAGAGAACCAATTGGTGGATATTTTCACTAAAAAGAAGGGACCAGGACAACCAAAGGGGCAAGCTGCGATCCAAAGAAAACGGCTGCCACCACCTGCAGTGGCCGAAGCTACGGACGAGGATGAAGACCAAGAAGATTACGACCATGACTCAGAGGATGATGATGCTTCAGTAGACTCAGAAGAGGACGAGATTCTTCAGGAGTCCAACGTTGAAAGACAGCGGAGACTAGCAGCATTAGGACGCATTCCCGACAAGAGAGACAGAGACGACGAGGAGGAATAAAGACTGAGATTTGCATTTTGTAGCATATTAATCATGATGTAGTTACTTTTAGTGGCATAAATCAATGAGCTGCCTTTGGAGCGGTAGGAAGGGTCTTTAAACTCTCTCTGATCGACTCCACACCCTTCAACAAGTCCTCTTCGGAAATCACCAATGGAGGAGCCAATCTGATGATGTGATCATGGGTAGGTTTAGCCAACACGCCGTGGTCTTTCATCAACAAGCAAAGATCCCATGCCGATCTGCCGTTGGTTTTCGAGTCATCGATGACAATCGCAGACAACAAACCCTTTCCTCTCACTTCTGAAATCATGCCATTGGATTGTTCCTTCAACTCTTCCAACTTGGAGCGCAATAAGCTGCCAAGTTTGTTGGCTCTTTCCACCAAATTTTCATCCTGAACCACCTGTAAAGCAGCAATGGCTACACGACAGGCGAGCGGGTTTCCTCCATAAGTCGAGCCGTGCGAGCCTGGTTCCAAGCACAACATGATATCCTTAGAGGAGAGCACGGCGGAAACTGGAAATACACCACCAGAAATGGCTTTACCTAACAAAACCACATCCGGTCTAACATTAGGGTAGTGTTCGTAGCACAACAATTTTCCGGTTCTGGCAATGCCGGTCTGGATTTCATCACAGATGAGAAGAACGTTGTGTTCCTTGCACAATGCCTGGACCTTGGTGAAGTAATCAGGAGGAGGAACCACGATACCAGCCTCACCTTGAATGGGTTCCAAGAGAATGGCTGCAATTTTGTCGCCGGCATTTTTGAATGCCTTTTCTACATCTGCAATGACACCATAGCGGATAAATGTTCCTTTGGGCTCTCCAGGAATCTGAGGTCCCACTCCAGCCAAATATGGGCCGAAATTGGTGGTGGCATCCGGGTCGGTGGACATGGAAATGACTCCCAAACTTCTGCCATGAAAGTTATTTGATGCAGATAAAATGATAGCCTCGCCCTCAGGAATGCCCTTCTTGACATATCCCCATCTTCTCGCCAATTTAAGACCGGTTTCCACAGCTTCAACACCGGTGTTCATTGGAAGCACCATCTCGTACTTGAAGTACTCGGTAATGTATTTGGCAAAAACACCAAAAACATCCGACGAAAATGCCCGCGAGCACAATGTCAACTTGGAAGCCTGGTCCACCAACGCCTCCACGATTTTGGGGTGACAATGGCCTTGGTTTACGGCCGAATAAGCAGACAAAAAATCGAGGTATTCTTTGCCTTCTGGATCCCATACATGGGCACCCTTAGCCTTTGTGAATACTACAGGCAATGGGTGGTAGTTGTGGGCGGAGTATTCTTGCTCGTACTGAACGGCAGTGGCCGAAGAAACGGAAAAATTCATGGTTGCAGAAACGTGGATATGACCCCAGATTATATATATCTTGTCGGCGACAGTTGCCGCACAGACGCGGAGACGATTCGGACTCTATAGGCAGGAGAAGCCGATGGGGGAAGGAGAACGCGACAGAGGGTGCCGTTAGAGGAATACGTTTTCGGACCAAAAAAGTCACTCACACGAAAACGCACAAAGACTGAAAGAACTATGACCAAGGGAATACCTCCAGTACCTCAAATAAATCTCGCAAACCAGTTTTTGTCGAGATACTTATATCTTTCCCAGACTTCTGGCTAATGGCTCACACCCATACACCAACCTCATTTCAATCAATTGATTCAATTTCGCACCAGCTCCTCATGGAAACGAAACGGAGAACCAGAGAGCAACCACCGGTGCGTGATGCCACGTCGGAAGAGCTCGCAATGCTAGGAATGCGTATCAGAAAAGCGGTTTCTGAAGGATATCGTACTGGAAATGAATATACTGGTCACAACTATGGTCTAGATGGCCACCTCCAATCATACGAAAGAGTACCTTTGCCCTCCCATATTAGCCAGCCGCCCTCCTTGATGGATGCAGGTTCCACTGTAGACTCCAGTTCCAGTTTGTCTGAGTGGGGGACCAAATTTGAGGCGCTCCAACCAAAGTTGCAGGTGATTGGCGAAGTCGAAAATCGTAAACGAAAGCCTGAGGAGGCGCCAGATTTGGGAACTTATCAGCAACGGTACGGCGAGTTGGCATTCAACGAGGATTTTTAGCTTTTTACTTCTTGCTATTTAGATAATGGCCCTTATTATATTTTGCTTCACGGCTGTAGTCCAGTCCAGTCCTGCAGACAAGCCTCACTTCAAATCACTTCTGTTGCGAAGGGGGAGTTTTATCAACATTTTCATTATCTACTTGTACCATCCACACCTCCTTTGCACCCTTTTTTGCTCCATAAGCCGAAAGTAGCGGCTATCACAAGCGCTCAGTTTGCTAATACCAGCTTTTTCTTGGGCTCACTAATATAATTTACATCCGTTTTTACATTCATTTCAATCGTGATTTTCATCATTGCCATCATTAACCCCCAATGCAGCCAAAGAACTTGCTCAAATTATCACACAATCTTTCGGCCAGAGAGAGGGGTCTTCAGGTGACACGTTTGTTCACGTCGTTTACTGTTATTGTGTTGATTATTGCTGCCCTTGTTGGCTCATTGTTGTCTCATAAAATCTACATTTCCCGAATAAATTGTGCCCATTTGGACGTTTCTTATGGGCTCTACAAGTCGTTAAGGACACTTGTGTCGTTATCACCCTCGATTTTAGAGCAGGAAAGCAGCGCTGGTGTGTATCCTATGGATTCGTCACTCACCAATTCAGAAATTACAGTACTTACAAATTATGCCGAAGAGCAAGTGGCGAATGCTCCTCAATATACCTTCACATCCATGTGGAGATGGTGCTATGGCAACTATAATATAACCAAAGTCCATGAAAAGGATGGAAAGATGAAATTTAACAAGCATAATGATGTGATATCGTGCTCGAGCGACGCCAAAGAATATGTGTTTGACTACCGTCAAGAATTGGCTGATATTGGTCTTCAAAGTATTTTGGCGTATGCATACCAATCCAGCAGTTTTGATGACAATTCGTACCAGAAAGCTACTGCGAAAAGGGAATCCAAATACAAAAAAGTCCCTGGTGCACTTTTCTTTGCAGCAGCATCTCAAGCTGTGCTACTCATACTCACCTACTTTGTCTATCTCGATCGCGGTGACAATCCCAAAGTCAAAGAACAGCAAATGTTCATGATGAATTTCCTCGCGCTCTTGTCGATGGCTAGCTTCCTCGCAATGGCTATTGGAGTTGGGTTGTTAACACAAATTTTGGTCGAGGTGAAGCTGGAAGTTCTGAAGTCTCTCAACGATTTTGGGGTAACGTTCCATTTAGGTAAAGCATGGTTCTCATTATTGTGGGCTTCCTGTATTTTTGCCCTCTTATCCATGGCATCGTGGACTCTTCCCTTGTGGTGTGCAAACCCACCTGAAGACATTGATGACGATTTTGAAGCGGGGATTCCTCGACACCACAGAAGAACCACTCATAATGCAAATGAAAATCGGGGCCATTTGCGCAGTGTTTCTAATCCACTTTTGAATGAGGCATATGTGACTGACGATATCAATGACGAACGTAAAGAATCACCAGATATGGAGACGGCCACGAGGCTTGTTGAACGACAACCCACATTCACCACTGAGGAAGAGCTCCGCAAATTAGGTGAGTCACTTTCCAGAAGTGTGTCTGTTAGACATCTAAACCGCAAGACGAGCAACAAGAAAACTCAACCAACTTTCACGACCGTAACCGAGGATCCATTTGATTCGGCTTCGCTAATAGAAAATGACGATCAGAGTTCGCATCATTATAGAGAAGAGACCTATGACGGTTACCAGAACAGACAAAGATACCCTGAGTTTTCTCATTCAAAGCATGATCGAAATGTTCTGGCAACCCTGAACAGTGCCATGCTATTGAATAATGAGAATGACGCAAGCTCATTTCTCAACGAAGACGAAATTCACTTTTTGGACCACAACAACTTTATCAACAAAATGACTTAGATATGGATCTATTGAATGAAAGATTGTGAACTGTCACAAATAATTTATTGAGAGCAAGAGTTGTAGGAACAAAATGCAAGTAGTATAAATCAGGCGTACAATTCTCTATTTGGAGAACAGGCGGAGTTGCAACTTTGCAAACTGCACATAACTCTTGCCTTTGTCTTTGTTCTGTGCATGCCCGTTGGAGAAAACTTGCCTAATTAGGAAAGGTTATTTTCATCAGCACTAATTAGGAAGTCGAAGCTAGTTTTATAAACTGGCTTTTTAGACACGGGTCTAGTTATGTTTTCCAAATCTAACAACATGGAATCGCAGTTTCTTCGCGATAGTATGGACTTTGAGCCGGAGTCAGATGAAGTAGAAGAAAAACTTCTCTCTTACCGTCGCGACCATGTTGCAGCCAGAATATCCCGCCAAAGACTGAACCCCAGATTTCGGGCTATTTCTGTTGGAATCCTCATTATTTCGTTACTATTGACCATTTTCAGTCTGATAGCTTCACAATCTTGTGTGGAACTGGACGGGTGGTGCTTACCAGAGGTTTCTGTCAAGATTCAAGAAACCTCAGACGAAGGCAGAAAACTTTTGGACCAAGCAAGAGCTGGTCTTAGGTTAGCAACATACTTGGCAAAGGATTTGGCAGTGCACCCCTCGGCGGAGGACATCAAAAATGAAGAAACTGAGCATATTTCAATGTCTGAATTCACTGAAACCGTTGACACCTTCACTAACAATTATACCTTCCATTTCTCATATAATGGCTTTTGCCGGGAAAGCGATATAGATCACAGCCGTGCCTGCTTACCAGCAGAGGGTCTTGACGTTTTGTCTTGTTTGGTGGAAGATATTGGGCTCCAATTGGGAAATGTTTCCAAAGCTCACGACGGTTCCAAAGTTGCGAAAACTTTGGTTGCGACTTTCCAAAAGGCTTCGATTGCCTTTGGCGCCATGTGGCAGCTGAAGAACCAGCACTATGTCAAGGGAGAAGATATCAAGGAAGACGCTCATATGGCCCAATTAAAGGCTTTTCACTCGGCGAAAACCATGCAAAGTTTTGCCAAACAGCAGGCTTGGCTCTCATATGCGAGCACCTATGTTTCTGGTTTTGCAACTTTATTGTTTGCATTTGTAGTCATGGCCGTTTACTTTCCTGGTCGCTTCACCGACTCGATTCAAAAACACCACAGAACTCCTATCTTGGTTATGGCATTCATCCAGTTTGCGGTCCAAACATATATGGTCGCAGGACTCATATACTACTTGCACAGAGTACATAAACTTGGCCGTAACCTTGAGGTAGCACAAGTTACCACCGGATCTGGATCCTGGACCATCAACACTTTTAGATTTGTGTTTTCAGCCGCTGCGCTTTACTTTGTCATAACTCTTCGAAAGAAAGAATAATACCCATAATAATGTACTAATATAATGTATCGCATTTACTTGTAGACTAATAGAATAAAGTGGAGTAATAGACTAAACCAGATTAATTGGGGCTTCTTGTCATTGAATCTACATACCAACCAAGTACAAATTCTCTGTCAATTGAACTATATCCTGGTTCACACCAGACTGATCTACTCTAATTATCACCTCTAATTAACATTCAATTAAAACAGTACATTCTCCACTACTTCTCCACTACCTGGTTATCTCCACATTTACTTGTACACCTCGCCGAAAGCTTGCTCAAAGTCCTGGATCAAGTCGTCAATGTGCTCAGTACCAACCGACACTCTGATGAGGTCCTTGGTGACACCAGAAGCCACCTTTTCTTCTTCACTGAGCTGCTCGTGGGTGGTGTAATAAGGAGCAATAACCAAGGTCTTGGAGTCACCAACATTAGCCAAATTAGAAGCGATCTTAAGTTGGTCCACAACTCTTGGACCGGCCTCTTTGAATGGAGATTTGTCACCAGAATCGATTGGTTTGACACCAAACGACAACATGCCTCCAGCATGTTCTGTGTTCAAGTATTTCTTGCCGAGTTCATAGCTTTCGTGAGAAGGAAGTCCCAAGTAAGAAACCCAACTGACATGAGGAGAGCTTTCCAAATATTTAGCCAATTTCAATGCGTTCTGTGATTGGCGCTCCACTCTCAAAGACAATGTTTCCAACCCTTGAAGCAACAAGAACAGACCAAATGGGTTCAAGGCAGGACCCAAATCACGCAACAACTCAATACGAGCATGTCCAATGAAAGCAGCGTTTCCTAAAGCCTCACTAAGAATAAGTCCATGGTAGCCCTCAGAAGGCTTGGAAAATTGAGGAAACTTTTCAGGGTATTCCGTCCATGGAAACTTTCCAGAGTCAATGATAACACCTCCAATGGTAGTTCCATGTCCTCCAATCCACTTGGTAGCAGAGTGCACAACGATATCAACGCCATGATCAATTGGACGAACCAAGAACCCACCAGCACCAAAAGTGTTGTCCACTACAACAGGAACTCCTTTAGCGTGAGCAATTGAGACGATTTTCTCGAAATCGGGAACATTATATTTTGGGTTTCCAATACTTTCGATGTAAATCGCTTTGGTACGATCATCAATTAAATGCTCAAAGTCCTCAGGCTTGTCACCATTGACAAACCGGGTCTCAATTCCAAGTCTTTTGAACGCAACCTTGAATTGGTTGTAGGTTCCACCATACAAATATGATGTAGAAACAATATTGTCTCCGGCATGAGCCAATCCAGCTACAGTAATAAATTGAGCTGCCTGACCAGAAGATACCGCAAGGGCACCAATTCCTCCCTCAAGAGCAGCCATACGCTCCTCGAACACCCCATTGGTAGGATTCATGATTCTGGAGTAGATCATACCAGGCTCTTTAAGACCAAAAAGGTTGGCTCCATGTTCCGAATCATTGAAGACGTACGAGGTGGTGGCATGAATAGGAGGTGCTCTGGAGCGATGTGGTTGCTCCACCAGTTGACCAGCGTGCAATTGAAGTGTGTCGAAGTGTAAAGGCATGTTAACAAGTAATTTGGGAAACACTAGCTAAACGCCAGCTTACATAGTAAGTTGATGTCGTCATGTCATGTGGGGCGCTAACAGCGAAACCGCATGCAGTAGGATGTTGGATTTTGTGGCATGGTTCGAATTTGGGGGTTGCAGTTATTATGTGGTATTGAAAAACACGTCAAAATGTATCATGTATGACTATGCAAGCTATGCGTCAATTCCATTCATGTGTCAATGCAAGGTCAAAGCTTTATGTACGTGTCAATGCAAGTTTTGCAACCAATTTATGCACTCTGACTCCGCAAAGTCGCACTCCGAAAGTAAACACCCATGGACTACATATAACATGATAGGCTATTCCATTGTATCACCATTCAGTGTAAGGGAACCACAAAAAAAGGCGAGCGATGCAAGCTCAACACCACCGATGGTTTCTGCCACTACCATGCGCCATATAAGAATTCAAAGAAGACATTACAACTTTCCAATCACCTACCTCCTAGCCCAATCAAGCATACGAAGACTTCTAGTCCCTCTAGATCACCATCTCCCACAAAAGACAAACCTGGATATATATACGTCTACACTGTGACAAGTTTGCTAAACGGCACTAACAACTCTCTTTTAGTTCAAAATCTTCCTGGAACCGCAACTCATGAGAAGAACAAATGGTCAGCCTTCGACGCTCGGAAGCTGAAGCACATGTTTATCAAGGTCGGTATGACCACAGGAACGGTTCGTGGTCGTTTGAGCCAATGGGAACTGAAATGCCAACATAAGCTCACCTGCTTGGTTCCAGGTGCTAAAATCAAGAAGAGCTTGGTTGATAGGTTTCGAAATCTCTCACTTTCCAGGCCCTCCTACAAAACGTTTGAAAGACAAAGCGACGGGTTTTGGTGCTCCAAATCGGCCCAGCAAGCAGAATCTCAGATTCATACTCTTCTACATAAAAAATACGGAAGGGGAAATATGCGGTGCGAGGGATGTGCCAAATCTGGCTCCAACTATAGTATTCATGTGGAATGGTTTCTCGTTCCCAAAAAAGACTTATCTAGTGTGTTCTCTATCATTGACTCGGTGTGTAGATGTTACAACTAATACATTCATCTAGATACTTTTAGGTGTTCATATAGGTGGATGAATCAACACCCTCCTCAGGAAACTCGGTGATCTTGACATCGAATCTCGATTGAATCTTCTCCAACACTTCTTCATCTTCTTTCGAACCAACGAACGAAATAGCCAAACCCTTGGTACCGAATCTACCGGCTCTACCAACTCTGTGTAAGTATTGGTCGGCTTCGTTTGGCAAGTCGTAATTAATAGCCAAGTTGATTCTCTCAATATCGATACCTCTACCGAACACATCGGTGGACACACAAATACGCTTGTTGAACTCCTTGAAAGACTTGTATCTGGCGATTCTCTCCTCTTGAGGCATAGCCGAGTGAACGGCAATCGACGGAAAGTTCGAGGCCACCAACAACTTGTTCAACTCGTTAGCTCTCAGGGTCGACTTGACAAAGATGATCACTTGGTTGAACTCCAACGAATCCAACAAGTCTGCCAATTTACGGTTCTTTTCTTTCTCGTCCAACTTGAGGTAGTATTGTTGCAATCCGTGCAAAGTCAACTTGGCCTCGTCATCAACGTAGATTTCCAATGGGTTCTGCATGAATTTTTTACAAACAGGACGAATTTCTTGCGACAAGGTAGCAGAGAACATCATAACTTGCTTTTGGTGAGGAGTGTTACGGAAGATATCTTGAACATCTCTTCTCATATCAATAGCCTCCAACACCTTGTCACACTCATCGATAACAAACGACTTGACATTGTTCAAACGGATAGCCTTTTCTTCAACCAAGGCGTGTAATCTACCTGGAGTAGCCACGACAATGTGAGGACAAGTGTCTTTGTTTTTCAATTTTTCAATATCTTTGGCAATTGGAATACCACCGTAGAACACCTCGGTCTTGACGTCTGGCATGTACTTGGAGAAACGAGCGTACTCGTTTCTGATTTGGTAGGCCAATTCTCTGGTGTGACAGATGACCAAGGTGGTGATCTCACCAGGAACAGGATCTAACTGTTGCAAGGTGGAGAGCACAAAAACAGCCGTTTTACCCAAGCCGGACTTGGCTTGACAAAGAACGTCAGTACCCAAGATGGACTGGGGAATACAAACTTGCTGGACTGGGTTAGTTGGAACAGAAATCAATGGGTACATTGCGATAAGCAATGCAATTTAAGAATGGAGAAATGAAGACAGCACCATTGCTGGTTTGATCAATTGAAGAAATGTGATGGTAACTGAATGACAATAGTTATCGCTTGGCGATGCGATGAAGTGAAATATGCAAATATGGTGGTGGAGATTAACCAAAAGGGTAATATTAATGCAAAAAAAAGGATGCACAAGCAAACAAACAAATTACAATGTTGTTTAAAGCTTTCAATAGGGTTTTCATAGATTTCATTATGGCTGGTTGTCTTTGTTTGCAGGTCAGACACCGCTCAAGTTGCAATTGCTGCCTTCATTTCCACTCTTTTGGACACGGGATACGAACCTTCAGAAGGGTGCTCAAATCCACAGTCACCAATGGCTCTCAACAATTCCGGTTTTAACAAAAAATCTCTAAAGCCGGTCGCGTGAATACCGACGTAGGAGCCTTTTTTATCGGCATCCTTGTCAGCGCCATCAGCGCCAGCCTCTGGGGCGTTGGATGGAACTGCGATTTCCTCGGAGTCGGAATAGTCCAATAATTCTTCTTGGCCTTCGGCAGACATGGTGATGATTACTGAAAAGTCGATGTCGGGGTTTCGAATTTCGAAACGTTGGCGCGGGTCGTGCGCGGCATCAGAATACAAGCACGTGACCACACACCCAAATCAACTGTTGCGAATATGAAATGTTAGCAACCTTCCAACCATACATGTTTCGAGGAGCGAGAGTATTTGCGACGCTTCAAAGGTGCAGAACTCATGTAGTGGCACCAGCGCGTATCCTGACTCGGTTCCAAGCTCGCAACCTTGCTTCTCGTCTGAATACAGATGACATTCTTTCTTCTGAACAAGCCCAAAAAGTGGCACAAATTTCCGAAGCTTTCCTTCAGAATCCTGACATTCGTAAAAGTTTAGAGCGTTTTCAGAAGCTTCTAGCGAGTAAAGGACTCGACAAGGGACCTTCTCCTTCATTATTCAAGATGATGCTGTTACTTGGTCAGAGTGACATTCGTGCTGCGTTGAACGATTTGAAGACATCACTTGAAGCTGCCAATATTGAGCTTACACCCAGCGACATGCACGCTATCATGACATATTACAGGAAACACATGCTGTGAATAGCGAGCACATGCTGTGAAATAGCGAAGCATTAAGCATAATGAAGGAAGTTAAGCAAAGGCTGAATGCTGATGGTCGATCTTAAGGCATAAGGCTGAACTTCTAGATTTGAATTGGCGTTTTTATAATAGAATGACTTTACGGAACTACTTCATCTTCTCGTCTTGAGGATTTAGTTATCTCTATCTTGGATCATACTCTACGTTATCTTGCACTATCCTACTCTTGATACTTTTCTGTGGTCTCTCAAAAGGTTGAAAGTTTTTCTTGCAATCTCCTACCTTCCCTTTTTTTCTTCTCTTTTTCCCTTTCCTCCTTTTTTCCTTTCTTCCCTTCTACTTCTTTGCAAACGACGCAGATATATTAGCAGCTTCTTCCACAGCTCGCGCAATACTTCCACGAACACCAGCATCTTCCAACTTCAACAAACCCCCAATGGTGGTACCTCCTGGAGTACACACCTTGCTCTTGAGCGCGGCTGGGTGATCGCCTGTTTCAAGCACCATTTTGGCTGTTCCTTCCATCACCTTGGCTGCAGCGTCTTTAGCCACGGCAAAAGGAATTCCCATTCTGACTCCCCCGTCTATCAACGACTCCATCATCAACAAACAGAACGCAGGTCCCGAGCCCACCAAGGCTGTGGCAGCGTCCATATTTTTTTCTGGTATCTTCATAGCCAAACCAACTGGATTGATCAACTTCATCACGAGATCACCATACTTTTCTTCGGCTTCCGGGTCTGAAAAGCTCACCATTGCAGTCCCACAACCATACTGGGCTGGTGTGTTGGTCATAACCTTGGCTACATTTACAGAATATTTTTGCAATTCCTTGGTGGTGACACCTGCCAATAACGAGATCAATAAGCTGCCATTGTTAATTGGTGCTTGACTTAATACTGTCTCGTACATGTAAGGTTTACAAGCCAAAATGACTATATCGGCTTTCTTAGCGGCTTTGGAATTGGCTTCGGAACCATAACTAACCTCAATGATTTCGTGGTTGAGTTTCTTCTTCAAGTTGAGTGCCAGCTCTTCACGGCTAGTACAGCAGATAATCTTCGAAGGATATGGCAGAAACTCTGCATTTAAGATGGCAGACACCACGGCCGTGCCCATGACTCCACACCCCAAAACGGTGATCGTATAGTTTTCTTTAATTGACATGCTGGGTTCACTGGAGAGTTCACTGTTCAATATTGGAGTTCACGGCGAGTATGAGTGTCGCTGACATAAGCAGACGTTAATTAGGTGCGTCCCGCTTAGCTGCGTTTCGGGCAGGAGAAAGGCACAACGACTTGCGAATTAGACAACCACCACACGACAAATATCCACGAAAGTGAGCCAGAACACACAAGAGCACCACAAGATCGCACACATTTTCTTCTCAGATTTCCAGGACTCGAAAACGGGCCGAAATCTCATTATTGCTGGAGTCCAACATGACGATAAATTCCTTCAACCGGGCGTTGTTGACGCCATGTCCCATTTTACGGCCCACAGAAAAGGAGTTCGAGGACCCGGTGGCGTATCTCTCACGACCAGACGTAGCCAAGCTAGGCGATGACTTTGGAATAGTCAAAGTGGTGCCTCCACAAACGTGGAAACCTGAGTTTTCACTTTCCAACGATTTCAAATTCCACACAAGACTACAAATTTTGAGTGATTTGGGTATCACTTCCCGTAGTAGACGCTCTTTTAAGGATAACCTCAACCGGTACTTGAAAATGATTGACCAGCGGCCGGTACGCAGTTCATTTGTCACTAAAGACCACAACCGAAAGAAGGTTTATTACTATGATTTGTACCAGGCAGTACAGAAAATAAGCTCTGGAGCGGCTATGGATGAACACAAATGGAATACCGTGAGCCAGCAGTTTGGAATAGTGGATTCACCCGATATTCTTCGACATGAATTTGAGGACAAAATTGCGTCCTATGCTCTGTTCTTGAATTCAAGTGAACAGTATTTTCCAGATACCAAGGAAAACGAAGACAACGACAACTGTATGATATGTGACGACAACAGCCGTCCCACAGAAACTCTACTATGTGACAACTGTGACAGCTCGTTCCATATGTCTTGCTTAAATCCACCAATGACCGAAGTACCACTGAGCGAGTGGTTCTGTGAAAAGTGCTTAGTAGGCACAGGAGAGTATGGGTTTGAAGAAGAGACCGACGTCAAGTACTCACTAGCAGAATTCTACGATATGTGCAAAGAATTTGAGGCAGATTTCTGCGAAGAGTATAATAATGGTGAACCGTTGACTTTGGATATTATCGAAAAAAAGTTTTGGGAATTCGTCGACATAGAAAAGTCAGATCTCGAAGTCAAGTACGGTGCCGATATCCACCACCTAAAGCCAGGACATATAAGCGGGTTTCCAATGGAGAATACTCCCGGCTTGGATATGAATAACGAGAATGTGCAAAGGTATGTTAAGCATCCTTGGAACCTCACTCGTCTTCCATTCGCCAAGGGTTCCTTGTTGAACTTTGTAAATCGGTCAATTTCAGGAATGACGGTCCCATGGATCTACGTTGGCTCTCTTTTGTCTACCTTTTGTTGGCATGTCGAAGACCATTATACGCTATCGGCTAATTATTGTCATTTTGGTGCTACCAAAAAATGGTACGGAATACCGTCCAAAGATGCAGACAAGTTCGAACAACTAATGAGAGATTCCGCACCAGATTTGTTTAAGCGACAGCCAGATCTTCTCCACCAATTGGTGACTCTTATCTCTCCTATGAAATTAATCGAAAGCGATATAAGATGTGTTGAAGTTGAGCAACAACCCAACGAAATAGTCATCACATATCCTCGTGTATACCACGCCGGGTTCAATAGTGGCTTCAATTTCAATGAAGCTGTCAACTTTACAATATCCAAATGGTTGGAGTTTGGCGAGAAACTGATCGAGGACTACAGAAAAATTAAAAAGGAAAATGTGTTTAACCATTTCCAATTGGTGGAAAACGTTCTCAAATCGTATTGCCAGAGTACTCTGCATGAAGAAGACTTTGTTCGAACCGCATTATCCAGCTATGAAAACTTTATTGGCAGACAGTTTCATATGATGGAGATATTCCGACAAGCAGGCATTTCAAGTATAAAGTCAAAGCGAAATGAAACTATGAGAAGCTTTGAAGAAGAGCAAAATGGTGTCTTTCACGATGAAACAGAAGATGACGAGTTGTGTGGTAATTGTAGAACACACATTGGATATCAGTACTTTGATTTCGACAACAAAGCTAGGGAACTGAAGAAAGAGGAAGAAGAACCCATAAAGGAAGAAGCAGTTCTGGTGGATGAAATACATGAGGGAGTAGACGAGAAGTCATCGAACCAGATCGACAACAAGGCTTTGTTCACCACCCCAGAGATTAAACAAGAAGGATTTGAGTCAACCAAATTATCTGTTAGACAGCTTCTTACTCCACAAGCATCACCCCAAGAAATAATTATCAAGCGACGTTTGTCAGACACTGAAGAATATCAGAACGATCACAGAGACGAGGAGGAACACCTGGGCAAACGAAGAAAGTCAAGTCGTATTCAAAAATTAGAAAAAGAACAACTCCAACGAAAGGAAGCGGCCGCCCACTCTATCGCTCGCATGTACCATAAAACCAATAATGATCTTCTTGACAAGCAAAATCGGGTAAGATTGTGCCTCCAATGCTGTTATGACCGGTATGGACAAGAAGTGCCCAAACACGGACAATTAGTAGTGGAAACTTCAATTGAAGATCTGAGAGATTTGATCCAACAAGTGAAGAGAAGACTTGAGAGAAGAAACGGCGTGGACGTTACTATGTTATTAAATAGTTAGAACATGAGGTAGGGTAAAGGACTTTTTGCAACTACAGAAAATTGATTTAGATAAACAATTTCGAAAATCGTTTCGAAAGTCTTCAGTAACTATTTGCAGCCGCTATGCACTCAATCTGCAACCAAAACGTCCCGCGAGCCGGCGCCGGGTAATCGCGGCTCCACCAATGAAAAGCGGCGCGGGACGGAAACGGTGGTCGGGTGTCGTTCTCGCGCTCTCATTGGCCAATGCCGCCCATTCGCGACCCGGTTGCCAGAACAGCGAAAAGTTCATATAAGGACAGGATTGAATTTTCTTTTCATTCGAGAGGAATCTTAAACCAAAGTTTTTTTTAACGATGGTTCTTCCAAGATTGTTTGCCGGAACCTCCCGCAGTGCCTTCAGCGCTGCCAAGAGGAACGTTATGTTCAACAGGGGCTTGGCTTCTGCTGCTCCTGTTGGCGGTAAAGTTAGGTAAGTAATACCCTTCAAATATCTTGATGACGGGCCAACTTTGGGGTCAAAGGAGCATACCACCGTGTTCAGCACCGTCAATTGATCCTCCCCAACGACTTTGGCGGGTCGTTATTCGATTGTGTAGCTCAAATGACATCCGCCAATCACCGGTGGCCACCGGATCAAAATTCTTCAAACGATTTTTCACTGGACAATACTAACTTCAGAGCTGTTATTGGTGCCGTTGTGGATGTCCACTACGAGGACGGTAACCTTCCTGCTATTTTCAACGCCTTGACTCTTAAGAACGGTGACCAAAACTTGGTTTTGGAAGTTGCCCAGCATTTGGGTGAAAACACCGTCAGAACCATTGCTATGGATGGTACTGAAGGTTTGGTTAGAGGTGCCAGCGTCACTGACACTGGTGCTCCTATCTCTGTGCCTGTTGGTCGTGGTACTTTGGGTCGTATCATCAACGTTATTGGTGAGCCAATTGACGAGCGTGGACCAATCGAGTCCAAGCAAAAGAAGCCCATTCACGCTGAACCACCATCGTTCGTCGAACAATCCACTTCTGCCGAGGTTTTGGAAACCGGTATCAAGGTTGTCGACTTGTTGGCTCCATACGCCAGAGGTGGTAAGATTGGATTGTTCGGTGGTGCCGGTGTCGGTAAGACTGTGTTTATCCAAGAGTTGATTAACAACATTGCCAAGGCTCACGGTGGTTTCTCCGTGTTCACCGGTGTCGGTGAAAGAACCAGAGAAGGTAACGATTTGTACCGTGAAATGAAGGAAACTGGTGTCATCAACTTGGAAGGTGAATCCAAGGTGGCCTTGGTGTTCGGTCAAATGAACGAACCTCCAGGAGCTAGAGCCAGAGTTGCCCTTACCGGTTTGACCATCGCTGAATACTTCAGAGATGAGGAGGGTCAAGATGTGTTGTTGTTCGTCGACAACATTTTCAGATTCACTCAAGCTGGTTCTGAAGTGTCGGCTTTGTTGGGTCGTATTCCTTCGGCTGTCGGTTACCAACCTACTTTGGCCACCGATATGGGTTTGTTGCAAGAGCGTATTACCACCACCAAGAAGGGTTCCGTCACCTCTGTCCAAGCTGTCTATGTGCCAGCCGATGATTTGACCGATCCTGCTCCTGCTACTACTTTTGCTCACTTGGATGCTACCACTGTGTTGTCTAGAGGTATCTCCGAGTTGGGTATTTACCCAGCTGTCGATCCTTTGGATTCCAAGTCGAGATTGTTGGATGCCTCTGTTGTCGGTGAGGAGCACTACTCGGTTGCTTCTAACGTTCAACAAACCTTGCAAGCTTACAAGTCTTTGCAAGATATCATTGCCATTTTGGGTATGGACGAATTGTCGGAAGCTGACAAGTTGACCGTCGAGAGAGCCCGTAAGATCGAGAGATTCTTGTCTCAACCATTTGCTGTTGCCGAAGTTTTCACTGGTATCAGTGGTAAGTTGGTCAGATTGGAGGACACTATCAGATCTTTCAAGGAAGTCTTGGAAGGTAAGTACGATCACTTGCCAGAAAACGCCTTCTACATGGTTGGTGGTATCGAAGATGTCGTTGCCAAGGCCGAGAAGTTGGCTTCTGAGAACTAGGCATAAAAGTAGATATGTAGAGAATATATCTGTTGTTTATCAAGCATCTCTTAACTGGTTCTCCACATTTCGCGCGAAATTTCAAATTTCAATTTCTGGACACATATTCTTTAGAGATGTTTTCGTTGGCAAATGTAAGTATACAAAAAGCACCACCAAAGACTTTCAAACCTCTAACATAGACGCTTTCGTTTCTAGATAACTCCAATCTTAACTGGAAATCGATAATTATCGGATTTACAATTGGTCAATATGCGTTTGAAAACTACCTTCTGTACCGTCAATACAAAGTGTTGAAAAAGGCCACTCCTCCTCCCTCATTGAAGGCAGAGATTTCTCAAGAGACGTTCGACAAGTCCCAGGAATATTCAAGAGCCAAGTCTAAATTTGGTTTCATTACGTCGACACTTCTGTTGGCACAAAATTTGGCTGTGATCAAGTATGATTTGTTGCCCTACTTCTGGAACGTTGCTGGAAGTTTGATGCAAAAGTCAGCGTCCATACTTCCCAAATTCATGTCTGGAACAATTACCCAATCACTTTTTTTCTTGAATGTTATCTCAATTGTGGGAGACATCGTTGGCTTGCCTACGTCGTACTATTACAATTTTGTCTTGGAAGAAAAATTCGGGTTCAACAAGTTGACTAAAAAATTGTTCATTATAGACACGTTGAAATCTGCAGCTTTGCGGATTGTCTTTGTCACCCCTATACTTGCTGGCTTTTTGAAGATTCTCGACCATTTCGGCGAATCGTTCATCGTTTATATGTGTGTGTTTGTCTTGGCTCTCCAATTGATTGGAATGACCATCTTCCCCATCTTGATCCAGCCCCTTTTCAACAAATTTACTCCTCTTGAAGACGGCGAATTGAAGACAGCCATTGAGAATCTTGCGGCACAACAAAAGTTTCCATTGAACAAGCTTTATGTCATTGACGGTTCCAAGCGTTCGTCCCACTCCAATGCCTACTTTACTGGCTTGCCATGGAGCAAGCAGATTGTTCTTTATGACACCTTGATTGAACAGTCAAGCGTTGAAGAAACTGTAGCTGTTGTTGCCCACGAAATCGGCCACTGGAAACTCTCGCATTTGGTACAAATGTTGACCTACATTCAAGCACACATGTTCTTCGTTTTCTCGATGTTCTCAGCGTTTATCAACAACCATTCGTTGTACTCGTCGTTCGGATTCACCACTACCCAACCAGCTATGATTGGGTTCATGTTGTTCAACGATATCTTCGAACCTGTTGAAAGCGTTATGAAGTTTGCTCAGAACTTGCTCTCCAGAAAAAATGAATATGAGGCAGATGCTTTTGCCAAAGAACAAGGTTATTCCGATAACTTGTCGGTTGCACTTATCAAGATGCTTAGTGAGAATTTGTCTACTATGGACGCAGACTGGTTGTACTCTTCGTACCACCACTCTCACCCAATCTTGTCGGAGCGTTTGAATGCTCTCGGATACGTTTCAAAGAAGAAGATTGCTTAAGAGATAGCTTGAACAAACAAATAGCTCAATTCACTACTTTTTTCGATTCTGTAATGCTAATGCTTTCGTCGTAATTCGTTATACAGCCCTCCGTCTTCTATCCCGTAATTCGTCGTATGCAGCTCTCATCTGGACGTATCCCAAATGAGTTTTACCAATGAAATGGTCGGCTAGCCGTCGGTCGCTATCGAGTCTCGACAAGTATGCACCACATCCCTCACATACTTGAAGTTTCTGCTGAGCGGACTGCCCCATATTTTCGGCTATATGACGGGCCGATTCAGCCACTTCTTCTCTCTTTTTACATAGTACGTTGAGACGGGCTGTTTCTTGTAAACCCATATTGATCTCACCATTTTGCACCAAACAATCGATTTCTTGCGTCAAAAGTCCAATTCTTATATCGAGGTTCTCTAGTTCCTTGGTAACCTCGGCGATCTTTGCCTTTTCTTCTGGAGTGTGTTCCAATCGTCTTAATGCTATTTCTGTGTTGCGATCGAGCTCATTGATGTATTTTTGAAGATGCCTGAAATACTCGTACTCAAATTCGGGGAACTTCTCGCCTCGCTTTTTGCGATACTCATATTCCATTTTGTGCTTCTCAAGATGAAGCTGAGGACATTTTCCAAGGTCTTGCTTGGTTCCCACGAATAGATCATGAGGACAAACTCCTACAAGAAAGCTCTTGCAAACTCTGTGGCTTGTCAAATCAGGCTCCCGTCGACGCACTATAGGAGATATCATGGCATCCTTTCCCATAAGCTGCTCCAAGAGCTTCCTTTGGTCCTCTGCCATTATTATAATTTGTAGCTATTAAATGTTTAGTTAGCGAGTCGCGCACTCAATTTAGTGGGACTCTCAATTTAGAGAGATGCCTCAGAAAAGTGCCGCCGCACCTCCGCTGCGCTATGGCTTCGCAAAGTTCCCCAGCCGCTCCACACGTGAAATGGGAGCTGCGAATTGGTCATTTAACCATATCAATGACAAAATAAAATGAGGAAATACCAGTTGATCGGACGCAAGAAACTCTTCTCAAAGACAAAAATAGTGGACTATCCTCCACTGCACATTCTTTCATTACCTTACGAGGTTCTCATCGAGATAATATCATACCTCGAGCGAGATATAAAGGCACTTTTAGCATTGACCAGAACATGTTCTCGACTTAGAACCATAGTAAACAAGTTCTTCTTGTACCGTGACGTGGTTTTCTCGGCCACCAGGTTCCGAAAGTTCGTGGGATATCATCTACCAGGCCATAACTCCTCCCTAACTAAGAAATTAGGTTTGAACGATTCAAGTACCCAAATCAACCTTATACAACTGATTAAGTTTATAAAGCCTCCTATGGAGAAATCAGAAAACTACTCAACAAATATAGGCGGTAGCTACAACGTGGAAAGCGTCCATGCTCGCCTGAACCGTGACATGTATAGCGAGTTTGTCAGTGGCCTACGATACTTGTTAAAAGAAGATTTTGGTCTCAAGGCAGTGGAAATTTCCGAGGTTTCTCCAGGATTCGAATTTCCACAAGACGTATATATAACTCCCAGATCCACTACTCTGTCGTGGAAAAAATCGAAACCGACTCGAACCTTACAACACTTGAAAATAAGTGCCCAGAATGGTTGGTCTATTCCATTCAGTTTCTCCCAAGTTTCGCTATTCTTCTCAGTTTTCGATATCATTGAAGAACTCGAACTAACAAACTTTATCATAGACAAGGAGAAGCTTTGCTCATCCACGGTACCCCAAGTTCAAATCAACAAAATCACCTTGAAAGCGTGCACTTATACAACGCAGAAACAGGTTCATTCGAAAACCAACTTTTCTCCCATGTTTGGCAATTGCTCGTCCTTGGCGCTCAGAGATATACATCTGGTCCTGGACCTATCAGTCATCGACTTTATTAAAAACAACCATCAGCTTTCGTCCTTAACTCTCGATATTGACTCGCCTGTTTTTTACTCAGCAGTGAATGATGAGCGCAAGTTCAACTTTGCAAGATACAATTTGTTCTTCAAGCTACTTTGTTCGGGCGAAGGTGGTTACGCTTCACTAAAAAAGCTTGAGCTTGAAAACTTCGACCTTATAAACGATTGTTCTCATGCGGCGGTTGACCCGTCGCAAGACGATGACTGGGTTCCAGCTCCAACAGATAATTTCGAGACGTTTCTACAGTACGTGAGTGCAATACCAAAGCTAGTCATTAACCTAAAGAAAGAGCGAAAGGTTGGTAATGTGTGCGTCAGGTGTGGCTATAGTAAAGAAAACACTCCAGAGACCCCATCAGCCCAGAATGCAAATGGAGAATGGAGGAGAATCATCTCCAAATTGAATAATGGGAGTAACGAAGTAACTGTAAGAGATAGCAATGGCTCCCGGTTATTTCAGGCGTCTTGACTATGCCAGAAACACGAAAAACACGAGTGATAAAGCAGTATAGAAGTATGCTTTCCAAGAAAGCTGGAAGGACGCATCTTTGGTTAGTAGTGATATGCTGTCTTAGTCAAACAAGCTTTGGTACCACGATGATATGCCTTCTGCCATTTGGTGAAACCTATCGACAAGTCCACTGAACGACAGCTCATCGCTATCATCGTAATAGCTAAAATAACCTTGATCGGCGTCGTCTTCATACGTACCGTTTGTGTATGGTTCAATTCCATGCATAATATCGGCTATCTGCATCACTTCCATCACAGGCTTATAAACCTCACCTGTATGGTCGGTGACCACAAACCGTGAAACGAGCTTGTCCCTTGTCAATGGCACATATTTTCCTGGTGTAACATACACTTTCTTGGACACTTCAAAAACTGGCGGTGGGAGCCCACGACTGATGTCTAAGGATTGATAGCTGTCTTGACATTGGAGCTGAGTGAACCTTGACCTTCCCTTTGCTTTCAAGTTGGTTTCCTTTGCATTCAAACGCATAGCCTTGTGGATGAATTCCGTATCAATTGGCGGAAGAGTTTCAAACTGCCTCTTGAGCGCAAAGAAATCTGGTAACAACTTGACGTTTCCATTTATGTCGAGTTCAACGAGACCATAGTTGTTGGGCTCCTGAGTGAACTCATAAACAAGCCCACCGCTAAAAACTCCAAGCATACTAGTCGAGTAGATTGCCTGAACCTCGTCAAATCTTCGAGGCAATACCTCGTTGCAACCGTACCTGATGTTAGTATTTTGGGCTTGCATCTTGTTATGTTTGCAACTTACTCAGATAAAAATAACGGCTTTGTATAGCTGCTATAATCGTGGACGAGAGTGTCGTATCCACTCGTCTTAAAGGTCTGAACCCCACACCATTGGTAAGAGTTGACACCATAAAAATCAATAGAATCCAATGGGGATTCACTTGCACATTCAAGGTATTGAGACAATGGCATCCGGAACTCCATGTCATCAGCTGCTGAGTACCCAACTGGTATATGTCTAAGCGCGTTCTGCTCAAGGTACATCTTGATATCCTTGACCACGGCTTTGACATAGACAGGTGAATTCTGCGTTAGTACTGTACTGTTCTTATGGAGTTGATATACTTACCGTTGCAGATATCTTGTCGTTGATGATCTCGTTTCCAGCGAAAAATCCTAGGGTATTGTTGTACAGAGAAAACTGCTCAACCACTCTGAGCACGTTTTTCAAATAGTCATAGGTGTAAGTCGACCATGGCTCATAGCGATTAAGATGATGACCCTGCAAAGGCGAATTGACATCCAAAACTAGGTAGATACCTGCTGCCGCTAACATTGACATGCAAACGTCATGGTCCAAGTTTGGATGTACAGAGTAAACTCGAATGGTCTGTGTTAGCAAAACTCAAAATCCCTCCTTGTGATACTTACATTAATTCCCAATTCCTGAAACAAGGGGATGTCCCTGGCACACTCCTCTGGACTGGATAACGGATCCTTATGAACTGTTACACTAGATGCTCCTCCTGGTTGGTAATCTATACCCTTGATCACAAACTGTGTTAGAATAATTTGCAACAATTGAAGAAAATACATACCGGCTCCTTGGTGATTGAATCTATAAAGAAACGACCATGGACCTCAATTGGGTTGACGCTGGCACTGACACCCGCAAGGAATGCACTCCATTTGGCTAACGCTTGTAATAACATTATTAGCTATGTGGACTAAATGTATATCAAGTGGTTCACAAATGGCTGCAAATTTGCGAGTTTGGGTTTGTGTCAGATATCATAAATAATAATGCTATACAAGAAATATACGTTATAGGCATGTCTCGGTCACACAAGGACACTCTTTTTCACATTCACAAGACCCTGATCTAGGTTGGCCCATGTCACATAGTTTGGTGAATAATGCAAGAGCTCAGTATAGGCGGGTATTCTATCAACGATCTTTCCTTTTTCGGCTATCTGACCAATCTCGGCCCAGTAGCAGTCAACTGATACTTTTAGCGTAGGCTGAGTATCAGAATCGTCCAAGCTAGCCACCCATTCAACCCCTATACGATATGGGCGATTCCAGTCGAGTTTATTCAATTTGAGGTCGGAAATGCCGGTCATATTCTTGTAAACAAAGTTTCCGTAGTCATCCTGTGAGAAGCCTTCTGGAGCTTTCATTGCGTTCACCTTATTACTATTCTTTAGGTCGTTTTTGTAGACAACCACAGTTTTAACCACACCGCTCAGACGCTTACCACCTGTATCTTCGCGAAATGAAAGACGACATTCTCGATTCTTTTCTGCTCTAATCTCGAACTTTCCACTCAACATACCAAAAGGATAATTGATACTAGACGAAGAATTGCTGAGAACTTTGACCAGCAAGAGATCCTGAGCGTTTTTCGTACCGGGAGCAAGGTGTGGATTCAAGCCCTCATAATTGCAGATCGTCATTCCATCTGCCTTTGCATTGCACACTACTTCAGTTTCGGATTCTTTGACGGACGGTAAGTCCCTAAGTATTTCGGCAATTGAAGAATTGGCTCTACCAGAGGCACTGACAAGGTTTGATTTTGGAGAGTTGTCCAAATCAATTGTTTGAAGGAATCTGAGCTTCAATGGGTTAGCTTCAGTGAATGGCTCGCTAATTACAATAGCCCCTAAGCCATAAACGAAAAGGAAGATGGTCACCAAGAACACAATGCGATTCACCTTGAAGATGAAGGGAAGATAAGGAACAGCAACAACGACAGCCAAGAGTTTGAGGGCTCTGAACACCAAATACTCACTGGTAGCTGATTCTTGCAAAGTCTTCTTTAAGCCTTCAAGTATTAACCATCCATAGTTATACAGCAAGAAGGAAGATATGGGAACAATGAAGAGAAACTGGATTGACCAGTCGTAACTGTAATGCTTCGTTGGGGGTGGGGACTCAATAACGTTTACCAGAATTGCTGATGAGGCTGAGGACAGGATGTGACCCTCCTGCTCAACATGGGCACCATAGCCTTCTTCAACCGCATGCTCAAGCAATGGCTCGAGCTCTTGGTTGTTCGTGTGTACAGTCCGAGACCTTTTGAAGAGCCAACAGAGTAAGCCAAAAACACCTCCCGCTGCCTGCAAGATATAGAGAAGCGTCAACAAGAATTCACCTGAATGTTCGCCATTGAATTGCAGCTTAGCAATGTTAGCCGTAGACCAAATAAGAGATACCCAGAACATGAAACTTATTTGTAGTATAACCACTAGCTTTTCATCGTGACGTGTGCCCTTGAACTTCCAGAACAACAAATTAATTCCATTCAAAAGCAAGTAATTGGCAAGTACAAAGAAGGAAAAGTAAGTTAATGCAATGATGCCTGCGGAGGAGTTTGGAAGGAAATTGTTGACTGAAACCACAAACCAGGAGCTGAAGTTGTCCAATAAAAAGATGGAAAGAATGAACGAAAGTGGGAATTTGAAAAATGTAACCAATGATACCGACCATTTGCGATGTGCAAAAATTAGTGCGAGCAGGATAAGACTGACAAGTGGCACTAAGACCATCAATAAGACGTTGACTCCAAAAACAAACGTCATTGGCACCACGAAGAAATAATTAAAGATTGAGGTAAATGCGGCAGCTTCTTTTTGTTTCGCTTCAACATCGAGGTCAATTTCACCACCAACTACTCCATTAGTGAAGTCAATTGTACTCGAAAGCATATGCCATAAAGACTTCTTGTTGACGTTTGCAATATTATCCTTTGCTGTATGGTACATATCTCTTGGACGGAAAAAAGCCAAGTCCAAACCACGAAGATGTCCAAGCTCAGCATAGTACTTGTAGTCAGTTTCACTATGAACCAAACGAGCACTGAAAGCTTGTTGGAAAAGCGAGCTGGCGTAAGGGAACCTCACATTCTTGAAGTACTTGGCAAAACCATAATCCGTACCTCTGAACAAAATAGCCTTGCCTCCAGCACCAGTTCCCTCTAAGTTCAAAAAGTACTTGATCTGCTTGAACCAAGGATGAGAGAGAAATGCCAAGGCACCATACAACCCGAATTCCTCGTTGTTGTTGAAATTGATGATGATTGTACGGGCAGGTTGCGAAGTCTGTTTTGCTGAAAAGTAATTGAGAATACCAATGAGCGACGCAATGCCCATTCCGTCGTCAGTGACACCAAAGCTCGAAGGTACCGAGTCATAGTGAGCACTAAGGAGCAATGCGGGAAGTTCTGGATCGCTTCCATTGATGCGTACAATCAAGTTGTTGCTTTCGTAGTAAGTCACTGTAGATGGAGCAGTTTGGCGTAAGAAACTATGGGTATTATTGAGGTCATTGTCGTATTCCATGTACGATTTCTTGTCCACAAGGAAGCCAATTATATCTTCAAGGTAATCATGAACCCTGTCATTTGCTTCCGAAGCGTAGGTGTGTTCATCTCTCGCAATCTCCTGAAGAACGTCCCAAGAATGGTCTAGTATTTTCAGTTCAGACTTGTCTGTGGGAAGACTCACGGAGAACTCCAAGCTGCTGTCGTAATAAGAGAGCAAAACAGTGGCTATAACGGAAAGAAACACTAGAATAGTCAACGAAGTTTTGCGATAACCAAACAGGGCTCTCATCGCCCGGACAAAAAAGTTGGCATTTTCACAAGATTCCGGACTTTTCCGGTGATATGGCTCATCATTGGGGACCCTATTACTACCATCTGCCATCTCGTGGGACCCTCTGGTAGCAGAGGAGTTCAGGTCTGCTGTGGTCATGGATATAAAGAAGAGTAAATTGAGGGAAGGCTGGAGAGGCTGGTAGAGTGCGCAGTTTAGATGCAGGAAGACAGCAGAGGAAGATAAGATAGAGGAGGTTAATAGGTCATAAAGTGAATAAACGACGTGGAAATTGAAGAGGGACAAGCATAGAAATTCAATTACCCATACTGAAGGAATTTCGCAAATTAAAATTTTATAGCTCAAACAATAAACGACTACTAGCTCTTACCTTTTTTACCAACTATTCAACGGCTATCAATAGTAAAGAAAGCCGGTTCTATTACGGAATTATATCTTATGAAAACTCAATTGCAATTGTAGACTTCGAAATAATTAAACTTAATCCGCTGAAATACCGCTTTCCACTAGCATTTCCACCTTCAGCTTCACCGAGACTCGGTCGTGCATGGCGATTTCCTGGGGTAGAACGCACTTTTTCACGTTCATCAGGTAAAAATGACATTTGCTCCGTTGAAGAATGACCTCCTTTTGAGAGCCGCCAGGGGCGAAAAAGTCGAAAGACCACCCATTTGGATCATGGTGAGTATTATGGTACCATCAATTTGAATTTTTGTCTAACATCAGAGACAAGCTGGAAGATACCTTCCTGAATACCATGAAGTCAAGGGAAAAAGAGACTTTTTTGAAACATGTAGAGACGCCGAGATTGCTTCGGAGATCACCATACAACCAGTAGACCATTTTGATGGCTTAATTGATGCAGCTATAATTTTCAGTGATATTCTCGTGATTCCTCAGGCTATGGGTTTCGACATTGAAATGGTCGAAGGAAAAGGACCGGTATTTACGGACCCATTGAGATCACCCGAAGACATTAAAAAAGTCAACTTGAAGCCTGATGTGTTAAAGTCGTTAGACTGGGCATTCAAGGCCATCACTTTGACCAGAAAAAAGTTGAACGGAAGAGTACCGTTGCTCGGTTTTGTGGGAGCTCCATGGACATTATTGGTGTACATGACCGAGGGACAAGGGTCCAAGATGTTCAGATACGCCAAGCAATGGATATACGAATACACCGAGGAAGCACACCAACTTTTACAGGCCACAACTGACGCTTGTATCGAGTTTTTGGCCCAACAAGTTGTTGCTGGAGCCCAAATGTTGCAAGTTTTCGAATCATGGGCTGGAGAACTTGGTCCTCACGAATTCAACGAGTTCTGTTTACCATATTTGCGTCAAATTTCTGCCAAATTACCTGCTAGACTCCGTGAGTTGGGCGTAACTGACGACATTCCTCTTACCGTTTTTGCCAAGGGAGCCTGGTACGCCTTGGACGATTTGTGTGATCTGGGCTACAATTGTGTTTCTCTCGACTGGCTCTACAAGCCTGAAGATGCAGTAAAGGTAGTCAATGGCAGAAGAATTACGTTGCAAGGAAACTTGGACCCAGGTATTATGTATGGGTCAAACGAGGTAATTTCTCAAAAAACCAAACAGATGATCGAGGGTTTTGGGGGCGGAAAGCAAAACTACATTATCAATTTTGGACATGGAACCCACCCCTTCATGAAGCCCGAGAAAGTTGAACACTTTTTGAAGGAGTGCCATCGCTACGGCAGCGCTTAGAACACCGATAATATCTATGTAAATAATTCATTGTTATAAGTTGGTAATTCAACGTATAAAGTAGCCTTAAACTTATATACTGAATAGCTTGTACCTGCTCTTCGTTTCTGCATTTCTGTCTTCATTTTTCACTATTTGCAGCTGCTCACTATGAGTCAAATTCTTGATTCGCGAACATTATAAAATAGAAAATGCCAAATTGCTTGCCACTAATGACCGATTTATACACATATGACATACCCAAGCAGACTTTGGACCTGCTAGAGCTCATGGTTTTTGACTCGTGGATGGCAGAAGTGCCAGTAGCACAAGAAAGCAAAGAGAATCATCCTCCAAAAGAAAAAGAGAACGACAAGAATCGATGTCAAAAATGTAATATTCTACTTATTGGCTCCGATGCTGAGCGGAGAAACCATTATAAAGGCGATTTCCACAGATATAACTTGAAAAGAGGTACAGAGGGCTTGCCGCCACTTTCTGAAGAGGAATTCGAAAATATACTAGAGCAAGGCTCGATGGAAAGTATATCAGGATCTGATAGCGATAGTGATTACGACTCACAATTCGAAAAAAGCAAATCCCCTACGCCTAAATTGACTGACATGGTCGAAAAGCTTGGCCTCGATAACATGGAGACCTCTTCAGTAAGTCACTTGAACACAAGGTCACCATATATTTATTTCAAGTCCCATCAATTGCCCCAAGATAAAGTCTATGCTGTATACAAGGCATTGTTCAGCGATAAGGACTTGACTGAGGATCCGAAAGAAGCATTAAAACGGTGGTCTAGTCCTCCGTATAAAAACGGAAAATCAGCACTTTTGATGATTGGTGGTGGTCACTTTGCTGGAGCAATTGTCTCTCATACTCGTAAAAGTGTCCACGGAAATGCCCCAAACAGCAAGATTTCGAAAGAAGAACAAGCGGTAGAACTTTTGGCAAACAAGTCGTTTCACAGATACACTACAAGACGGAAACAAGGTGGCTCTCAAAGTGCTAGCGATAACGCACGGGGCAAGGCAAATTCAGCAGGTTCCAGTATCAGACGATACAACGAGCAGGCATTGATTCAGGAAGTCAGAGCACTACTCACAAGCTGGCGAGGTATGCTTCAAGAATGTGATAATATTTTCATCAGAGCCAACGGTGCTTCCACAAGAGGCATTTTGGTCGGATACGAAGGTGCACCTTTAAAGTCCAGTGATCCACGAATCCACAGCTTTCCATTCACCACTAAGCGTGCCACAACTTCAGAGCTCAAAAATGCATGGGCGAAACTCACAACCATATCAATTCAAGACGTTCCCAAGTCCGACGAGAGGAGCCGCCAAAGACTTCAACAGCAATTAGACAGCCTCTCAAAATCAACCACAAAAACCACGAAGGTTCGCGAAGAAGAGTCCAAAGAAGTGCAGTCGACCAATGAAATTATCAGTCTACTCAAACGTTCGAAAGCACCTCTTTTGATCAGCTATTTGAAAAAGAACAGTATACTGCCCAATTTCGAACTTGAACCCAAAGCAAACTTCAAGCATTATCCCACACCATTGCATTATGCTTCCGCACATGGCTATACGCACATGATCCAGGTATTATTGGTGACTTTAAAAGCAGACCCAACTATCGTCAATGAATTTGGAAAGAACCCAGCTGATCTTTCTGCGAACGCATCCACCAGAAGAGCTTTTCAAATCGCCAGAAACAGTCTTGGAGAGAGCTATTGCGACTGGAAGAACGCCAGTGTTGGCAGCCCCATGTCTAGAGAGGATGTAGCCAAGGAGGAAGCCGCAGAAGAAATGAAACAAAAAACTGAAAAAAGGCAGCTACTTGAGGAAAGCTTAGCAAAAAAGACTGAATTAGAGATGAAAAAACCCTCGATCCAATCGAATGGAACCGTTGGAGGCAGCAAAATATTGACGGCTGCTGCCGACTTGAATGCTTTGACTCCTGAGCAAAAGATGAGAGTCATGAGAGAACAAAGGGCTCGAGCTGCTGAAGCCAGGTTAAAGGGAAAATAAAGGGAATGGTTAACATCACATAGAGCACAGCAATATATTGGTTCAGGCCTCAACTTCTTTCATACCCGACGTCTTTGTCATCACAAACGTTATAGGTGATGGAATTCCCTTCTTCTTCATGTTATTTACAATTTCGTTGACCGCTTCATCTTCGCAAAAATGGCCCTCCTTCACATCAAAGTGTCTGTAATCCTGCAACGCTCTTCGCATATTGTCTTTTCGAGCCTTTGGACGTTTGTCTTCCTGTTTAAAGTCTAGTGCTGAAATGTATCCCAATTGACTAGATGTTAAGTCTTCCAGTGAATTCTCGCTCAGGTCTTCTAAAGGCACTTCTGCAAGTTCACCATCTCCTCCACATTCACATTCAAGTAAGTCATGCGTACTGCTTGATGTTTCGGAAACTGAAAAGAGATCCTTAAGATCGTCCGAATCGAATACGTCAGTTTTGGAGTCAACCTTATTATCCAAAAACTTGTCGCTCAAATTGTTTTTCATCAATTGCCTTTGAAAAATCTTTTCGTCAATGCATCCAGTGGTTAAAAGCCGGTAAATGAAAACCGGACGCTTTTGTCCATCTCGATGAATTCTAGCCATGGCTTGTAAGTCCACTGAGGGGTTCCAATCGTTGTCAAAAAGAATTAACCTTGAAGCTCCAACCAAATTCAACCCCACACCCCCAGCTTTAGCTGAGAGCAAGAAGATCATAGTGGATTCAGCTGACAGTTTATTAAACTGGTTAACCAACTTGTCGCGTTCTTTATTTGCAGTGGTTCCATCAAGTCGTAATGATTTCATGTTAAGTTTGTTGACGGACTGCTCGAGAAGCTTTAACGTTTGAGTATAGTTGGAAACTAGTACAACCTTTTCACCTAGACGTTGTATTTCCAAAAGTAATGGTATCAAGACAAGAAGCTTACCACTAGTTTTATTGTTGAGTTCCACGTTCAAGCCAAAATCCAGACCCAGCAATTCTGACTCCTCCACTTTTCCCTCTGGGGCTAGCAAAGAAGGTGAATTGCATATCTTTTTAAAAAGTGTTATAAGGCCAAGGATTCCGCCCCGGGAACCAGAATATGAAGCTTTAAACGTCTTTGAGCGTTTAATATCCTCAAAGAGCGATAGTTGTAATGTCGTTGGTTTGCAAAATAATATTACATCAGTCTTCGTTGTCAAGAAGGAAGATAGAATGTCGCTTGTTCTCCTCAATGTGAATTCGTTGGTGAGCGCTATTAGCTTACTTGACAATAGGTCTCCTCTGTCTATAATTTCCTTGTTTGTGCAATTCACATCTCTAGACCTTAGGATGTGTCTGATGTAGTCCTTTTGGAAAGAAGAAAACAGCCCCAAAATGCCAGGGTTGATAAAGTCGACAATGGTAAAAAATTCAACCAAATCATTCTGTATGGGTGTTCCAGTCAAGACAATCTTCTTTTCAACATCAAGATGTTTCAATACTTTCAAAACTTTGTTCGTGCTGCTTTTAAGGCGATGACCCTCATCACAGACTAGAAGGTCAAACTTTATCTCTGAAAGTTCTGATGCACAGGTCAAAACCTTTTCGTATCCCATGATCAATACGTTGTAGACTCTGTTCTTGCCAAAGTTTTTGATATCCTGCTTGTCTGCAGCGGCACCTTGTTTCCCGTTAATCGATAAAACACCCAATCTATTTATATCAATCCACTTCTTGAACTCTCTATTCCAATTTGCAATAAGTGTCACCGGACATACAATTAACACCTTGTTGCATACTTGAACACCATCTGAGTTACGACGAACAAGTTTCCATATCAATGCAATTGTTGAAAGGGTTTTACCCAAGCCCATTTCATCGGCCAAGAGGGCACCCTTTCCTTGATATGAGCGTTGACCGGTAACACATTCATGTAAAAAGGCTACTGCTTCTTTCTGGTGGGGACGCAAGACCAGGTCAAGTTTGGAGTCGATATCTATACCTGAGTTCTGATAATTTTGTTTGAAGACAGGTTGTTGTTTCTGTATTTTGTTGTTGGTTACATCCAGAAGTGGATCTCTGGCGTGTGGGGCCGACTTAAGGGAAGGAATAACAGGTTTAAACTCAGAGGAAAGACCTGACAGATTCTGAGAGCTTGTCATAGAAGCCGAACGACTAGCTGGTTCACGAGATATAGACTCTCCATCAGTCACTGCTGATATTTCATAGTCGATTTCAGCTTCATAACCACCAAGCTTAATTATACCGTCGATATTAGTATGCCGTGCTCGAGCTATTTCTCGAGATTTGGAGTCAAGCTTTAGCGACATTGAGTCCACCATGACCAACAATATCCCGTCTCCCTCCCATGTCTTGTTCTTACGGTTCGATGTCTTTCTCCATTGGACGGCAAAGCGCCGAGTTGATGTTTCATTGGATGATGGTGGGCTTGAGTGAGACAAAGTCGAGCTGTATATGGAATGCAACTGTTGTCTTTTTCTCGAAATGGAATTCTGTGAGTTTGAACCTGGAGCTATTTTGATGTCTGGTGTGCTAGTCGGTGGTTTATTTGATGTTTTAGGTAACTTTTTTGGTGAATTGTTTGCGGTGATGGTTGGGTCATCTTCATTGACATTTGATCTGCGTTTTCCTGTAGGTGATGATTTTAGTTTTCCGAATGTTTTAGTCTTCAGCTCGTCACCGCCTTGAATGAACGGTCGTGGAGGCCGGAATGGTGCCGATGGACCTCTTTTCATGATATGTTTAAGTCTACAAATCGGCTGCAACAACACGCTTCAGTCGCGTGTTTTTCACCAGTACACCATAGGAATATCATTATTATACATACTAAACTAAGCTTTCACAGAGTCACCAAACAAGTAGTAGTAGCATCGGGACGTCATGAACATGATGTTGGATGGCATGTAGCAGTAGAGCCCATAAGCTATTAAATAGGTGAAAGCGAGAATTAAGAAGTCTGAGTTAGCAGATAGAACAGAATGCAAATAATCAATGGAAAGTGACCAAACATCTCGAAGAGTAGAGAGTAGAAAAGGTCACCAAACGGGAAAGTTTTCGGTGTGTCAATTTTTGGTTCGTTTCACATATGTTTGAACTTTCACTTATTCAAATTCAGTCTCTTGTGCTCCATTCTCAGCCGATATACTTACGAAGTATTAATTGTTCTGCAGGGGTAAGCATCGCAAAGGGGACATGGTGGTAGTAAAGAGTATATAATCTTGACGGCGACTTTAAGAATGCCATTTTGCAAAGAAATATTTCTAAACTGGCGCGCGATAAATCCAGGTAACGAAAACACCCAGTACACCAAATAGAGCCGATAATGGAAAACCGAGGAAGCAGGAATGGATTTGAGATGTAAATTGCTAAAAATTGTTGATATCTACAATCTATGGTGATTCCATGCTGGGTTTGAGTCAACGTTTTAGCATTTTTCGACATGGATGTAGGCAGATTTACAGCATAGGAGCTACTCCCAAATGGTAAAAAGCCATAAATTTAGCCTGCACGATCACCGTTTATGGAACTCGATTGATCTGTATACTGTATGGTGGAATTTCACAAAGGAAAGCTAACAACTTTCAAGTGTCTTGCTGCAAATTCCTGTATATACCTGCACATCGCAGCCGAGATGAGATGAGCCGCGCGGTTGGTGGAGTAGCTAGAGGATGCCAGATGAAAGACCACTTTCACACATCAAGACCTCGCTTATTAGCGATGAATTGAGTCAAAATGAGATGGTGGACACTGTCCATGGTTTGTTTGCTTTGCTAAATTCAGAAATTGAAGAACTGCAACAAACTCTAGCTTGTGACTGTATTTCCATATGGATAACAAAGTGTCTAAAAATGAACTCTCAGGACTTGGCATCTCAATTCACATTCAAATACGCAGATACAGTCTTCTACTACGTCCTTGATCTTGGAGGAAAAGATACCGGCCCTCTTGCCAATTCTTTGTCTGGTCTATTCACCAAGACTATCACCATATTGAAGAAATATCAGCAAAACTTTCAAGATACTTTCAAGTCGTGGATCGACAAGACAATGACTATTCCTAGTGATTCCAAGCAAAAGTACATGCTTATCGAGAAAGTTGGGAGTAATATAGACGACGAGTACATTGCTTCTCACTACCTGGAATTCTGTGCTAATGCCATACAAACTATGTCTTCGAATCGACTTGCGAATGTTATAAGCAAGGCACTTTTGACCACCTGGAAACCATTTCTCAAGACACAATTCCCCGAAGAAACAGTAATGCAATGGCTCAATGTGTGGTTTGATACGGTATTGAAGGGCTTGAAAGATTTGCAACTTCGTTCAAATATAACAACTTACCTCATGCCACTTTTGTTCAAGCAATGTCCCTCCTGCTATACTATATTCTTATCCAGAATCGAAGGTCCTCTAGGTTTAAGTGAAGATTCATCGACTGATCTTTTGATTGGAACATTGAAAATTGGCCAAGACTTGGGTCTCAAAGGTGCTGAAGGAACTTCCACCAAAGCTTTGTTACCTCTTCTCACACACAGAAATGGCGACTTTCGAAATCGAGCATTACAACTACTTGTAGGCAGCAGAAGAAGCACCGACAAAATCGACCAAGAGATATATTTCACGATTATCTCAGAAAATTTACTTGCTTTATTCATTCTGGAAAACCAGGCAGTGGAAAGTCAGAATAGCTTCATCTCCACGATGAGACAGTTTCTTATCCGCATCAGAGACTCATGCCACACCGCTGAAAAATCCCGTTCCAACTCTAAGCGACAAAAGGGCAGTGATACAGATAACTTGACTCAACAGATAGATGAGGCAAAGAAGTTTCTTGTTCATTTGATCAATACAGCCAAGTCCTACATGGTTCCAGAGTCTTCTTTCTCCCAGCATAGTTGCTCTTTGCAGCTTATTGAGCTTATAATTGAAGCTAGGGTATGCCCAGACTTGAATCCAAAGTCGAAATTACTAGTGCAATCGAAGCATATGCTCCACAATAAGTCCAAGTTTCCTTTCTCCATTGAGGTCTTTGATGCTGAATTGATACGAATTTTACTCGATGATCATACGAGCAATTACCGCTATATCAGAGAACACAGCGCTCAAATACTATTGTCATATGACCCGGAAAAACTTTCAAGTATGATTCTTCAGCACTATGATGTACTATACAATCGTGCTCTTGCACTACTTGCTGACCTTAAGGGTCGTTCAAGTGAGGGAGGGGCATTCATTATCAAGATTTTGGGACAGGTTTATCTTGAAACTGAGAGATTCGACTCATTTTTTGAAATTTTTCAGAAGCTTGTCCTTCAATTGGAGCTGAATATCAATGTTCTTAAAGCCAGCGGTTTTGACGATGAGAAACCCAACATTGCCCACGGTGCCCTCTCAGCCCTCAGTATGTTATGCGAGAGTATAATCGATTCAAAAGATGTCAAATTGGTCTCAGAATTGCACAGCTATGCCAATCAAATATTGTCCAATATCACCAGCATATGGGTTTCCGTCCGTCACAATTTGCAGAACGTGGCTGCGGTTCAAGAAGAGGACTTGCTTCTGGAAAAAAAGGTTGTAACGTTTGGATGGAAAGCGGTGAAAGAGTCAAGCAAATTACTTCAAACGTTGATGACTATGCAACTCATGGGGCAGACCAACTTTCTAAATCAACAATGGATTGAGGACTGTGCCTCTACGCTCATGGAGCAGCTAACAACCATCAAACATAGAGGTGCCTTTTCGTCAGTATATCCATGCTTCGTCGCACTTTGCAATCTTTGCAACAATTCATATCCAGATATGCCTTTGAAGTGGCTTGCCAAAAACATTGAAATGATTCAAAACCGAGACCAGCTCATCAGTCGACGTTCGGGAGGAATACCGTATCTCGTCACAGCGATTTTGACTTCGAAAACTGCCAATGAAGATATACAGAGCAATACTCTTGAACATCTACTAAGAATTGCAGAAGATCCATACGAGAAGTTAGAAGACGGCAAGAGAGATTTACCACAAGTACATGCTTTCAATATCTTGCGTCAAATATTCACTGACCCAGCGTTGAGTGCCCATAACTTCCGCTTCATTGGAAAGGCATTAAACCTCTCTTTAAGACTTTTCGTCTCAAAAAACTGGTCAATAAGGAACTGCTCAATGATGCTCTTCTCCACGGTCCACAATAGAATCTTTGGTAAAAGTGAAAAATTACTGGCTCGTCAATACTTTTCACTTTGTGGTGATTCAAGCAAGTTTCTAGCTAAGACTTTAGGAGATCTGATCAAGACTTCAAATTACGATATGATGTTCCCCATTCTACAAATCTTGTCAAGAATTTCGTTCCTGGATGGTGACAGTAACTATGAAGAGTTTCACCTGCTTCTTTCACAAAGCGTTCGTTCCAGATCTTGGAAAGTTCGTGAGATAGGTGCTAAAGCACTTGCTTCAATTATCATTGCAAACCAAAGAATTGAAGTAGCCCAACAAATGTTGGAGAGAACTTTAAAATCCACTGATAACAATGAAGCTCATGGCAACTTATGTTCCGTACTGGAACTTATGGAGCTCATTTCTGACCAGAAGGGACAATTGCCTGGCACACTTGGTACCTCAGTTGCGGACTTGTGTGTTCAAATTGTTCTACAGAATGACTGCTGGACAGTTCGAGGCAAAGCGACAAAGATCCTTCAAGGAATAGAAAGACTCAACAAGGAGCACCTTACAGTTCTTCTCGACTTTTTCAAAGATGAAATCGAGAAAGTTCATCGTACTCTCAATGGAGAGAGGAAATTGTGCTTGAGAAATCTACTCGAGCTCTTTTTACGAGAGACCTTCGACGAGAAATTGGCTTTCTCTTCCATTCTAGAGTATGTTTTACAACTAGATTTCCACGATGAGCTTAAAGTGCTTGCAATCGAGTTCTTACTTGAGCACGGTATTTCAAATGTTATTTTGAATACGGCTTTGGTTGACAACTTGGGAGCAATTTTGACTGAGTCTAACTGGAGATATCTTCAGACCAAGGTCCTTGAGCTTGCACTGCAGCTACCTATTTACAGCTTACAATTACCGCTCCAAACTTTGGAGGAATGGTTCAAAGATCAGAATGATCGAGACTCCATTGGTCATGCACTCACCATAATGGCATCTATGGACTTTGACAAGGCACTCATGAATGGCATATTGGACAGAGCCCAGAAACTTTTACTGGAAGAAAACTCCGAAAAGACCAGAAAATCAGGACTCACGACTGTTATTAGAGTTGCTGAAAACCAAGAACAAGCATCTGCAATCAGTTCAAGAGCCTTAATGATTGTCTATGATTCCCTTTGGGATGATAGCGAAGAGCTAAGATACATGTGTTCGGAATACCTTGCTTCAAAAGTGGAATTGAAAAGCTCTCAATCTCCATATCATATAATGGCCCGGTTCATTGATGTCATTCCAACATCTACTCACATCGCTGAAAGTGCCTGCAACTACTTTATATCTTGTGAGCCGAGAGTCTCAGAGTGCCTTGCTAACGCAATTACAAACCGTGAAAGCACAGACCAGCTCTTTGAAATTGAGGAAGTTAACTTGTACAAGAACAATATCGACCGGTGCACAAGTAGCATAAAGTTGGCTGAACATGTTAAAGATGCAATTTCTGAGACTAGGATGGAGAATATGCTTCATTTTGTGCGTGAAGACCTCCTGAAAATTGTTCAACACATAAAACTAATGGGAAAGGATGGTCCAGCTGGTTGGCTCCGCGGACGGTTCGAATTCGAAAGTGTCTATTGTACCATTATTCGAGCAAAATGCATCGAAAATATTTTGAAAAGTCACGAAATACTCGGAGAATTGCGGCTGTTGGGACCAGAATTGGAGATTCACCCTACTATCGCTAAGCTTCTTGATTGAATTTCGCAGCCAAATTCACACTAAACCTTCGCAGCCAAACTTCCGGTAGTGCCCCGACCAGCTGAAGTGTATAAAAAGGCATCGATGCGAATAATTTTCCAGTCTTAATTTCATAAGGTATGTAATCCATGAATTCGCTGATGAACGAAAACACACAACTACGAATTTCTTCACCTGAACCACCGTGTAGAACAAAATTTTTCAGAGCTTTTTAACACTGAGAATTCGATTACTAACAAAAGCTTTACATTTCTGTTCAGAAACGACTGTGGGCTTTGATACCCATTCTGCCGTAGAGTATTGTACTAGCACAGTAGTTCGAATACAACTTGAGTACAGCTTG